TAGGCCTTCCGGTTATCCGTTAATCGACCCCGAACTATAAACTAGTAGCTATAAAAGTAAACGAAGGTAACCCTAGTTAACTCTTTCGTTTACGTCGCCCGTTACGACTACCTTATTAACGAGGATATCCGCGCCTTTTATATTATAACTAATTACGACCTCGAAGATAAAAAGGCGGCCTTCGAAGTAGACCCGTATTAAACGATAGGCTATCGATCGGTAGGATCGTTCGATTTCCTAACCCGCTAATACCTCCTCGATAACTCCGCTTTTACTTTAGTCTTTACGATCTATACGGACCTAATAAACCTCGAACGAATCATTACTAACCCCGAAAAGTTCTCCTAGGCTTATTTCGCCGTAGCGCTATACCTTCCTAAGCTCCGGAAACTATATAGCTTTAATATAATTAAGGACGGCGCCTTCGATCGGGCGGCGTACGCGCTCGGTTAATTACGGCGAACCTAAGAAAACGGCAGCCTCGAGCCCGGTATAACCCCTTAGTTTACTTACTATATCGCGTTAATAAACTAATAAGATAATTATAGCTACGGTTTTTAAAGCGGCATTCTATCGTATCTTATCTTTAAACGACCGATCGAGGTCGCCCGTTAAGCATAAGAAAATAAAGGGCTCGATCCCCTTAATACTATAAAAAAATACGCCGAGGTAATGGAATAATTTTATAGCGTTCGAGTTTTAAAGAAAGAAATAGGTATCGTTAAGCGTCTTCGGTAAGCCGTAAATTATTAAAAGTAAATTAACCTTATTAACGCTATAATATCCGCCTAAAGTACGCCGATCGGCGAACCCCCTAGCCGTAAATCTTCCGTTCGGTTTATCGTATAAGCCGAAGTCCGTCGTTCCTTTATAACCTTAATACTTAATTTCCCTTACTTTCTCGTATTAGCGGACGTAAACCTCCGTTATAATAACCTTATTAAGGTTATAGCGCGTCTCTTTCTTTCCCCCGAACTAAAAAGGATTAAGGCTTTCTAATCGAGGGAGACCTTTATACCGTATAAGTAGAGAAAAGATACCTAATTAACCCTCGGGACGCGCCCGCTCCCTTATTATTCCCTTAATTAAGAGGGCTAAAACGAAACCAAGAAGAAGGTAGCCGAAATAAAGAAGGAGAACGCCGATCGGGTTAGATTAGCGAGGGTAAACTAGATTAAGTTAGCCGTAAAGTAATAAAGAAGCCCTCTTATAATATTAAACGAAAAGCTAAAGGTACGACGGTAATAATTAAATAATAGCCGGTAGAATAAAGTTTCGCGGTAATTTTTAAGGGAAGATATTAATCGGAATATACCGTACTACTCTTTTTAATTTAATTATCCCTTACGGTATAATTAAACTAAGGAGGCTATAGTAGTACGGTAAGACATATCCTCTTAATATATTACGTAATACGCTACGATAGGCCTTATACCTATATAAAGTAACCATAGCTCCCGTAAGTACGGGACATACTATATTTATTATTTAGATTATTACCTAACTAAATTACTATCTTTATTATTTTTACCTTAATTAAAGATTCGTTTTTACTATTAAATTCGTCGTTCTCCGATTAATATATCTATTTTAGTTATAAGCGCTTAAGTTACTTCGTCGTATCGCTATAACCGAATAAGTAACTTTTACGTTTTACCCCTTTTCTTCCCTTACTTTTTATGCCTTCGGGCTAGTAACTATTATATCTCTACGACTAAGAGACATAGCTAAGATACGATAACTATATTAGATTTCTTGCCTCTCGATTAGTATAGCGATATTAGTTTTATTTATCTTAGACTATCGTACGTATTATAGTCTTCGATAGAGTATACTTTCGAATGAACTTATCCGGGTTTCTAGTATCGCGTACGCTCTGCTCCTCCTTACTACCGTACGAACGTATACTTAATTTATTCTTTTTCGTGATTAAAAGTTACCCTAGGAGTATCTAATAAATAATTAGATTAACGGTAGTGGTAGTGGTAGCGGCGGTAGTAGTATAGTTAACCTAGTGGTATAGTTAACTTGGTGGTAGTAGTAGTAGTGGTAGCAGTAGTAGCGGTGGTAGCGGTGGTAGAGGCTTAAGTAATCAAAAGGATCTTACCCTAACTAACTAGTGGAGTACGGTCGTAGGAAAGAGCTAATAGAATCTTCAGGAAGCCGTGACCCGCTTTGGGGTAAGGTTCAGGGGACTAGTTGGGCTGATCTATAGACTCGTAAGGAAAGAAAAGAGGTAAAACGCAAAAGTTACTTATTCGGCTATAGTAGTACGACGAAGTAACTTAAGCGCCTATAATTAAAATAGATATACTAATTAGAGAACGACGAATCTAATGGTAAAAATAAATCTTTAATTAAGGTAAAAATAATAAAGATAGTAATCTATATAGGTAATAAACTAAATGGTAAGCATAGCATATCCCGTACTTACGGGTATTATAGTTACTCTATATAGGTATAAGGCCTATCGTAGCGTATTACGTAATGCATTAAGAGGGCATGTCTTACCGTACTACTATAGTATAAAGGTATAAAATGCATAAAATGTATAAAAATCATAAAATTTATACATATTTCTAGCATAAAAAAACTTAAAAAAAACTTAAAAAACTTAAAAAAACTTAAACTTAAACTTAAACTTAACTTAACTTAAACTAAAAAAAACTAAACTTAACTTAACTTAAGTAGAAAAAAACTTAACTTAACTTAAGCTGAAAAAAACTTAACTTAAACTTAACTTAACTTAAAAAACTTAAACTTAACTTAAAAACTTTAACTTTTTTTGCAACCCTGACTGGAAGCTTGTGCTGCGTTAGGTAGGTACCTGTTGACGTCGACCGAGCCTAGGGCGAGCCTGTCCAGGGCAGAACAGGCCACACTCCCTCTGTGCCTGGCTATGTGGCTTAGATACCTCTGCCTACCTAAGGATTCTTCCACACAGGCCTCAAGTGCCCAGGGTGTTGTCGTATACTCTACTCAGTAGAAGCTAGGTATGTCGAGTGCAGACTTACTCAGGTCGTATATTGGCCACGCTCCCCTTCGTTTCATGTCTCAGCAGGCTTAAGCCTACCTACCGCAGTCAGCACTCGGGTATTAGTCTGTACCTGCTTATGGCACTGGGTGGGCATTTGGAGGTTGCATGCGCCTTTTTACCCCGAAATTCCGAATCGCAAGCTGGGTAGGTTGATATGTGGTGATTTGCTGACTTGGGCCGATCTTGTACCTAAGTAATTTCATCGCTCCTTAATCGGCCTCCCCTGTCTCTTCCCCAGGCCCTGCTCCCTGCCCGGTCTCTGGTACGTACCTACTATCGATACCTCCTACATTAGGTACCAGTGCTAATGGAGCTCGATTAACAGGTATTATGAGCAGTAGGTTTCCATTGTATATTACAGCACTGTTCTAGATCTAAGTACCTAGCCCTAGGTACCTGCGCTCATATCAGGGTTAGGTAGGTACTAAGGCTTACAAGTCTGCAAATAGTACCAACGCAACATGACCTGACCTGACCGCATCCCTGCTCCCGGTGTTGGAGATGACCTCTTCGCATTTGGGGTCGCCCTTTGGGGTCACTACGTGGGTACCCAAGTACGGAGGGCGGCGGGAGGAGGAGGTACCAGCCCGCCCCGTCTCACGAGACACCTGGCCACCTCCCCCATCCGCGACATCCATCGATTTGTGTGGATCTGCAGACGAAGGTCGGTAGGCAAATAAGCTACCTATGCAGATACATGAGGTCGTCGTGCATGGCCGTATGCGAGGACAAGTACCCCATGTAAGCCAATCTAAGTACCCTGGAAACGATAGACAGGACCTAATCGGCTCGCCTCCCGCTTTCGGAGCCTTGTTGCGGATTCGTTCGTCATCACGAGCGATACCTACCTAACCTACCTAACCTGCCGCCCGCCGACCGCCTTCTACCTGTCTCTCTCTCTCCATCCGCCCGTCCATCCGCCCATCCATCCCATCCATCCTCACATATACATACCTACGTACCTACACATACCTCCTATATGTATATACTTACATACATGGCACCGCATACACATTGTTCACCTACCTAACCTACCTGCCGGCCTCCTACCACCTGCCCCCCTAGCGGCTGGCTGATGACCTTTTGGCCATCGGCCGGGCCAACTGAGGATCGCCAAATCACAACGATGATCCCGTCCGCCTCAACCTTTGCCCACCCGCCTACGCTAGCGAACTAATAACCAGCCCATTCCACCTGGTTCCATTCATCATCCTCGCCGCCAGCCATCCCGGAGAGTCAGTCATTCACTGATACGAGGGACCACTCGCTCACTCCCTGCCGTGGCCAGATCAAACCACCCTTGCCATTGATAATTCTTCGCTTTCCTCCTCCTCCTCCTCCTCCTCCTCCTCCCCCGGTCTGCTCGTCCCCCATTCTCACCTCTCCCTATTGTTCCCCGAGATTCACGAGAGAGAGAGACCTGCCCACGCTATCAGGGACAACACTTGGCCCACCCCGTGGCGAATGCCAAGTCTGTCCTGATCTAAGCCCCAATTTCTGTAAGTCACCATCGTCTCTGTCTCCCGTTCGCTACCCGGCCCGCGGCCACTTCGCCTGCTCGTGGTACAATCCAACCATCCCATTCAGCCTCTTATCGTTCCCTCCTTTTTTTTTTCCCTTTTCCTTTCCCGCCAACCTGGTCAAGGCGCCGTCTCCACCACGGTATCCATCCGCCCCAGCGTCTCTTTATTTAAAAGGGCCCTCGTCGTCTAACTCATCGACCGCTAGCTACCTCGGTTCCTCTTAATTCTCCCATCTATTCCGAACTCAGCCACCTTGAGACACCACCCTCTCCCCAACCAACAAAGACCACGACGGGAACATCTTACGTTCTGCAAACACCACAAAGGTCGTCGTCGACTAAATACGCCAGACTACATTACACTACACTACACTACACTACACTACCCTACACGCACGCACGCACACCGACCTTCCCGACTCATCTTCACTTCCTACCACCATGGCGCCCCAAAAGCCCCGCTGCACCTTCAAGGAATGCAGGTCTGCTGCCCAGCGTATTATTGGTGACTGCGGTTTCTGCGACGGGCACTTCTGCGCGAAGCACCGGTTGCTGGAGGACCACAAGTGCAGTGGACTAGAAGATGTAAGCGATCATGATTCCGCGTCCTCGCTCTCCTCCTCCCTCGTGTCAGGCGGCTCCGACTGCCCCACCACCCAGTGGTGGCTGGTCGGCCTGGCCGACTATCTCAGCGAGTCTGGTCTTCTCGAGGTTTCGACTGGATTTGCTGACTCAACTCCTCGCATTCCTAGTGCAAGAAGGAGTCACACGAGCGGAATGCTGCCCAGCTCGAGGCCGAGCGGACACAGGTGATCCGAGGCGTATAAGTGACGTTTCGACCGCGCTGCGGCCGCCACCGTCACCATCACAAACACAACCTCAATTATGCCTAATGACTAGCTACTACGACTTCGACGAACCAGACTTCCACCGCACCGACCCCTCAGGCCGTACCTCGCTTTCCCGCTCTCGGCGAGCCCAACGTCTCTGCGGACACTCAGATCGCCCGACCGAGCGCGCCAGCAACGGAACGGCTCACTGGACCGCGGCCCCCCCCCATTTCTCTTCCCGAGCACGGCGTCCGGCCAGTGACCCTAGGACGGCTACGTCCGTTTCTTTTTTTGCAGTCTGCGATGGCGCACACGGATAGACCGACGCCCCGGAGTTCTCTCTCTCTTCGGTTCTAGCGGCATTGATTCCTGGCGATACACGGGCGTTTGATCCATACCCACACCTCGAGTCCGCATGCAGAGCCTGCTGTGGGATTGCATAACACTGTATATAGTCGACTAGCAGGACCCCCTTCGAGGTTCCTCCTCTTCCCCCTATCTTCCCTTCTATCGCGCTGGAAGGAGGGGGCAGCCTCTCCTATGAGATTTGATTCCACCCTCTGCAGATTTGTTCGTGCGTGCTGTGAACGTGGTGCCCTGCGATTGATGCATCCAACTCGGTGCGTGTTTTGCATCCGAGCGTGACGTATTGTGTTGATATTCTTATTCTCGGAAAATAGTTGCAATTGGGTGAGGTTGTCGAATCCTGCCGGCTTGTGAGAACAACTATCCACATGCTCTAGACGTCGAAATTATTACCATTCAACGCCGACTCAACACCTGTACCGTGCCACTATCCCACCTCGCGTTCTCACTCTTTTTTCCTTCTCTTCCCTCTGCTCCCCTTTCGCCGCATACCCTTACTAGTGTAGTAGTGGTTGATCTGTTTCACGTTAAAGCTAATTCTATAATGTGCTCGTTTACTGGTTTAGGCTTCTCGTTACGAGCCCAGTGATAAGTTTACAGGCAATAGAGATATTCTTACGCATATTTGAACTAACGGTTAGGTACCTAAGGTCTATGGCCCATACTCTATATACCTAGGTAGGTAGCTAACCTAACTGCCTACCTATCCACCTCTGTTACGACCTGCTGTGTGCCTATCCGTACGTGCACAGATAGAGGTAAGAGACGAACGTCCCGAATGAAAGTATGGATGTCTATGAGTACTCGTGAAAACCTGCCCCGCAAAGTGCATGTGGGAGAAAGGGAAATTCGTTCCCAAGGGGTTTTCCCCATCCATCAAGAGGAATGCCTAAATGGATAGCTACCCGACTAGGTAACCCGGCTTACGCACACCAAACGTTACACGCGTCGCCGCCGTACGATCGAGATCCGAGCGGACGAGTCGGCGGCACGCCCCTTACTCGGCACCGAGACATCAGAGAATACATAACTTGGGAGAGTAAGCGCTGCGGGAGTGTGGTCCAACCTAAACAGGTGGTACGGGTTGGGGGTGTCTGCTGAGAATGACATGAGTGTGGCAGTCGGAAAGAGACCTAAAGAATAACCAAATAGGTAGACAATGCGTACCTGTCGCTGATCCACAAACATCCATGCTATATGACCCAGAGTCCCCCCGGAGGGTTCGGAACCGGAGGCACTTACGTAGTTCGCTTGTCACCCTTGGTAGCGGACACGTCGCATCCTACTACTCCTACCCAGACACAAAGTAACCCCTCTCGCCTAGTTAACTCCCTACTCCCCGTCCTCGGTCTTTACAGCAGCGCCGCCGCTACTACCACCGTCGCCGCAGGCAGCCTCCCGCTCCCGGCGCCGCCGCCCCTCGGCGACCTTCTTGCGGTCCGCGGCGGGGCACAGGCCGCGCAGGCCGAGCTCGCAGTCGCCGCAGCGGCGGGCGGACGCGACGGGGGCGCAGACGGTCTGGCCGAAGCCGACGAGGAGGGCGTTGATCTCGCGCCAGCGGTCGCGGGGGAGCCAGGCCTCGAGGGCGCGGCGGGTGGCCTCGGGGCCGGGGGTGGGGCCGCGGGGGTGCCAGCGCCAGAGGTTGGTGAGGCGGTGGACGTGGACGTCGACGCCGACGCCCTCGGTGCGGCCCCAGGCGGCGGAGAGGCAGAGGTGGGCCATCTTGGGGCCGACGCCGGGGAGGGCGAGCAGGCCGGCCAGCGAGTCGGGCACGTCGCCGGCCCAGTCGTCGCGCAGCGCCTCGGCCGCGCGCTTGAGGAAGCGCGCCTTGTTGTTGTGGAAGCCGACCGCGCGGATCAGCTCGTCGATCCGCGCCGCCGGCGCCGCCAGCACGTTCGCCAGCGTCAGCCCCCGCCGCGGCGCCCCCGGCGCCGCCTCCAGCTCCCCCTGCAGCCGCCGCATCGCCCCCGCGTTCACCGCGTCCCGCGTCTGCGACGACAGCATCAGCGCCACCAGCGTCTGGAACCGCCGGTCCCGCTCGCTCGCCCCCGCCTCCGCCAGCCGCTCGCACCCCATCGTGTCCACCGGCGCGTCCGCCGCCACGCCCCCCGGCCCCCGCATCGCCTTCACCAGCGCGTACACCGTCTCCCAGTCCGCCGGCGGCTCCACCCGCGTCTCGCCCGTCGCCGCGTCGACCGTCTTCCGCGCCGGCTTGCGCTGCCGCTTCTTGCTGCCACCGCCGCCGCTTGCTGCTGCTGTTGCGGGTGCTTCGGAAGCTAGCAGCGCTGCCTGCTTCGCCTTTGTTTCGCTTGCCGCGTCGTCCGTCTCGAGCTCGGCCTTTATCTCGGTCTTGACGGCGCGCCGTCGCGGGGGCTGGGAGGTTGTCGTCGTCGTCGTTGTTGTTTCGAGCAGGGCGGTCCGCTTTCGCTTCCGCGACGTCGCGCTCGCGTTCGGTATGACATCTTCGATGTCCGCGCAGAGGGTAGCCGCGGTCGTAGTCGCAGCAGCGGAGGCGGAGGGATGCGGGGGCGGCGTCGAGTTCTCTTTGGCGCTGGAGCCGTCGTCGCTGGCGCCGTACTTGAAGCGCGCGAGCGAGGCCCTCGTGATGCGGCGCGGCGGCGACGACGGGGCCGGTCGAGGAGGCGGCATGGGGGTGAGGATACGGGTTGCTTCGAGGAAGCGCGGTCGGGGGATGGGCATGCAAGAAATTAGGTAGGTAGGTATGTATGTCCAATACTTCAATGACGAGACTGTCTCTTCTTCTCCTTTCTTCCCTCCCTATTTTTTGTCGCGTTCAAGTTGATTCGGAGTTGCACAATGGTCGAACTGGAAGCCCCTATATCTGGAATGTCTGACGCGTCGGTACCTTCGGTCCCTCCAGCTCGCATGCCGACGCGACGGATCGCAGGATGGACCCTGCACTGCGCCCACCCTGACTGACTAATCGATTCTTGGCTCTGCAAGGGCCCCGCCATAGCTGGCTACCCGTTTCGTCTTGGCGCCGTTGCTGCCCCGCCCCTCCGCCCCTCCGCCCCTCCGCCCCTCCGCCCCTCCGCCCCTCCGCCGTTTGCGCCGTTGCGCCGTTACGCAATGACGAACTCATGAAGAAACCATGATTCTCCCAGCTCTCCACGTATCTCGGTACCTACCTAGGTAGGTACCGGGCTTGCTTAGGGAAGTGGTCTAGCTCGAAGTCGGAGGCGCCTATGACTCTTCCTCCCACCAAAAAAATTCAACCAGCTCCCGAGACGGCGACCAACACGCACACCCAGATATCGAGGTAGATCAGAATTCAGATACACATCTCGACACTGACCATGGCAGCTCTCTTTGCCCGTAGTGCCGCCCGCGCCACCACGCTAGCCCCACGCCTCGCGCTCCCCAAGATGGCTGCGTCGCCGGTGATCACGATGAAGTGGTCGGTGGTGCCGGTGGCGGCGACCGTGCGAACGGCGCAGCAGCCCCTCTCGCGACGCCTCCTGGCGACCTCGGCGCTGCCGGAGCAGCCGCGCCTGCGGCTGGGCAGCGAGGCGCCGAACTTCCAGGCCAAGACGACGCAGGGCGACATCGACTTCCACACGTGGCTGGACAAGTCGTGGGCGATCCTGTTCTCGCACCCGGCGGACTTCACGCCGGTGTGCACGACGGAGCTGGGCGCGTTCGCGCGGCTGGCGCCCGAGTTCGCGCGGCGCGGCGTCAAGATGATCGGGCTGAGCGCGGACGACGTGGGCTCGCACGAGCGGTGGGTCGGCGACATCGACGAGGTGGCCGGCGCGCGCGTGAGCTTCCCCATCATCGCCGACGCCGACCGCCGCGTCGCCTACCTCTACGACATGGTCGACGCCCAGGGCGTCGCCAACGCCGACGCCGGCCGCGGCCCCGCCCCCACCATCCGCTCCGTCTTCGTCATCGACCCCGCCCGCAAGATCCGCCTCACCATGGCCTACCCCGCCAGCACCGGCCGCAACGCCGCCGAGGTCCTCCGCGTCGTCGACTCCCTCCAGACCGTCGACCGCAGCGGCGTCGCCACCCCCATCAACTGGACCCCCGGCGACGACGTCATCGTGCCCCCCAGCGTCTCCACCGAGGACGCCAGGAAGAAGTTCAAGGACGTCCGCGAGGTCAAGCCCTACCTGCGCTTCGCCAAGGTCTGACGAGGCGCGTCTCTCCCGCTGCCGTCCTACGGGAAGGAGGAGCACGAGTGGGCCTAAGCTCGGTTGCTAGTTCGGATTGGAATGGCAACACACCCTACTCCGCAGCCTTTGTTTCTGCGTCTGCGCTTACATGCTATGGGAGGAAGTCCGAAGATATACGCACTCGGACGAAAATAATAGGACAATAGAAAAAAGAAAACTTGACATGTAGCAGCGGGACCATAAACCCAGACCCGCTGGGGATAGGTTTCTAGACAGGTCTCGGCATCACTCGCTGTGCACTTGTATGGCTAGTTCGATGATGTTATTATATAGACTAGAAGGGTGGACAGATCCCGTCCGAGGATAATCTACAGTTTCTTCCCTGTCGGCCCGAGGACACCCTTGCTCGTCTATTAAAGCCAAGCGCTGCAGCCAGCTACAAGTCAATCCTTTACGTCGAGGGTATCAGCCAGCAATACAAACCACGTTGTTCGCTTTGCTCACTCACGCTCTCACGCGGATCGTTTCCCTTTCTTTCCTTCCGCGCCGTTCCGTCTGCGCTCTGCTCGGTGCCAAACGCCTGGGTAGGTCTACAAGTCTATAGAGAGAGAGAAAAAAAAAATAGGGTCTGGTAATCGGACGTACTATACAAACCTTAGTCCGTGTGGGGTGGGGCGTAACTGCGATCGAGGAGGGAGCAAAAAAAAAGTCTCAGATGAGGAACTCCTTGTCGACGAAGTGCCGAAGCACGACGAAACCCTCGCTGAACCTCGACGTGTCGGACCGAACGATGATGGCCGCGTGGCTGTGGCGGACCTTGTGGATCCAGACGGGGTACTTGCGCCAGCCGACCTTGTCGAGCTCGTCGATCATGGCGAACTGGGCGGGCGCGAGGGCGAGGGTCGGGAACTGGGGGTGGGACTGCCGGCGTTTGAGGGCGATCGGGTCGCTCTCGGTCTCGTCACCGGTCTCGTCGAGGGGGCTGCCGTCGCCGGCGGGCGGCAGGTACGACGGCCCCTGGGAGCTGTTGAGGTTCTCGTAGACGTCCTCGACGGTGCCGCGGATGTCCTTGGTCCAGATGGGCGACCGGTAGTTCTCGACGCGGATGCCGGCGAGGCCGGACTCGTGCAGCCGGATGCGCTGCAGGCTGCGGAAGGTCTGCACGACCGACGTCAGCAGGAACGCCGTCACGCCGATCGGGATGAAGACGGCGAGCGCGACCATGGTCGGCGCCTGGCGCAGGCCGTGGGACGCGGCGCCGGCGAGGGTGCGGCGCTCGCGCTTCGGGGCGGCGAGCGAGACCGGGTTGAGCGGGTCGAGGATGACGTCCTCGTAGCCCTCGAGGTAGTGCGCCTGGATGCGGCCCCGGTCCGCGTAGGGGTCCGTCTTGGCGATGCACGTGGTGTAGTAGACGGCGCTGCGGTCGTTGACCGCGTTGGTGTACAGCGTGCGGCGGGCGAACTTCTTGAGGCCCGACATGAATATCGACTCCGGGTCGGTGAGCACGGAGAGCAGCGGCCGGCCGGTGTCCCGGTAGTCGTCGATCAAGAACAGCTGGCGCCCCGACATGGAGAGCGTGCGGGCGGCCATGACGTTCCAGGCCTGGCTGTGCCACCCGCGCAGCGGCGTCCGGACGCCGAGGTGCGGCGACACGAAGGTGGTGAAATTCTAGACGGTGTATGGTAAGACGTCGTCGGTTCGATTGCGCGGCCGGGCCGGGAGGATGGGGGTTTTGCCTACCACTGGCTCGACTCTATCGAGCACGCCTCTCATCTCCAGCAGTCCGACGGCATACCGCGCGACGAGGCCGCCGAGGGAGTATCCCACAATGCTCAACTTCTTGATGTTTCCACCCTTGCTTCGGATGAGCTCGAGTTCTTCTTCGATCTCGTGACACACGCGCTCGCCACCCAGCTCGATGCCATCGTACGTAAAGCTGCCGCTGTTGCGCTTGGCGACGAGGAGGTAGAGCTGGTCTTCGGAATATTTATCTCGTAGGGCCTTCGCGATGGATTTCATGTGTTCGGGGTTGCCCCAGAGCTGCGGTTGCGGTCAGGAGACGGTTAGTGATGAAGCGGATACATGGTGTCCGCCACTGCCGGCGGACTACTCATACGTTAGACAACCGGGAACCCCTGAGTCCTGAGGCAGGGGTGGGCCACCGTAGGGGAAAATATTAGGTATGCTACACGTACCCCATGGACGAGCACGCAGAGGTGATCCGACGCCAAACTCCCGCCGTTGTATTCCATGATGGGTTCGCTAGTTCGATGTTGTTTCCCGACCGGTGCCGTGCACTCTCGAGCGTGCGAGGGTAGCAGGGTCTATTTAAAAGCCGACGGGCTGCGAGGGTGCTGGCGACACAAGGAAAGAGAGAGACCGTGTGGCTCAGGTCGGAATCATGAGACTATTAGGGTGTCCTAGGGTGTCCTGGTGTGTCCCGAGGGATACCTAGGATCTATATTAATAGCGTAGATGACCCAGGACGGGTGTGGTTGGCGCTGTCTCGGACATAACGACAGCGCGGAATAGCTAACCCGAGGGTCCCGTCTTTGAGGACACAGGCGGGTTTACCAACGATGTCAGGTGGTGACGCAGGGGTCAAGCGCCGCGAGAGGGGGGGGCAGATTGGACGGGAGGGCTGACGTCGTCACGTACTGGCCGCAGTGCCGCCCTTCTGACGTATGACGGCCGCGCCCGTTGCGGGGGCTGGATGCTGACATGTTAGGAGAGGGAGGCGGACAATGAAGATATTGTTGGGAGCTGTCGCATAGGTATCAGTGGCATCACCTTGCAGTGCGGCGGGCGATGCAACAGGACGTAATAATGCCTATCTAGGTAGGTACCCGCCTACGGGGTTAGGTTATGTACTATGGTTCGTCTCGGGAGGATCATCTAGCACTACGTGCCGTGCGGTGTCGGGCAGGTCGCCGCCGCAGAGGTACCTGGTTCTGCGGCAAGGTTAGCTAACCTTATTCTCTCCTCCCCCCTGACCGCCCCGGCTATCGCCCCGTTCTGAGAGGTATACCCGCCTATAACTATAGAATGTAACAGGAAAATAAAAATACACAAAGCCTGCGTACAAGGACGAATCCGGCCACGAAGGACTGGTGTACGGCTTACTGCCTCCAACTACACGTAGAATCGAGGCTATGCGATGGGGACTCAGCCCGAATGCTGGAGGCAGAATAAGACATCGGGCTGAGACAAGTTACCTAACCCCGAAGGCCAGGTACCTCGTCCTAGCTCCTCCCCGGCGGTGGTTACCTTAGGTACCTGGGTACATAGGGATGTATGTACCCACAACTGCCTAAGTGCATGTGGAGGTACGTACCACGTACCTTGTAGAAGTCGGCGGTCCAGGCTATCCCGGCTTCCGCTTGAACCTTCAATCAACATCTCGACAATCGCATCGACGGAAGGGAACCCCGTACCGCGCCTACCTACCCAGGATTGCTGGCTTCGTCGTGCTTACCTAAGTCCGGCTGCCGTCCCCTGCTACACACTACGTACGCTGAGCCATCCCGGGCATCCCTCTCGTCCTACAACATCTACGCATACAATCTCCTGCCTGATAGATAGACGTGAGAAACGCCCGGACAGGCTCGTTTCTTGAGGACAGACGGTGAGCCTGACACTACCGATGCAGCATTTTCGCGTGGCTACTGTTACCTAGCTTGCTACGAGCTCGCCTGCCTAGCCTGCTTCCCTCTCCTCGCATGGGCCCTCCAACCTATCTGCGCTTCGTCTGCGTCGAGTTATCGTAGCAGCAAGATACCTACCTATTCCAACGCGCCCGCTGCGAGCAACCGCCAGTATTCGCTATTCCCTTCATCGCAACGTGGCAAATTCCTCTCCAATCGGCTCTGAAACATGCTGTATTCCTGTTTCTAGCCTAGCAGACGCGTGTCTGTCCTTTTCTCCTCCTTCTCGTAGTCCGTCAGTACTGTACCTATCCTCCATCATATCATGGCTGGGTCGCTAGCAGCACTTAAGAATCTGCCGTGCCCGGCTGGGAAGAAATGTACCGCTTTCCAATGCCTCTTCAAGCACGACAGCGACGCGGACGCGACGGCCGCTGCTAGCCAGAGCACCGCACAGGGGCGGACACACAAATCTCCCACGTCGTCTCCCGACAAGCTGCCTTCGGATCAGGATCAGGATCAGCCTAGGAAACGGATCAAGTTCAACTCGCCACAGGAGCCCCCGCCGTCTCATCCACCGCCTATCACAGCAGCGAGATCCAGGCCCGTCTCGCGGCAACAGAAAGCACAAAGCGAGATGTCCCTAAATGCTACGCATGCCTCTGAGATGAGGCCAGGTGCCGACAAGAAATCGACCCTCCCGGCTACTGTCGATAAGCAGCCTCGACCCTCAGTTAGGCAGGCTGGCAGAGGAATTGCGTTGTCATCTTCTGCGAAGCAGAAGCCTGGAGGCTCTCCGGCCTCGGCCTCGGCGAGCAATACTGCTGCCAAACCGACCGTAAAACCAGTCCCCAAGCAGCCAGAGTCGCTCAATCCTCGGCTCTTGAAGTCCGCGCCCGCACAACATGAGACACGCCTGAGGCTTGTCAAGGCTCTTCATGAGCAATATGTCCGCCTAAACACCGAGCTAGCGAAAGAAGCCCGCGACAAAGAAACCAAGAAACTCGTGCTCTCAGCCCAGGAGCTTGTAGTAAAGGCTCTCGACGACGAGGAAGACGCCGCCATTAAGCGGTACACGATCTATGCTAATGCAATCAGAAACAAGATTTCTTTATACAAGCGCATGACTGTTGCGCAATGGAAGGAGGAGAGGAAAAAGTCTGTAGAAGATAACCAGGTGGAGGGCGCGGATAAGCCCGCTGCCCCCGAACCTATCGTCACCGGCCTCACCGTTCCTCAGGAGGTGGAGTTCTTGCAGAGATTGGTCTGGCCGCTGGATGGGCTAGAACGATACGGCTATGTGACCTCCGTGCCATCTGATGACGATATTCAGAAAGCCCGCGAAGGCGTAGAAACCTCGGGAAATATCGAGGTGTGCGACAGATGCACGAGACGGTTCCAAGTCTTCCCGGGTCGGAGAGAGGAGGACGGCGCACTGGCCTCCAACGGGACATGCACCTACCACCCGGGCAAGACCTACGCGATGGAGAGAAATCCAGGCACATTTTCGAAGCCGACACGCAAATACCGCTGCTGCCACAAGAACATTGACGACGAATCAGGCGGTTGCACTACAGCACCCACCCACGTCTTTAAGACCACTGATCCGAGCCGGCTCGCCGTCACGCTGAACTTTGCCGAGACGCCACCTAACCCGGACGTGCCCGCTGACAGGGCCGTGGCCTTCGACTGCGAGATGGGGTACACCGTCTACGGGCTCGAGCTTATTCGCTTGACTGCCGTTTCGTGGCCGAATGGCGAGGAGCTCCTCGACGTCCTCGTCCAGCCCTATGGGGAGTGTATGGACCTCAACACGCGGTACTCGGGGGTGCGACCCGAGGACATGGCGACAGCCGAGCGCTTGAAGCCGGGGGACGATCACCGCCCAACCGTCGTCCCTCTCTCTCCCTCTTCTTCCTCCGCCCCGGGCCCCACGACCCCGCCGAAGCGCAAGCTCAAGCTCGCGCCGTCGCCCAAGGCGGCGCGCGACCTGCTGTTCTCGCTCATCGGGCCGAAGACGCCGCTGCTCGGCCACGGGCTCGAGAACGACCTGAACGCGGTCCGCGTCGTGCACCCGACGTGCGTCGACACGGCGCTACTATACCCGCACAAGCGCGGCCTGCCGATCCGCAACGGGCTCCGCATGCTGATGGAGACGCTGCTCGGCCGCAAGATACAGGTCGAGGAGGAGGCAGAGGACGGCGGCGGAAACGGAAACGGAAACGAGGCGGGGAAAGGCGGCGGCGGCGGAGGAGGAGGGGGGGGGGAGAAGGGTCACGATAGCGCGGAGGACGCACGAGCCGCCGGAGAGCTCGTCCGCCTCATGGTCAGGGATCGCTGGAAGCAGATGCAGATGCAGGGCTGGTCCATCAAGGACGGCGACATCGTGGCCCCCGACGAGGCCTGGACCGTCGTTGGCGGCGCGAAGGCTAAGAAGCTCGGCGTCTAGACTGGGTCGCGCGCGGGCCCGGCGAGCACTACGAGGAGAGACGGGGGCTGTGGGTGGGCATATCAAGCGAGGTGAGGTGTACGATTATTCCCTCCGACGACGACTATTCGTCGAAGCAGTGGCAGATTTACCTGAGCGTTAATAAGATCGATCGTTTACACGCAGACGGGGTTCTGTGCGTACGCGCGACTTGCTAATAGAGGTTCATTCGTAAGCAGTAGTTGTGATTATATATCGTGCGGCATCTCGAAGTGGGGATCTAGGTACGGGGTTCTCTCAATAAATATACATAGCCTTGCCTTCTTCCCCTTCTCCTGACCCCGGTACTTTTGTTCGTCTGTCGGTTTGTCCGTGAAATATCTACCCTTCCTGGGTAGGTATCTTGTTAAACAGAGCCTGGGTATTCTGCCTATCCCTTCCACCGCTGCCGGGCTCGCTCAGGCTACGCCCTGCCGACGGAGAGCAGGAGCTGGCTGCCGCCGCTGCCGCCGCGCTTGGCGCCGGGGATGTAGGAGACGTTGGGGTTGGCGGCGAGGGTCTGGGCGATCTCGCGGCTGGCCTCGATCCTGCGGATGCGGACGAGGCCGTCGCCGGACTTGGCGACGGCGCGGCCGATGGTGTCGGCGCTCTCGGCCTCGCCCTCGGCGCGGATGACGGAGGCCTGGCGCTCCTGCTCGGCCTTCTCGACGATGAAGCGGGCGCGCTCGGCGTCCTGCTGGGCGATCTGCTTCTGCTCGACGGCCTTGGTGAACTCGCGGCCGAAGGTCATGTGCGTGATGGACACGTCCTCGAGCGCGATGTTGAACTCGGCCGCCCGCCGCGTCAGGTCCGTCCGGATCCGCTGCGACACCGCCTCCCGCTGCGTGATCAGCTCCGCCGCGTCGAACTGCGCCACGATCGACTTCAGCACCTCGTTGCCGATCGACGGCAGCACGCGCTCGTCGTAGTCGGTGCCGAGGTTCTGCGCCGCCGCCGCCGGGGCGGGTTAGCACGGCCTACACACACACGCCTATACGGCTCCTACGCGCTCGCGCGTAGAGAGAGGGAGGAGGGGGGGAAGAGAGAGAGAGAGAGAGAAGCGGGGCGCACCTGGTAGATCTTGGGGAGGGCCTTGACGTCGGGGCGGTGGAGGACGCGCAGGGTGAGGCTGACCATCTGCAGGTCCTTGCTGCCGGTGGTGGTGGCGATGTTGCGGGGCTTGGTGCGGACGTCGAAGATGATGCTGCGCTGGAGCCAGGGGACGAGGAAGTGGGTGCCCTCGTTGACGACGGTCTCCTTGACGCCCTGCAGCCGGTCGAAGATGACGGCCCGCGTGCCGCCGCGCACGTCGTAGATGGAGGCCTGGGCGACGGCGAAGGCGCCCACGGCGGGCACCGCCCACCGGTAGACCTGCCTCAGCGCGTTCTCCATCGGGAGGCCCGGTTCTCGTGATTCTGCGCTCGCTGACGCCGCCGGCCTCGTCTGCTGCTGGGTACTGCGGCCGCGTGTGCGTGTGCGTGTGGTGCAGCCGCGGCTGGTGGGTTCACTGGCGTGGTGGTATTTTCGCGGAGTGGGCGCCGGGACGAGTGGCTTTTTTGCTGCGAAGCTTTAGCTGCCGTCCATGCCACCTAAAAAAAAAGATCGGCCTACAGGTGATGAATTGGAGAGAGGGAATGCGACGGCGGCACGTAACGGCGCCGATTGGTTGGAGTTTCCGGGGTTAAAGAAACTGCTTAAGCTGATGGAGCTGAATTGCAATCGCTGTATTCTGCCTCATGCAACTATCGGTGCTGGGCCAAAGGTGAGGTACCTAGGTACCTCCAAGGCGAACATGTGGCTTAGTCAGGCAAATGGCTAAGGCGGGCGTCAATATGATCCATCCCATCATCAAATGGCTTAAACTTGACCATTCGCGACTCCCTCTCTCCTCCATCTTTCTCTCCACAGCTCAGCAACCAACCAACACACCGCATCACAATCGACTCTCTCTCGCGTCCGCTTATCCTACCCGCGATGTTCCCTACTCGAGCTCTACGGTCCGGCGGCGGCGGCGGCCCCATTGGCAAATACGGAAAGTGAGTTGTTCGAACTAAGTTGCGTCCTTTTCATCCTCCTCTCGATGCCCCGCCGGATTGCTAGGTGTGCGCAGGCTACCCCGGTCTAGGGACGGCGAGGAAAATTGGAGGCGAGTGCTAACCCGGCCACTGCAGGTTTCTAGGTGATTGGGGAAACTTCGGTGAGTCGCAATTATCCCGGATCGGGGTTGAGAAGGGCGCATGCTGGCACACATTCCTACGGCGGAGGGGCACACGATGGCCGGCGACAAGAAGTGGGCGAGGCGCTTATCTGCGTCTCGCGTGATATATGGCGCTTGGGAGTTTGTATATCAGCGATCGGGAGCTGGATGCATATGCTGGACAGCAGGAGCGCGGGTGCTCGTGACGAAGACTAACGAGGTTGTTCCTTTTCTAGGCGGCCAACCGCAGAGGGGTATCATCAGCTATACTGTCAGCTCCAACAGGCAGAACCCCTTGGCCGGCACCTTGAATGACGCCATCTTCAACACCTGGAGACGATTCAGCTCCCAGGTCCTCTACATCGCGCCCCCGCTGCTCCTCGCTTACTACGCATTGAGCTGGGCGACCGAGCGGTACGGGTACCCACACACCTATCCAACTGCCTGCCCCCCCCCCTATACCCCCGAGGAGAGGTGTAGATGGTTTCGTCCGGAGACTAACGATAAACAGGAACGAGTACCTCAACTCCAAGGCCGGCCGCAAGGAATTCGCAGGGGATGAATAAGGATGTGGAGATGCGATACGGGCACCCGGAGTTGGGCGGTCACTAACCGGCGGTACGCAGACGAAAGAAAGAAAAAAAAAAATACTGCATAAAGATAGACCAGTACGGTAGAAGCACCAAGTACTACGTTTTCCTGACGGCGTCTTTGTATCCGGCTTCATGCTTCCCATCCTCATCTGACAATCTCAGGATCCTCCCATTGCTATCATGGGATGCCTCTTTTAAGTCCCTGTAATGTAACCACTACTCTGGGCTATTAGGAGGGAGTTTAAGTTTCGAGCAGAAGGGTGTAGAGAGTCGATTGAGGGCGACATCTTCCGAGAGGGTTATCCGTAGGTAGAGGTAAGTACTCGTAAGAATCACGCCGTAGGTATTCCGTAGATTAGAGGTAGGTAGTTCGTCCTTTGCCTCCCCTCTCAGAACTGCAACAAAGCACAAAAGGGCAGAATGCAGATTCCAGAAGATGGTTTCCCTCTCCCCTTTACATAAGTACTAGGCACATATACCTACTGTGTAGGGTCACGGCGTCAACCTCGGCCCCTGTCGCATCTCCCATCCATGTCAGCGCAGTACTAATCGGCCGGCAATTCCTCGGCAGAATCCATCCCCGGTCCGGTCCGGATTCAATTGTACTTAGGTACCTACGTCGTCAGGTACATCATCTAATTGATCTCAACCTCAACCAACTCATCACCACAACGCTATCTGATACCCCCTCCCTCTACCGCCTCCCAGCAGATCGGCCACCATGGCTTCCAAAGCAGTCGCCAAAGCTGCAGGGGGCGTCGTGAGCATCACTCAGGTACGCGACTCCCCCTTTCCTCCTCCCTTCACGGGCAATCAATCGCTTTATTCCGTCTCCCTCTGCCCATATACCTAGGTAGGAAGCTACCGAGCCTAGCAAGCAAGAAGGATGTGCTTGGCTATGTAGCTATTCAGCATGCCCGACCGCTAACCCCGCCGACCCTCCAGAAACAAACGCTGCAGTCGACGGGCATCTGGGAGCGCATCCGGCGGTTTTTCGCGGTCTCCCCGGAGCGGTCGAACGGCGTGCCGCTCAACCCGTACTTCCGGAACCCGCCTCCAGGCGCGCTGGACCCTCTGACGTACGACGATCCGGTGACGGCACCGGCGGGCGACATCGCCGACAACGCGTACTGGCGGCGGGACGTGCGGCGGGCGTACCCGCAGCTGAGCGTCGTGCGCCAGGCCGACGCCGCGGCGCTGCTCGCCGTCGGCAGCTCCGCGGCCCCGCGCCGCGAGCTGATTGGCGAGGCTGGCGAGAATGCGCTCGTCGCGGCGCGCGAGGAGGGCCGCACGGCGGGCCTCGCGGCGCAGATCGCCAAGGGCGCCAGCGCCGGCGCCGGTGACGGGAGCGAGTTGTTCAGGGATGGCCTGCCGCCGCTGCCGAGCGGGCAGAGCCTGCGCGCCGCCGACGGCAAGTGGGAGGTGTACAAGTACGACCTCGCGGAGGACTCGTACGGCGAGGCGTGAGTATTTTCCACTCCCCCCCGGAGCAAGGTGGAGAGGGAGAGAGGGGGAGCAATAGCGATGCTAATGAGTGCGCGCTATGCAGATACCCCTGCCGGAACTTCAAATAGACGCGACGCCTTTACGGACGAACAGCGATAGACGGGCGGGCGGAAGGGTAAAAAGAGAGAGGGGCTAAACAGAGGAGCCGACGGGCGGACATATCAGGCCAACCGAGACTCTTGCGAATGAGAGAGGTCGGGGTGCCCAAGTGTACACACATATATACTTATACACATTGCGAGGGGCAAGAAATCCCACATCGCCGATGAGACTATTCTCACAATACGAGAGATCTTTGCGATGGTAGCTACGTGAAAGGTCTTGCTCTTTGCAAAATCCACGTAAACTCTCGAGCCGCCCGCATTACTACGGTGGGGAAATGGGGGGAAGAGGAGGGGAGCTTAGAGACTCTCAACTCCTTGTGGTGGTGCCTAGCGTGAAAGCTCCGCTAACCCCCCCCCCCCCCCCCCCTTTTTTTAAATTTCTTTTTCTCGGTCGAGTTTTGCCCCTCTATCTAGCCCTTGTCCCCGGCGGCGTCGTGGCCCCGCTGCGGTATCCTGCCGATGTCCTCGATGTTGTCGTTCCGGTTGGCGGGCGCGCTGTCGGCGGACGAGGCGGCGGGGACGGCCTCGCCGACGGCGCGCTCGATCATCTTGACGCGGCTCTGGGCGCCCTTGACGCGGCTGTCGAAGTCGTTGACTGACTCGTCGTCGTTGGCCATCGACAGCGTCCCCGGCTCCAGCATCCCGTACAGCATCGCGACGTGCTTCTCCAGCCGCGCGTTGCCGCGCAGCGGGGGCAGCCGGCCCGGCGCCGACGGCGAGGGGGGGCAGGCGCTGGGCGTCTCTGCGGGGGCCCGCCCCTCCTCGGCCGCCTTCGATCCGCCGTCTCTGTGGTCGCGAGCCTGAGAGGGCGACCGCGCCGGGAAGTCGGCCACGCGGTTCGCCCAGACCATGGCCTTGCCCTGCAGCCGGCCGGCCTCGACGAACTTCTCGAAGCCCTTCTTGAGGCCGACCGAGCGCCCCTCGACGCGCCCGGCCTCGGCGCCGTCCTGGTACCCCTGCTCGTAGCCCTCCCGGTAGTACTGCTCCTCGAGGTTCAGGATGTCCTCGAATAACTCGTCGTCGCTGTCCCCGGGGGGCATCCTGGGACGTCGATGGGGATATATGCCTGCGGTCTCTTCTCTTTCTCTTCTTTCCTTCTCTTCCCTTCGTCCTGTCCCAGCTCGCAGTTTGGTTTCCAATCTCCCGCCTTGTCTCTCTCCTGTCCTTAATCCTGCTCTCGATCTGCGATCCGCGAATGGCTCGTCCGAGTGCTTACGTCGCCCGGGTCGCGTATGTAAATCATGCGATATGTAGGTAAGCATGTAGGTATGAGTAGAGATATGAGGTCCTACTAAGAAGACGCAGCTATGTCATAGGCAGTATAGTCGTTCATATAGGCGGATAAGGTGGATTCATTTATAAGTCTTTCCGCCTGTCGGTGCATATTTGCATAGTACCTATATGATGGCGGAGCAGTGATGGAGACTCGCTCTAACGCTCCACCTGGCGGGGAGGCATTAACGAAGTGTATGCGGGAGACGGGGTTATCTCTCCAAACAGTACTAGGACTCAGGTAACGGAAACGGAAGTATCCCGGCTAATTTTGAACGTACCGGTATTTAAATGTACCTAGGTATTGAACGCGGTTACTAGGTTCGTGGACCCTGAGAAACGCTACGAGGTAACATTACGGGGTACCTGTGCGTCGCAGGTAACATCCCACCTTCGACTTCTGAGCTCTCTTGGATTCAGAACACCAAATCAGTTCCTCCACTACCGCACCTACACACCTACACGTGTCCGTCTCCCCTCCGTCTCCCCCCCGTCTCCCATATTTTCGCGCGCGAGCACGTAACCGACTCAAGAGGCCATCGCCCGCTCCCTGGCGGGAAGTGAAGCAGACGGACAGACACAGCGGCAAACACAGCGGCGGACACAGAAAAAAAATGGACATCCGTCGCCTGGAGCCGCGGGACATCCCGCTGATCCAACACGCGAACCTCGAAAACCTGCCCGAGAACTACTTCATGAAGTACTACCTATACCACGCCCTGTCCTGGCCCCAGCTCAGCTACGTCGCCGTCGACATCTCCCGCCTCAAGAAGACCCCCTACGACTACCCCAAGATCGTCGGCTACGTCCTGGCTAAGATGGAGGAGGAGCCCTCCGACGGCGTCCAACACGGCCACATCACCTCCCTGTCCGTCATGCGCACCCACCGCCGCCTAGGCATTGCCGAGAAGCTCATGCGCCAGAGCCGTACGTCTCCATATCTCCGTGTCTCTCCGTCCCCGCCTCCCTGTCTTTCTTCCCCTCCTCCCTCCTCCCGTACAGCCACTCCCTCCCCAGCCTACTCAGCCTATCTACGACCCCACCACCGCAAGACGGCTGCAGGTCCCTTAGAGCGAGAGAGCTGACGAGAGCGCGGGACGAGGGGGGCAGAACTCGCCATGGTGGAGACCTTCGGGGCGCAGTACGTGTCGCTGCACGTGCGCGTGTCGAACAAGGCCGCCATCCACCTGTACACGAAGACGCTCGGCTTCGACCAGGAGAAGACGGAGTCCAAGTACTACGCCGACGGCGAGGACGCGCACTGCATGCGCCTGGACCTGTCGCCGCTGCGCGCCCAGATCCGCGAGGCCGAGCTCGACACCGAGGACGACAACGCGGCCGCGGCCGACGCCGACGCCGACGCCGCCGGCGAGCACCCCGACGAGGGCGAGCCCGTCGGCGAGACGGGCAAGACCGACGGCGGCGGCGGCGGCGCCCTCCCCGCCCGCCCCAAGGAGACCAAGCGCAAGGTCAAGGTCGGCAGGGCCCTGGGCGTCCAGGCTCTGGTCGAGAAGGACGAGAGCAAGCAGCACTCCTAGAAGGACGTGCGCACGGGCACCCGGGGAACGAGGGGAGGGGAGAAGGAGAGTGAGAGGACGAGGGAGAAGGGGAGGGGGGTCGTAAGCACGAAAGAAACTACAAGCCATGCCGTGTCGAGGGAGGTGGACAGCCCGCCACAATAGAGGGCGGTCCCAGCCTGATAGACGGAGGGGTTAGACTTTCAGTGCCGGTAGAGGGGCGAGTAACAAACGCTCGGCCTGGGCCATGCGGACGCATACGATTCGTCAAAGGGCGAGATAGGAGAGAGAGCGAGACGAGGAGGCCCGCCATAGACATTTCCGAGAACTAACACCGTACGACGAACAGGCGTGCCGCATGTCGCGGGCCGTGGCTTTCTAGTAGACGGGAGGGGACGACGGCAAGGACCCCGACAGCACATTCGACGGAGAGGAAAAGCGTATCATAACTTGCATTTACCTATTTACCTATATCGTAGCTCCTAAAAGGAAACGGTTCCCGGATTCATTCCCGTCGTGATTATAGCATCCATGCCTTCGCGTATACCTAGTCAAATTTGCTTCTCTCCCCTTTACCCCCTTAAACTTGCCCGATTTCCCTCTCTCCTGGCCACAAAACCGTAAATAAAATACCTAAGTGTAAAGACTCCATATCCCGTTGTCCCCTCTCCCTCACACCCCCAACAAGTATCAAGTCGAGCACATAAGCCGCATCCGTACTTCCCTTCCCTTCCCTTCCCTTCCCTTCCCTTCCCTCCGCTTCCCATCCCATCCTCCCCTCCTAATACCCCTCCCGCAACAGCCGCTGCTCCTCCATCTCGAGCTCGCGCGCGAGCTGCTCGTCGGCCTCGAGGCGCAGGCGGTCGGCCTCGCGGGTCAGGACCTCGATGTCGCGCTCGAGGCGGCCGGCCTCGCGGTCGGCGCTGCCGCCGGCGCCGCGGCCGCCCTTCTCCTGCTCCTTCGCCGCCGTCTCGCGCCGCAGCGCCGCCAGCGCCGCCCGCTTCGTCGCGATCCGCGCCTCCAGCGCGTCCACCTCCTCGTACCGCTTGTCCGCCCCCGCAACCCCCGCCGCGTCGTCGTCGTCGTCCGCCGCCACCGCCGTCGACGACGGCGGTGCCGGAGGGCTGAAGGGCGTGTAGGGGAAGGGCGAGGAGGACCCGGCACCACCACCGCTGCCGCTGCCCAGCCACGCCGCCGCTGCACCCATCGCCCGCGCCCGCGCCGCGTCGGCCGATCGGAGGGCCTGTGTCCGTGCGGCTTCGGCTTGCGCCCGCGCCGCATCGGCCGATCGGAGGGCCTGTGTCCGTGCGGCTTCGGCTTGCGCCCGCGCCCCCTCCGCCGACCGTAGAGCTTGTGTCCGCGCCGCCTCCGCTGATCGGAGGGCCTGAATCCGTGCGGCCTCCGCCTGTGCCCGCGCTCCCTCTGCTGATCGGAGGGCCTGCGTCCGCGCCACCTCCGCCTGCGCCCGCGCCGCACGTGCTTGCACTGCCGCCTGTGCTTGCACTGCCGCCTGCCGCGCTAGGTCGAGGAAGCTGTATCCGCCGCGGTGGGGATGGGTCCCGTCCCTGTCCTGGCTGCCTTCCGTCCAGTAGCTGTCCGACGCTGGCGGCGCCGGCGGCGCCGGCGGGAACGGGAAGCTGCCCGGCATGGGTGGCGTGGGTGGTACGGCCGGTCTGACGGGAATGCATAGAGGCTGTGCCGGGGGTGGTGGTGGTGGTGGTGCAAAGCCGGCGTAAGAGTCGGAATGTGTGCCAAAGATCGCTCCGAAAAGGCCTGGGCCGCTACCCCTAGCACCCCGATCGGCGTCGCGCTCGGCGCGTCTGGACTCGCAGTCCTGGGCTCGCTGCTCCTTCCTCTCCGCCCGATGACGGCCTCTGCGGTCGCGCTTCGCGGCGCGCTTCTCCGCCCGGCGGTCCCTTCGTCTCTGCCGGCGGGCTCGCATCTGGCCCCGCTTCAGGTCCTTGAAGCACTCGAGCAGCGACCGGACCTCCTGGCGAAGCGCCGGCAAGTCGTCGTCGCCGACTAGGGCAAGGCTGGGGTTATTCTTGGCGGCCTTGATGTCGGCCCGCACGCTGAGCACCATATCCCGTGTCACGGGCTGCTCCGAGTGTTCGAGCCAAGCTGAGATGTGCTGTTTGGTGACAGGGAGCTGCGAGTCCCTCAGGTCGTCCCAGTCTGGGAGGCTACCGATGCTCGAATCTGAGTCAGAGGATGAGGACGATGCCGAACCCGCAGAACGGTTGGAATTGGCGCTGGCCGAGCGATCTCGTGATCCGTAGTGATGGTGGCGGTTCTGACCGTTGTGTTGATCATGGCGGGAACTCCAACACCGACCGCGGCCGCGACTCATCCCGTGCTCTCCCCAGGGGCCTCCCCTTCCGTGTGGGAAGCCGCCGCCGCCGAAGCCCCCCGGCCCATAAGGGAATCCGCCTGGGCCACGGGGTTGAGGAAATGGAGCGAAGCGGTGGTCGACGGATTGCCCGTTCCAGCGCACGCCGTGGCGGTCTGCTTCGAACGAGTCACCAAACGCGACCCGGTCACCGTCAACAGTCAGGGGACCGATGCGGACCCCGCGGTCGGACACCTCGAATGGTCGGAAAGGGTTCCATCGCGGTCTAGGCTGTTCATTAGCCCGAGACTCTCCCGGCCCCTGCTCCTGTTCCTGTGATTGGGACTGAGGCTGCGGAGTCGGCGTGGAGTCGGCGTTGATAGGGATCTGCCGCGGCAGGTCGGCGGCAGGTGCTTGCGATGAGCTAGATGCTGAAATGCGATGTATCGTCACGCCTCTTAGGTTAAAGAAGCCATCGTTCCACTCGCGTATCGTCGCGTCTATATCATGCGGTGTCTGCCGTTGCGATACCGAGTCGCTAGATTCCGATTTTACGTCTTGAAGCAGAGCCTCGGCCATGCCTCCTGCGCTCGACGGCGACTTGGTACGATTCTGATTATTCTCGTCCTTATTATTCCCGCCATCTTCGCCAGTATCGTCCTTCCCAACTTGTACATCCCGTGTCTTTCGCTCGAGAATCTGCGAGTTCACGCGTCCGGCATGGTCCGGCATGAGGTGGTTGAGGAAGGTCTGCCAGTCTTGGTGGGTAGTCCCGCGCCCGTGGGCCCAGGCCGGGTACGGGAAGTCTCTAGGCGAGGCCCTTTCGGTGATGGCTAACGCAATCTCGAGGTTCTGGCCAGACGGCCAGCCACCAAGGGGAGGGGAAGGGGGGGGGCGTGATTCGAAGTAAGCCTGCGCCGAAGCTGTCGTGCGAGAGTCATCGCGGCCGCTTGGGCTGTGTGGCGACTCGCGCGGCGACTCCGGCGGGGTATAGATGAGGTCACTATGAGAGGACGCGATGGTAGAGCTGTCGTCGTCGACAGCGTTTCGCTCATTTCGGCCGGTAGGTGACCGCCCCGAATGAGAATAGATATCCATCTCTGTGTACGGAGGAGGCGGAACGTCGTCCATGATGGATCTCACTGCTCTACGTAGGTGACAAGACGAAGAATCTTCACCACGGCCGCGCAACCCAGATCAGGTAGATATGCAAACTACAATGTGGTACAAGGTTTGTGGCGTTGTATGATGGTTTCAATCTCGTCAGGACGTCCGGTTTAATTGAAAGCTTAACGAGGTGCGTGTATTTAAGTCCTACGCAGGCATCGAATCGCGACAAGGGGGGAGGCTGGGTGCCTGATGGGCTTCGGATGCATTTTATTGCCTACGGAGTTGGCCTATTTGATGCCATCCGTGTCGACATGTCTGGCTCGTTTGTCTTGGCCAAGCCGTCGAGGAGGGAGCCCGTCCCATTGGTAGCATGGCGAGCTCTCCAGCCCTCGATACGGCCAGCGGCCATGTATGTCGTAGTACACCATCCCTAGACAAGATTCGTCCGATCCGTGATGATGGAGCTCGTAGGCTTCGGCCAGTCAGCCCACCCTCTCCATCGCTGCTTGGCGTTTCTTTGTTTGTGAGTCCCCTGCGTTTCCATGCAAAGCCAACGGTAGGTGACGCGGCCCCCCCATGCCAGCTGTGGCACCACCGCATATTCGTTCAAGGCCACCCTCGAAAAGATGAGTCAAACTGCTAGAATATTCCCACGGCCGCCGCAGCTTAACGTACACCAGTGTCAGTGGGACCACGATTCCCCGCCATGTCGGCATAATCTATTGACATCGTCACCAGGGCTTCCTGGTGATTTCGCGCCAGTCGTCGCAATTACTACGTAGCAGGCGTGTGGCGGCCGTGAGGCTTAAGTCACCTTGGGATCTTTCTCAACAGATCGAAGTTGACATCTTCCTCTTTGTAGTGATCGGCGACAATCGTGTGCAAGTGATCCTTGGAATGTGCACCCCTGTGTCGGAACAAGTCAGCGATCCTTCCCACTCACCTCGTTCCTGAGCAAGGCTACTACAACTTACAGGTTGGTAATGTAGGTGTTGACGAGATCTGCAGGTACGAACTCGGCGACAGCATTCATGACCCTCACTCGCTCCACCATCGCGCCGTCGGCGAAGTTGACATACTTGGAGGGGTCACCCCATTCGACGAGCCCTTCTTGGTGAAACTGGCTGTCGGGGCTGAGTTTGTATACGCCGCCTAGGACAACCACCGTTCTCCCCTGCTCTCGGGCGGCGCGAGCGATCGCAGCGGCGCCGGCATCGACGATCACCCCGCCTTTGCTGCCAATCGCCCGCGCCCCGAGGATAACCTTGTTGACCTTCGACATATAGGCCATGAGGCCCGCGTTCATGACATTGATTACGGTCGACCCGCCGGCCGATAGGGATTTCCGGAAGGGAGCGTAGGTGTCATCAGTGGAGGACAAGGCGGACGGGTCGGCGACGAGAAACACGGTAAATCTTCTCTTAGATGCGGCTCGAGTGAGGAACTTCTGGACCGTCTTCGATGGTTGATGGACTAGTATATAGTCTCCCGGATTTATGACGACGTCGGCGTAGGCCTGGACCTGCTCATCAACCTGCCTGATTTCATCCATGATTTCCTCGATGCCATCGATCACTTCAGACCTGAGTGCGTGAACATTGGTAAACTGCCCGTGGCCCCTGGGCGAAGAGGCTCCCGACCCTAGGACGGGCGTGGAACCAGCCGAGGGGATAGAGTCTGGGTCGGACAGCAGGTTGAATATAGACTGTGTACGAGCAAAGGGCCCGGCGGCGACGGCCGGAGAGGGTCGTGGTAGTTTCCCTAGGGTGGTATTCGTGGTCTCCGCTCCGGGTATCGGCGCCGGGGATGCGTCGGCGAGCGGGTCGTTTCCAGTGTCATTTCTGTCTTCGGATGCTTCGTCGCGTATCAATCCTAGAACCCTCTTTACTATGTTGCCAATAGCCAGCTCGTGAGGCTGCGCGGTTACGAGTTTGCGGCCGACTAGTTGAATGCGGCCGAGGAGCTGGTCGACGTCGATCCATTTGTCCTTGGCAACAACCTGGAGGAGGATGTGCGCCGTAGCGATAGCGCATGACTCGGAGCCTCGAATCTGTCGTCGCTTGAGAAGGCTAAACCATAGAATTTAGCCCCAAGCTCCGGTCAACTCTCGAGGATACAGAGGGGGGGGTAGGGGTTTCGCTCTTACGATATAAGGAATTCCACAGAGGCGTCAACGGGGCGACTTTTCAGTGTATCAAGGAACTTCTCTAGACTGGGCGCATAACCCCCCTTAGGAGGAGCCATCTTCCCGCTCCGTGGAAGCACTCGGGGGGTGTACCTGGGCGCAGGGGCAAGCTTGAATGATGCTCTGAATATCGATTCGGGCCAGGTCTGGATTTGGTGGGTTGGATCGACAATGGGAGGAGTCGAGGAGGAGGCACCGAAGTCGGGATCGGGTTCTTGCTCTTCTCGAGTGTAGGGGTGTATATATGAGAGAGAGAGAGAGAGAGAGAGAGAGAGAGAGAGAGAGAGAGAGGAAAACAAATCCGTTTACAGAAAGATGGTGATCTTCGACTTCTTGTCTCTCTCATTAGAAGATTGTCTTTCTTTCTCTCCTCTGCGCAATGAGCAGTGAGTCAAGCCAAATTCTGGGGGCTTCCCCGCCAGTGATAAGAACCCATGTATCTACAACCTACAGAAATAAGGCAGGTACGTGCATGCATTAGGTGCCTTGGATGGTTCAACCCGATGCAAAGCGGGGTCTATCACTAGTATGTGCATGAATAGCACAGGCGTCCAACAGGTGATGGAGCTAGTTAAGGTCCCTACAATTGAACTGTTGTTATGGTGACTTGCCTCCAGTATATTCATATGTACCTGCCTACATTTATAAATGCATAGATATGAGGCAGGTATCGTGGTAATTCTGTAGCAAGTTTTTGATTTAGGCAGGTTCAATTAGAGAGTGCGTTGCTTATGAAGCTTACCTCGGTAGGCAACTTACCTGCTAGGGGGCTGCCAATTGAGTACATATACCTGGTTAGATATCACTCAAGCTACAGAAGAGAGAGGCTCTAGAGGGCTTTTTTTATAGGTTAGGTGGGTACCTAGGTGGGCATATGTGTATAATATACTATAGGTATCTAATGAACCTGCTCGGGCAAAAATTGCTAGTAATTTCTAATGCACTGTCGCCTACTTGCTGAGCAAAGCTGCTAGGGAATAGCTATGCATAGGTGCATACAGGTCATTTTCCAGTCTTAGGTACCTACCTACCTTACCTGCCTACCTTACCTTAGGTACCTATGCAAGTCAGGTGCGATAGGAATAAGCAGGTGCCTATGTCCCTAGGTAAGAGGTACCTGTCTGCGTAGGTAGGCAGCTCCCACTACCTTGTGTAGGAGGTGGGTGCTTGGGTGTACCTAGGCGGATGGGAGTTTACAGCAGATTACCAGTAGGTAGAGGTATGTACCTCTGAGGTATATACCTACCTATCTACAGGTAGGAGATGAGCTAAGAAGACTACTAAGTAGCGCTGTTAGGAATCGAACCTATCCTTCGTTAAGTAACCTACTGATCTGTGGGTAACTTATATCGATGTATCAGGTACATAGCTTAGAATACCTACCTCTCTAAGCTTGAGCGCACAGTGGATGTTGAGGCTTCTATCAACCTACCCCAATGTCCCATAATTACACACGTACCGCGACACCCTAGCATACATGTGGGATCTTTACATTGATACCTCCCGTCCCGTCCGATATCTACCTCCGCCCATCACACCTGTCTGCGCCTTCAAATTCGGGAGCTTCTGCAACTTGACTTGTTCGTAGGACCGCCCAAAAAAGAGGACCACTCGCAACACACACCTCTTTTTTCCATCTCCGCGACAGCGTGTTTTTGGGCTCTTAGACCTGACCCGCAGCAACTACAAGACGCTCGTTGATTATAAACGTGGAATGAGGTATCTGGCGAATCCAAGTGAGATCTGTCATTATTGTTGCGCGTAGCTGCCGGCGATCCAACCCCAACCCAGCCTCGGACGACGAGATCCCCATCCCGCCCTCTCCTCACCCGCCCGGCATTCCTACGCATCCATCATCAACAATATTTTAAGATCCTAAATTTCTTTTTAATTCCTCTTCCGACTCCGGTACATCCACGAGGAGCCACCGCGCGGGCAGCCTTACCCCCCCCCCATCGACCGACCGACCAACCGATCTTGGTTTCGGTCCCTGGTTGTCTGCTGCTTGCTGTCGCCAACGCTTGCCTACAAGACGGAGAGGCGTCTTCCGCTCCCACCGCCTCCATTGATAACCCCAAGTCTTGCATGTTTTTTTGGCGGGCACCACCAGACCTTCATGGCTTGCACGTTGACCGAAAGATGAACTCCCTCAACATAATATCCACACGCGTCTCCCCACCTTCAAGTCCCGCCCCTTCGCGATCCAATTCTCTCGGCCATATTGGCTTAGCCGTCGCCCAGTCCGACGGCCGCCCGATACCGTCAGAGGAGACATCGCCCAACGAGAAGGGTGTGAACGCTTCCGAATCGAACGAGTGCACGTTCCCCCAGCACGACCCGGTAGACCACCCTCCTCACGCCGATGAAAAGACCCCCCTGCTAGAGAGCAATGACACCAAGGAGACGAGCATTCGGACCTACTGGTGGCATGTTGTTCCAAGTCGCATAGCCACCGGCTTTATTGATTCCATCCGTTGGGTCCTATCCACCCTCGCCACGCCCGGCGTCTACCTCGTCGCTTACTTCTACGACGACCAGGGGGATTTCGCCCCTTTGCGACAACTGGGAAGCTTGTTTGGTACACACGGAGATGACACGCGCAAGCTGGCTACCGATCTCTCGGGGAAAAACACGATAGGGAAAGAGGACGATGCTTTGTCGGGTCGGCATCCCCAAACCGTGAAGGGCAAGAAGGCCTTCTCGGCTTCGCGACCGCTCTCCTCTCCGGGAACTTCATCCTCTGGCCTTTCATCAGATTCGGAAACGGACATGGCTAGCAAGCCTCCAGGCACTCGGCGCAGCTCCGCCTCTTCCGGCCGCCACACGCGATCCAAGTCCGCCGACCCGACAGAAGATACCGCACCGACCAGACGGTCGATAAGGATTAAGCTGAACAACGAGGAGCTCATGCGACAGCGGAAACATAAGAAGGCCCGGTCTACGAGTGCTACCGGCAGCACCGGCGGTGGAGGCTCTTCGGACCTATCAGCGCAGCTAAAGTCTCCTACCTCGCCCATCGGAGCTCTAACTAGATACCCTAAAACCCCAGCTCCTCCCCGGCCCTTGATCCCTCGGCGACAGCCCTCGTATCTTCCCTTTGAACCTCTCGACCCCAAGCACCTGAAAACCCTGATACTGGATCTCGACGAGACATTGATACACAGCATGTCGAAAGGGGGGCGAATGGGATCGGGACACATGGTCGAAGTGCGGTTGAATACGACGTACGTCGGAAGTGGAGGTCAGCAGTCTCTAGGGCCTCAACATCCCATCCTGTACTACGTTCACAAGCGACCACACTGTGACGAGTTCCTGCGAAAGGTGAGGAGACGGTTTGGCGCATATTACACGGGGTCCGACCTGAACCGTCTATGCTAACTACCACTGCGAAGGTTTGCAAATGGTTCAATCTTGTTATCTTCACGGCCTCGGTGCAAGAGTACGCCGACCCCGTCATCGACTGGCTCGAGTCGGAGAGAAAGTTCTTCTCGGGGCGATACTATCGGCAGCACTGCACTTTTAGACACGGCGCGTTCATCAAGGATCTCAGCTCGATCGAACCCGACCTGAGCCGGGTCATGATTCTAGATAACAGCCCGCTCAGCTACATGTTCCATCAAGGTATGCTATCACCTATACGTTCGGCTCGCCCGAAGCCGGGCCGATACGCAACGTACTGACCAGAGCCCGACGTAGATAATGCGATCCCGATCCAGGGATGGATCAATGATCCCACGGATAACGATTTGTTGCATCTCGTACCGCTCCTAGAAGGGTTGCAGTACGTGTCGGACGTCAGGGCGTTACTTGCATTAAGGGGCGGAGAGGACGGGCAGCATATGATGACGTGAACACGGGTAAAAGCAGAAGAGGAAGAAAAGCGATAAGTAATGAACTGACGCTCTCGGAGTGGAAATACACGGCTGCAGATGTTTAATCGGTGTCCTCGGGCGAAGGGGAAGGAGATTCTGGCTCTACAAGAAACACCGCGAGGGTCTAGTAGAGGATACAACGGAGGCCCGCCCCACGCCAACGCCGAGCTTCGCTGTATAAAGGTAAAACGCCATTGTAATGTGTATATATATATCCTTAGGCGCGTTCCTCTTTCTATAGGGTCGGGGAAATGCTTAGACGATCCTGACAGTGAAAGGGATCTCAACTACCCTCGCGTATGGGAATCAGTATATCAGGGCGGGAACCGGGCTGGGCTCAACTGCTACGAAGGTACCTACAAAATATATACCCTCGACTTCAAGAACCCCGACAGCGACCCGACCAAGTGTATCACGTACGAGGAGCTGGCCGCCCTCTCGCGCTCGGAGTGGAAGAAGGAGGGGGAGAGAGATTCGGCCTAGGGACGTGATGCTCCTAACCAATGGCCCGCGGACTGAATGCAGCTTCGGATCTCGCCCAGCTGCCAATGAGACTGCGTGCCTACAGCACCTGTTGCCTACAGGTACGCAATAGACGCATGTACGTAGATTATGCGCCTATGTGTGTATGTGCATACCCGAGGCAGAAATAGGTACCTACCGAAGGTACCTACCTAGGTAGGTACACTTAGGTAGGTCAGGTAGGTGCTAGTAGGTGCCAGGGCGTGGAGTTGCGCATAACTTCCAAGCGCGTAACCGAGGTGCTGGGAGCTATAGAGGTAGGTACCTAAGCTCCCCAAGGTACTTATCTCTACTTTGAAGTAAGTCATTTACACGCATACTACAGGTACGTAGCGTCATCGTCTCAGTCCTGCCAATGGAAGATTCGGTGACATCAATTCCCTACGTCACGCTGAGCGCTAGACAAAGGGACTTACCCAGCAAGATCACCACATCGTGCGCTGGCTGGAACCGCTCGCTGCAGACTACAGACGCCACAGGTCGCAAACAATACACCTCTCGAGCCGGATTTGCAGCGTAACGGCCTCAATTCCGGTAGCAAGATGAGATCTCGGATTCTGGATACCTGAGAGAGGCCTAATAAGAATGTACCTTGGCCTCCGCCTATCTTGGCTGCGATGTTCGCGACAAGGTCTCACTCAAGCCACGCCAAATTCCTTGGTCACGAAAAGCAGTACCCGGTGTGCAACAGGAGGTAGCTGGGAGCAAGCCTCCGGGCTAGGTACGCCCATCTGTGTAGGTGGGAAGGGCGGGCAGGCCGAGTAGATGGTTTCGTCATCGGGGCGGAAACTTGACGTTATAAGATCCTGTTTCTCCTCGAACAACCTTCCTCACCTCCCCCTTCTACCAATACTGCAATCCAAACAAAACCATCAGCCTGTCGTGACCCCGACCCAGAAAACTTGGTAACTCCGCCGCAAGCATCAAACTGCCATCATGTCTCTCCACTGTGAGTTACACGCCCTTGCGGTTGGGTTAGATCCCGCAAGCTGACCGCCTCGCCCTCCGCAGACCTGCCCCCCGTCAAGCCCTCGGCCATCGCCCTAGGCACCGTGTTCAACCACGGCATCGAACTGGCAGGTAGGACCCCCCTACATACTGGTAGAGGCAGAGACGGTAGACAGAGAGGGAGAAGCTGACCCGTGAGAAACGCCGACGACCAGTCATGACTCCGCTGTTCGGCCAGACCTACCAGCGGGCCAAGCTCGCCAACACCAAGGAGGAGTTCATCCGCTCCAAAGAGGCCTCGTCCGCCGCCGTCGCCTGGGGCACCTCGCTCGTCGGCTCCGCTCTGCAGTCCTACGGCGTCGGTGCCCTCATCAACGCCACCGGCACCCTCAGCTACAAGGGCGCCGCCTACCTGGGCGGCCTTATCTTCGCCGCCACCTCCGCTCCTGCCGTAAGTCATCTGCCTACTACCCATTAGCATAGCCCCCTCGCCCCCTTTTCCGCGTCCTCCCTTCACCAGTGAGAAAAGAAAGGGGTAAGGACGGGAGGAAGGGGGAAAACGGGATGACGGATATATGCTCACACCGCCACGCGCCGCAGTACCTTAGTCAACTCCTCGTCGAGAAGCGGCCTCTCGACACCGTTGCCGTCGCCGCCGTCGCGAAGACCTTCGAGACCCTCGGGCTGTCTCTATTCCTGACTTGGTGGGGGACCCGGACCAATCCCTTCGACTAAGCAAGCAGAAGAGGAGGCTTTCCGCTAAAGGGTAGGCGGGAAAAGAAGGAGTAGCAACTGCGCGTATTAGCGCTGCCCGACACGGTAACTGCTACAACGGAGGGCGGTAAAACGCCAGACGCGCCAGACGGTCAGCTACGTCGCAGCCGCACAATAGCACGAAAGAGAAATCTTGACAAATTAGTCCATTCATACCGTGTTCTCACGTACACTGAGTTCCTATTCATCACTTTCAACTTGCAGCACTTGTCGCGAATGGAACACCACGAGACACTGGGCCCGACCCCACGAAGATCGGAATGCCCACTTTGCAGCTTTTCAAGTGATGTGTATTGAGTTAAATCCCCTAACGTGACTGGGTAACCTACATCCCCTTTTCCCCCGGAACGCCTGAAAAAAAAAGAAAACGGCCGCGCCTGCATAAGCTAGCCAAAGAGAATGCGTGCGTGCAGTAGTAGCGGTAGTAGTCAGTAGTGCATCGATAAAAGCCTCGAGAATGCGGTAATAAAGAGGACAGCGGAACGAGTATCTACCCGGGACACGGTGTGCGCGTTTGGGGAGGAGGCTTTGCTTCCCGCTTAGCGACCCCGGCAGCGGAGAGACGCCGTCTACCCAACATCGCGGGTCAGAGCGGCAGCAGCCACGCCAGCACATAGCCGCGGCATTAGGATTGTCTCGCGGCGCGGGAGCGCCCGCGTCGACGGCTCCGAGGAGCAACAGGCCTCGGCGGAGCCTCCCGGCGGGGGGGCTAGCGCACTACGTGAAGCGGAGCTGCTTGCTCTCCTTCTCGACGAGCTTGACGAGGTCCCTGTAGGCGTCGGCGAAGTCCTGGCCGTCGTCGGCGGCAGCAGCGGCGTCGTCCTTCTTGCCGGCGGGCTGGGGCTTGGCGCGCTCGACGACCATGACGACGCTGGTGGGGCGCTTGGTGCTGCCGGCGGCGCCGAGCTCAGCGCGCGAGTGCACGAAGACGTACGGCGCGCCGACGTCCTCGCACAGCACGGGGATGTGGCTGATCACGTCCATGGGGCTGATGTCGCCCGCGAGCACGACGACGCCCGGGAAGGCAGGCGAGGACGAGGCCGCGGCCGCGGACGAGGATTTGCGTAGCGATTTCACGACTTCCTTGACGCCGCGCTTGAGAGTCTTGTGCTTGGCGGCTGTTCGAAAGGGGGGAGAGGATAGGGTTAGCGATTTTTCCCAATATTCTCCTTTTGCCTGTCGTTGGCTGCTCGAGGACGAGGCGGCGAGAACGGGGGGGGGGGTGTATACGCTAGGGCACGTCGAATGCTACGAAACCGGCTTACCTTTCCGCACCGTCTTCATGATCTTCTTGGTGGCCTTCTCGTCCGCGAGCGGCCGCGCGAAGGGCACCAGGGCGCCGACCACGGGGACCAGACCGTCCTTGTTGCCGCTGCCGCTATCGCTGTCGTCGTTGTTGCCGCGCCTGACGAGGGTGACCGTCGGGGCGGCTTTCGTATCTTCGTCGAGGGAGCCGGCGGCGCTGACGGCGTTCTTGAGCTTCTCCTTCTTTTCTTTCTTCTCCTTCTTCTCCTTCTTGGGCTTCGCTACGCCGTCCACCTCGCTGCGCTTCTTCTCCTTCTTCTCCTTCTTGTCCTTTTTCTCCTTCTCCGGCTTCGTCGCCCCCATTTTTTTATTCCTTTAGCGTTTTTGGCTTCTTTTCAAAGCTCGGGCGCAGAAAAGAGCGTCGGTCCGGCTTAAAGGAGCGAGGAAGCGGGCAATTGGGCGGCGGCCAGTAGGTTGTCGCGGTTCTCGTCGGTGAGGTGAGTTAAGACGAGGTGCGGAAGTAGCCTTTCCTGGCCCTTTTTTTTTTTCCTCTTCTTCCTCTCCAAATCCTACTAGCTTATAAATGCTTATCGGATACCAGCTCTTATCAGTTTAACGGATACAAGAATAACACACGGGCCACGAAGATGCGAATTTCTATTGGTGCTCTCCCACAGCTCCGGCTGCTTCCTGGCGGGGAGAATTCATTGGCCAATTAGAATCCCAGATAGAACGGGAATTACCCGCTTTATAGAGACCCACCTCTTAGCGCCGATCCTTGCTGCCAACCTCGACCTAAGTGGAAGGAGCATCGCCAGAAGGTGACCCGGCATTGCCCAGCCCTCTTATAGCAGCTTTCTCCAGCTTCCAAACTCAACTCCAATCCCACCGCCCGCGGCAGCATGTAGCAAAGCTTTCTTGGTATTCATCCTCCCGCCGGCTCTTCCAGGTCCGCCCAGTCCTATATCCCCACCTACCGGCAGACCGTGATAGTCCAGTTCGTCAACTACCTAGGCGATGCCCTGCAAGGTGTAGCGCTACCGAGCTCAGGCAACTCACCTATCTACAATAACATTCTTTCTTCTCCACTCTCCTCTTCCCTCCTCTCGGCATACCCATACGTGGATATCCCTCGGATCGTGTCCCGTGCTCCGGGCGGTGGGCTCTTCGACGGGTGTCCCCGGAACTCTTTGTGCTATAGCAACCCCAGGCTCCTGTCGGCCCTATCACCCTTGTCAACTCCAAATGCATCGATCTACACGTATATAGCTACGTGGGAGGCTAGTTGCAACGGAAGCGGGATAGTCCCTATGAAGGAATAGCGATCACCTGCGCCTTATACGACCAACCACAATCTCTCTCATCGTAAGGAGTCGACCCAGTAGAGTATACGAGGGGTCCCTTCGCCAGCTGTACCCTGCTTTGCCAACATACGACGTCGCTCTGCTATATAAATAGCCTGTTCCCGTCCATTGTGTTCGTCTCCTCGTGGTATAGTCTCCAGCCGACCCTCCCAAAGGTCCTGCCTGAGACGTAGCTAGAGGCACATTTCCTCCACAGCTGCCCAAGCGGGTTCCATACGTATGCAGATGCACAAGATGGCGAGCACTCGGTCACTTTTATTATGTCTCGTGGCGGCCATATCGTGGCCATCATCCCACGCCAGCTCGTCCCGCCGCCAGGATGATAGCTCTCCCACCGGTTACGATTTCGTCGATCCCTTGATTGGTACTCGTGATGGCGGTGGGTCACTATCAGGGAGGGAGACGCTCGAAATTAAAGCTGACGTACTGTCACCAAGGTCATGTTTTTGCCGGAGCAACACTGCCCTTCGGTGAGCATAGGAGACGGAATTATCTGTATCCACGACGTATCTTCTAACAACAGTTCAGGTATGGCGAAAGCAGTGGCGGATGTCACGGAAGACAACCAAGGAGGATATGCCTCGAATGGAAGTCCGGTCACTGGCTTCTCCCACATGCACGATTCAGGTACTGGCGGTGCCTCATCACTAGCCAATTTTCCCATCTTCGTGTATCCGGGCTGTAAGGGTGACGATATCAACGGCTGTACATTTCCCAAGTCTCGCCGTAGCGTCGACGTCGTCGAAGGAAGTGTATCTGCTCGTCCCGGCTACTTTACCATCGGTCTAGAATCCGGCATTAAGGCGGAGATCACAGCTGCCAACCACACGGCGCTTTATCGTTTTACCCTCTTTGGGAACGGTACCGGAGGCGCGGCCGTAGACGCACCCCTAAGCCCATTGTTCATCATAGACCTAACGGACCTTCCCAATACACGTAGCAATGGCAGCGCTTCCGTGGACCCTGACACTGGCCGAATTTCAGGGAATGGTACGTTCCGGCCAAGTTTCGGAACCGGGATTTATCAATTGCACTTTTGTGCCGATTTCCTTCATGAGGCCTCTATTCGCGAGACTGGTGTATTTATAAACAACAGGGCCGGAAGTGAACCAAAGAGCATCGTCGTCGGACAGGACAACAACTCCCCCCCTCTACCAGCCGGAGCATATACATGGTTCGATACGGTTGAAGCCGGTGCATCTATTACGATTCGAGTTGGGTTGTCGTTCAAGAGTGTCGACCAAGCCTGTGCTCATGCCGAGAGGGAGATCCCAGATCTTGACTTCTCGGAAACTCTAGCTGCGGCAGAAGACATTTGGAGAGAGAAACTCTCGGTCGTGGAAATCAATACGACAGGCTTTCAAGACACCGAGCTGCAAACCGTCTTCTGGAGCGGATTTTACAGGACGATGCTAAGCCCGCAGGACTATACTGGTGAAAATTACCTTTGGGAAAGCGACGAACCTTACTACGACTCGTGGTATTGCATATGGGATTCTTTCCGCAGCATCCACCCTTTCCTCACATTGGTGGACCCGCACTCGCAAACACTCATGATCCGTTCCCTTATCGATATTTACCGTCACGAGGGATGGCTACCGGATTGTCGAATGTCACTCTGCAAGGGGTGGACCCAAGGCGGGTCGAACGCTGACGTTGTCTTGGTGGATGCATTTCTCAAGAACATCACCCAAGGTATCGATTGGGACACGGGATACGAGGCTCTAATAAAAGACGCAGAGCATGAGCCGCCGGTATGGGATTACGAAGGCCGTGGAGGCTTGTATAGCTGGAAGAATCTCGGTTATATCCCAGCTGACGATTTCGACCCCTACGGAAACGGTCTATTCACTCGAAGTGTGTCTCGGACAGTAGAATACGCTTACAACGACTTCTGTATTGCCCAAGTATCGGAGGCCCTGGGCAAGCAAGAGGATTATGAGAAGTACATAGAACGATCTGGGAATTGGGTCAATTTATACAAGTCCGACCAGGAAGACAGGGGATTTACCGGCTTCCTCCAACCCAAATATCTAAACGGGACCTGGGGCTACCAGATTCCTAGCCTTTGCTCCCCCGTCACAGAGCTCCATTCGTGCTACCTCAACCCGGGCGGTCACGAAACATACGAAGGCAGCCCTTGGCTTTATACCTTCTTTGCACCTCACGACATGGCATCCTTAATCACCGCGCTCGGTGGTCCGGGCGCTTTCGTCGATCGACTTGACCACCTCCACGAGAGTGGGATCCTATACGTCGGCGACGAGCAGGCGTTCCTGACCTTATTCCAATACCACTATGCAGGCCGCCCGGGAAAGTCTACCGAGCGCGCTCACTTTTATATACCAAGCCAGTTTAATACATCAAGGGGCGGGATACCTGGTAACGACGACTCGGGTGCCATGGGCTCGTTCGCCGCCCTTGCGATGATGGGAATTTTCCCCAATCCTGGCCAGGATATCTACTTTATCACGGCCCCCTTCTTCCCGTCCTTCTCGATCACCAACAACTTGTCGGGCAAGAAGGCAACCGTCAAGACGGTCAACTTCGATACCGCGTACGAAAACATTTACATCCAGAGTGCGAAGCTGAACGGAGAGGATTACACCAAGAATTATCTCACGCACAACTTCTTTCTAGAAGGTGGCACTTTAGAGCTCACCCTGGGCGACAAGGAGAGCACGACGTGGGGCACGGGTGAAGACGACATACCACCCAGCATAAGTACGCCGAAGAGTTGAGCGCTGTGCCATATCCGATCTTACACTAGACAGCACAGCCTAAAAGAGCTTTTAATGCTAAAAGAGCTTTTGGGGTCTTTCTAAACTAGAAGGGCCAAGCCCCAACTAATGAAAATATAGTTTTTGCTTCTCGTTTTCCCGACAGGGTTGTACTAAGCTATACGCACGTTGACTAGGTCGAGGATTTTTAAACCTGACTTCTCACAACCCTCGAAGTTCCAATCTGCCACATTCCTGTCCTATGCTACTAATACCTGCTTTTCAATACGTTGTCATTATGTGCTAGATTGCGCTGCGGACATGGGCCTTTCCGCTCCGGTAAAGACCGTTGAGAATGGTAGCGCCCACATAGAGTATCTCTAATCTAACTACAAAGCTCGGCCGAGTGACCGAGGTTGTAGCGATTGAAAGCCGGAGAAACATAGGTACGTCGAGAATCTTTTGGCGTATGGGGTAGTTCTATTGTGAAGAGATATGTTAGCAAGATAACCCCCGCAGAACCGTTCCAGGTGAGGACGGACGGAAAACAGGCTACAACTCACCAATTTGTAGGTGATGTTATGTTTGCTACAACGTATTGTTATCCTTATTCCGGCGCCAAAGCCGCCTTTACCATTTTGAGCGTGGTAAGATGGCTGGGGGGGCACGCCGTCTGAACATCTGGAGACCTCCTTTCTCGACCCAGAGAATACAGCCGATCACGGCGAGGAGAATAACGACACCGATCATACTTAGACCGACAATCAAACCGGTCGACTGAGATGGGTCTGCCAAACGTTGCAACGGGTTCACTGTTGCCATCTGACCAGTGCTGGCAGGCAGTCCGGCTGCGCTGGCCACGCTGGCCGCACTGGTCAAGCTGGCGACGAAGATCGCGGGAGCCGTAGTGGCCGTAGTTGCTGCCATCGTCGGAGCCAGCGCGACGCTGTATACGGCGGCGGGGGTATATCGGGGCCCAGCGAGAGCAGTAGTGTTCGGGGCGAGTAGGTGGAGGAAAAGGGCCGCCGACCGGGGGATGTCGCTGAGCTCTGCGGGGAGCAGAGCGGTAACGGGGCAGCCGCCATCACAGGGGTTGTGCGCGCAGCAGCCCATGAACCGGGGATTCACATCGTCGCAGGTGTACCACGAGCCGTAGTGGTTCGGCGCGGAGCAGCGCTGCGCGGGCCCAGCGTAGGACGAGTAGCTCGCGGGGCGCAGGGCGGTCGCAGGACAGGCACCGCCGAGGCCGTGTCTGCCGGCGGCGCACGGGTGGACATCGCAGCAGCCGATGAAACGGACGGGACTCGAAGCGCAGATATAGAAGCTGCTACCCTCGGGGCAAGACAGGCCGTAGCGCTCCTGGGCCCCGTCATAAGACGGCATTTCGTCGGGATCGTTTGTCGAGCTTGGGATCGTAGCGAGAGTTGATTTTGTAAACAGAGCGGCTCGTGGGGCTAGCAGGAGGGATGGGAGGAGAGGAGAAGGATGGGAGAGCAAGGGAGAGGTGGCGAGATGAGAGGGGGTACAAGGAGAGAGGAGAGAAGAGAGGAAAGGACATGGCAGCAGGCTGGTTGGCGACAACAGGTTGTTGTTTGCTATTCCCATTGCGTGTGCGACCTGAAGGCTTCATTCTCTTCACTTTGAATGCGGAGGGATGTTTTTCTGGAGTTGAAATGGGAGTTGGATGCCCATTGAAGCTAGCCGGTTGCCATAGGAGGCGGAAACCTCCAACACCGGTTAGCCATATGGCTGGGCAGCTTATGCCATGCTCGCCATTTCAGAGGCATCAGATCTCCATGGGGCCCCGAGCTCTTGGAATTCCTATAAGTCACATCTCTTCTATAGTTTATATCTGGGTACTAATACAGAGAATGGTTGCCGTATCGACCTTGGCAAAGGTCATGATGTTAGGCGGTTGCTACGGTGTAGAGATCGAAGAGGGGACTGCCAGTACTCGAGCGGTAGCCTGCGACCTTACAATGACCGCCCAAGACCCGATGTCCCCTGGTGGGTTGGGATTTGAGGTGTCTGGAATTGACTATCCAATAGATATTACATGAACCACGAGGCTCAGCTGCTTCTTCTCTTCGCATTTTGGCCTGTGTAAGTGCATTACTGCCTAATAGCGCGAGTCTTTGGGTGGGTTAGGCAGGTAGGTATATGCCATAGGTAGGTATATCCGGTACTCAGGATGTTCATTGTCAAAGCCACCATCGGACCAGCGCTCATTATGCTGCTGAAAATACGAGGGAACTCGATCTGATGGGGGACCTCTGATATAGTTGGCATCGCCCGCGAGGAGATGAGTTGTCTTTGCGTAGAAGCCCTACGCGGCAAGCAGTATGGAGAGGAGGAAGTGGGTGAGGTCAACCGGATGGATTCGGGTGTGCTTGGATTCGAGGTACGGGTTGACCCGCCTGACTATCAGGTCACGGCAGCAATTAGGCCATGTCGCCGTCTTATCGCCTTCGACCTCAGTAGAGCGTTCTTGATGTCGAACGCCACCTGCTTTCGCTCCTTGTTCATGCCTGGCTGGGTTCGGTTAGTTGATATCTTAGAGCCTCTCACTATCCACGGCGTGGGTTCTGCGTGCGTACTGCTATGTATTACGTATGTGGCGGATTGGTGGCAGCGAATGAATAGCGGATCGACGCGAACGTGGCTTATCGATACCTAAGCCAAGGCCAGGATATTCCCCGACACCTCCACCACCATTATCGAATTAATGCACAGATCGACATAACTTATGGAGATTGCCGTACCTCAATTTATGCATGTACTACACGTACATGGTAGTACCTACCTACCTAGGTACCTACCTTACGTTCTAAGGTTAGGTAGTACCTATTACCCCCGCCAATCCGTGGCCCGATTCGTCAATGGGAGGGTTTCTATCTACGGAATAAGGTTCTCCTATCACCGTCGTCGGCGAGCCCTGCGACCCGCCTTTAGTGAACATCGGGGCGGGGTGACATTTAGTCCGACTGATTGCAGAGTCGGGCCAGCCAATCGGAGCATACATGTACACAGGGACCTAGTGTAGGTAGGTACCTAAGGTACTAGGGTACGCAAGCACCTAGTAGAAGGAACGTGACGTACCCACGTAGGTAGCGCCTACCTAGGTACCTACTTCTCCACGTACATAGTATGAGTACGTACATATAAACCATGGAAGTTGGTCCAGGAGGACGGCACATCAGCTGACCCCGTAGCCGCCCCAATGCGTTCCATTTCCCCAATCAGTTCGCAACAATGGATGACATTTCGTGAATCAATTTTGTGAATCAATCTGGGTACGGCAAAGCGCCCTGGAGCCGGTTTAGGTGCGCGAAGTCCAGATGCCCTCAGCCAGTCAGTACGGCCAGGCCGATTCGTACTAGCCGGTTACGACAACGACGGCGCGGTGAATTTGCATGCTCTAACAGTGTTTGCGCCCGAGACACGCAGACTGCTGGCGCAGACGGCGCTGAAAGGGCAAGTTCCGCACCAGTGTCGCCGCTCAATTAGCCATGCCGTCTTTTCCGGGGTCGGCTGTACTAGTGCTGCCTGCCACCATCGTCACCATCGCCATTACCCCTCGCTTCCACGATGGCAATGGTGGTGGTGACCGTCCAGAGATGTCGACGCACAACCTCGGATTTGACCGTACGAGCGAAGACATGCCCGTACGTGATTGGCTCATGCTGCGTCGATGGCAGGTGGGAAGAATCTCTGGACTCTATCGACGACAGACAGATACGTGTGGCTACCTAAACGAAAGCGAGATGCATCGATATTGTTGGGGGTTCCGATTATCCGTGCCGCGGTACCACGGTATCGGAACTCGGCGTGGATTGGATGAGGCCGTCTGGTCAGGGTAATTCGGCATGGCACCGAGGCGTGGCTTCGGGCGATTCAAACTGGTTAGAGAGTAGTAGGCGCCGCCTTGGGCTGTGAGCACGGGCTAGGTAACGGCTTTAAAGCATGCGAGCCTCTCATGATATGAGACACTCGAGCGCGAGCTACAAATCCGCAACCAGTCAGCTGCTAGGACCGGATAGCACATACACGTACACGAAGGCCAGTCAGCGCCTGCGGCACACGCATGTCCGTCTCACCTGTTCTTCCGCCTACATCCATAACTAACCCGTATGGCATATATAAACTCACTATCCCAAGTCCAGAACTCTCGTCCTCTCCGTTTAAGCCATCCCCCCGTCATTCGTCCACGCAACCACTTACCTACCACCCACTATTTGCTCAGCTACCCCTCCCTCAGATCTCATCCACATACACACGTACACCACCTGCATACACCACTTAACCTACTTACACCACGCAACACGCGTACGCTCAGCTCAAGCCACATCCTGCCTTCGGACCCATTCCTGCGTTCCTGACCGACTTTGCACGCTACCTCCCTCTCCCCGTTGCTTGTAGAGGGCACCGCGGTCGGCGGTTCAAAAATACCAGGAAATCCTCGATCCTCCTCGCATCGTTCCCTCGACCCCTCTCGCTCCGCAGGGTCGGCGCTGTTCGGAACACCGGCACTGAATACATAATCAGACTAACTTTCCGCAATTTCTGGGGCGGTTCGAGCGTGGGGTGCTGCCATTGTTCGCCAAGCAACTAGAAGAGGAAGAAAAAGGAGCGGAGCCCGGCAAGTATCTTGGCGCCAGGGCCAGCCTTAGATCTCAGTGTTGCTTTGAGGTGAGCCAGCAATTTTCAGTACACCCTCACTATCCCCAGCCCTTCGGCATTCGTCAGCTGCGGCGCAGTAGGGCGAGCTGTCATATATGTGTGGCAACAAAGCCGCCCGCTTCGCGCGCGCTGTACGCCCGTCTTTGGCCTGCGACTACGTCAAGTGGCACCGTCCAATCGAGCTGCCAACGTGCTGGCTGATGAGACTTGTCGCCAAGTGGGTGCGTAAAGGGGGCCAGGGGTGGCGGCTAGAACGGGGCCAGGCCAGGGCGTGATAATGATAGTCGTCATCGCTTTGGGAAGGAAAGCTTCAACAAATGTCCCACCCCGTCTCATCCACTTCCATTTTACCACCCTCATAAGGGGCTCATGCTTTTCTTCCCCCCTCCCCAACCATTTTTGTTTTGGTTCGTTTTTCATCCTCTCCTACTACCTCGCCGTCTCCATACCCTGCTGTTCGCTACCTCACGAAAACGAGACTCGACGGAGCGAGGCGAGGACGGCCTCCTACAACCCTCCGTCCCCTTTTCTGCATATATTCCCCGACGCCGTTACCCTAGGCAGCCACCTCTACCCAGCGTGCCGCAACAACTCTGCACTGCCATCGATTAGTGCTAAGGTATTGCAGAAACTCCTCTCCTACGATGTCGACCCACAGCGGCAAGCGGCCGGCGAGCCGTAACTATGACACCGGCTTTCCGGACGCGTTCGCCGAATACACCACATCCCTACGTCATCCCGAGGCCAATACCAACCCGGGAGCCTGCATTTCGGCAGAGGATGTCGACCCGTCGAGAACATTACAACGGACCCGGCGGTCATTCCTAGCCAAGAAGAAGAAGAAGTACTTGAGTCACGGCGTGATCACTCAGCTTCCAAACCTGACATCATCCAACACCTCCATATCGGTTCTGCCTGGATCCGACAGTGCGGTGGATGTGGGGACCATCAAGCGCACAGGCACGAGCGGGAGCATCGGGCGCTCGTCCAAAGACGGCGCTGAGAGCCTCGGGCTATCCAGCAACGGAGGTTCCTCGCCTTCCTCCCCCACCACTCCAGACGACGACGACCTCCACGGCGAGACACGAAGGGGTCCCAAATTGTTCCGAAAATGGCTAAGCCAGAAGGATTAAAGAGAGTCAAAGGTTGAGACGGCCTCTCGGTGTAGGGGAGAGCCTCCGGACGCTAGCTCGATCTATACCATACGGAAGCTCTGGCATCCGATATCTGGATTTTGGTCGGAGATTTCCTTCACACTCCACACCTCCCTTTCTCTTGTTAGCGTGGAGTTGGCAAAAAAAAAAAAAAGCCATTCTGTTATTCGTCAGGCGTTAGAGAGGTTATGGGCAAGCGATAGGAGGCAGCATTTAGGCGGGCAGGCAGACTACGGGTTTATTTTGACGCTATCTATTTCGCGGCATTTTTCTAATACATACTTAATTGTGCACTTATGTCTCTGCCAATTTATCGCTCCCTATACCGCAGAGGTGCACTCTAAATTGCGGAAACGAGGCCATACTAGTGGCTCAATGGCAGCCAAGAGGTGTCTCTCGTTTTCGCAAGCCTACCTATCAGTACTCTCTCCCTTCCCCTCTCCCATCTCATTCCACGATCACGTCCCTACAGAAATAATCCGTAAGTAGGACCCCCTCCTCTTTGGGCTCTATCAGGAGACTGATTCCCTCGCAGTCTGACGAGCTACTCCTAGACACGTCCGCAAGACGTAACCACAAATAAGTCAACGAGGCTTTTCACAATCTCGCTACACACAGAACCGGAGGTGCGGCTACCGGCTGTGGCTCTGGAAAGAATATGAAGCTCCTCGCACCTTCTATCCTTCTGAATATGAGACGAAACGGGCGTCGGAATTCGCCTCGGTGGCTAGCCCGTTCGAGTCATCGTTGGGTTTCGTTCGTGTCGAAGCACGCTTACACTCCGCCACCGAACCCCCGGGATCCCACTATAAGGGAGGGCAGTAACGACGGGGACGACGATGGACGCGAACATAATCGCCCCCCTGCAAAGATGCTAGCGCCGCGGCGATGGCTACGCTGACGAGCTCGTCTAGGACGATGGAACTGGCGGAATAAACCGTTGCCGGGTTTTGGAAAGGATATCTATTGCGATTCGCGACACGAGCGAGGCCTCGGCGGCCGATTCGGCAAGGAATGGACAGCGAAAGTGGGCTGCACTTATAGCGCGGTATACCGCTGGAAAGGCTTACTTACTAGGTAGTTGGTACGCCAAACACGACATACGGACACATCGGCCCATCGCACGGAGGCGCCCCTGCTCGCTCAGTGGCACAAGGGATTGGGACGTCCTTAGTCATCTACCGAACTTCCTTCGCCTCCGTTGGGTCGGTGGCAGCAGAAATGGGAGCAACGGCATTGACCTCCCCGAACATACGCCTCGAATGGTCGTGTGTACACGCCCGCCGGCTCGTCTACTTATCCCTATGAACAGATGCGTGCCCACGTTGCCGCCCGCATGCTTCCCCCTTTTCCTCTCGTTCTCATCCGTGCCCCGAAGCCTTCGGTACTGCCCTCGACATGTACCAGGCTCCACTACACAGCTGGCTACTAAAGCTGCAGCGCGGCTTCGGCCTAGTGTATCTGGTGGTAAAGGGTCTACTGCAGGATTTCGGGCGATATCATCGTCCGTGCCTGCAGGCTCGAAGGCCTCGTACCACAGCTCTAAGTGCTCGGGTACTTCAACGTCAACGGAGGTTGACAACCTCCGGGGTGGATGTATGGCGCCGCTGCACGGCGACAGCTGCCGTAACATCACGGACCCGGCATAGACTCGAGTGCCCGCTACTTCAACGTGGCCATCATCTTAGGACAGGTTTCTGGAAGGTCGTGTGTCGCTACTGTCTTACATGATATTCTGCGCATGTAAAATCCTCATAGCGACCAACGCCCCTACTCTCCAGTGAATCGAGTTAAGCAGAGTGGAGTATTAATTAGGTACTTGTTCATTATCCAAATCACAGGTGAGCAGGGACTTAAGTTCTCTCACATATACTTCACAAGCGACTAATACAAGACGAATGGTAAAATTGGGGGGTATCATTAAATCAGGACGCGGTTTGCATAGGTACATGAAACGACTCTGTTTCCCTAGGTTACCCTAAAGCTTCCGAGAAAGGTAGCAGGATAAGTGCCCTAGATCCGCAGTATATGCGTCGTCTGAGTTCCACAAGGCTCTAGATAATGGAGTAAAACCATGATGTTGCTCCCGACCACATTGCATCTCAGAACAATATACCCAGCTCGACACTGTCTGAGGTGAGCTGTGCAGTTGTGCGATGTTGAAGGCACGTTGACGCAAGTCGTTACTGGTGGCTCAATAAGTTAGTGATTGCCTGGTAGATAGGTGCGCGAGCTAACAGAAGTTGACGTTGTAACATCTGTCCGCGTATCTTGTTCACTGCCTTCTTCACTTGCATGAATGATGATGATGTTTTCCGGACCGTAGGGACGGGAAGGCTTGTGGTGAACAGAGTCTTCGACAGGGGAGCCTACTCGGGATCTCTCTTCTCCGTTGCATGATACACGCGGCGTCGACAGATTCCAAATGGCCTGAGAGCGAGGTCCACCCATGCCGTCGGGGTTGAAATTTCCGGACCCAGTGCTGCCGCTACCAGATTGGTGCTCGAGCAAGGTTTCGCAGAGGAACCGGAATTCGGATTCGACAGCAAATCTCAACAGCTCGCCCAAGGTTATGGGCTGCTTTGCCTCCGAGTATAATGTGGCAGGGAAGGATCCGATCTGGCTGGCCAAGCTGTCGGATAGGTGGCGTGCGAACGTGTAAATTAATCTGGTCATGTTGCTATAGGGCCCTTCCTGGCGGACACGGGTCATAGTGGCCGCAAGAACCGTAGTACGGAACGAGGCATAGGCGGGCCAGAAGTCTTCTAAGGTGGCAGATGTGGCAGACATTTTGAAGGCGGTAGGCCGAAGGTCGGTAATAAGAGCGGCCGGGTTGGACAAGTATAGGAGCCGCAGTTGATGTAATGAAGAAGGGGAGTCTCCGGAATGGAACTACCTAAGGTAAGAGGTAGAGGGTGAATTATTGTATTAGGTACCTAAGGTAGTGTCGTATGTGATGTCAGATGCTAGGAGGTATTAGGTGGTGAAGAAGAGTGAGAGGGATAGAGAGAGAGAGGTGATAGAAGGGAAGAAGAGAAAGAAGAGGAGGGAAGGGAAAACGAGGAGAAGAGATATTCGCGTCTGGGGTTTCTAGGGAAACATGGACGGGTATCTGGCACCTTCCACTGTTAGTAGACATGTTCATGGGGAGGCAACGACTTCCTTTAGTTACTTACCAAAGAGAAGCAGGCGCAGACAGACGTAGGTATATTGTCTCGCTTATGGGAATAAGCACGGAGATATCGCCTACCTTAGGCACACACACACACACATATATTTACTGAATAGAGCTGCTTTCCCTCCTCACTCCCACGTATCCAATAAACCCATCCAGACACTCTCTATCGTCACAGCAAACACGCACACACCCAAGGCATCCCGCGAATAGAGAAATCCATACAAATTCGTCTAGGTTCGAGTCCAGAGACATGGGACGGGCCTCGAGAATCAGCTCCCCCAAAAAGTAATCACGTCTATGCCCCCTACACGACACGTTGTGTTACGTCCACTACCCACTCCTGGTTTTTCTCGGTGGGAGTATTAAAATCAAAGAGTCGTGGGAGACTTTTATAAAAGAACGACAGTGTTTCAGTTTAGCAAGCAAGGCGTCGCCTCGATATTCCCAGCAGATGAGCCCCGTCTACTCTTTAAAGCGAGGAGGTCTACACCAGCCAGCCGCTCTCCTTCTCGAAGACCTGTCCCCAGCTCTCGCCGTCCGACCGCACGAACGCCTTAACGTCCTCGACGTCATCCGCGCCGAAGTTGCCGTACAGGTGCGGGCACCCCTCGACCTCCCACGTCGTAGCCGGGTGGAATTTGGGCGCGAAGCGGATCTTGAGCACCCATATGCTCGCGGCCTCCTTGAAGAAGAGGCCGGACGTTATCGGGATCTGTGGCGGGCGTGAGCACGGCGGGAATAATACCACGCGGCCCGACAGCGGCGCTGCCCCCACTCGGCATCTTTCTTACCTGCCTTCCCACGCTCAGGTGGACGAACCCGTCTTTCTGGTCGAGCTCCGAGAGCGGATATTCCGCCGGGATGGGTGCCGGGGGCGCCGAGGGCACGATCTTATAAACGAAATCGGGTAGAGGCGAGGGGGCCATGGCCGACGTTTGCGGGTTGTTACGATATTACTCTAATCTAGGCGACTTACTACAGAAGCCAATATCTGTATGAGGGAAAAACCGGATTTTGCTCTATTTTGAGTCTAGAGGTATATGCCGCACTAAAAGGAGATGTTAAATTTCAATGTAACCCCCTCCCCGCTGCCTTCATAATGTAAGACACTAGTTAAAAATATTAAAATATATCATATATAATCTTTATTTTATAGCTTTTATAATTAAGGATATTACTTATTTTAAACGTGTAGTTACTTTCTTCTAGTTTATACAAATTTTAAAAGGCTTCTTTAAGACTTCCTCATTAGTCAATCACGTGACATGACCCAGCCCTTGTAACTTCTCTAGTGATTTCCAGATAAACATTACCTAACATAAAACAATCCTAGTCTAAGAACTCTTGTACACACTTCGTTCCTTCAGATTTCCTGTTTCACATTATATTTTCATAGTCCACGGTAAGAGTTATAAGCCAGAATCATATATCTAACATATCTCGGTTTCGCTGACCTTTAGGACAGATCTCGGAGCGAGGATGGCGTGTACAGGGGAATGCCTTTTCTTTTCCGACCAATTCGCCATCAGCTGTGGTACCGCAACAATAGATGTCAAGAGGTCGAAAGTTCTGCTCATACGCTGGCGGAGAACTGGCGAATACATGCTTCCCAAGGGCCGTAAAGACCTCAACGAAACGCTTGAACAAACGGCGAAACGAGAAACGTTCGAGGAGACCGGAATACGAGTCGAATTACTCCCTGTGGATATCAAAACCCTAGCCACTATTCCTTCCTCTAGTAATATAGAGGTTGCAGGCCGCCCGAAAGCCGTCATCGAGCCCATCGCTGTTGCCCAACGCCTTGCGCAGGGAGTCCTTAAAATCATCTTTTGGTATGTTGCTACAGCAGACTCTACTACGATCCGGCAAGAGGGAACACAGCAGGAGAACGAGGAGTTCGATACTATATGGACGGATTTTAACGATGTTACCTCAACCTTGTCTTTTGACGACGATCGACGCATTGCTCAAGCAGCTATTTCTGCAGTTCGCAGAGGGGTCGTGGCAGCTTCCTGATGGATAGGGCAACTACTGCAATTCGTACCCAATTCATTATCCCGGGTAATCAGGCAGTCCGTATATCCGAAGGACGTTGCCGAATGCCAATGCGAATGCCAGTGCGAGCGGCGTCCTTCCCTGCGTAATAAACGCGGCCGTCATAACATAGTCAGGGTGCTGCTAGATCACGTGTGCGGTTTCCTTATAGCACCCGCGTAACGCTTGACCGCATTACCGTCTCAAACTGAATCCTTTTCTATAGGTAGGAAACGTCCCTCTAACGAATGAACAACACCGAGCTTCCTAAACTCCTGCTAGTTAATGTCATTGGTGAGGAGTGCGCGGATTTTCCATTGTAGAACCCATCTCTTGTCTTTATGCTTCGCACGGAGGTCTTCATACTCCACAAGTTGGCCCTCAAATCCTGCACATCCAGTATCCCAGCCAGTAATGCGCAGGCACCAATTGCGGAATTCCAATACCACTGTAAACTAGTAGCCTTTCCCTTCTGGCTGTCTGTACTCAGACCGGTGATCCGGAGCCAGTCCCACCTGGCGGCCCCAGATGACACCCCCTAGTTTCGCTAGTAATAACACTAGGATCCTAAAGAAAATTTCTTAGCGTTCGATGTTGAAAAGATGCAGGACATTTGCAGTGTGAACGAATTAGAGCTTATAGATCGAATCACCGTATTCGTCAGCAAACTTAGGGTGCAACATGTGTGCCTGACGAAACTGAAGTTCCAGGGGGAATAATTTTGGCTCTCATTACGAAGAGCCCGCCCGATGCTAAAGAAACCTGTAGACCAGATCATTAAAAATAAGGACAGCAGAATCTGCGTTGTGGAACCTTACGACTCTTAATGTCTAATCCTATAATGCACTATTCATATATTGTCAATAAACCCTCTCCAAAACGTGCTGAGGGTCATACCTCCAGTGGATAACCGTCTATTGACTAATAAGCTCGCTGGTTGTGCCGATCCCGCAATGCTGCTATAAGCGAAGTGTTAGTCGATACGTGATTCTGCAAAGGTGCTCTGCCGTATGCAAGTATAAGGAGCAACCTGTAACTGCCAGCAACCGGTATCGTATAAGCATTCCGTAGGCGTACGTGCCTTCATCCCAAGGCGCCGCGCATGTCCGATGCGTTGCAGTATTGTGCCTTCACCCTCGTCTCTGGTTTGTGAGAAATGCCGATGAAGCCCGAATGTCTCTCACCCGCCCGCTTCAAGAAGACTTCGTTTGGTTGAAGGCTAGCGGATAGAGCAAATGACACGAGATCTAGAAGATGGTAAGCATAGTTGAACTAAGTCGAAAGACTTCTAAATAATTAGATAATTTTAATTCTTAAAAATAATCTTTATCGAGTTACTAACGTCTTAACTATTCGAGGATTTATAATCCAAGTTTTCTACTTCGTTTAACTCTATAACTTAATATTCGTTTTGCGTAGTTCGCTTTACTCGCTCCTATTTAATACTATACCATCACGTAGAGGTTGCTCCTCTTCATCACTTACCTCAGCAATAGGAGCTCCTCTATAAGCAGCTCCCGTTGCTTCCATTCCTTCAGTTGGTTCTTAGACAGAACAAGACCTTTTTCTCCTCCGTTGCTTCTCCCTTCGTTGCTCGTGAGATAGCTCCTCGCGCGTGCTCACGCACTCCCACACGTAGCTCTCCAGATCTACGTGATTATATACCTAACGGCGGAATTCTTTTACCTTTAGAATCGAGTTATTCTCTATACGGGAAATACTTATGATTAATAAGCTCTTCTATAATAAAGAAACTCCCGGCAGGACGGAATCCCACTCTTGCTAACCGGCGTACGCGACCCAGCAGTCATCGGCCAGCCTAGAATAGGGGTTCGGCCGTGCGGGGGCATCGCCCAGAGCAACCGGTACTGCTGCGACGACGGCTTCTTCCACGGGCATCGGCTCGTTCGCGTGCTGCCGCAACGAGTCAGACGTCTTTACGCACGGCGACATGGACGCCTTACCGCCGGTGGTCGACGCGCTGGGCGTCGACGACGCCTTGGCAACGCCCTCGTCTTCGCCTGTCGCCGCGACTACGCGGACGACATCGTCTGCGCCTACCAGCGCGGCGTCGCCGACCGCGGAAACCAGCAGCAGCGCAAACGCAGCCCCAGCCGCAAAGCGAGAACGCCGGGAGCTCCGCCGCTGACGACCGCGCCTTATCGACGGGGCTGGGCTGCCGGCCGCGGCGGCCGTGCTCGGCGCCGTGTGGTGGGCGATCTGGCGCGCGACGCAGAGGCGCAGCCAGGTGCCCGACAACTAGGGGGCACCGCAGAATTGGTCCAGCTACGTCTCCACCACTGACGACTACACGTCGCCTTGTCCCACCTCAAACCAGGAGCAGTACCACCAATACGCGATGAGCCACAACTATCTACCTAGAGAGCTGTCGGCGGGCTACGAGAAGATAGAGCTCGTCACGTCGCCGGTCGCAGCGCGCGATGGCTCAGCGCGCCTCTGAGTTTCGACTCCCCCGAGACTTGGCTCGCATGCCTGGCGGTGCTGTCGGTACTGCTGGATGGGGTGTGTGTGGTTGGCTCTGGCGGAGAGAGCCTATCTGTGATTCATAATTCGAGGTCATCAGGGCTTCGCCGAGCACCGTACGGGACAAGTTCCACGGAAAAGTTGCCTTTGCGCCAGGCGCCACGTCTCTTTTGATGCCGGCCTTTGGATTATACCTACCGTCTGCTAAGGTGCGGCCGAGATGCGCGATTTAAAACCGGACGGATATGGGCTTCCGTAATAGGAGGGCCGGTTCGCTATATTTAGCTACTGCGGCTACTAGTTAATGCTGTGTCTGTCCATGACAATTGCCGGCCATCTACGTAACTTGCTGATGCGTGGCTCAACTGAGGCTTCACAACTTTCTAATATATATCAACTTGGACAACTCCTTCGCCGGATCGCACCCTGGTAGATAGGTAACTACCTATCTGAAGCAGGGTCATGGGGCGCGAGCAAATTGCTCGGGGGGCAGAGGGGGAGCTGCTGCTGCTGATCAATCGCTCCTATGCAGGCCTTCTCAGCGACACTTACGATATGGTCTGATAGATATATTTGGGCGCCCGTCACGGATTTGGGAATGGATTGGATGTGAGAACTGACAGTCATTTATTACCACCCACCCATCCACCCTCTCCAGGTCTCAGGAAGGCCTCCGCTGCTACGACTTTGATTGGGTGTTCTACAGCACCTCCACTAGAGCTGAAGCGAGACCTCTAGTTTATGTGTGATTCGCGTACCTCGTCTGTGTGCGGATCGGCAAACCAGACCTTGATACGGCACGAGGCTTGGCGCTGAAACTGGAGGTTGAACCTCATCGGTTAGAGAACCTGCAGATTCCAGGCGCAAGGCCTAGGGGACACAGTGTAAGGAACGCATGGCTGCAGTCTGTGCATAATACATGCCTACGTATTTGGTGATGGTGACCAAGATTGGTGTCGCAAGGAGGCGGCTGACGTGATATAGGGGCAGGGCAGCGGGAGGATAACAGGGGTGTGAGTTGGGGTCGGAAATATAATGGCATGGTGATATACTTGGCTATACCTATCCATCTACCTACCGACAAGAAGTCACGAGAGTTGAGTCATGTCGCCGCGTTGCTTTAGCACGTACTCGATCTTCTTCTCTCGATCTCGGCAAGGTAGAATTCTGTCTTCGGGGCTGTCCATATACCTACCTCGTACCCCTCTTTCCATCCTCTAGAATTGTCTCGTGCGAGGGGGTATTACAGGAGCCTTGCCGCCACATGCCCGACGACAAAGTGAGGGCAACTCGCTCATGGAGGTCATAGGCTCGGTAGCCTCTCTCTTGCAGCTAATCAGCTGCACGGCCAAGATTGTCAACTACTGCATCGACGTCAAAAATGCCCCGCAAAAGATCGACGAGCTCGGCCGGACATCGAGCATGCTGCTCCCGCTGCTGTACCAAGTCAAGGACGCCATGCTGCGGCGCGGCGCCGACGCCGGCGGCTCTGCGCCTCACGGGAATGCTCCGGGTCCCGGAGACCTCATCCGAGAGCTGGAGGAGTGCATGGTCGACATCTCTCAGAGATTCGAAAAATCCCGGTCCAAGGGCCTCTTAGCGCGAGCCAAGTTTATACAGATGGAGAAGGATATACAGAAAACCATCGATACGGCAGCGCGTACGAACAGCTTTCTGAACTCGTGGCTCTCGCTAGATATCAAGCAGACGACCGAGGCTATCGATGACGGTGTCAGGGCCCTCAACAGCCGCGCGGAACAGGAACAGCTCGCCGGCAAGATGGACCGCATAATACAGCACTACGCTCCCGTCAGCTTTTCAGAGAAGCACGGCACTGTCCTTCAAGAGAGGCAGCACGGCACCGGCCAGTGGTTCCTCGACTCTCCGGAATTCCAGAGCTGGCTACAGTCTGACGGCGCGACCATGTGGTGTACCGGGGCGCCAGGCGCCGGCAAGACCGTCATGGCCTCGGCCGTTATCGAGTACCTCCTGGAGAAAGCGCGCGGGACGAGCTCGTTTGGCGTCGCGTATCTCTACTTCGATTACCGCCAGCGCCACGATCAGAAAGCGTGGATCCTGCTCGGGAACCTTTGGGCGCAGATGTTCCGTCGCCGGGGACCCTCCGCGACCGAGATCGATCAGACCTTTGGAGAAGTGTTGGCCCGCCACGAGTCGTCGCCAAGCAGCAATCAGATAGTGAATATGATACGAGACGAATTAGCCAGCGGGAGTCTCGAGCGTTTCTACGTCGTGATCGACGCTCTCGACGAATGTGGCGACGAAAGCGAGAGGAACGTCTTTCTAGACAGACTGCAAAGCTTACAGCCCCCGATCAACGTGCTGATCACCTCCCGGACCAAGCATCTTGACGATTGCGGGCTTGCCGACGTGCGAGCTTTTGACTTTGCGCCCACCACCGAAGACATGAGCACCTACATCAACGCGAGGATACGCGAAAACAAAAAGCTGTGGAGCTACGTGGGCCGGAGACCAGAACTGGAAGAGGATATCCGTCGTATTATCATCGAGAGAGCTAACGGAATGTGAGTTCGTCATAGTATTGACTATCCAGGGCCTAGCGCTGACACCGTTGATCAGGTTTCTCCTTTGCAGGATGCATCTGGATTCTATAAGCAAAGCGATCACTCTAAAAGGTTTGAAGGACGAGCTCCGCCACATTCCGCGTGGTGAGAACGTCCTCAAGGAAACCTATGACCGCGCCGTAGAACGGATTCGGGACCAGGGCGGAATGATAGAGTCCTTCGCGTTGGGGGTGATCCGCTGGGTTTGCTCCGCGAGGCGACCCCTTAAATTGGCCGAGCTCCTGTGTGCCCTCGCCGTCGAGCCCGGGGACGAAGGGTTGGACGAAGACGCCCTCGCTGACGAAAACGACATCACTAACTATTGTGCCGGGCTGGTGGTTGTCGAGGGAGAGAGCAAGACCGTGAGATTCGTCCACTACACGACCCAAGAGTACTTCAATTCGTTGCGAGAAACGGACGAATTCGTCCATAGCCATGGCGACATAGCCCGAATTTGTACCACGGTGCTAGGGTTCAAGGAACTGACCATCCCGGCAGGTGGCCAACTAGCCCAGATCTGGTCTTCGTCGGAAGAGATGCCCTTTTTCACGTACGCGGCCCTGAATTTTGGGTATCACTTTCGCCAAGAGTTGCGCGCCCAGGATTTGCACGGCGACGACGAGTCTTTGCAGGATACCACGGATATGCTCCATGCTCTCCTAAATAACCCACAGCATGTCCAGCGCGTAGCGACCGCGATCCTCTTGAACATACATGGGAGAATACCAGGGTTCATGCAAGACCCCAATACCCGCAAACACATCACCCTGAATGCCACAGCGATACATATAGCTGCGTTCTTCAATGTTCTCCGGCATAATTCGGAGGGCCGCCCATTCGGGGTAAACCTCGAGTGGTTGGTGGAGAATGAAGGGAAGGTTGCGGACTATCAAAAGCCAATGTTCGGGAACGCCCTTCACTGGGCTTGCCTCGACAACTCTGTTGAATCTATCCAGATTCTTCTGAGCAGCCCAGCGATCGAGCTCGACGCCCATTTGCCAATAGCGGGTCCCGTGGGCTGGACGCCATCGTTCGTCTCGGTCGCCTACGGATCCCTCGGTACCCTGCAGGCGCTGTTGGACTACGGAGTTAACATTTATCAACCTCTTCAAAACGAATATCGCGGAACCCTTCTCCAGGCTGCTATCGAATGGGCTCACACTACCAAGGGGCCGAGCAAGACAGCATCGATAGACGCGATCATGAAACGGGACGCAATCAGCCGTCTACTTGTCCAGACCGACGTTTACGCGAACACGGCACTCATGGAGGCTGTGCGGACCGCCGATTATAGCGTGTTTGAATGCGTGATGGGATATTACGAGAACGCTCCATGGCCACCTCAGTTGAAGCATCAGGCAATCTTAGCATCCGATTGTGAAGGGAGGACGGCCCTGCACTGGGTTCTCTCGGACTCGTCTCTGAGATTTAAAAATCCGGATAGATCCACGGTGTCTGGCCCGCTTCGGATGCTAGAAGCGCTTTTAGATACCCCTTTCGCCAATAGCCTCCTACAACGGCGTGATAGGAAGCGCGACACCCCATTTGAGGGGGCGATCCGCCTGAAGCATATCCAGGCCGTCGAAACGATCTTTGAGAAACACAAGCAGCATGGATTTACCGATTTTTATCCATCCCAGTTAGAGTCCGGCTTGAACCTGGCTGCTCGGGTTGCCGATACCCCTATGATCGAAACCTTGTTGAGCAAACTCAACTACGAGCTTCCCAAGCGCCCCAACGAGGAAACAGTTTTGCACCACGCCGCCGGCGGCAATAGGCCCGAGAACATGGAATTTATCCTGCAGAAACTCGCTGGTTTTCATTTGTACAATGTCCCAGGGCCTGAGGGGAACTCGCCCCTTCATTATGCGGCGGCTAGCGGCAACCTAGATGCGCTGACGGCTCTATTAGGCCAGGAGGGAATCGACGTGAACTTGCGTAATGATTGCGGACAAACCGCCTTGCACGTGGCCACGAGCAAAAACTTGGTGGACGCATGCTCGACTCTTTTAAAGGCCGGGGCCGATATCAATGCGCGAGACGACGATGGAGTTGTTGCGGCCATAGTAGCCATCGAAAACCGATATCCGGAGGTTCTAGCCGTCATGATTCACTATCCCCTCGCTAAATTCGGCGATGATGACCTTGACGCCGACGACATCGCGTGGCTAGAGCAGCAACCTTGGGGGCACGACTTGCTTAGCAAACCTAGCCCTTCGTCAAAGTTAACCACAAGGCCCGAGTATTGGCCGAGGGGGGAGGAAGACATCGTGGAGGCAGCCTTGTGTCTAAAGCGGAAGCTGGGGGGACAGACATCGCGGCAGGGCTACAGCTCTGCCTATCTCACATCTCTCATTCTCGATATGGCGGAATATTGGGTCCGATCAAGCAGCGTCAGAATCAGCCTCAAAGAGGATGGCGAGGTCAGGAGATGGGGGGATCCGCCGACGCCGTATCTGATGAGCAGGGCGATCGTGGGGCGATTGGCCAGGCCGGTGCGTCGGGTGGTGTTTGAGATCACCGGTCACGACCAAGGCTACTGTTCCGATCCCAGCCGGGGGGTGACTTGGACCTGGTTCACGGCGGACGTCCATCGGCGGGAGAATTCGGTGTTAAACCAGGAGCTGTCCGGCCCGCAGGACCAAGGGGGCGCCAACCGAGAGATCTATCTCGTGCACAACCGCGGCGCGAATTGGCAGTGGCACACGCACAAGTTGTCGTGGAACCTGATGGACATGACGGCGGCGGACGCCGAGCGCGGCGTCTGGATCCGAGGGCTGACGCTGGGGGACCGAATCGTCATCTTGGCGCACGCTCGGTATCCGGGCTGGGAGAACTGGGTGCAGCGGGCCAAGATCGACGTTTTCACGACATGCCTCAAGAGCCAAGGCGAATACGTGCGCGACGTCTTCTAGGAGGGATCCGGCCGGTCTCGGGTGGAAAATGCGGCGTGGCGCGGGTGCCTATAGGTACGGAGATGGTGGGCGGGCGTTGTGGGTAGAGCTGCCAGCAGATTTGGCGGTTTTACCGCGGTGGAAGGGATATTCAGGTTGACGTGGCCGTGATAGGAGTTGACGAGATACCACCAAGAGGGCACTACATGGGTGCGTGCAGAATGTGCAGATATGTACCTATCTAGTAGGTCATATGTAAAAAGCGGGCAACGATAGCATAAAAACTACCTAAGGCACCAAAATGGATGCCCCAGGCATCAAGGACCCACCCGGGGTTTCTGCCCGCGCAGACCGCCCCACGAACCAGTATAAAAGTCTGCCTCCCCTCCCGATCTTTTCAAAATTTTCTTCCCTTTCTTCTCCAGCTCTCTTTGCCTTTTGGCTTAGATCAAGTGTAGTATCTGTTCTTTTCAGTTTAATCTCTGAAAGAGTTCTACTTGAACTCAATCGTGATTATTCTAATTTTTGCCCCGAGGGGGCGCGTCTTCTGGGCTTGCCCATGATCGCTCCCACCGTGTCCCTGGTATTACACTGCCTCCAGGCGACGCGAACCCCCCTGTTGGGATTTTTCATTGCGGTCTCCAGCTTGACTAGGGACGTAAAGAAGAATCGGTGTCGGGAAGGACGTGGCTTTGGTAGTGTCTGGGAATCGGTGGCCGGCAGTACGCGCAACGGCCTGGGAGTAGCTTGGGAGTAAGGGGAGAGGGAGAGGAGGCGTAACAATTATATCCGTCGCCGTCTTCGCCCAAAATACGTGTCGTTCGTGATAAGTCATGGCATTGAGGAGAGACATTTCAGCCCAACCTGTTCTGAGCTACTATTCGTTGTGCAAACCCAGCCTAGAGAGCATTCCAAGAGGTGGGAAAGAACTAGGTGGTGATCTTAGAATTACGCGTTGCGCTCGCATTTCCTCCGCCCGTGACGGACGGCAATCCAATCTGAAATTTTCAATCCATCAACGCCTCGCAATTTACCCACCCACCCATCTACGTACTCGAGATGGCGAGCGATGGCCCCTCCAACGCGATAGACCCTTCTATCTTCGAGTACCTCAAGGCGCATGGCGAGGAGGAGCTCCAGGTGGGCGACCGGCTGCACCAGCTCACCTCCGCCCTCAACCGACAGGTCTCGGTCTGCCAAGGCCTGCTCAGCCGCATCCACTCGACGCCCAGCTCCAAGCGTGCGTGGAACACACAGGATATCGCTGTTCTGAGGCCGCTCTGCGTGTTGCTAATGCGTGTGTCACAGTGCCGCCGCTTCTGAAGCAGGTCGAGGACGATGGCATCAAGCCCGAGATCGACACCGTGGGCGAACTGGCCCAGTTCGCCTCCCAGTACCCTTACTACAAGTAGGTGCCTAGCCACCTCACCGCCCTGCCCTTTGCATGCCCGCGGGGCTGCTGACCGAGCCAATAAGGTATAACGGCAGATGGTCTCGTACCGTCCAGAGCGTCGTCGGCACCATCTTGCTGACCGCCTGGCTGGGTGGCTTGGGTACCGACTCCAACCCGGGCGAGATCGGCCGCCTGCTCACTATCGAGGAGGTCGGGGAGATCTTACGAGGTATGTATGGTCCAGGCCCCCCCTCCTTCCCCCCCTCCTCCGAATAACGTGGATACATTCGGTATTAATACGATCTCATTGTCGTCTAGTGCCTACCAACCTCAAGGACGGAGACGCCTTCCACATCACCATCGAGGAATACATCCTAGCCCTGACCGACATCACGGAGGAGCTGAGCCGCCTGGCGATGAACTCGGTGACGTTGGGCGACGTGGACCTGACGGTCCGGATTAGCGGCTTCATCAAGGACCTGTTTGCTGGCTTCCAGCTGCTCAACCTCAAGAACGACATCGTCCGGAAGCGCGTCGATGCCGTCAAGTACCACGTCAAGAAGGTCGAGGACGTTATCTACGACCTATCGCTACGGAACCTGATCTCCAAGCCCGAGCCGAGCTCGTGATCTACCTGTAGTCGTGGCGGGCCTCCTCATTCTCAGCCGGTTGGCATAGCTAGGTGAGGAGATGGTGGGGCATTGAGCATTGCGTTTGCATTATGGCGCCCACATAATCTGTGTTTGTAGCGATGGCATATCCTCCGACTCACAATTCCGAATAGCCAAAAATTGCGTTTTCGATAGCATTATTCTCTACCTACCTGCCTAGCTATTAGCTACAGACCTACCTACCCTAGACAATGAATGACCTAGTATGGTACCTATCGCAATGTGAGGTTTGTGCCTTGACCGCAAGTGGCGTCCACCTAGGTATGTACATAAGGCATATAGAAAGATATGCATGTATCCGGAACTTCTGATAAGCATGCCTTATCGATAAGCACTCTGCGTGGCCTCAATTGAAGCTTCTAACTGGAAGCGCGTCGGCGCGGCGCGGGAATTAACACCTTAGTATTGTGCTAAACCAACTACAACAACATCCATCCACACATCCGCCCCTTACACCCAGATACAGCGTACCGGGATGGCAAGTTCACCAGCTGGTGCCACCGCTCGTCTTTTCACAGTCATTCGCCCTCTGGCATATCATCTGCTCATTCTCTCCTAACCCTGCCTCTCCACTCGAAAGAAGGCAACGAAAGCCACTGCCTTTTTCATTGGCTATCAATCTCGATGGTCCTCTATTCCTTGGTGGTTTCTCTCTAGCCGCAAATCCTAACCGTCGTCTACTCTTTTTTTTTCTGCTTTTCTTTTCTTCTTAGGGTGAGAACTGGCCCTGGCACTCCCGGGACGATCCCGGCGAACCCAGTGACGATGTCGCCCTCGACGCAGAATGCCGACGCGGGCCCAGCCGTGAAAGCGAAGGAGGACGAGGTCGCGACGCCGGCCGTCCGCATCCTGCCCACCCCGCAGGCGCAGGTCGTGAGGCACGTCCACGCCGCCCTGCTCGTGTGCCTGTTCCTCGCGCGGTTCGGGGCCCTCGTCGCCGACCCCGTGTCGGCCATGTCCAACGCGACCCCCGTCGTCATGGCCACCCAGGCCCTGTACGCCGTCGTCTGCCTGCCGCCGGCCGGCTCGCAGACGGCAAAGCTCGCTAAGAAAATCCGGCCCGGCGAGAAGAGGAGGCCCGGGGCCGAGAGCACCGGACCGAGTGTTGCCGTGGTAGGTGGTCCCCTTGTTCCCGACGACTCTTTGCCTGCTCGGAGCTGACGCTGTTCCTAGACCACCCTCATCGCTTTCATACTGTCGGCAATCGCAACGCCAGCGCTCCACGTCGTCCTGGTCCTCTTCGGGGCGCCGTTCCTGACCCATCTGCCGCACACCCTCCTCTGCTCCCTGCATCTGGCCACTCTCGGGCTCTTCCCGCTGTTCTACACTCGTGGTGTGTCAGGCAAGGCTTGGCTCGAGATCTTGAGCGCGAGGGCCCCGCTCGACGAAGTGTTTGGGGGCTTGCTGGGCGCTGGCGTGGGAGCCTGGCTCGGCGCGGTGCCGATTCCTCTGGATTGGGATCGAGAGTGGCAGAAGTGGCCTGTGACTATACTGTGTGGCGTTTACATAGGGTACCTCGCCGGAAAACTGATAGGAGGTAGCAGCCTTGCCTTGGGAAAGAGATTAGGGTGATGTCGCCCTCGATGGGAAGACCAAGTGTATCGAGTGTGCAATATACCGAGATCAGTCTGCTCGTTGCTGATACCTACAACCACCCCAACCCTATCGTCAATGCGCATCCGGGATCGAGATGAGGTTGACTCTCTAGACGTGATCTAGGAACAGTTGCTTCTCTTCTTCCCTCTCAACCTGTATTCATCCTTCCCTTTTCCTCATCCCCAAAGGCCCTCCCGCCGTTACACTATTCCGCACTATGCCGCCCAGCAGTGGTTTCCTCTCCCCACAGCCAGCTTCGACAACGATTCATATATAAAGTCACTGAGGCTTAAAGGCCCCCTTTACGCGTCTAGCACGCGAACTCCATCGACGCTGCCCTCCTCCAGATATTACCTAGATACCGCCGTATCTATCTACCTCCCCCCCACCGTTGCCCGGACGAACTCGCCGACACGCAAACACATCTCGCTCCCCTACCTTACGCGGCCTTCGCACCCGCCCAGTTACTTCGTCCTGCCTCGTCGACACCCTACTTGTGAGGTAGCCTCTAGGAACACCAGCTTCCCCAGGTTCCACCGTCTCCATCATCCATCAGACATCCGCTGAATCCCCTATCTCAGGCAAAGCAGCCGTCGACTCGATCCTGTGCCATCCTATTGTTTCCCTACCTAAGGTACGTAATATCCCAGCCCGCCACTCGCTGCTGCTCTTCTTCCTCTTTCCTTCACCCTCCTCCTCACTTGCCGCACATCACCTCTCTCCACCTCGTGGTCAACCCGACCATCAAGCTCACCCTCTCGCCTCTCCAGGATCCGCGATCCCATCCGCCTTCGCGTCTCTGCATCGCCGCCCACCTATATCCCCCGATCCGCGTCCGACAGTCCCGATACATCCGTCCGTGAGTTCCACCCTGCGCCTCCGCACCTTCCCCTCCCGCCGCCCCCATACAGTCTAGTCTAGTCTAGTCCGAGGGCCCGTGTCGCTGACGGCCTCGCAGGTCTCGCGCGCAGCGCCCCCGAGAGATGCCGGTGACGTGGACGGCGGAGGCGGACCGCGACCTGCTGTTCGCGATGCTGCTGCACGTGCAGAGCAGTGGCGGCGGCGGCGGCGGCGGCGAGCTCGGCAAGGTCCGGGTGCCGTGGGACGCGGCGCTGCGGACGTTCCAGCAGCTCGGGCACGAGGGCGCGAGCAAGGACGGCATCAGGTTCGCCCCCGCACCCTCTCCCCCTTCTCCCCCTCCCCTTCCTCATCCCCGCCGCTGACACGCCCCCGCAGCCAGCGCTGGTCCAAGCAGCTGCTCCCGGGCTTCAAGCGCGCGCACCCGGAGGTGTTCGGCGGCGGCCGCGGCGGCGCGGCGCCCCCGCGCTGGGGCCAGTCCGGCCGCAGCCGCGTCGCGCCGGGGCTGCAGCGCGCCCGCGCCCAGTACACGCGCAACGCGCGGCCGACGCTCGTGGCCGGCGTCCAGTACGCCGGCGACGCCGACGCCGACGCCGACGCCCAGGATGACGACGACGGCGGCGACGGCGACGACACGCGTCGCGGCAGCGCGAAGCGCAAGCGCGCCCCCGGTTACGACGCCGACGCCGACGCCGACGGCGAGCCCGTCGCCGCCGCACGCAAGCGCGCCCGCCGCGAGAAGCGCGCTGCTGCCGCCGTCGCAGAGTAGGCGCGCCGCGCGCCTCCCCCCCCGCCCGACGCGTCCCTCTCTCCGCTTCTCCGCGCCTAGTTCTCCGGCCGACTTCTCTTCGTTCCTCGCACAGAGAGGGTTTTTTTTCTTCTTAAACCCCCGCCGCCCGCGTGCGGCGGCGCCCAGGGAGCGAGGGGCCCGGGCTGAGGACTGCGAGTACGCCCGATCGCGTGGCACACGACGGTCGCATTCATGATTTTCGCTGTTCTCGCGTTCTCCTATTCTACGTCGGGTTTCGGGCAGGGGCCCCTTTGGGCGGATTTCGTTCGTGGTGGCTGCTCGGTTGCGGTAGACAGACGCCGGTAGATCTGCGAGAGAGAGATAAGATAGACAGGCCCCGCGGAAGGCATCCGAGCCTCGCACGAAGCGCGGCGGGCCTGGGTGCCCTCCGCGGCCGCGCACAAATGCGAGTTGTTTTCATCTCTCAGTAGAATCATACGCTCTGCTCTGCTCGTGATGTTCCCCCGCCCCCTTCCCTCCTAGTGAGCGTTCTAAGAACCCGCTCCGTTGTAAGCTACCCCAGACTTCGCTGCCGTGCGATCCCTATCATACGATACCGGTGGGCCGATCTCTACCTACTCGGGTTCTTGTCTGGCCTGCTATGACCGCTGGGGCGAGGGTCCCGGCCCTGATAGGGCGTTTTCGCAAATACATGTCTATTGTGATGATACCACTGCTGTGCTTAAACCGGGGGCGGGGGATTCGCACGTACGTACGCGTCTGCACCCCACTCCAGACTAGCCTGGGCGGCCCTGTAAACCCCAGGTTCCTGAGCCTTCGTTCTACGCTCCTCCACCACTTGGCGTCGTCCCATTATTCTTGGTATTACCACCCCGGATCCGTCCCGGGTATCCTGCAAGCGCGAACAGACAGATGACCAAACGTACACATGGAACGCACCAAGAGAGGAAAAAAAGGGACGATAAAAACACCGGCCCGATCTAGCCCAATATCTTGCGAACCTGCGTACTCGGCAGGCCCTGGGTGAAGAAGAAGGTGACCGTGACGAGGACGAGGGCGCCGTAATAGAAGGCCCACTCGTAGCACCTCCTGGCCCGCTTCACGACCGCCTCGACGCTCAGATGTCTCCTGCGCCACGCCTCCATCCTGCTCCCCAGCTTCGCTTCTCCTCTGTCCTCAGCCGCTTCGGCCGCGGTCTTGCCCTCCGCGACCCGCCGGCACACCTCGAGGAACAGCTTGGGGTCATCGGTGATGACGCCGTCGAGGAAGCCTCCGCGCGCGCACCACTCCATCCAGTCCTCCCCGTTGACCGTCCAGATGTAGACGGGGTGGCCCGACTGCCGCATCTTGCGGGCGAACCGCGGCCCCACGATCGGCGTCGCCAGCGTGAACCGCAGCATGCTGATGCTTAGGTTCGGGACGCGGTCGGCCAGCGCGCGCGAGTACATCGCCGTGAGTCCCACATTCGCGAGCGGGTAGCCGGGTAGGTACTGCATGCACAGCTTGATGTATTGTGCCTGGGGAGGGGGGAGCAGGCAAGTTAGTATCGAGCAAGGTGGAAATATGGGGGCGGCTATGGGGACAGGGTGGGATGATAGGTCTAGTCTTACATTCCAACAACAGGGCATTATTCTTTCGCTCCACGGTCGCGCTCCTGGCGGCACCGACGCCAGCGTTGCTGCTATCCCGCGTACCAATTCTTCGGCGTCGTCCCCGTTCTGTAGTGTCGATCATGATTGTCAGCTAGCCGCAACACGCACGCGTATAATCCTCCGCTCCTTTCCCTCATCGTCACCACAATCGCTCACAAAACCAACTTCCCCTCCCGCTTGCTCCCCGCCCTCAAAAAGTCCAAAAGTCAACCCGCCAAGACATGCGCACACACGCCGGGAACGCACCTTGATATCGAGCATAACCCACAACCGGCTCTTCCCCTGCCCCTCCTGCCCCTCCTGCTCCTCGTCCACGAGCCACGTGAGCAGATCCCGGAGCCGCGCCATGGGCTGGGTCGGGGTGCGGATCGTCGTGAGCTCGGCGAGCTCGGCCCAGTCGCGGTCGCGCACGCGGCCGTCGACCCCGAAGCACCGCCGCAGCGTCGCGTCGTGCGAAAGCACAACCACCCCGTCGCGCGACAGCCGCACGTCGGTCTCGAGCGCGGCCGCGCCCGCCGCCGCCGCCAGCCGGAACGCGAGCAGCGTGTTCTCGGGCGCGGCGGCGCTGAAGCCCCGGTGCGCGATGGCCAGGGGCGCGCGGGGGGGGCCATCCGCACTAGTAGCAGCGGCAGCGGCAGCAGCAACGGCTTCGCCGCTCGGGATGCCGTTGACGTCGTCGCGGTGGTTATTATGTCTATCGCGATCGTCCTCTTCGACTTCGTCGCCGTTATCGTTGGTGTGATGATGGTTTCCGCGCGAGGAGAGCGCGGGAGGAGAGCGCGCCGGAATACCTGCTCCTGGGTTCGGGGCGGTGGACGAGAGCGATCCGGCAATGTCAGTGAAAAAAAAAAAACGCTCCTGTTTGGACGCGCACACAACACACGGAAACGCCACCGTAACGCGGCCACCGCGAAGCTTCGACTCCGGCTTATAGCGCGCCCGGTCCGGACGGGAGCAACTCACCCGACGTCCCTCTCCCCGTCGCTGCGCTCTTGCGGCCTGGCAGAAGCGGCGTCTGCTCATCGGGTGCTACGGCGGCCTCGGACGGGTGCTTTAGCGGCGATGGAGGCGGTGGGCGCCCGCCAAGCCCAGATTCGGCAACCATGGCTGACAGAGAAGGGTGTGTGTTTTTTCTGTTTGAAAATCTTTATTTTTTAATTTATGATTTGTAATTTGATCGCATTCTCGGCCCCGACGGAGTCTGCTCTTATTCTCTCGCTAGCAATAGAGAGGGAGAGAGAGAGGGAGCGGCGAGAGAGAGCAGCGGAAGGGAAGTGGGCAGCAACAGGCAGGGGACAAAGAAAGGCGTGGCTGGTGCGTCTTCGCAGGCCGTCACGAAGCGAACATGATGCAAATTAAGTACCTCGACAGTGTGACACGCGCGAGGTTAGGAGGTGAGCAGGCCGGAGGGGGAAAGACGCGGATGCCGACGGTGCCGCAGCCACATTTGCTGGCTTATCCACCAACCGCCAGACAATCAATCTCTGCGCTCTTTACGGCAGAACGCGCGGCAGGAAAATCGCGCCGAGGGGGGAGAGGCGAAGGGGGAGGAGGAGAGCGCGTAGGTGACAGAGGGGAGAAGGGGGGAGCTCGACGCAGATAACGGAGCTTAGCTGGAACGCTCCAGGCGCTCGTCGCGCAGCTTTGTCATCATCCAGTCCGACGGCGGCGAGGAACAATCCCTCTTCTACTTAACTCGCCGGAGTTAATCGGCGATTGTAGGGATAAAGGGGACCTCGAATTATCCCGCTGGCGTAGAAGAGAAACGCCACTATCCCGGCACCTTGCCCTAACGCACGCGCTGAGCTACGGCATAAACCCCTGCGGTGAAGCCCCTAACAGGCACCTAATCTAAGGAGGTATTTACCTTTGGTACCTAAGGTAGGTAGGTTAGGTTAGGTAGTTTAACAATTTTCCTGTCAGCGCTATCCGCGGTCCCCCCCCTGCCCTGTGACCAGTCGTCCCATCATGCTGTCGCCGCCGCTCGCTGAGTAATAATGGAAAACAGATTGGATATCGACGCCGCACGCAAATAGAAAGTGGACATCCCCAATTTCAACCAGTCATCCCCCTGTCCCGCAACAACACACCCTCCTCCCCAGCGATGGCGAAACCCCTACATCGCTGCAAATAAGGGAGCCACCTAAGCACCGCGTCGTCGGCCTGCCCGCACCGAATCAACCTCCTCCTCCTCCTCCTGGCCGCACACACCTCTTCTCTTCACCTTAGCTGCTGCGCGCGACAAGACCTGCATGACTGACTATTTGCCAGTGCTCCGACGATGCCGTGCTAATTTTCGTTGTCTTAGGTTACCCTGCTAGCTGAGACTACACTAGACTCCAACAATCTATCCCGAACCCGTTCCATTCGTCCACCCCCCGCCGTCTCATCCCCATCGCCGTCGGATCTTCAGCCTAAAGTGCGTCTGATTCATACGATTCTCCCTGCGCACGTGGCTCCCCGGACCGCCGTCCATCGCCTTGTCGTTGGAGTCGTAACCGAGTCAGATTAGGCAACGAGAGACGTCAGAATAATACCCTATCCCCTTTTCCCCCACCGTCCCCAGCTTGTCTTTCCTAACCCGTAAGGATGGTATAACCAGGCTATTTTGTTATTTTTTTTGTTACTTCGTTTGTTTTTTATACAGAAACGTCTGTCGTAGTCGCTCGCCCGAGGTATAAACAGGTAGTTCTGACAGATACGCGGCCACAAAAGAAAGAGAGAAAAAAAAGAGAAATGTGCCGGACAAGGGAGGCACGTAGGCGCGCGCTCTCGCTCAGACTAAATAACTCGCCAACCAAGAAAAAACGTGTGTACAAGCCCGCGCCCCGGGGCCGTGCCGTCACCGTAACACCCAAACCCAGGAACCCAGGTCCAACCCGTGGCCGTACACTTCCCAGCGACCCAGGTTGATCGTGACCAAGTCGTCCCGCATATGTGTAACCCCGCTCTATATCGACGCCATATATACCCAGGTGGAATAGATATCCCTCGTGGACCGTGCATGATATCGTATTGCTAGATGCTTCGTGCTCGGCACCTTCGCGTGCGGCCGCCGCGTCCCGTCGCCCCGCTTCAGATGCCCAGGTTCAGCTCGAGGCCCTCCAGCATCAGGCCGCCGTCGTGGCTCGTTCGCGGCGGCGCCATCAACCCGCTCTGGTAGTCCTCGCTCCCCATCCGGAGGTACATGTCGCTGGACGTGAGGTCGTCCCCGGAGCTGAGGCTCTCGTCGCTGATGCTAAGCACGCTCTGCGGCGGCGCCGGATTCGTCGTCGTCAGTTCGCCGATGCTGAATCCGGACAGGTCCCACGAATCCGGCGACCATTCGCCCATCGTGGTAGTCGTGCTCGTCGGCGTCTCCGTGAGCGACAGCGCCGGCCCTCCGTATATCGCGTCGTACACATTGATTTGCCCGCCATCCATCGATCCCAGCAGTGCCTCCCACTCGGCTGCCGAGACACCGCCCGAGCCGCCCTTGGCCGCCGCCTGGTTCGGGGGATATAATCGCGTCTGATGTGGCTGGTCACGTGTCATGGCTTGTGACGAACCATTTCGAGCGTGCGCCGACGCCGAAGACTGAGGCTGGGTCGAGGCATTATTGAGAGAGAAGAAATCGAGGTTCTGCCTGGACTTGTGCGTTGGCGACATACGCAACATGGTCTGCTGTATCTGAGATAGCGAGAACCGATGATCTCGTCGCGGCATTGCCTGCTCTCTATCGACGTCGAGCGATGAGCGCGACGGCGTGTGGCGAAGCTCAGGTCGGGCGATCTGCGCGTTAGGCAGGGTCATTCGGCGCAGTTTCTCTTGCTGAGATAAGAGGTCCGTCTCGCTCATACTCGCGCCCGCAAGCCGACCGGAACTATAAGGCGTTTTCTTTCTCGACAAGTTCAATAGCGCCGACGCCCTCGATGGAGGAGCCCCCATGGCCACATCCGGACTGCCGTGCGTCGATAGGGATGGGCTCGGAGCATCGATGGCGACAAGCATCGACGCGACGCGTTTCAATTCGTAAGCGCCGGGGGCCTTCATCCTCAGCAATATGTCAAAGACGGCGTTGACGAGTCGCTCTATGTCCTTCACGAGCTTACTCTCGTGCTTCAAATCCAGGCTCTGGTAGAGTAAGCTCGTGCTGCACAGTACGAGAATGTCGGTCTTGTTGAGGCAGAACGAGAATGACATGCCCCTCTCCTCTAGTAATTGGATGATCTGCACGATGTGTTTGCTAGATTCCGCGACCGCGATGAGACTCGGCGCGGCTTTGGCCCCTAGGTTTGAGCCCACGACCGGACGGTGAACGAGTCCGCGGATATAGTAATACGCCAGCGCCTGTCCGAGTTAGCATCAGAGCCCAGCGTGATTCAAGCACCTCTACGCATCGTGACATACCAGGATCGGGGACCTGCTCCCGGTGATATCTGCCGACGGCTTGTCCTGGACGAAATTCAACCTGAGATGCGTAGGCAAGTTATCGTACCAGTCGGTAAGTTCGGCGTCGAGCGCTGCGATTTGTTGAAGGGTCAACTCGTAGGATGTGGCTGCTGGATAAATCTTCTCGAGGACTTCGGCCAGGATGCGGGACACTCTGAATAGCGCCAGCGCGCTCGACAGCCGGGTATACTCGCCAGGCAGAGTTGGTTGGAATCCCTTCTCCGTGACGTACTCATCGTCAGTGTCGGACGGATACTCGGCATGAATATCGTCATCCTTCAACAACTTGGGAAGACCCAGGATGGCGGCCGAGAAGCTTGGTAGGTTGTTAGCCCTAAGGACAAGAGACCATCAAAACACCTGACAACTTACCAGTCGAGGGTGTAAAGCGTCCAGAAAACCTTCTTTCGCGTCTCGATGGTGAGGGCGCCGAAAGAGAACCGCTTCTGGCTCTGGTGTAGACCTAGCTTGTGAGACAATCCGACAGCTATGCCCTTGTAGTGTTGCAACCGCTTATAGTCGGCTCTGATGGTGCAATACATAAGTGCCAAGACCAAGCACTGCAGTGTGAGCATGGTGTTGTCCATGATGACGGCTTCGAGCGCCATTTGCCACTGAGCCTCGCAGGCAGCGATCTGCTCTGTATCCGGCAGGTCGCTGGAGAGGGAGGCAATGCTAAAGACGAGGTAGAGCTGGGCAAGCTTGTGGTTATTCTTCACCTTCTCGGAATCGGACACGAATTCCTCGTATAGGCGGAGGAACGTAGGCTTGTGGAGGACGGGAAAGAGCGGCGCCCATTCCTGGAAATAAACGTTTACGCATCTGTCTGAGAACAGGCGCGGCGGCACCCTCGTCAATTGAGGGAGCGGCTGGGCAACGAGAGGGTAGCACCCTTGTATATGAAGGAAGGCCTCCGGGTTGAAATCGGAACACGGCTTTCCATTTTCCTGTAATTTGCGCTTGAACGATTCTGGAGGCATGGTTAGAAAGAAAAGCTGCGGACCGTCAGCACGAGCCCACCCCGCACTCACCGATGAAGGAACGTCCGCTCGAAGGCCCCATGAAATACGAGTCCGAATTCTCGACGCCGAGCAGGAGCGGAGAAGCCTGGACGCGGAATGTATCCTCCTTGGGCGGGGAGCCAGGGTCCTTTTTTAACTCGACTACCCTCGGGCTCCCGGCTGAGCCGACGGAGGGCTGGCGGTGGTCGTGCATCCTCGACAACATATCGATCTTCTCGTCTTTCTCGTCCAACAGGTCCTTCAGCTCCCGCACCTCAGATTCCAGCTGCCTCACCCTCTCCTCGAGCGACTCGGTGTAGCCTCGAGGGAAGGCTCGCCGGCTCAGCTTATCGCTGGTGCGGCACTCGAACCCGACATTGGCGCACTGGGAGCAACACGGGCGGATGCCGTCGCAGCGGATCTTCTTGCTTCGACATCTAAGGCAGGGTTTCTTAGCAGGCGAGGTCGAGGCGGTCTCGGTCCCGACGGTCGCAGCACGTACCTGTCACAGGCCTGGGCGATGCGGCTCTGCGAGCTGGTGCCCACCTTGATCACCTTCATGGGAAGAATGCCGGGCATCTTGGGCGATTACTCTCGATATAACGCCGGAACAACGTCTCTAAATGGCCAGCGGTCGGTTGGTCGAATTCGCGAAAGACACGGAGCCCCAAATCCCCCATTCGCCGGGTGCTGGTGGCGGAGCGGTGTCCGGTCAGCTTCGGTAGCGGGTGTCGGCTGTTCAGCGGCGGATGCGAAAATTGCTCATTTCCCTCTGGCCAGACGCGCGCGGTGTGAGAAGAGGTGTATTATTTTTACGGTGGGAATCGGTCCGGGGGGGGGGAGAGGCGCACGAGTTTCGTTCGAGAGGAAAAAAGGCGAAAGGGGCGGGTTCGTGGAGTGGGCTAGTTGGTTGCAAGATGGAGACGGCAGGTAAAAGAAGGGTTTGGTCGGAAGGGTTGGCTTGGAAAGGGATCGGGGGCTGAGGGAAAGAAAAAAAAAACAGGAGACGGAAAGACTGGGACTGCGTGGGGACAAGGACGACAAATTAGTGGAGGGCATATAGCGAGAAACGGAGGGATCAATGCCCACTACTCCAGACCGTCCCATACGAATCAGCGGGGTATCGCACTACTGGGGTGCGCTAACGAATCCGGGGGAGGACAAGGGGGGAGGGGGAGGGGACGAGAGGAGAAGTACTGCCTACGTACATTGGGTACTCGTATACAATGCGTATACTCATACTTCTTTGTCTCTCTCTCTCTCTCTCTCTCCTCCTGGCTTAACTCGGCTCTCGTACACCTAACCCAGCCTAGCCTTGCTACAGGGACCGGCGGGTGGATAGATACGGTACGCAGGAGGTGTTCTGACCCGCCAAGCGCACGTATGCATACACCAGGCATATCTATGGTAGGTTGCCCGGGGAGGTACCTGGACAAGCTGCGGAGGCGCGCCTGGCGTAGCTAATATAGGCAGGTTGCCTGTGATCTGTCCGGCCCGCCTAGTATTTAGGTATAGGAGAGAGCGAGCCGAGCGAGCGAGAAGGAGAGGAGGCAGAAGCCCGGACCGAAATAGCCTACCAGGTAAGGTACCCAGGCAGGCAGGCAGGCAGGCAGGCAGGCAGTCTCCTATTACATGGTCTATCTACGTACGATCTACCGCCCACTAGCTAGGTTACGTACATATGGCGACGGAAGTTTCTCCCATGCGAATCCATGGCGACACGGCTACGTCCCGACCGAGCACTGAGCAATTCCACGCGGCGTCCGTCGCCCGAGCACGCTACGCAGGCGGGTTAGAGATAGCAGGCTGCGGGTATCGACCGACGGCGCGTGAGGCTACGAGAAGGCGAGTCACGGGGAGGGCGGGATCGTTATCTATATATATATATAGATACCTATCTAGATGCCTTAGGTTAGGTACCTAGGAGGCCATGGATGGATGGATGGATGGATGGATGGATGGACTGTTTACCTAACCAGGCGAGCGTGAGGCCCGGATATGATCGTCTGCCCGTCCTTTCTACTCATATCACCTATATACCGCAGCTGAGGTACCTGACGTATACATAATACCTCGGGTGCGCAGTGGGAATGTGTTACGTTATCGCCGCCTCGGGCTCGACGCTGCGTGTGTGCGTGTGTGTGTGTGTGTGTGTGTGTGTGTGTGTGTGTGTGTGTGGTGTGCATGTCTCGGACATTATCTGGCGGAAATTGATCAGGTTGGCAGCGGGTTTTTGCCATGTGGATACACCCGAGCTGGACGGCATCGAATTCTCAATACCGTATGGGCCATGGAAGTCGTGCACGCCACAGGCCAGAATGGGACGGACCCCGGAGCGGAAGGAAGGGCATACATGTGTTAGCGCAACTTCACCCACATACTTATATGCACCTAACGGGCGGCCTGCGACCATTACAGGTACATGCCCATAGGTACCTAAGGTACCTACCTCCTACAGGTTGACAGGACAGACAAGACGTATGAGCAGGTATGCGTTCCCATTAGCAGGTAGTTGAATTCTTGGGGGATGGGCCAATCGAACCGGGGACTACGTACCACCGCCTAAGGGAATAACCACTACCAACGAACCACTATTACCTCTCACAATCCGCTGCCAGGCACTGCCGACTGACAGCGTGAACTCGTCCAGCCCGCAAGGTCCGACGGGCCAAATCCTGGCCCGGCCAGGACCAGGCCGGTTCCACGTTTCATGGCGTGGTGGAATCCGCCGCTCATATGGAAGTTTGGAACCTGCGTTGCCTCCCCTACGCTCTGCTACTCCACGCGTCATCCCCGTTCCGGCATGGCCGCTCGCTAGCCCTGGTCGTCGCCCGCAACAGGGACTGTGAACTTGTGAACTTGTTGAGAAAGGACGCAAGGCGCTAACGAGGGCACCAGGCGGTTGATTACGAGCGGGCGAGGGCCATTCGTCGCGGGCGGGGACCACGCATAACTCGCCGCGCGCCCATTGGTGCCGACCGCTGCACAATGCATGCACATGTGGTACCTAACGTTAGGTACATATATATCTTAGGTACATGCCTACCTACCTTAGGTACCTATCTACGTATGTATGCATGTACACATACCTACCTACCACCTAGCCGGATCAGCCCCGGAATTTCACCCTCTACCGGGTACCAGATGAGGACGAGCAAGGGTCAGATGCTTTAGGTGCTACCTCAGGGACCTTAGGGTACTTTAGGTGCCTCCCTCCCTGTACTCGTAGTAAGGCCTTCTCGCCGCCAACACCACGGAGGCACGTAAATCCCTCCTCTCCCTCCCAGCCCAGGTTAGTATCCGATATCCCCAAGGACGCGGCCGGTACTCTTTCTCGCACGCGGGGCTTGGCACGTCATCTCTGCATCGCGAGAGAGAATGACACCACCACAGAGGGCCCCCCCCCCCCCCGGCCGCTAGGGTTGGGAGGTACGCGTGCGAGACCTCCGTAGGGTTAGCCCGTCCCGACGTAGGAGATGGTGCGATACGCGGAAGAGCAAGTATACCCATACGCAGCAGCAGTAGGTACCTCCGTGCTACGTTAGGTGCTGTGGATGCTAGGAGGAGCGACGTCAGCCACGGAGAGGTAATGTGCTACTATAGCATCTACCTACCTCTATATATCATCTGGTGGATCTCTATAGTACGAGTACACATGTATTACCTAGCAACCTAGCGCAGTTAGTAAAGAGATCCCGGGTTGCCACCGTGGTCCCTCCCTATCAAGTCTCTGCTAAGGCACTGCGTAGCGTCAGATGAATCAGAAGTTGGTCACGCTCCTCTGTCAGAGGGTGGCCAGGTTGTAAGCCGCCACGACGCGGACAAGCCGTGCCCCATTCCGAGCCAGGGGATTTCCGCCAATAATAGGTCAGGTAGGCATGTACCTAGGTGCCTACTTACCTAGGTATGTACATACCTAGGTCAGGTATGCAGATACCTGGCATACGCAGTTATAGGTGGAGGTAGGTACCCAAGAAGGTACTGTAACCACCTCAGATCCTTTGCCTACGTACATCGCTTCACTGTCGTCGCCAACTAGTACGTGACGTTCCTTACCCCAGGTTTCTTAGATACGCGAGAACTGTGGCTCGCATGGAATTGCGACCGTATGATCCACCCGCCGTCTTCGGCGTCGATCGCGGCAAATGTCGCCTCAGCTCGCGCCGCCGCCTCGCCCGCTGCCAACTCGCGCCGCGACGTGGGGACGCGAGAGCGAAAGACGCCGACGAGAAGAAAAACAACAAAGGCGAGGGAGGCAGCAGGTACACGACGAGAGGCCCGGCAGAAAACAGACTAGCCAGGACACAAGAGACGGACAGAGAGAGAGAGAGAAAGGCACGGAGGCCCTGAGCCAGGCGATTCGTCCATCCGTCCGCAGACCGAGGCACATGACCTGCTGGAGGAGGGCGCCTTGGACAGGTAGATGACGGACGCAATGCATGGGTGCGGCAGCCCAAATATCTCTTTGGCGAGATAGCTCCTCGAACCCCGGGTCTGGCTAGCCCCCAGCCTACCGAGTTCTAGAAAGGGATATGTTGGCTTGGTTCTTCGACGCTCTCCCCCGTATCTTCCCGCAAGTACCGCACCGCGAATCCCGCCCGGGCCTATGCGATGCACTCCAAAAAGTCCTAACCACGCCATCCTCGTCGCACTAGGCTGATCGAGACTGTCCCATTGCCGGGGCAAAGTCAAGTCAAGTTACCGCATGCTGCATCCCTCCAGCAACTCGAGCCCGCACTCGGGACCCGTCGTGAGATCCTCCCCTCCCCCCTCCTCCCCCCCTTTTTTTATCGACGCACCCCGGTTTTTCTTCTTCGTCCCTCTCCCTCGCCCTCTCCCTTCTCCTCTTCCCGCCTTCTCATCACCTCGGCCAGCCGGTTCCTGCGTGTGTGCAAGCGTGTGCGTGTGTACTCGTAGATGTGTAGGTGTATATCCATACCTACTATGTTGTAGGTAAATATGCAGGGCGACGGTTGGGGTAGGAGGTGGGTTGGGAGACACCAAGGATCTTGTCTCCAACAGGACGAGCTTGGGGAACCCGGTTTCTTACTCATAAGTGCCTTCACCTCTCGGTCATCGTCGCCAAGTCAACGCCGCTTGTGACGCTAAATAAAATAGAGCAGATAACCAGATTCATGCGTCGATCAACGTGTAGGTGCAGACCGCAACGTTGGAGAGTGTGAGGACGATCACCAAGGAGATAATGACGATAGTGGTTCGCATCCATTACAGCTCCGGCGCTTGGCGGAAGCATCGAGGCGATACGCAGACCTGGGCCAGGCTCCTGGTTCCTTGATTCGCCGCCGCCTGTGTAGGGGAGGGAAGGGGGGAAGGGGAGACATGGCCGACGCGACTACACGCGCGATCGACTACGACGACATTAAGATATTTCTAGATGCATCGTCGGATCTCTCCCTAGTTTGCTAGGAACCGTCAGTCAATTCGCCTTGTCGATCTTTTCCCCGCATTCATTTTTCTACGGGAAAGAGTCGTTTGCTATTGATGAATAGCTACAATTGATCGTCTAATATTCTACTGAAAAGGGGATAGGGAGAGGGAAAAGAAAAGGTTTGAGGCACGTCGTCGGCCAAATGCGACTCCATACATGACTCGAGGTCGTACAGATGATCCGAGTGGCTGTTGGGATCAGCGCGACAGGGCGATGTGAGAGGGTTAGGCGGCAGGCATTCGTCCCTAAAGGGCCACGATTTATCTACGGCCCGTTTCTAAGGGGTTTCGCCTTGAAGGTGATTGACCCTTTCCACATCGAGATGCCACATCGAGACTTCTCTTCTCCCAGCCTGGTTGAGGGTCACTGCCGGCTAAAAGCGCCTACTCCCTGGGTAAATCGGCGACGAGGGTCACAGCGTGGGATTCTATGTCGACTCATGTAAGGGACCGGCCCCGGACGTGGGTTAGACGGCATGTATAAAAACGGTATCGAATATTATTCATGATACTGGTTGGCTTGGAAATCTCGGCCCGAAATGTATGCCCGAAAGGCCATAGAAACCTGCGACACAATTTTACAGATTATTTCTCAAAATCGTCAATGCTGTAAGTAGGGTATCAGTTGTGCTATGATATTCTTGTGATGCCTAACCGACCACAGATTGCTAGTCGTCCCAGGCCACTTCTGCCAGCTATCCCTCCTTCGATTCTTTAACGACGGGGTTCGTGTGTCCGTGGCAACCAGGTCGAAGGCTCTCAGGCCGCCCCGTACCCTAGTCTAATACTGCAATCATATTAGCTGTATTCGTGCCGCCAGGGAAATGAATGAAATGCAGCGGTACTATATGCCATAAATTCCGCATCTCCTATAGCCGGCGTAGGCGAGTGCGAGGGTTAAGATGCCACGGGGGTGTCCTAGCTAAAGTCGTCTTCGTTGTGATCGGTCTCCATGTTGTGGTCATCTTGGTTGTGTTCCATCAACCGTAAATATTCCACCACTGTGGGATCTGAGAGTAATTGTGACCTCTATCAAAGACTAGCGTTAGAGAGTTTTTCCTAAGCGAGAAAAATCGGATAGTCGTAAGGTAAGGTGATATCCGGCCCAGCATCCGAGAATATCCACAGAAGTTAGAGATCTGACTGACCTGGTCCTCCAATATACTTAAGCTCTCCTCGAGCATTTCTGCCTCGAGGGTTCTTAGGCGGGACGTAGCCTGTGCGATTTCAACCCGTGCCAACCCAGGTATCCTGTCTTCATCCTGACCGTCGGCGAGCTGCCTCATTTGGTCCTGAATGATGCCCAAGACGACTGTCACAGCACGCAGCTCAAATATCCGTTCCAGTTCATGACCACGAATGAGATCTTGAATCGTCTGTGGTACGGCCGTGATGTCGGTTTCGTTCCAAAACATACCCAAATGGCGAGAACCGTCTGTTTCCTGTATAACCCTGAATCGTAGGCCATCTGCATAAGTTTGAGCTTAGCTTCACTCTAAGAAATTTGGGTCTTGATCGTAAAGGAGCCCAAATGGTTACATCATCTGAGGCACTGCCTCTTCGTGTCTATACCGTGGAATAGCTCACGCGGGTATCAGAAAAGACTTACCTTCTTCATTCAAACACATAAGATAAACAAAAGGGCCGACCCACTGGAGGCTACCATCCTCGTTTTCCGATAGTCTCAGTTTCGGCGGCGTGCCGAAGGCGTGGAGTTTCGCGAGTCCAAGGGGGTCATCATCCATCGGTTCTAACGGTAGGACCAGGCTCTTCGCGGTCGAGTCCGGGTCGATGAAGCCATAGCTGAACAGAAACTCCGCCGGGGACTTATCCTGTCCGTAATCGATAGTGATTTCGCTACCAGAGGACACCGCATATCCCTTCCGTAGATACAGAACTGTTTCCCCCTTGCCATTCTCTTCAAAGTAGGCAGTAGGGTTGCTGGAGTGGTTGACTAAATCGAGGCATGGCACCATCGACTCTCCGGACTTAGGCAAACCGAGTGAGCGCGACCTATAGAGAGCGTCGAGAAGAACCCAGTCGTGAGTCGTGACGGCCTCGTCTATTGACAGAAGTTCGTCCCAGTATGGAAGCTCTGATACCTTCGCACGAAGCTCGTCAAATTCCTTCGTCAACACTGATAGTTTGGCAGACACTGCTGACTGGACAAAGGCGTTAGTTCGAGTGCCTTAAGAATATCCCTCACTGAAATACTAAATCCCCGTTGTAGCTCACCTCGAGAGAAGTGCCCCTGAGGAGGGAAAGCTCCGACTCGGTCCACATCGTAGGAACCGGTACCTGCGCCGGGAGCAAACTGAAGTACTGCGTCCACGGTATTGAGGGCCCGTGGCCGCCTTCATAATCAGGCGAAGATAACACCAATTGGACCAAGAGGAACAACAAGATATCGCCTCTGGTTGACTATCCGCATGATTAGTATACCTAATAGAGCACACCGTGTAGGTTCCTAGGAGCTTCGGCTGAAACCAACCCGATGCCCTGCGGCGTCCAGAAGCTGTCGGAATTCCTTATTTTCCCTGGCATACTCGGCCACGCCCTCGGCCGAGATGATGAGCTCCTTAGGGACGGTGAGAAGAGTGGGAAGCTCGAAGTTGTCGTCTTCATTAACCAAGTCCCTCTCGGCTATCAAGCCGTAGCCTCGGCCGCCGATGTCCGCAGCTTTGACATTGACGAAGGTGACATCGTTTAAAGCACACCAGGCGGGCAGGTCGGTCAACGAAAAGTGGCCGCGCCGCATGTTCGAGATACTGTATGAAGTCGAAGATAGATTGACTCCACCACCTCACAGCACTGCCCAGAACCGAGTTCAGTGGTCACGTAGATAGTAGGCGGAGACGAACTGCGTAGGGGCTTTACTACTCAAGAGCTTCTTCTCGATAAGATACGATAACAAGATTAACCCTTTTGAGACACCAATGATGCAATGCATCTACGTTAGTAGGAAGGGTAAAGCCACGGTGCTAGTGTGGCTGATTCGCTTCAGCCTCTTCGAAGTCTAACCACCGGCCCGAATTTTCACTTCGACAACCATCATCAAGCAGGGGACATGTAGCGGTGCAGATCGGCGTCGATCATCCCCTCTCCTCTCTCCAACATCCCTTCTTTTTATATCGCCCCCCCCTCTTCGCAACCACAGCCTACCACCTCTCTCAACTTCCCTCGAGGGACCCCGAATCCTCCGTCTGCGACCGCGACCGCGCGCTCCCGAGAGTAGAACCCCTACCGAGTCCAACCGGGCCCACCGCCCGAGCTAGCGCGAGCATCGCCGCCCCCCGCGGCCGACTCCGACAATGCCGCGGGATCCCCTCATCGGCCTCGTCGGCAAGCCCTCCGCCGGCAAGAGCACGACGCTCAACAGCCTGACCGATGCGACGTCCAAAGTTGGTGGGTCGAGCCCGGCGGCCAACCTCCAGTCATAACGCCCGACCCGAGCTGCGGCGCTGATACATTTTGATGCGGCAACAGGGAACTATCCGTACGCAAACACCCTCTAGCTACCTCCCTATCATTATCATAGAATCGTGCATATATATGTGTAGGGATATATGCTATGTCTACGTGTGAGCATCCTCCGGAGGCTATGATGGGGAGAGGGGAGGGAGAAAGAAGAGTTGACATGATACGAGGATCCGTCCGTCTTTGCGACTTATCGTGTAGCTGACCACGCGCCGTCTCTTCTCCGCCGCTGCCCCCCCTCTCTAGCTTCACGACTATCGATCCGCAGCGAGCCATCGGCTACCTCCAGATACGGTGCGCGTGCGAGCGCTTCGGCGTCAAGGACAAGTGCCGGCCCAACTACGGCTCCTGCGTCGACGGCCGGCGCTCCGTGCCGGTCGAGCTGCTCGACGTCGCCGGCCTCGTGCCCGGCGCCCACCAGGGCAAGGGCCTCGGCAACAAGTTCCTCGACGACCTCCGCCACGCCGACGCGCTCATCCATGTTGTCGACGCCAGCGGCCGCACCAATGCCGAGGGCGAGAACACCCGCGGCTACGACCCCTCCCAGGACATCGCCTGGCTCCGCAGCGAGATCGTCGCCTGGATCAAGGGCAACCTCTGGGAGCGGTGGGGCTCCATCAAGCGGCGCCACGTCGCCGTCAAGGCCACCGCCGTCGAGACCCTCCAGGCCCAATTCTCCGGCTACGGTAGCACCGCCGCCGTCGTCGCCCGCACCCTCGACCGCCTCGGCCTCAAGGAGCCGCTCGAGAGCTGGTCCGAGGAGACGGTCGACCGCGTCGTCGCCGCCTTCACCGACGAGAAGTTCCCCACCGTCATCGCCCTCAACAAGATCGACGACGCCGACGCCGACAAGAACATCGCCAAGATCGCCAAGATGCAGGACCCCAACCTCGTCGTCGCCTGCTCCGCCAAGGCCGAGCTCTTCTTCCGCAAGATGGCCAAGCAGGGCTACGTCCGCTACACCGAGGGCGGCGAGTTCGCCGACACCCGCGACGACCTCATCGCCGACGGCGACCCCGAAGGCGGCGGCCTCCGCGAGCTCGACGACAAGAACCGCGCCGCCATCGAGGAGTACCGCGACCTCATCCTCTTCCGGTACGGCTCCACCGGCGTCGTCCAGGTCCTCGCCAAGGCCGCCGAGGTCCTCGGCCTCGTCCCCGTCTTCCCCGTCCGCAACGTCTCCACCTTCAGCTCCGGGTCCGACTCCCGCTTCGCCTTCCGCGACTGCGTCCTCGTCAAGAAGAACACGACCGTCGGCGACGTCGCCAGGAAGGTCATGGGCGACGCGCCTATCGCCTACGTCGAGGGCGTCGGCGGCGTGCGCGTCTCCGAGGACGCTATCGTCTCCGTAGGCAAGAACGACGTAAGCTGCCCGGCCCAGCTACATTGGAGCAATGCTTACGATAATGGATAGGTTTTATCATTCAAAATCGGAAGAGCGTAATTTAATGCAGCTGTTTTTATATATAAAAGAAGTCATTGGGCGGGCACAACGCAAATTAGATGTGATTCCTCGACCTCAACGCGTTCAGGCGGGCTACGCGGAGCGTGGGCTAAGATTTCTCCATTTGACACGTCCTCATACAGCGTAATTTAACCTAGGATCGGGTGAAGGTAGCCTGCGCTCCGCGTTTCATGCTGGATTTTACTGGAAATAGACCGCCTTTTGCTGCACTACCGTAGTGCCGACTGATCCGTTCTTCCCCATCTGACTGGAGGGGTTGCTGATTCGCCAAGGGGGGAGAGACCTTGGTTGGTGCAATAATGAAGGCAGGACCACGATGTAAATAATCGACGGAAGAATCGAATGGAAGTTTCAATTGTAGTATGGGTATCGAAATTCGGCATCATTAATGCTAATGTATCTTTTCTAAGACCGTTGCGAAAAGGAAAAAAAAAAAAACGCGTATGTACCGAGCATTGCCCAGCTAACCCCGGATTCTCTTGCCCGTCCAGGACGAGCTGTCGTTAGTTGCCGACTTCCGATGTGTGCCGAGCATTGTCTGATTCGGGAGAACAGAAACGAGGACATCGCGCCACGCCGGAATCGGTTGAAAGTGGATTAGAATGTGGGTAAGGAGGTTGGGTGACGGCGATTTGGTGTCGATCCGGCCCAACTACCGCCCACCCATCAGCCAAAGCTGATCATCGATGTTTCCGATGATGAGAGAAGGGAATCGACAATGTCGGAAAGAAACTGGTTGAAGTTGAGTTCCGGCAAGTGCCGTCGAAATATCACGAGCCCCTACGCCGCCACTTTACTGGTCCACACTTTTCCCATGCCGTCTATGGTTATGGAGCGTTCTGGGCGCAGCTTAGTATTTCAATATGATGTACCTGCAGGGGTTTGCATGTGTTAGCACCATCCGATCCATCCGTTCGTGTCAGAATCGGGCCAGCTTGACGGTGTAATAGCCGTTTGAACGGGCGTGACCGGGGGGTAACGTACAGCGCGTGGATGATGCCGGGGATGTATCCCAGGATGGTGAGCAGGATGTTGATGCAGAAATCAGCACCGCATCCTCGCTCCAGCAACACACCGACGGGCGGGAGGATGATGGCAAGAATGATCTTGCAGATATCGCTGTATGCGGGAGCAGAGCTCGTTAGCACGGGGTCCTCTGCGGTACGGGTGTGCCGTTGACGTCAGGATGCGCAGTAGACCTGCGCGCTATGGCGTTCTTACCTAGCAGTGAAAGGCATCTTGGACGACGAGGTCTAGTCGAGCGTCTTTATATAAAGACTCGCTAAGGCGCGACTTGAGCAAACGGGGCGGTAGTACGGGGTAGGTTGTCGACGAACTCGATACTTTGTGTGCGTGTCTAGGTAGCTTATAGACGAGCGAGAGCTGAAGCGGGTAGTTGTGTCGAGATGGGTTACGTCAAGAGGAGTAGAGAGGAGCGGTAGAACAGAGATTCAAGAAGAAAAGCAGCCAAGGAGAGGGGGAGGGCGTACCGTTTAAATAAGAGACAGGTGCGGGTTCCCGCAGAGCGTTCTCGCATAGCAAAGAAATCGGGAGCTGGCGAGCTCAGTTCCCCCCGTGGGCAGGTACCAATACATCACGATACATACCCCAGCCAACAGACCTCAAGTGGGCGGAGAGGTGCAGCACCTACCCACCTTCTCCCTTGGGCACATAGGTACCTGCCTCCCCCATCTCGCAGGTACCTGCTAGATACCAAGGATTGCCCTGCGTGCCTTGCCTAAACACCTCTTATGCATCCACGGATAGAGGTACCTCCTAGGCAGGTAGGTATGTACCTACCTAGCCCCCTCGAAAAAGGGCTCCAGGGTAGAAGGCACCGAGGTTAGGTACCTACCTGCCTACCTAAAGTACCTGTACTGACCTCAGGTGTCACCACCTCTGAATTCGCCTGGGCATCGATCCATACATCGATCCATTCGAAGTAGCCAACCGTGGCAAAGGCCAGCAGCGCCGGTGCGGCCACAGGATACGGCCCACCCTGCATTGGATTCATCATTCACCTTTGTGCCGTAATAACAGGACCAAGAAAGAGGCTGCGCCGTCCCGGACGTTGCTCTGATTCTCGTTGGCCGAAGGCCCCGGACAATGATGTATTGGCAACGGAACCAGGTCGCAAACTCGCCCCAACCTGCCACGAGCCGCTGCGTCATACATCTTGTTCGCGAGTTGTGCGTAAGCTCCCTGGCCCGGCATCCATTAGCCGGGCACCAGGACCTGATCCCTGCGCGTCGTCCCTCAGAGGTACCTACCTCTTAGGTAACCTCCGTCCGTAGTGCACTGTACCCAGGTACCTCTGGATAAAGACCGGGCAAGCAGGTACATGCCTCCATACATCTATAGTGCCTGCAATTGGCGCCTTGGTTCCGTCAATCGTCCAGCACCCGACATAACAGTGACAGCATCACGACCTCAGCGGGAAAGGAAGCTTGCGTAGGGGTTGGGTGGCGTGACGTCACTTCGTATGGCGTAGTCGACATGAGCCTCAGGCGGGCCTCGCCTTAGGTAGGTACTGTATTCATACTCATACATCTACCTACGTAATGCACAGACCCCGCGTGGACAGCACAGCCTCGATACGACTGTGGCTTGACGCGCGCCCGCCAGCTTCGCCCTGAGAGAAACATCTCCGTTTTCTACACAGGTAGGAGGTAGTATGGCGGCTAATCCCATCGGCGTTCGTCATCCTCAGCTGGTCAAGGTCGCAGACGCGCGCGGTGCGCTACCAAGCTCTGCGAATCTCTTTTCCGTGACCCCCTGCCTTCGATTCGCCTCGCAAACAACTCCTGACACGCATATGCTTACTACGTAGCACTGCCAAGCCTCTCTCTCTCTCTCTCTCTCTCTGTCTCCCCTCTCCGGGTCCATAGACCATTCGGCATAGCCGGCATATACGCACGTAAGTAACGGTTAACACTTGGCTTCGATCACGGCCATTTTCACCAGCGTCGATCCGATACCAGGGCACGACTGCGTCGCCGCCTGCACCGGGCCAGCCAGTACCACAGGGCCGAGCCTGCCAGAGCGGCTTTGCGTCCAGTCCCAATCCATCCTATCGGCCTCGTTACCTTCTATCAAAGAGGGCAAGTCGATTACCCACTTTAGCGCTTAATGCTTCCCGTTGCAGAGATAGGGTCGCCCGCCGTCAGAGGGGCTGAAATCTGCTAGTTATCCATAGCCGATTTGCCGTCCCCAGGCTCTTGATGATTAGCTTATCGCAGGAGCATTTCAACACCGACTTACCACATTGCCGAAACCCGCCTTGGCGCTCTGTTCTCGCGCATGGACGTGCGGCCAGCAGTTGGTCTCCAAGGGTCGAGACCATCCGGGGCCAGACAGCTTTTTGACCGCAGAGGAACTGCGCCTAGTCTAAGAGAAACCAGTCTGAGAGAGAACCTATTGTCGCAGAAACAGCGGCATCCTGCGCGTGTTGCAGTTCATGGCTGCTAATGGTGGGATGAGCCAGCTCTAAGCCATGCTTCGCATGCTTCGCGCGCACTCTCATGGCTCGTGCCGGACAGGAGTTCTACAATGTCTTTGTTTAGCCCTCGCGCGAGGGGTCGCATCGGATAGGACGCTACCATGTCTGTGGAAAGATTATATGGGTAACCTACCAGCCACGCCTCTTGAAACCAGCCCACGGCCTTCCCCTACCTGGCCTTCGAGCCGGATAGCGGCAGGGACGCTTGCCCGCATCAGGGTCCGAGTGGAAAATCCCCTCCGAGCTTTAGCGAAAGAAAAGTGATGTGTCGCGCTCCGAGGAAACGACTGTCACGAACCCATTTATCGAGGGTCTAGGTCCTATAACTATGAGCAGGTACATACACATAAGAGAGCCCTACGTATCCGGAGCAAGACAGGTAGTATCACAAACAAACTACATGCCTCATACACATGTAATAAACTGCTCGTACACGCGTTCGAACCCGCCGGGGCCATAGGGGACATCGTCATGCGAAGGAATACAAGTAGACCGCACCCGAGTTTTGAGGCCTTGACGAGCCTAGATTGCAGCGCGGGGCCGAGAGAGCTACCGTCCGTCTCGCAGGACATTCAGAAGACATCTTACCGAACTGTACCATCTCGATTCCTGGCTGGATCTATAACACGACTTGACTACTCACCGGTAGCGTCTACTACTACTACTAGTGGGATGGTGACGACGCGGTCAGGCGACGGAGGCCGTCCTTGGAAGGTGTTTTCTTCTTCTTCCTCTTCTTTAGGCTGGCCGCGAATGTATAGATATACCTATATTTTACATTTATACAGTGAGCGTCGGCAGCTCGGCGCCATCCACGTAGTGAGTGATGGCAAGGTATACATCGCTACATCAGAATCGCAGACGTGTTGATTTAGGAGTGCCTTGGAGCAAGCCGGCCCTGGCGTACTCCGGTAATTGCTCCTCGGCCTCCTGCGGGTTGAAAAACTGTTCGAGCTTCTCCTTGCCGTCGATCAAGGTGCCCTCGGCCTCCTTCCTCTCGTCGAGCAGCAGCGACTGCTGCCGCGTGTCGGCGAGGAACCTGCGCCGCTCATCCGACATCCGCCATTCCCGCGGGAACTTGGGCTTGATCTTGAACCGGTGGTGCCTCGTATCGAGCGGCACGTCCTCGAACGTATCGGTCGTGTCCTAGAGGGGGGACGCGATGAGCATGGCATGGAGATGTAGCTATATATGCGAATGCGGTGTGATCGGGGTTGCATGGGGCGGGCCGAGCCCGGACGTACCTTTGCCTCCACTATTAGCTTGTCGACCAGGTCGCTGAGGTATCGCTTGTTCTGCGCCTGGTGCTCGAACTGCTCGCAGCTCATCTTGGCGATGTCCGTTTCCGGGTTGTAGCGGGAGCCCAGCAGCTTCTTCAGCTTGAGCTTCTGCGCCTCGTCCAGCGGCAGGTCCCTCGGCGAGAATTCGACCACGACCTTGTTCTCGGCCGGGTGGAACTCGCCCATGTAGCTCGTGTATCGGAACCGCAGCGGCTCCTGGGCGGTCGGCGGCGCGAACGGGACCGCCAGCTCTATTTACGCCATTAATAAACTCCATGCCCCTGCCGCCCCCCCCCTCTCCCCCTACGGATAGGCCCATGCGTGAGTGCGCACTCACTAGATAGCAGCGGCATCTCCCAAGCCGCAATGCGGGCGTATTCTCTGAACTCCCGGAACTCCTCCAGCTTGCCGTGCGCTAAGCTCATGATGTCGTCTTCGTCGAACTGCTCGTCGGTGCGTTCGTCCGTGATAAGGTCGGGCTCCTCCTCGTCCTCGCTCCAAAAACTTCGTCGAAGGTCGATTTTCGGCGGCGTCGTCGCCTTCAGCATGATGTTATTTGCGTCCGCTAACGCTCGATCGTTCATTCGTGCCAACTCGTCATTGTCGGGCCCTGAACGTCTCGACGGCGCGCTCCGGTCCTCCGCGGAGGCTTGTGCTCTGGTCTGGCTCGAGGCGTCGCCCTGGTGTCCTCCCGTATTGGCGCCTTCTGCCCCGCCCTGGTGCGGCCCCTCGCCGTTGTCTCCTTCGGTCGGGGGGTACCATCGCGCGGACGTCCAGGAGAGGGCTCGTCTCGAGACGTGCGCCCGGCCGCCAACCCGCGGCGGGATCGGCGCAGGTCTGACTGACCGCAGGCACAGCCGTATCGACCGGGCCCCAGAAGCCATGGCGATTAATGGCAACGTGCCAGGAACATGCAAGCGGAAGCGGTCGAACCTAGGGGGGCAGGGTGCTGCAATGCGCTGCGCTGCGTCTTCGGGTCGAGGCGCAAAATTGTAGATAGTTGGATTTCGGCGAATGTTGAATTTCAGGGAATAGGTACCTAACCTGCAATCGCTTATGCGGGAAGGAGATATACCTACGTAAGGGGGTAGCGCGTCCCCACCAGCCACAGACATGATGTCCGCGCAGCCACACGATAGCTCTCCCTTGATATCTCCATGTGGCTTGCCGGGCTCCCTCTATTAACAACACAACTAGATACTATAGGTGCTAGGTGGTCAATTAATCCAAAGTCCGACGGGCGGATGAGACGGCCAGTTTATTTTGTAAGAATGGAACCTTCAATGAACTTCTGGCATCGTCATCCGACGACAACTAAGCAAAATAGGGAGAGCGGGTCGTGGCAGCCGTATGGATATTGACCCGCAACACCCCCTAAGGACTAAATTCGCAACAGAGCTTAGCACTATAACAATACGCTCGTAATCTTCTGTGGGACGAGTCAACCAGCGAGGGGGTTGTTACGTAGCACCTATCATTGTGGGCAGGTAACAACTTCTAATATTGTCCTAGCGTATACAATACCTATGCTCATCCGGTAGCAAGTGCTGTTAGAGGCGTGAAAATACGGGGACATGTATACATGAAGCACTCGAACATCACAGGTATCTACGGGTAATGTAGGTGCGCGGTAGGTTACGACTTTCCTCTTGTTCTCCCCCCCGTCCGCCTGCCCTCAGCGTCCACCTTTAATTACCCACAACCCGACGTTTGCCTTCTTAGACTCAGCAGACCGAACGTCACCGTTCCCCTTTCGTTAATCTCGGGTAGCGAGGCTCGTCACATATCGACTTCGTACAGCCTTTCGGCCTTCCACTGTTGACACCGCTAGTGGAACGGCATCAAGACCAAGGCCAGGTGTATACGGGTGTAACTAATGTCAACTCAGAGCAGGTTCCTCTCAATACCAAGGCTGGGGATTTGCCGACATAGGCTGGTTACTTCGTATAACTACATTTAAAGCTATGAGAATGAATATGCGAACAGATGCGTACGTTCTCGGGGCGGCTAAGTGTCGCAGGAGGGCAGTAAGGCCTAAGTATGGGTGATGGTTCTTTTGGTAAAAGACAATAATTATCTCTGATATCTTGCTTCCGCAGACACGTGTATAATATAGAATACCTACCTGGTAGTTAATGCTAATATATACTAGAGGTAGGCCTGTACCTGAGCACCAGGATGTACCTATCATGTGCCGGCAGCGGCCTTTCTCTGGTCCGATTCTGAAAAGGGCAATCAGCTATCTCCTATAGCCAATCAATTCCCCCTACAGATCACCTCTTCCCACCTGTCCATCTCCATCCTCCACCACCTCCCATGCTGGACCTCTGGCGCTGTTCCTTGACGCAGCTCTTCGCAAACAATCAATTTTTTTCTCTTTAATTCCTACACCTGCCATCCCCTGAAACCGGCGGCCCCAATCTCGGACTCGCATCGTTTCATCGTGTCCTCTCGCGTGTGTTGTGTTACGCGTCTAGTTCTTTAGGCCGCCTAGTAAGCCCCGTCCCCCACCCCGGCAGCAGCAGCAGCTCGTTGATCGCTCGCTCACCCTTGTCGTCGCCTCTCTCTAACCGGAGACGCAGCCAGAGATTGTAACGGCTACCTATCGTGGGTCACTATCATGACCGCCACCAAGGGTCGAGAGGGTAGCATCACCCCCAAGGCCGGCGCTAACACCCCCGAGGCCGGCGTCACCGAGAAGGTTGATGTCGCTGGTGCTGACAGCAACACCGCCGAGCCCGCTGGTGAGCCTGGGTTCACGGACGAGGGCGACGTTCACCAGGGCACTGCCCGTATTTTGAAGCACCTTTTTGTTACCGTCGGGGCCAGCTCCAGCTTCCGTCGCCTCCTCCAGGAAGTCATCTCCGACACCTTCCTCAGCAAGCTCAAGTCGCTAGCCTTTACCCATGTGATTGTCCAGTGTGGGCCGGATATCGAGTGGTTCGAGGCTCACCAGCCCGTCCAGGACCCCACCGGCGCTGAGGCTATCGTCATTATAGGTTTCCCTTACACCGACGACCCTCGGGGCTTCATGGAATTGACTACGGCCGTCCCTGGCCAACGGGATCGTGGCCTCATTATCACTCACGGCGGTAAGTCTGAAATACCCACCGTGAGCAGGACGCATATAGCTGCCGCCCCTATTCTCCGGCGATACAGCCGACTTCGGGTGTCTCCTCTACCCCCCCCCCCCCCCAACCACTTTCTCTTCCGGTTCTTTGCTAACGCCTTGATCCTCTCTCGTAGGCTCCGGCAGCATCCTGGATGCTCTAGAGTTCGACACCAACGTGATTGCGGTGCCCAACCCTGAGCTCATGGATAACCACCAGGAGGAGATTGTGGAGGGCATGGCTCAGGAGGGATTTCTCATCCACGGAACGCTCGGGTGAGTCGGTCGTGCCCCCTCCACCCCCCTCCAGACGCGTGGAGCTGACCATCCCCGGGGCGCAGCACCCTCGACGAGTTGCTCTCGGAAGACTTCCTCAGCCTCGCGAACGAGCCGTGGCCGCCGGCTCCCTACCCCGACGAGCCGTTCCCGGGCGGCATCTGGGACGCCGTAGACGAGCTCGTGTACCGCATCAGCGACCGCGTCGGCGAGCACCGCTACCCTAGCGCCCTGCTCGCTCTCGCCGGCGCTGCCGCCGTCGCCGCCGTGCTCGTGGCCTTCGTCGCCCCGCTCGTCGACTCGCTCACCCAGTAGGAGCAGTAGGTAGTAGACAGACGCCGGTTTCCTCCCTCTATTCGATCGACCTCTGGTCCTGCCCCCTCCCTCCCCCAAAGGAATCTACCCGACTAGGTTAGATAGTTGGGTGGCAGGGTACGTAGGTAGTTCACGGTTTCTTGCTTCTTCGACAGCACACATTTCGGAGTTGGGCGTGGTAGATACCCCGGGGGGAACCCGCGGACTACGCTCCGTAGTCAGGAACTCGACCCTTTTTTCACTCGACTGCTGGGCCGGGAGGCCGGCCTATGGGCCGCCGCAGCCAGCAGTAGGAGTAGCTAGAGGCGGACAGTCCGAGGTTAACTGCATTTGAATGGATTTTACTTCTTAAGCCGTGGCGCGAAGAGAGAGATGACTACGTGTGATACTGCCATCCTTACGACCCCCAATCCCCCCCCTAACCCTCGGGGCATTGGACTATCAATAGGCCGCAAGTCGTTCAACGCCCCCGGCGAGCCTAAGGAGTAAGTTCCGCAGAGAAGCACGCGTATAGCTACGTTCCCCCCTCGAGATCCGACTGTGAAGGTGCTCCCGCAACGCCCGTCTTATCTGACTACGAGTCGCCAGCCAGTCCTCCTTATACACCCCATATAACGTCTGCTCCCTATCGACCCATCACACCCCGCCGTTGGGAGAAATAAAAAGAAGTCTTCACGAAATCTCTGCATTCACGCTACTCCGCACATAACAGGTAGTAGTAGGTAGGCACCTAACCTCCGTAAGCCGCCGCACCGAGCCACGCGAGGCCGAGTGCGTAAACATTGCGTAGCTTCTTCGCCGCCCCTCCCTCCGGCCCATTCCTTTCCTCTCCTCTCCTCTCCTCTCCTCTCCTCTCCTCTCCTCTCCTCTCCTCTCCTCTCCTCTCCTCTCCTCTCCTCTCCTCTCCTCTCCTCTCCTCTCCTCTCCTCTCCTCCCCTCCCCCTCAACCTCAAACCTCCCGAAACCTCGATCTAGACCTCCCTTTTTCACTGCAGCCCCTCGACCTTCCACACCTTGACCGCCGCGTCGCCGCCGGCGCTCGCCACCCTGGTGCCGTCGGCGACCCACGCGACGCCGTGGACGCCGTCCTTGTGCGCGTTGGGCGCGCGCACGCGCGCCCCGGGCCGCGCCACGCTCCACACGAAGACGTGCGTGTCGAGCGCGCCGCTCGCCGCGTGCGCGCCCGCCGCGTCCCACGCGAGGCTCGTCACGCGGCCCGTGTGCGCCGACCAGCGGTCCGTGACGAGCTCGAGCTGCTGCGCGCCGCCCGCCGCCGTCGTGGTCCGGTACGCGTAGATCTTGCCCGCCGCGTTGCCCGCCGCCAGCCGCGCCGCGTCCGCCGAGAAGGCGAGCGCCGAGATCGGCGCCGTCGAGCCCGTCGCCGCGTCGCCCGCCGGCGTCAGCGCCGGCGACCCAGAGCTCCCCGCCGCCGCCGCCCGGTACAGCCGCACGGCGTTCGCGTCCCCCGCGCCCACCGCCACGAGCGACCCGCGCGCCGCGATCGCCGTCGCCCCGCCCCCGCCCACGTCCACCGTGCCCGCGAGCCGGCCCTCGACGAAGATCTCGACGCCGGCCGCCGTCGCCACGTACACGCGCCCGTCCGCGGCGGCGGCGACGCCCCGGGGCTGCGCCGACAGCTTCGCGCTCGCGCCGGCGAACGTGTTGGCCGGCTCGTCGACGATGCGCAGCGTGTCGTCCCAGCCGACGCTGAACGCGCGCCCCGCGCTGGTCGCGAACTGCGTCACCTGGTTCGTGTGGCTCTGGCCGTCCGTCGCGGCCGCCGCGCCCGCGGCCACGTCCCAGCGGCACACGCGGCCGTCGAAGCTCCCCGTCCACAGCGTCTGGCCCTTGCCGTCCGACCCCGCGCCGAGCGCCGTTATGCTCTTGTTGTGTCCCTGGACGACCCGGGTGGGCTTGGGGCTCCCCTCGACCAGGTAGTTCAGGTCGCCGCTGAGGCTCAGGCTGATGATCAGGCCGTCGCGGCGGCCGTGCGGCCACACCACGCCGACCTGCTGGTCCTGGACGCTGACGCCGGCGTCTTCGCCGAACTTCCACGTCTGCGTAACCTTCCCGGCCTCGACGTCCCACAGCTTCACCGTCTGGTCGGCGCTGGCGGTCACGAATCTCTTCGAGTCGCTCGCCCAGCTGACGGCGAATATGCTGCCGGTGTGCTCTCCCTCGCCGATTGACCTCGTCGGTTCGCCGGTCTTTCCGTCGTAAAGCTGGATCCGCTTGTCGGCACCTACGGTGACGAGGGTATTTCCGTCGGGAGAGAAAGCCGTGCCCAGCACAAATCCCTTGTGAATGCCGCTTGACTTGGAGTTAAACTTGAACGGAGCACCGTGTAGGAAGCATAGCGCCATGTCATCGCTGACGGTCGCGGCCCGGAGCGGCCTCAGCGGCCGTATAGCGACGGCGTTGATTACCTTGGAATGTCCGGATATCTCGCCCACGCTGTTGCCGCTGTCTGCGGTGATGCAATGGCCGAACCGCTCGCGCCCATCACCGACGGCTATTATACGCTGCGAATCTCCATCCCACGCTATGTCGTTGATGCGACCGGAAATGATGGAATATTCACCTGGGATCGAGTATCGCGTTAGCCTGATATCTGGGCCGCCGATTCGTGCCCGGGCAGTAGTAGGTCAATAGGTACCTACCTTTCGTGTTGACGGCTTCCGTCGAGTCCCATACCCGGACCGTTCCTGAGACATCACCACTCGCGACGTAGAATCCGCTGGGGGAAAATCGTGCTACTGTTGTTTGGGCAGTGTGGCCGGTGTACTGCTTGCTGTTGGAAGGGTCGTCGATGGAGCGGACAAAGACTGATTTTCCCGACTGGTTTCGTGTTAGATGTAACCTTTCTCGGCCTCGCCGAATCTCGAGGAGCTTCTAAGTTACGTACGGCGTAAGCTAACCGTTCTCCTTTGGGGTCGGTAGACAGCTGGGTCGGCTGCCCCCGAGTCGTCACCGGAGAAGCAGCGAGTATCTTCTCAATCGTTAGAGACATCCCGACGCTGGTAAGGACGCCGTCCCTGCGCTGTTTCCGTGTACCAGAAGAATGTAGAGCCTGGATACTATTTTTATCGCCTTGACTGCCTATGATTCGAACGAAGCCGCGAGTTGAAGTCTGTTATAAGTGGGAGATCAGACGGCTATGAGATGGAGGGGCAGCCAACTTGTTGTTTCCTGTTGCGGGGCAGCTTCAGGACCTATGCATCTATGCACTTAAACGGTTTATACACTTATCCACATAGGTCCGTTTTTAGGTATCGAGGTGTGGCGGGCGCGCCAAGTTATGGCATTATGTAATCGGTACTTGTCTACCTAACCCCTTATTTGTACCTACGAACGGTAAAGAAAAGAAATTCAAGGAAATAGGTGTAAGGAGTAAAAATAAAGAGACGTCACTATTAGAGAAGGAGATTTACGATTTCATCCCTTTGGTGTTTATTATCACGAAATCATCTGTCCTGACTACACAGCGAATCCGTAGTTCGCCCATGAATCTGTGCCTACCCACCATATACGATGTAAGGGGGAAGCCGTCCAGCCTCTCAGCATCGAATAGGAGGGAAGCAAACAGGAGAACGCAGGCCAGAGACCGTTGACAAGACCGAGACCTCACAGTGCGGGTCTGTAATGCCCGGGGTTACAAGCAGGCAATGCTTACCAACCGCCACCGCCGAAACCGCCAGTGGTAGCGGCAGGCCAGCCGTCCGAAGTAAGCGCAGAGGCGCCTCCATCGGCAGCACCAGAATCGGCCTGCAAAAGAGGAGCTGCCTCTTTCTGGCATCGGATCTGGGTGTGGCCCATCTCTCCACAGTTGGAGCACTTAACACGGCTATCTGCTCAAGTCGTTAGCGGTGTAACCACAGTGGATCAGCACACGAAGCACTTCGAAGCACTTCGATTTCACTTACAGTCGCGTGGCTTGGGGCATTCCTTTGACATGTGTCCGTATTCGTCGCAGTTGCGGCACTGGATCTGTTTCGGGTTGGTGCAATCTCGAGAATTGTGGCCTTCCTGACCGCAGTTATAGCACACACGGCTACGAGCATCTCCTTGAGGACAGTCTCGAGAGTAGTGGCCAGCTGGAGCCTCGAGTTAGTCTCAATTATCCCAATTACCGAGGTAGGGGAACGCACTCTGACCGCATTTGCGACACTCCACGTCGTCTCCGGCTTGACGAGGCTCGGTGCCTGGGCGTGAAGCCGTTATTAGTAACCTGCCTCATATATGTCTATAGTTAACCTAGACCATGAGGATTGCTTACAGTCTTTGCTCAAATGTCCCTCTTGACTGTCATCGGGTACGTAGTTAGTGACGAGCGGGAACGGGCGTTAGTTGTATGTCAACATACCCGCAGTTATTGCACGTAAATCGATTCACCCGTGGATGGGGACCTGGTCTGAGTTAGCCGGTGATGGAAACGAGAAGAATTAGCTCGGCGTACAATCCCGGATACGATGGCCAGGAGCCTCGCAATTATAGCACATGATGGCGATGCGTTCTTTCTCCACCTTCTCGTGGGGGCATCGCTTCGCGATATGACCGAGCTCGTTACAGTTGCTGCACTTGGCCACACCGCGCTCGACAGTCTCACCAGCGTCCTTGAGACGCTCCATGTTCTCTTCCGGTGATCGGGGCCAAAACTCAGCCTCTCGAGGACGCGCAGGCTTGTCGTTGAGACGATAAGTGACGCAGTACTTCTTGTCAAGGTTGCCCTGAAGATCCATGTTGGTGTAGGTCGAAACCATCGAAGGCTTCTCGGTGGCGATTAGGAACACGCCAACCCCCTGGGCACGAAATGCGGCCTCGAGCTCGACATAGGTCATCTCCCGATGAGACTTGAGATATTCTCGAGTAGCTTCTTTGACATCCGTGAGGTCACGCTCGGAGGCCGCCTTTTTGATACTCTCCCAAGCGACGACGTCATCAACATCGCGGACACCCGAGAAGTCAACATTGCGCGCATTCTTGCACTCCATAGCAGTATGACCTATCGGAAGGGTAAGGCTGTCAGCTTTTCATCTCTATTAATTCGTTAAACATAGTCGACTCTTACCCTCCTCTTTGCAATTGTGGCAGACTATGGGTGGTTTCTCAGGACAATCCTTTGCCATGTGGCCTTCCTTCTTGCAATATCGGCATTCACCAGTAAATTCCTGGGGGGGAGCAGTGGGGCAATCACGGATAAGATGGCCCTCCTCGTTGCAGTGTCGACACTTCATGACACGGGGCTTGGGACACTCGGCCTTGTTGTGGCTTGGAAGCAAGGTTAGCTGGAACGCGACCGGCACGACTGTTCAACTCACCCCTCTTCGCCACAGTTGAAGCAGGCACGGCTACCGCTGGTGCCAGCGCCAGCATCAGCGCCAGCTCCAGCTCCAGCTCCGGCGCCAGCTCCGGCGGCTCCATCGGGACCGGCAGCGGGCCAGCCATCACCTCCAGGGGGGGCCCAAGGCATTTCAGAAACACCCCAGTCATCATCACCATTGGCGGCAGGGGCCGCGACGGGAGATCCGCCACCAACACCCCAATCGTCAGACATGTTGGTTGACTAGGAAGAAGTGTCTGAGAGCTGGTTAGTGCAATTGTACGGAGCCGAATACAGGCAGTACTAGACTGAGGAGAAAGGCGAGGCAAGAACACCTCGCTAAGGAGACCGCTCCGGGGGAGTGCTCTGTGCAATAGTATTACCTTCTCCCACAGGGTACGAGATCGGAGGAAGAAAGGATAGACTTGCCGACCAGCGTTTGGAGGCAGGCAAGCGAGCTCTATGTGTGATGAACGTGATAGAGGCAAACGACCCGGGAGGAGTAGCAGAAGCAGGGATGGGGAAGGGGAAACACTCATCAATCTTGAGAATGCTAGGCGATGGCTGCTTGCTTACCTTGCTCAAGCGGGGAAGGCTGAGAGGGGAAGGCTGAGAGGGGAAGGCTAAGAGGGGGAAGATGCTCTGTGGAGTGAGAAAACTTCAACTTTGCAAGCGTCGAAGCTCGACTTGTTGACGTAGAAGAAGACGAGCAGGAGAAGCCAAGGCAACGAGGTTGCACTAGAAGTTAGTCTGTCACATCAACGTCTCCTGACGGTGATGAGCAGGAGGGTATTGAGCGGCAGGCTGATGTGTGTGCTTCGAGGAGGAAGACGAGGAGTGAGGGAAGAAGCAGGTCAACAGGTCGGGGGATAAGAGGCAAGTAAGGTAGGTAGGTAAACAGAAGATAGGTGACGTAATAATCACAGATGTCTCGATGAAAAACACAGGCGGCGTGCCTGCCTAAGCAAGACATGCGTAGCTGTGGGTGATGTGTGCCTAGATAGATTCTGAGCAGGAAGCAGCGTTGCTGGGGTCCTGCCAGCACTGAAGGCACAACCTGCCCAGGCCGGCAGCTTCCAGGAAGAGAAAGGAATCTAGGACCTTCAAGTATCAATAGGTACCTCTCCTATCGAGATTGAATGTACCTAGACGTGTAAAGTACCTATTCACAAAACGGGGGTTGGGCAATGATCCGCCATAGTATACCATACTACAGACAGATACACCATTTAGAGGCATACCTACTTACATACAGGCTGGTGGGAGATGCCCCTTCAGATGGTCAAGCAGTTGGCTGCGTGCATATTGCTACCTACCTAGATGTAGGGACGCGTCAGGCTAAAAGGAAAGCCACCGTCCTTTGAACGTGTGATCTAGGATTTGATTGTGAAGTATTATTAGCTAGGCATAGTTACCCTCTTTATCCGTTGATAGCGGCGGATGTACGGCCTCGAAATGTGTCTAGTGTCCAGCAACTAACAGCACGATATCCAAGGTCTGGGAGCTGCCCCTCAAATCAACAATTAGACGAGATCATAGCCAGGCCTTGCTTGGGCTCCGGGCTCCAGGCAGCATTCTCCCTTAGGTAATGCCGCGCCTAGTCTGTGACAAGAACAAACCGCTTGCCTCCAGCTCCTTACTCTCTTTACTAACCTACACCTATGACGGCAAAGGAGCAAGATTCCCAAGTCCCTCCTCTTTCAGCAGCAATACCTCAGTAAGAATCAGAACTCCTGATAATGTGCCCGCCAAGTAGCTTCATATGATTATTCAACCTGATCGAAGCGTGATAGGACCTCCCAAGACTAGCTACACGTGGTAGAGAGACTATCTTCATATAGTTATGAGGAGTGCTTAATCAGACTCGCCGGTAGAGGATCCAAGTGTGAGTTGAATTGGTTCTATTTAACTAGGCACCCATAGTTGATATGTAGCGAAACTCCTGACAGATATTCCCGGTTATTGATTATTACTGCTTCGAGGTTGCCACGTTCCACTACACCCACCCCTCCCCCTTACATGTCTGCCACTAACGATACATAGAGGCTCTTCAGTTATACTCTTCGCATTCAAAACTGTATACCGTGATGCGGAACAACCCGAGGAATGCGTGGCAATCTCTGGTTATCAGGGGAGGATAGGAACTGTATTATCAGTTGCCCATAATATTACCTCACCGTTGCCCGATGCCCGACGACATCTCTTAAACCAGCCACGACCATGACATCATTTCAGCCCTACGTATGCCGTATTGGCTGTTTGCTTTGCTGACAGGATGGTGGTGAAATTGGCGAGATCGGGGAGTCGGGAACCAAGATTGCGAGCTGCCAAGGATGACTCCCCGCCGGTGCCGACACGCAGGTAATAATCCAAAAGGGGTTCTCCAGGGAGGGGGGAGGGGAGGGAAGCTATAGCTAGACTAACAGCATGTCGCCATCGACGGGGAATCTACCTAATGCATTTTTGAGGGCGGTTGAAAATTTCCCTCGTGGTTCGGCTCTCCCTCGCCTAGAAAACTCTAGGCGAAGTGCCGCACGAGTGGAGGTAACCTACCTGCCCACCTATTTAAGTGTCATCTTTCCTGGCGCACAATATGACCTGTTAGTGCTGCGGTGTAATATGCGGCGGGAATGTCGAGTATTGCGATTAGTGAGCCGAAGTTGCGTTAGGCATCTAGCTGCCCATGAGAGATGTAATATCGTTGCACTCCTCGCCTTAACTCCTACCTCCTACAACATAACGCCTAAGACCGCGCGGAAGGGAAAGTCCCTGACGAAAACCGGAAATGCAGCGATTACATAACTATTCATGTGGCCGGATGAGTTTTTCTTCTCTTGAGCAAATAACTCGGCCACAATACCGCCGAAGCGCCGTCGAATGAGACGGGAGCATAGCGGTAGGCGAACGAAGGCGTTTAGCCATGGTATATACCACAGAAGCAGCTAAGGTGGTATAGCCAGGCATTGTGCGGATCGCTAATGCATACTACCTCCGCCGGAAGCCAGCGGGGTCGGCGTTCCGATATGAAGATCAGACTGTCTCGTCTCTCTCCCTGCCTGCTTCTCTCGATCTGGCCTACTCTCACCCAAAACATACACCTCTGGTAGCACTCCGTGACGTTGGCACGAAGGCGTGCATAGGCTTAGCACGTAAGAGCTCTACTGCCTGTTGAGTGAGACAAGTCCGCGCAGAGCTGGGAAAGGGCCTGCTTATAAATACACACTGACGGCAACTAGGTACTTATCGGTCTTCTCCCGCCCGAGACGACGGCCAACCAACCTCGAGAACAGTAGCAAAGACAGAGAATCGACCTTCCAGCAAAGTCTGCGAATATGTCTGCTCCGGCCGACCTTCCAAAAATGACCTACCGGTTCTTGGGCCGATCCGGCCTCCAGGTCTCGGCCATCTCCCTGGGCGGCTGGCTCACCTATGGTGGCCATGTTGACAAGGGTGAGTTATGAGGGTGCCTCGCGCGCCTTCCGGATAAGCGGGGGAGGCTGGCTAATCTCGCGATTATAATAGAGAATTCCTTTGCGTGCATGAAGGCCGCCTACGACAGCGGTGTCAACTTCTTCGACTGCGCCGAGGGCTACGCTGGTAAGGACCTCTCATCCATCTCCCTCCCTGCCCCAGGCGAGACGAAGAGGCGCCACTGACGTACCGGGGGGGGTTCAACCAGAGGGCAGGTCGGAGGAAGTGATGGGGGAGGCGATCCGGCGGTTCGGCTGGAAGCGCAACGACATTGTCATCTCGACCAAGGTATGTGTGCTCTCTCTCCCCCTCCACCCGTAACACCCCTCCTCGCCCCCCCCCCCCCCCCCCCAAACCTAGCCAGGTCGTAAGTCTAGGTCGTCAAAGCCGGGTGCTGACTCGAAACAAAAGATCTACTGGGGCACCGCCTTCGGCGACAACCCGGTGAACAACAAGGGCCTGAGCCGGAAGCACGTCATCGAGGGCCTCAACGCGTCGCTGGCGCGCCTCGGGCTCGAGTACGTCGACCTCGTGTACGCCCACCGGCCGGACCGGCTGACGCCGATGGAGGAGACGGTGCGCGCCTTCAACCACCTCATCAGCACGGGCAAGGCGCTGTACTGGGGCACGTCGGAGTGGGGCGCCGACGAGATCGCGTCGGCCTGGCGCCACGCCGACCGGCTCGGCCTCGTCGGGCCCCTGATGGAGCAGCCGGCGTACAACCTGCTGGACCGCGAGAAGGTCGAGCGCGAGTACGCCAACCTGTACCGCGAGGTCGGCCTCGGCCTCACCGTCTTCTCCCCGCTCAAGCAGGGCATCCTCTCGGGCAAGTACCGCGACGGCGTGCCCCCCGGCTCGCGCTTCGCCCAGGAGCAGGTCGAGTTCATCGCCGGCTTCTGGAAGCGCACCGGCAAGGAGCAGTGGGACGCCACCGTCGCCAAGGTCAACAAGCTCGAGCCCATCGCCGACCGGCTCGGCATCAAGCAGAGCCAGCTCGCGCTCGCCTGGGTGCTCAAGAACCCGAACGTGAGCTCGGCCATCGCGGGCGCGAGCAGCCCCGAGCAGGTCTACGAGAACGTGCGCGCCCTCGACGCCGTGGACAAGCTGACCCCCGAGATTCTCGCCCAGATCGACGACATCTTCGAGAACAAGCCGCCGGCGGTCGTCCCGCGGTTCTAGACGGGATAGTATTTCGCATTGCGTATGCGATTATGGGACTGCAGATACATACCTAGACTTTGCGGGAAGAAAAATGATGTATTAGAGTGTCTAGAAGTACATAGGCCTAGGTGGAGCCGAGATGAATATAACCTCCCGGTACATCTACTTCCAAAACCACAGAGCGACGGCCAAGCTGGCCATTACAGCCATCGTACCTCAGACATGCTGGAAAATGTGGAAGCGGCCGTGTAAAATGTAGAATTCTCGATGCGCCCGATGCCAGCACAATTTCCCATACCCCCGAGCGAAATAAGTCGGGTTAATATCAAATGCCGGCCAGTACTCCGTGCGCCTAAGGCGTTAATACCTATGATGCCACATCTCCTGTCCGACCTGCCTCGGTATGACAATCCCTTCAATCGCGCGACTCGAGCTTGAAGCTTTCGCCATTACGCAGCCCGGAACTCCATTACCCCCGTGCAAACACGTCTCTTCTATTCGATCCTGGCGGCCTTTCCCGAGAACCCCGGTGAAAACAGCACACGAGTCTAGTTTGGGCTCAAGACTGCTCTCGGGGGCGGTGCCGGTAGATTCGATGGTGGAGGCGGCGCGGCTGATTGCGACCGGTCAGACCCGCGCTCTATCTCGTCGTACGTCGGTGGCGCGTTGATGCCGGGTCCACCCATCGCCGTCGTTCCAGCCGGCTGTCTCGGCATGGGCGACAGCTCCACGCCCTCGGCGTCATCGGGTCGCTTCTGCGGCGCGGTGTACGCGGGCGGGGCCTCGCCCAGCTCGTTCAGGCCCTCGTCTCTGGTGCCGAACCCGAAACCCCACCGGCCGGGCGCGTGGTACCTCTCGACTGCGGGTCGTCCGGGGCGGGGCCGGGGATGGTGCGCCATGGCTTCCAGGTCCCGCTCGAGAGCATTTGTCCCGTAGCGCATGCGGAGCTTCTGCTGTCGGCGGTAGCGGTAGCACACGAGCAGCATGCCGACGACGGCGAATATGACGAGCGGGACGAGGATCCACGAGAACGGGTAGTCGGTGAAGATGCTCCCCGAGTCGGAGTCAGAGTCGGCGTCGTAATCCATCCTGGCTGCTGCTGCTGGGTGCGATGTTTGCTGCGCGATCGATCGTTCGGGAGAGCGGCGACGCTGGAGAGTTGAGGAGGGAAGGGAGAGGAGTTGGACGGAGGCGGTGCGGCGGCGATGAAAAAGACTTGGCGGAGACGCCGGAGGGTTCGCTCAATGCTAGGTGGATGGTAGGTACTTGCCAGGTGCGACGCGGGAGTGGCGGAGGATCTTGGAGGGACCAGATAGATGACGAGGAGACGGGGGATTTGCTCTAAAATCTACCCAGTTCAATGGGATCGGGTAGTGTTGGCCTCGCAGCGCAGTGGTGCGGGATCGAATGCGCTGTAGGGGCGAGGGGAGATGTACAGGATCACGATGGCAGCCGGCACCATCGACGGTATTTCGACCACATTTGACGGCTTGAACTTTGTTGGTTGTGAGAGGAGGGAGGTCGTTCGTTCGTGTCCTGGCTGCTCTAGGATAGCCGGTCAGCTGATTATTATAGGTAGGGTGGCGGTGTTCACAAAGACGAAAGCAGGAGAGACGTAGAGGCGAGTTTGGACTCGAGGTGAGACCTCCAAGTGCCCCCCCGGTAGACTCGGATAACGGGAATGGGATGGGCCACTTGACCTAGGGGAAGGGGTACCTGCTAGTCATCAGCAGTCAGCGAGATCCGGATCCCGCAGCGTTTCGTCCGGAGACAGGCGCATACGTATGAGTGCTACCTAGAAAGGCCTAGTGCGGGGCGCCGAGGGCCTTAGTGCGGTTTGACTCGGACAGGATTTTACGTGTAGGTACCTAACTTAGGTACCTTAAGTAGGTTAGGTACTTAAATACAACCAAACTCTGAAAACGGCGTGTGGCGTCGATGCCACCACGAGTTTCTTGCCGTGGCTGGGCGGACCTGTGGTTTGCCGAACACGTCATGCTCCGGTTTGTAGAATATTCGGATACATACATATATACCCATGTCCTAAATCCACCAAGGTATAAATTCATTTTTACGGAGCACTGTTTCGTCAACCTGCAACAGCTCTCTCTCCGCCTTAACTCTACCTACCTTACAACATTGCCACGAGATTTGACGCCCTCTAGCCGGCGTAGAGCAAGCAAGCTATCGCGACCTCCCATCAAAACCCCCGCCAAGATGGTCCGCGCTATCAAAGGTTGGTTGCTGTTCTTTTGCCGCCTGTTCGGGTTTCCTAGAGACGACGACTAACGCGTAGTCGCAGGCACCCTGGTGGAGTGCGACCCCTCGATCAAGTCCATCATAGTCAGCATCGACAGCGAGAACAACGATCTGATCATCATGGACCTCGACGATTCCCATCTCGTCGTTAAGGACAACATGGTGGCCATCATGAAGGAGAGACTCGAGTTGGTAAGTCGAGGCCACACCGCACCGTCTAGCCTTGGGTGACTGATGGTGGCTAATGCGTCGCAGCGGCTAAGGGAGACGGTTCCTTACGTGGAGAACGACTCGGATTCCGATCGTGATGTCAAATAAGATCCCAGAATATTCGTTTTCTGTATTCTACGTCCCTACCCTCCCACAATCGCGACTTAAGACAGACTAGACAGATGGAAGGACACTCCGGGCGCGAACATACGCAGCAGCTTGCGACGCTGCACCCGCTATCAACTCGGGAGATATCTCAGATGGTTTTGACGGGAGTTTTGGAGTGATTTACGTTCCGACACGCACGTATACCCCTCGACGCGTGCGCGGCCATTCGTCAGTCTATAGCTTCTCAAACCTTGGCTTGCTCTTCGTCAGTCCCGACTTCAGCGCCGCCTTCAGATCGTCGGATTGGAGCATAGCCGAGTTCCACACACTCATGTACCTCAGGTCTAGGCCGATTAGTTAGGCATCACTTGGCCGTGTATTGCGTAGAACCGCACTTACTGTCCGCAACGCTGTTGTCCCGAGCATGATTGAGCACTTCCTTCGTACCCTGGACGGCAACCGGGCTCTTGGAGGCTATCAGGGAGGCGAGCTGGATGGCGGCATCAACGGCCTTCGCCTTCGTGTCCAGCACCTGGCTCACAAACCCGACAGCGCGAGCCTCTTCGGCCCCGAAACCCCTAGCCGTTAAGCAGACATCCTTGACCCAGGAGAAGCTCGAGACGATTTTCGGCAGCCGGCTCAGAGTACCGATGTCTGCCGCTAAGCCGATGTCTACCTCTTTGACGGAAAACTTGGCGTCCTTCGAGCAGATCCTCACGTCGGCGCAGGAAGACATGTCGATGGCCAGGCCGATGGAGATGCCGTGCATGACGCAAATCACAGCTAAGTCGCCTTGGTGTTAGCTCGTGGTGACTCGCCCGAGTTGTCCAGGGTGCGGCTTTTCGCTTACGCTTCTCGCATTTCTCTATCTGGCTAATGCAGTCCTGGAATTCGACGATATGACGTCGCAGCTTGGTCGCCCGTCTCGCTCCATCCTGCTGCACCGGCTCGCTCTGCTGTAGGGGGCCTTGCTGACTGGCTGCTTGCACGTCTAGGCCGGCGGTGAAGGCTCGGTCGCCAGCTCCAGAAAAGACGACGGCGCGGACCTCTGGATCGTGGGACAACTGAGAAAAGATCTTGCCAAGCTCAATCCACATTTCTTCGATGAAGGCATTCAGCTTGGCTGGCCGGTTGATCTCGACATGGGCCACATGCTCAGATGGTGAGGAGATGACGAAATGCTTGAAATGGGAATATTCGGTTAATCGAGACATGGCTTGCAGGCCGAGCGGGGAGGTGTGCACTACGTGTGATATATGTCGGATATGAGTGATATAGAGACGCCTTTGTGAAATACGAGATCCTCTTGTGTATTCCGGTTTCGTGTGGTGGGTTATAGGAGAAGGGAATCCCAGTGTCGTATCTTGACGTAGGCAGGTAGTAGACCACTGGCATGGCACCCCAGATTCCTCATGGCCGGTACCTGGGGAGTTGCCGAGGCACCCCCATTATCGGCGGGGATCCGTCCTACACTGGTACCGGGGTCGTTGTCATGGTCTCAGCCCGCACGCTTACCTAACACCACCAGGCGGACGCTTAAGAGAACGGTGCAAGACTCTAGCGCGAAGTCCACACCAGGTGTTGTGTATTCGAGAGATAACACCGCGGCTTTGGCCATGCGCTCCGTCTTCAGGCAGCTGAATTCCAACTAGGTACCTAACCCACTTAACAGGTACCTAAGGTACCGAGCCTTGTCCCGCACGTAACCGAACTCGTGTATCCCCTTAGGTAAGGTAGGGTACGTACTTCTAGGTACCGCGGGGCGCGTCAAATTGGAACCCAGTCGAGTTCTTGAAACACGCTAAACTACACTTGGGTTAGGCTATCGGCAACAACAATGGCCGACCACCTCCTAAAAAAAAAAGTGCCAATTGGTTTGGCTTGGATCTCCACGTCTTCACCACGACAAGCAGCAGCAGCAGCAGCAGCAGCAGCATCATTCGGCTTCACGATGGCGGCAGCGGTTGCGCCTCTCCCGCCGCTGAGGCTTCCTTCGGGGCCTTCACCGGTTACGGCAGAGCAGAAATACTGGAAATCGTTCACGAATCAGCTTATACTGCCGTCACCGACACAATACCCCATCACCCACATCACCGTCCCTGCCGCGAACCCAGCCACGACCGAGTTCTCCAATAATGACTACTTCGCCGTCACCACCGGGACGCGAGTCCAGATCTACTCGATACGAACCAGGAAGCTCGTCAAGACCATCACGAGATTCGGAGACATCGCCCGGAGCGGAGACGTGCGGCGAGACGGACGGATAGTAGTCGCTGGAGACGACTCCGGCAAGATCCAGGTCTTCGACGTCAAGTCGCGAGCCATTCTCAAGACCTGGACGCAGCACAAGCTGCCCGTGTGGACGACCAAGTTCTCTCCCACCGATCTCACCGCCCTCATGAGCACCGGCGATGACAAGACCGTCCGCCTGTGGGACCTGCCCAGCCAAGAAAGCACGTCGACCTTCGTCGGCCACGGCGACTACGTGCGGAGCGGCTGCTTCATGCCGAACTCGACGTCGAACACCTTGGTCTCGGGCAGCTACGACGCCACGGTCAAGATCTGGGATCCGCGGACGCCGGGCGCGGCCGTCATGACCTTCCGGCACGCGGCCCCGATCGAGGACGTGCTGCCCCTGCCCTCGGGCACCACCGTCGCCGCCTCGGCCGAGAACCAGATCTCGGTGCTCGACCTCGTCGCCGCGAAGCCGCAGCGCGTGCTCGCCAACCACCAGAAGACGGTGACCTCGCTGTCCCTCGCGTCCGGCGGCCGCCGCGTCGTCTCGGGCGGCCTCGACGGCCACGTCAAGGTCTTCGAGACGACCGGCTGGAACGTCGTCGCCGGCCTCAAGTACCCCTCGCCGATCCTCGCCGTGCGCGTCGTCGCCGGCGGCGGCGGCGGCGGCGGCGGCGGCAGCAGCAGCAGCAGCGACAGCGACCGCCACCTCGCCGTCGGCATGCAGTCCGGCGTGCTCTCGCTGCGCACGCGGCTCGCCGGGCCCGAGGCGGCGCGCGACCGCGAGCGCGAGAAGGAGATGGCGGCGCTGCTCGCGGGCACGATCGGGGCGCACGACCGGGCGGCGGCGAAGCGGAAGCGGCGGGGCGGCGGCGGCGCGGCGGCGGCGCGGCTCGACATGGCGGGCGAGGGCGCGGACGTGGTGATCGCGAACGACGCGTCGCGGCGGCGCCGCGAGGCGGGGTGGCAGCGGGACCTGCGGCAGGGGCGGTTCCGGGCGGCGCTGGACCGGGCGCTGGACGAGGGGACGCGGACGCAGGGGCCGGTGGCGGTGCTGGCGCTGCTGCTGGCGCTGCGGCACCGCAGCGCGCTGCGCGACGCGCTGGAGCGGCGCGACGAGGTGTCGGTGCAGCCGGTGCTGCGGTGGGTGCAGGCGCACATCATCGACCCGCGCTACGTCGACGTGTGCGTCGACGTGGCGACGCACCTGCTGGACCTGTACGCGCACCAGCTCGCCGCCAGCGCCGAGCTCGAGGCCGCCTTCCGCCTCCTGCACCGCCGCGTCCGCCAGGAGGTCGAGCGCGCCCAGGCCGCCGTCAAGACCGGCGGCATGCTCGAGACCCTCCTCGCCCACGCCGACTGAGCTGTCCCGGTTTGGGGGGCGGGGGGAAAGGAAAAGGAAAAGGGGATGGGGAAGATGGGATAAGTGGAAGGTAGAAGAAGAAGAAGAAGAAAGGAGTGAGCTCGTCTTTCGTAGGGTCTTTTTAAAGGGTTTCTTGCATCGCGACGGCGTCCCGGTCGGAAAACTTAGGTATTATACGCAGGGCCAAGATCGTTAGGTACTTGGGGGGGGAAGAAGGCAAAGTCAGAAAAAAAAAAGAGAGGGCGGGAATAAAGAGAACTGCCCAATATCTACCTGTCTACCTATATGCATGCGTGTGCCAGTCAGCCAGGCTCGGTTGTGTAGATATCCGGGGAACACGCAGGCTTCGTCTCGCCGTCGGCTTTCGGAGGTCGACACAAGCCGGCGGTCCCAGTCCTGCGCGTACAACCGGCGCAACGGGGCTAGATACACCCGAGGTCGCGAGGTCAAGCGAGATCCACACGCATTCTCGACGACCTAACTTACTTCATCATAAGTCACGTTTTCTTCACCGCGACGACGAGCAAGGAACCCCCAGGAAAAAAACAATTGCCGGAAAGCCTTCTGACGATTCGTTCGTAATGTACAGTTTCTGCGACGACTCCGCAAACTACGCGTGCCCTAGTTACCAACTCCGACGAGAAAACACAGCCTCCCCACCCTCCTTGCTCTCGGGAATCGTGTTCGCATATGCAGGCGCCAAGGCTCGAAGTTGGCCTCGTGCCGATTTCCAAGCCCGTTCCCCCCCCCTCCGTCCCGTCGGTTCCCTCCACGCCTCCGTCCCCTCCGCGCGTTTGTCTATATGAGCGCGGCTCAAGTAGGGCCGACCTCGCCGCCGACCCATCCCGAGAGCGGCCAACCCTGTTGGGTTGGAGAGCGGGCGAAGAATAGAATTAAAAAAACAGTGTACTCAAAACAGGTTCGCCCACTCTTTCTTTCACATGATAACTTTACAACAACGCCTATACGTCCCTCGTCCCCCATGCTTGTTCTCAATACCCCCCGTGTCGTCGTGCCCTGCCCGAGCCGATGTCGATCCTGCTCATCTCTTCCATCAGCGCCCACTCCTCGCCTCGGCCGCGAGACGGTCCTAGGCCGCCGCTCATCATCGGGACTTTGGCCGGGATCGGCGGCCCGCTGCCGTAGCCTGTGCGAGCGGCACCGGGGCTGTGATTCTCGTAATCGAAGGTGCTAGCGCGAACGAGTGCTCGCGGAGGCGTGCTGTTGCGCCGATGGGATGTAGAAGGGCCAAGCGGGCCCGGGCTCGAAGAGACCGGCGCCGGTAGCGCCGGCAGGGCTGATGCGCGATGGGCTTTCTTCTGCAGACGGTTCCGCCCGCTGCCCACGAGAGGAGGCGTACTGTCCGAGGGAATATATCCCGATGTTGGTGACGTACCCGCCGACGACGTTGGGCGAGCCCCCGCGCCACGAACCGGACGTCGCCCAGACGCCGGCATCGGCTGCGCACCCGCAGGGATCGGGCGGGACCGAGTTTCGACAGGATCTGACGGTTTTTTCGGCTCTGGCTCCGGCGCCCAAGTGTCCATGGGCAAATGATCTGAAGGATCGATTTCTCGTCCGTCGGGAGTCACAATCTTGCCGTCCGCGTTGGTATACTCGGCAACGGTCACCCCCTCCTTCGTCGACGAGACGGAAGGGTTCAGTGCGTCGTAAGAGTCGGGGCCAAAAGGCACACCCGACAATCTTCGGCCGTCAGATGCCGGAGGTGCCGGAGGTGCCGGACTGACGGACTTGCGCTTAATAGTATGATTGATAGGTGGGTTTGGGGAAGCTCCCCGAGGACGAGATGCTGGCACCACGGCCGAAGACGTAGCAGGACCGCTGGAATAAGACACGGGGCTCCGATCGTAGGTTCTCGAACTACTCGCGTGATGTCCGTTTGGATGGTGCTGGAGGGCATAATCGGACGCCGGGGGCTCGCTGTACTGCCTACCCCGGGATGGGGCGCTCACTGGAGCCGGTTGGGTATATCGACGTGTCTGCTTCCTCTCGTGATGGTATCGATCGGATATTTCCCGCGCGTAGGCCGGGTCCACTCCCGGGACCAGCGTTGGGGGTACCGGAGGCAAATCGTAATCGCCCTGTGCGCGAACTTGGCTATCTTCCAACTCGCTCGGGTGATTGAAAGAACGGTCGTTCGCGTACGGACGAGATACTAGGGTTAGTGCTTGGGAGTAGTCCTCGGACGCCATTGGTGACGGCGAGGGGCTGTAGCGGTTCGGATCGTACGGTTGGGACTGTAATGGTGAAGGGCTATAATGACCGGATGCCGCACTGCCTCGTCCGTTTAAATTCAACGGTGCAGGGCTTGGAGTCTGATGGTAGTCCCGTTCATCATACTGGAGTGTTCGAGAGCCACCAACTCGAGGTCTCGTACCGGGCGGTGTCCACGACTCCGGAACGTCCTCCACGGTAGGCTGCATCGATCGATGATGAGTATCGTATGGCGAGTCGTAGGAGTAATGACGCGGAGGCGAAGGATGGTTGGGATCAACTTCGGGGTATTGCGCCGTACTCTGCATGTCCGGTGCCGAGTCGTACGGGCGGTAAGTAGGCCGACCCGGGTATGACGATGATGAGGAAGACGCGGGGTGTCGATGGGCCTCACTCCGTAAAACATCGCGTCTCATAGGCATCGGATTCTTATGTGAAGCCACGTCAAAACTACCACGAGTTACCAGCTCTTGCGAGCCTCCGCTCGAGTTCCTAACTCGGTGAACTGGTGGCGGCGGAGGACGATCGTCATACTCGATAGGTTGATGGGGATGATGAGCGAGGGAGGGGCTGGACTCGTAGGCTGGCTGGCCATGGCCGTACGTCGCTCTAGGGTCCGGTTCATACCCCCTCGAATAGGCAGTGTCCGGGTGGCGTGAATATTCGTTCTCGTAAGGGATAAACTTGTGGTTCCTGTCGAGAATTCGATGTTGAGAATAGTCTACTACTCTGTGAGAAGACGCCGGGTATTGGCTTCCAGCGGGATACATCGGAGAGGCCTCGTCTGCCGGATTGTTTAGTCTGCTCAGAGCTGTTGTGCTATACTCGCCAGGCTGCGTCGGCGCCTGGCTCGGGACGGCTGCAGTGGGAGGGAGGGGATTAGGTTGAGATCGTGGAGGTGTGTTCGTCTGGTCCGCGACCGAGGGTGGTGCGGGCGCCTGGCCAGTGACAGGATCAGACGGTAACGGGCGTCGTTTTACCGGGTTCTTATGCGATACACCGGTGCTCTCTGGGTCAGGGGTCGGGGCCACAGCACTCGGTTTCGCTACCGCCGCCACCGCTGCCGCTGCCGCTGGCTTTTCCGGCTTCGGGCGAGTGTCGTAGTACGTGATCTCGATCCTGACCTCGCCGGCGTATTTACCTTTGCAATTGAGGCTGTGCCACTGGTCACTCTGACCACCACCGCGCACAATGATATCGCGCAGGTCGATCCAGGATTCGCCAATCAATTCCGTCTTCTTGTCGTCGTTGAACACGGAGAGCTTCAACTGGTAGTAATCTGGCGAGTCATGTACTGCAAACCGCAGTTCCTGGTCCCTACACGACGAACGCAACGGTTAGACGGGGTGTGCGGCGGCCATTATATCACGGATGGGAAACGTACCACTTCGGGGTCTGCCCGCCTCTAATGTCCGTGGTTGTCTTCTTGGCCTCCTTTGCGAGCCGTGCAGCACAGTAGGGATCTTGCTTGCCAATGGTCTTCCTGTTGGGAAGATTCTTGGCTCGGTCGACGATGAGGACGAGCGTTCCAATTTCAGGGCCATCAACGCTCATATCGGAGAAGATGCCGGCTGTGTGCAGACCGTTTAACGGGTTAGGCGCTTTGGTTTTGGCGGCCATCTTTGCTCTTCTAGGCTATTTGCGGGTTCTCATAGGGGAGGTTGGTCAAAGTCCGAAATCGATCCCGAGTCAATTGGTCAGTCGAATTGAGGTCGATGTTTCGGGGGAAAAAAAAAGAAGAGCCTGGACGTGATGGGGTGCAATTCCCCTGGTTCGTGACTTTACAACGACTGGGATTCGAAGCTCTTCTTGTTTACATTCCCCCGGCCACAATTCATACCAATACGTAAAACAGGTGAGTAGTAGGTAGTAGGCTGCACCCGGCTGGCTGACCGGTGGACGATCCGAGCGAGAAGGGCGATTAGGTGCCAAACGAGTGAAAAAGCGCCTTAAGAAAGAGAGAAAACCATTAATATGCTGGACGAGGCCGAGGAAGGGGAGTGGAAGCCAGTAAAAAAGAGAGAAAAAGATGGATGCAATACGAGACAAATTATTAGACAGCGGCCGCGGAAGCAGAAGTGTGCAGGAGAGAAATCGATGACTTGCAGGATTGCAGCTGGCGACAAGACGATGCCCCATACGAAAGCGTACCTGGGTAGAGGGTCGGCAGGTACCTGGTAGTGCGTGCGTGTAGGCAGAGGCGCATAGGTACCCCCCAGGATCTCACTGAGACGGCCAGCGACCGGGGCAAGTCTGCGGGCGGCAATTTGGAGTGGCTGGTGACGAAAACCACGAGGTTGGGGGGTTTTTTGGTAGGCTGAATGCTGAATGCTCATAGTGCAATGCTAAAACAACCCCCCCTAGGCGACACTACGAGTAGATAGGTGGCAGCGCCGCAGGTTGATGCAGCTGCTGCAGTCAGCTACCTAAGCAGTAACCAGCCATAACAGCACCCCCACAGCTCGGCCCCCTACCCAAAACAACCCCGCCCCCCCTTCTAAAAACGACCTATGTCCAGGGACCGGGGTGCTCAGCTTGGGTGCTAAGATTCAGCGCCGACAGGGAGCGAGGACTTTGTTTAGTGGGCCTCCGGCCAATAAACGTGTCTCATCGGCGTATCGGCGCATCGACGGGGTTTATCGATAAGACCGAAGTGTCGAGTCCTCCATGTTTCTTATCCGTCGTTGCTATGGCAAGGTCGGGCCCGTCTAGAGACAGGAGTACATAGCGAGTCCAGAGTCCACACGCGTTTAGCCGTCGAGAGGAAGAGCAGACAGCATTACGGATCCGGGATTGGTGTCTCATGTGTAGCCTCCTCGTCAAGGGTCCTGTCTGAAATTCTTGATCTCATCGGACTCGTCCCGCAATTTGTGCCTGTTTCTTTTGCGTCTGGCGTGTCCGCCGTGCGAGCTCGTGTTCCGCTTTCAGCCATCTTCAGCCAATGTCACCGCCGACGGTTCCGCTGCCTGCCGACCTACCGCCTAACCTACCTAGGTACCTCCTAGACCTACCTCCTACGTGCAGTTAGGTGCGTATTACAGACTATAGTATCCCTCATGTCTGTGGACGCGCAATCCCCCGTCTGCGGCACCGTGCCGAGACGCCAAAATGACGCGACTGCGGATATTTTCTGAGCGCTCACGTCCAATCTCGCCATATTGGTCCAGCGACACTGACCCGACATTCCAACCCAACCCAACCCGCCTACGTCTCTACGTGCTCGTCCCCGCAGTTGCGTACGCGCGGTCCTTACTTTTACACGCCATCCCACACGTGCCGGGGAACGGGAGACGTAATTCCCATCGCAGCATCCATACTTCGGTATCCTCTAGCATCGTGACCGTGGCAAGATTGTCCATTAATAATGATTCTCTCGCCGAGGTTCTACTTAGATCAAACGTGACAAGATCTTTAAAATACGGCCCCCTCTCCTAGCTAGTCAGTCTTCAGCACCATACCCGCCCCGTCTCAAGACCTCAACCCGATACCTCGTGAATATATATATATTATATTATCATTCTTACCCAGTTTACCAGGGTTCTGATAGCGAGAGCTGATCCGCACACTTCGCCAGTGCAACTCCTTCGCCTAGATCATGCAGCGTAGCGGCATGCAGGAAGGAGGTCTGTGTCTACGTAAAGTTGTTCTGGAACATCGGAGAGGTGCCCGAAGACGGCGTTGACACGGACCACGGAGCGTTCGATATGGGACGCCGGAGGGTGGGCTGTCGGGTCCCCATTCAGGGCAAACCAGCGACCCAGCTATCATATCTGTCGTCGAGAGATGAGGCGCGATTCAGCCCCAGTATACGTGACCGCCGCATTCCGCCTCTTCCACCGTGACCGCTTCGGCGGAGTGGGGGTGCCAGTCCCTCCCCAAAAGGCGGCGTGTCCCAATATTGGAACCGGACCTGCAGAGCTACGTACACGTACATAGATCCAACAAAAAGGCACCTCGATACCATGACACCAGTTGGTTTCAGTGAGAGTTGGAGTAACGTGTAACTATGTAAATATGACTTCACGATAATGCTGTGCAAATATGTATGCTCATGCTTGGGACGATTATCTTCCCGCATCTACCTACGTAGAAGTAGGGCGTCCACTCCCAGATTCTAGAAGAATCGTTAGACCGATTAATTAGGTGGCTCAGGTGGACTCGGGTTCGCCGGCAATGAAGAGTCCTCCTCGTCGGTAATATATGAGTACTGTGCATACGTGTAGGTATTAAGCGGTATTATTACCTAATTCGCATGATTTCCATCAGCAGTCTTGGCTTCCGGGCATGTCTCTGTCCCCCTCCCTTTTGGTCTGAATCAATCTCGAGGATTGGTGGCTCGAGTTGGACACTTTAGCGATTCACGTATGCACCTCAGGTAGGCCGTATCGTTGTGGTAGGAGGTACCTAAAGTTATGGATTAGGTATAGAGTGGATGGGCAGTTGGGACAGGTGCTAGGTACCTAGAAAGGTACCTAAGGCATGAGTTCGCTGGAAGGTCCCTAGGTCCTGACTTTAGGGGCCTATCTATTGGGATGCACCATTTCCCCTTCTTTTGAGAGCAATTCCAGATGGGCTTATAGATTGAGCACAGGCAGAGGCACCTGTGGTTGATTTTCTCACAATGTTCCCATCCCCTCGCGGGATGCACCACGTAGGTACCCACCTATCAAAGAGGGTATTAGGTGGTGGGAGCAAGCCACACCAGCCAGCTTAGCCTTAACTCGTACCTCAGCCTCAACGGAGCCCTGGTAAGTTCCTTCATCAACCAACCTGATCCTCTCTGTCTTCCACCTCTCTCTGTCCTCGGACTGATTTTGGTACAGTCTCAATCACGCCGACATCCCGACATGTCGTCTCCCGATGCCTCCTCGCAACCACCGGCTGTTAATTATGTAGTGGGCTTCCTACTCGTGGGGCTCGCTTGGGGGTTCACCACGCCTTTCATCCGCCGCGCTGCCAAGGACCACAATCCGCCGGCGCACCCGCTCCTCGAGAGGGACGATGTGAAGGCGAGCTGGATCCGGAGCAGGCTCTACGGCGCTTTCTTTGCTGTGGTTGACCTATTGCGGAACCCGAGATACGCCGTCCCACTGCTCATCAACTTGACTGGGAGCGTCTGGTTCTTTCTACTCATCGGCCAGGCGGGTAAGTTTACCGGTTCCCGGCGGTCAAGCTCTCGAAGGGGATAGCCAACTAAGATGCTACGTTGCAGAACTGAGCTTGACAGTTCCGATCGTAAACACCCTGGCGTTCCTGTTTACCGTACTCGGGGACTGGTGGGTCGACGAAAAGGCTATTAGTCGCGGTGAGTTGCAAATCTATAACTCTTAATCGTAAGTGGGTGCTTCCTAACACAGTGCTTGCTGCGTAGATACGTGGATCGGTATGGCGTTGTCCATATGTGGTATTGCATTGTGTGTTCATAGCAAATCGGAATAAATGGCCCAGTATTATCATGCGTACGTACTTTATACCTCTCCTTAAGCATTCCAAGCTGCTATACATATTTCTAATAGGTTACATGAAGGGAAGAGAGAGGATGAAGGATGATGTTTTGGTGCTAAAATCAGGGTTCAATGCCCGCTCCCCCCCAGAATTCGGTCTAGCAGGAAATACAATCGTGGCTTTTGGCTAGAAGTGCATGTAGACACTTAAGGTAGACACACACAATCAAGAGCATTAGGTACATACCTTCTACACACACGCCAATAGGTCTCTGGCGGCCTTGGACAGCTATCCCCCTAGTGTAGATTGTATTATGTATGCATATAAAGTCCCTATGAAGAGAACATGTCCACTTACCCCTATTATGCCGTATGGGTGCGCATGCCCATATACCTGCCCCTAGGTAGGCATCCTTGTTCTACGTACATACACGACGCCGGAGAAAGGACGAACACGAGATCGTATTGGCGTCAAATACCCAAAAGAGGTCCTATGGGACAATCCGACCAGAATAAAGGAGGCTCAATGAAAGCCGAGCCCCAAGGACAACAGTCGGTGCGTACATCGAGGTTCATTCATCAAACCTGCGTTACACCGATATTCATCTCAGGTACCTTCGGGGTAGTCGGGACCCCTAGAAAGGAGCACATCGCACCAGGCCACTCCGACTTTGTGCTTCCTCATGATAGGTATCTCCTCATCGAATCTCTCACCAAAGGAGCTTGAAGTCCATGTTCGCTTTTCTTGTAGGTATTGTTTTTTAAACGCCAAATGCCGCCCAGGGGCTGATCGGCAGTTGAGGGATAAGAATAGCTAACCCGCTAAGATCGCGCTTAGCCTTTGCTTTCTCCAATGAGGCCAAGGATACACATTGACAAAGTCGCTTTGATCCAACCGAGGAACGGCAGGGATATTGACAGACATTCTCCATCTCCCATGCAACATCGTAATGTCCACCTGGGCCGCGCGAGACAGAACCCACGGGAACCAAGAATGGCATGGCTTCCCACTAAGTGCGGGAACCACGCCGGCTGGCCAGATTGATATTTAAGACGGACGCTTCCTCGCCTTCAAAGAGCAGCTCTCAAGACCATACTCGGTACAAGTCTTCTCGCCTCTATCAAGCAACAGCCGATCCACGAGACCTTCTCCGCCCTTTCTCGAAATCAGCCGCCTCTCAAGTTCTCTACCGAAAACACCACGACACCGACAAGATGCGTGTTTCTTCCGTTTTAGCCGTCGCAGCTGGGGTCAGCACTGCATCTGCGGCTCCGACGCAGGCTGCAGCTGCCGCCCAGAGCTGGGAATGGGCTGTGACAGAATGGAGCGCCGGTTGTGCGCGACGGGGTTGCTACTACGGTAAGGCGCCGATTGATCGGGCGAACTTGTCGTCCCACCTTACTCATGACATACAGACTTCAAAATCGCCGGCGTTGGGGATTCCACGTCGAAGCCTGCGACGCCTTCGTTCAAGGCATACTGCAACGGAGCAGGCGAGGGCGCCGACTACAGCGCTTGCACCATCCTCGAGGAAGCGGAAACCCCCTATGCGGTTGTGGCGAAGCTCCTCCCGAGAGCGCCGGCAACCAACGAGTCGACGTCGAACCCCCCCGTGATCCAAGTGAGCCTGCAGTTTACCGACTTGGAGACGCCGACGACGTGGTGGAACTACACTGGAAAGGCCGAGGCGAGGTACAACCAGTTCGTGGCGCCGGCCATGAATTTCACCATCACCCCCGACACCATTCACGGTGTTGCCTAAAGGGAACAAGAGTTTAGGGATGGAACTTGAGGTGCGACGTCGATGGGCCGGTTGTCGGGTGAGAGCAACCCTAGTGGTACGCGCGGGGTTTGCTTGATGCCTCTAATATTTCACGTGTCATCAGCCGGTACACATCTGGCCGTCGCTATACTATTATGGCGTGTCTGGGGAATATGTCGCCTCAGTCACCGCGATGAAAACAGATTCTCGGCTACTAGGAGTTTTCGGAGGTTCTAAGACGCCAATTAATGTAATTCTGTCCTCGGCAGTGGCCGCTATAATATTTCAGGATACCTTACTTAATATACCCATACCTAACTTTATTGCCAGCTAGCAGTGAATGGTGCGGTGATGTGATGCCGAGGATATGATTCGAGAATATGCTCGCCTCGATGTCGTTCGAGAATCGTGAGTGGCTTCTAGCATCGATCTGCCCTACTCACGGCAGTCTGGTCCCTCATCTAACTGTGTTTAGAAAAGCGCAAGTCAGATGATGGAGGGAAATGCATATAAATAGAAACTCGGCATGTGCTATGTACCTACGTCACAGGCTTCCATTCCTGCTCGTTCCGTCGCCTTTCCGGGCTGGTCTTTAGAAGTACCAGTTGACCATAAACCCCCCAGCCCATGTGGAATCTCAAATTAGATACCTAGCTAGCGATACCAACGTCAAGAATCCAATTGAGGAACAGGGCAGGCTTTAGGAATTCGTTTAGTAGCCATGCATTTGCGTGCAAGGGGGGGACCGCACTCGATCCTGGAACCATCAGTCGGGGTACTCTGCAGAAGGAACTCCCGTAAGGAGGCCGGATTTAAGGGAGTCGGCCTGGTCTGCGTGCCCGAGGCAGCGCGGTCTGTATAGGTCGCTAAGCGATCACCAATGAGTCTCTGCCCACAACGCTTACAACGTTCTGAGAGAAATCACCTACCTAATTTACTGGCATCCTGCAACGATCTTACCGGACGAGTCTGCGCATTCCAGAACATGCGTCTGCACATCAAGCTTGCCGGGCCAGTGCGAGCAGATTACAAGGGAGCGAGTGATTCAGCTAGGCAATATAAGCATCCCAACGGCTGCCTATATCGATACATTGGGCAGTAGGTAGTAAAGGCCTTGGCAGGTAATAGGTAGTGCCAATCTATCTGCCTAAAGCTCTTCTGCAGTGTAGGATGAGGCGGGTTACCTTGAGGCTCCAACCCAAGGGGAGGGGTGCCTGATTGTTGTCGCGTCACTAGACGTTCACGACTAGAGTAGCTTACGCAAAGAGCTGTGGCTGGTGGCTCTGCCAAGACCAGACGCCGTAGACGCCAAGGCCAGGGGTCATGCAATTACATCATACCTGCCTATATCCAGTCGTCGCTTGGCCCCCCTCCCCCACCAGCTTCTCCCTCCGACCGCAGCTTCAGCAGCCACTTTCAACTTCTAAGCCTCTCATCCACCTAGTCTGTGCCATCCATCCATTTCCCTACCTTTCGCGCCGAGACGGCCTCGTCGCTCACACCAATCTATTCTTCGCCCTCAGCCTACGAAGTGAGAAAAGTCTTTGATATCTCCTACCGCCTCGCCTCAACCGCGTGACGTCCCCTCCTCTAACAGCAAGCAGTCGCAGATACATATTTCGGCACGTCAGGAACCATCAGTAGACAGGTCCCTCCATCCAACCAACCATCGTCGCTGGTCCTCGGGGCGCATATCTATCGGCCATGAACGTCATTAAGCTCCAGAGGTAACCTCCGACACCAATAATCCCCCAAGTTCATTCCTGGCATCAATTATCGTCGCGAAGCTCGCAGGACTGATCTTCTCGCGACCAGGAAATATCCTCAATTCGAACAAGGCGACATCTTCAGCCTGACCGATGCGTTCCACAAGCTCGACGTCGATGACAAAGGCTATATCGATGAGGCTACCGCCATCAAGGCCACCCAACAGAGCGAAAGGCAGCCATACGACGTTGTTAGGCAGGCCCTGAAGGAAGTCGAACTCGACTCATCTCGCAGGGTCGAGCTAGAAGACTATGTCGGCGTAAGTTTCCCGCTTCTGCGCCGGTCGATCCTCTACCCTCGATGCTCACCTCTGCTCAGCTCATTGCCAAACTGCGCGAATCGTCCCCGGCGCAGAAACGCATGAATACCGGCGGCGCCCCGCCGTCTTCCCCGGCAGGTGTCGTAGCTCAGCGAACTGGTGGGCACGTCTCCAAGGGAAGTATCGGCAAGATCCACGTTCAAGGCTCTAGCGCCAACGTCACCCACACCATTAACGAGGATGAACGAACGGAATTTACTCGTCACATCAATGCCGTCCTAGCCGGCGATCCCGACATAGGGAGTCGGTTGCCCTTCCCGACCGACACCTTTGAGATGTTTGACGAATGCAAAGATGGTCTCGTACTTGCCAAGCTCATCAATGACAGCGTTCCAGATACGATCGACGAACGTGTTCTCAACATTCCCGGTCGGAAAGTGAAGAAGCTGAACGCGTTCCAGATGACCGAAAACAACAATATCGTTATAGAGTCCGCCAAGGGCATCGGCTGCTCCGTCGTGAACATTGGTAGCGGTGACATCATCGAGGTCCGAGAGCACCTGATTCTCGGCCTGATCTGGCAGGTCATTCGACGAGGTCTTCTGGGCAAGATCGACATCAAACTACATCCCGAACTCTACAGGCTCCTGGAAGAGGATGAGACGCTAGAGCAATTCTTACGTTTGCCCCCGGAGCAAATCCTTCTCAGGTGGTTCAACTACCATCTTAAAGCGGCCGGCTGGCAACGCCGGGTCAGCAATTTCTCGAGCGACGTGAAGGACGGAGAGAATTATGCAGTTCTACTCGCGCAGATTGGGCGAGATTATGGCTGCACCCGGGCCCCTCTCCAGACGCGCGATCTATTGCAGCGCGCAGAGGAGGTCTTAGTCGACGCCGACAAGCTTGGTTGCCGCAAGTTCCTCACGCCAAGCTCTCTCGTCGCGGGAAACCCTAAGCTTAACCTAGCCTTCGTCGCCAACCTATTCAACACCCACCCCGCCTTGGATCCCATCACCGAGGAGGAAAAGCAACAGGTCGATGACTTTGATGCCGAAGGCGAACGGGAAGCCAGAGTCTTTACGCTGTGGCTGAATAGTCTCGACGTGCAGCCCGCTGTCGTTTCCTTCTTCGACGATCTTTGCGACGGCCTCGTTCTGATGCAGGCTTACGACAAGGTTATCAAGGGGTCGGTGAACTGGAGGCACGTGAACAAGCGGCCCGCGAACGGCGGCGAGCTGATGAGGTTCAAGGCGGTCGAGAACACAAACTACGCTGTCGAGCTTGGCAAGCAAAACGGCTTCTCGCTGGTCGGCATCCAGGGTGCCGACATCACGGACGGAAACAAGATGCTTACTCTGGGTCTCGTCTGGCAGTTGATGCGGAAGGATATCACTTTGACGCTCTCAGCCCTAGCGCAGCGTCTCGGAAAGCGCGAGATGACCGACGCCGAGATGGTGCGATGGGCGAACGACATGTCTCGGAAGGGGGGCCGAAGCTCTTCGGTCCGCTCCTTCAAAGATCCCGCTATCGGTAGCGGCGTCTTCTTCTTGGACGTGCTGAACGGCATGAAGAGCAGCTACGTGGACTACGACCTCGTCACCGCCGGACGGACGGAGGAAGACGCGTACCTGAACGCCAAGCTTAGCATCAGCATTGCGCGAAAGATGGGTGCAACGATCTGGCTCGTGCCGGAGGATATCTGCCAGGTTCGGAGCAGACTAGTCACTACTTTCATCGGTAAGAAGCACGGCGTTCGGAACTCGGGCTCTAGAGGCGATGGCTAACTCGGATCCGTACACAGGTTCGCTCATGGCGACTCACGAGAAGATGCAATAAATAGACTGGTGCCGATCGGCTGCCCTGGGACAGCGCCGTGAGACGTGCCAGATGGATGAGCGAGAAACCTGGGCCGCTGGAAAAGTTTTGGGGGGGAATGGGATGAGGGGGGATCTGACGGCGATACACAACGTTTGAGTTTGCCGAGTTCTCTAAATGTTAGCCTTGAATGCTTCCCCCTCCGAAAGTAGCCGTCGCTCCCGCGTAGGCGGATGCGTGTAGGAAGTTGCAGACCTGAAGTGAAACTATTTTTGTCTTTGACTCAATTCTCGTCTATCTCTGGGCTAGACGCTTATAATGCCCACGTTGTCTTCGCTCACCTCATTTGATGGCCCGGTCCCGAGCTTCCGGAAGGGATATATTCACTCATATGTCACGTCCTCCGTAGCCGGACCTGGATGCGTACCTGTACGTACGTCAGGTGGTTAGTGCCTTCGAGGATACCTACCTGTATCTGCCGGTAGCGTGTAGATATAGCGGGGGGTATGTGGTAGCTACAGGTAGGTGGGTACTTGCGGGTATGCGTTATTGTGCATGACAGGTACCTCCTAATACGATGGAAATGACGACAATAGGTAGCATCGATGAGCTTCGCTACACGAAATTACCTACCTCAAGTGGAACATAAACTGCCTTCCAAGGCGGTACCTACCTACAGGTGGGGAGGTACCCTAACCTGGAGGTAGGTACCTACATAATGCCTTGTATGCCTATGGCTACCGAAGCTACCCCGCCATCCGCTAGGAGGCGGGCCCCTACCTTAGGTACCGAAGGTACCGAAGGTAGACGGCCTACGCCCCCCCTTAAGTACCTCCTAACCTATACAGGAGGTACCTACCTCTCCGTTTTCCTCAACAATTCACCGCACCAGGGTTTGTCAGCTGCTCTGTGGGAAGATGACAGTCATACTGCGTCGAACGTTTCCGTGCCTCCCGCCCGGTTTCACGGCTTCTGCCTCGAGGTCTCTTGCGTAGAAAGACGGGAAATGGCCAGGAGTTCGTTCTTCGCCAATTGCCACTCAGATTTACCTATCCTTGATAATAACATCAACACCGCAGGGGGAAAGTCGTATCTGTAACTGGGTTCCTCATCACAAACCCGGATCTCTGAACCGAGGCGACCCTTCTTAGGGGACGTTCGTCACCGAACGGGGACGGCGCCCGGCTCTGCACCAACCAGCATCCCCGCCCCAGACGTCCCCCCTAGCTGCGTGTGGAAGCCTCGCCAATTGAAGCTCACTCTACTCCCCCGGATCAACCGGTCTCGCTAAGGATCAGGTGGCGAAAACTCGATGCCACTCATCCGAACGAGCGAGATAGCGAGCCCGTGGCGTTAGGCGGCCTAGTCACATATATAACATGGTCACATTGGGGTTGCCGATCTGGATGTGAAATACCGGTCGTGCCGTCCAGCCCTCTAACCTCTTGCCGTCTCCTGAACTTGTCTTTATTAGAGCCCCGGGTTACCGAGAGTTCCGATTGATTCCTGCGAGTTGGATTACTTTGTTCTGCACGGCAGAAGAGACCAGCCGTAATCCAGCGACGCATCTTCCCACTATGGCTCCGGCGGACGAGTTTTCAGTCTCGAGCAACCGGGATCGTGGCGCAAAGAACCCCAACGCCTGTGGCGTGCCACCCAGACATGAAGTACAGCACCCAGCTACGTTCACGGAAGCATTGAAGGCTGTACATCGCGTCCCAGACACCCCTTCAGACACTAACAGCGAATCGGGGTCAGAGGCCGGCGAAACCCCGTTCTTAGTGCGGCGCAAGTCGAGCACAGATCCTTACGACGACTCGGCGCCGGTCATCCCTGAAATCATACGAATGGACGGCTCGCCATTACGCGAGCAATCGAGTTCCGAACAGTCACCGGCTTCGCTCAAGCTCAGATCCACAAGCACGGGCAAAAGGACCTACGTGGTCGCTAGCAATGATGCCGAGCTCCGTGAGATGTTGAAGAGGAGCCTAGAGAGGGTAGGCAATCTTTCCCAGACGGAATTCTTTGACCAATTGCGCCTATCGGAGATGTTAACATACGTCTATCTAGGAGAAGGAGAAAAAGTCTCCAAATCGGCGGGAGAAGTTTAGGGACATGGTCTTCACCAGACAGTTTTCCGCTTTTGACCGACAGAATCGAGATGCCGCAAACAGCCCCTTCCACGGCTTTTACGTCCTCTTCTGGATTTCCGTGGCAGTACTTATTGTCAAGATGGCTGCTGATAATTGGAGAAAGACGGGAAGCCCGCTTGGCACCAATGAGATCATGAAGGCAATGTTTCGGAGAGATGGTGAGCATCCGTGGCCGATACACGAGCCGATACCTCGTTCTTTGCACGAATGCACGAGAGCTAACTCTAAGAGCAGTTATCGTCCTCTTGTTGTCCGATGGCATCATGTGCGGTTTAACCGGAGTGAGCTTTGTAATCCAACGCCTGGTTTTCCTTCAATATATCGACTGGGATAAGGCCGGCTGGATAGTGCAGAATGTATAGTAAACCATCTCCAGTAGCCTGGGTGGGCGAAACTATACTAACTAGTTGCTTCGCAGGTCTGGCAGACTATGTTCATCGCCGGCGTGATCGGCCTCACACTCCTGAGGGATTGGCCGTGGACCCGTAAGTAATCTTCCTGCTCGTTGTTCTCAGGTCTCTCCCCCATACATTGGTTCGGAGGATGCCCCTGGACAGGACGCGCTGACTGTAGCCACCCAAGACACCGTTTTTTTCGTCCTTCATGGCCTAGCGATGCTTATGAAGCAACATTCTTATGCATTTTACAACGGTCACCTCTCGTCCGTTTATAAGAGACGGCAGGTTAGTAACCAGACTTACGGCGTATCCCCTACCTGTTTGTTTGATTTATAGATAATTATACTCTTGATGTTTTACCCTCTCCAATTTTTCTTAGTAACTTCTAAGGGGGGGCATTGAGCGAAGACGGCTAGGCGACTAACTTGCTGGCGTGTCCTAGAGTCTTCTCCTCACATTAAAACAGCTAGAGAATGTATCGCCTGCTCCATCCCCGTCGTCGACAAACCCGCAAATTTCGGCACTGTCTACTTCTCACCTCACGCTTCAGCTCTCCGCAGACGAGTATCACGAAAGGCGGCACTCGCTACCAAAGTCACGGTCTGCTGACCCGGATGACATCGAGAGCATATCTCGGGCTATCGACGCGGCGCAACCGCTCGATGCAGAACAGCTGCATGTATTCGAGAGACTCATCAAATGGGAAGTCGACGCGCTCGCGGACGAACTCAAGGGCAAAGCAACGGATTCCGCACAGTACTACCCGAATAACCTCACCTTCTTGAACCATTATGAATACATCGTGCTGCCTACCGTGGTCTACGAGTTACAGTACCCCAGATCCGAAAGCATTAACTGGCTGTACGTCGCCGAGAAGGTCTGCGCGATGGTCGGGGTAATATTCGTTATGATCATGATCTCCCAAGCCGGGATTTACCCTGTCGTGATGAGGACTGTTTATATGAAGGAGATGGGCTGGTCGACCGCTGAACGATTCGGAGAATTCCCGTGGATGCTCAGCGACCTCATCTTCCCCTTCATGATGGAGTACCTGGTGAGTACCTCCGGGATTTGGGTTCATCTTACGCGTGTACTGGTAGCGGGTTTTTAAATTAACCTCTGCTGCTAGTTGGCCTGGTATCTGATCTGGGAGACGGTGCTCAACATACTGGCCGAGCTCACGTACTTTGCCGATCGAAGTTTCTATGACGCATGGTGGAATAGTGGTAAGCTTCTTGCACCCCGACCCAACCCAGACTTCTTGTCATATCGGACGGGTGAAGAGAAGCTGACTGGGCGATGGCAACTTGTGCAGTGTCGTGGGACCAATTCGCCCGCGACTGGAACCGGCCCGTCCACAACTTCCTTCTGCGGCACGTGTATCACAGCTCGATCTCGTCGATGCGAGTCAACAAGCACACCGCCACTCTGATCACCTTCTTCCTGTCGGCCTGCATCCACGAGCTCGTGATGTGGTGTATCTTCAAGAAGCTCCGGGGCTATCTACTCATGCTACAGATGTTCCAGCTCCCGCTCGTGCGGCTGAGCCGGACGAAGTGGCTCCGCGACCAGAAAACGCTCGGCAACGCCATCTTCTGGGTTGGGATCTTCACGGGGCCGAGTTTGCTATGCAGCCTGTATCTGATCCTGTGACGAACCATTCCACCTGCATTTCGTTTCTTCTTCTTCTTCTTCTTCTTCTTCTTCTTCTTCTTCTTCTTCTTCTTCTTCTTCTTCTTCTTCTTCTTCTTCTTCCTGCGCCTACCTCATGGCTTTCCCTTCTGCTCGAAAATTACGGACGGCGGCTCGCTTCTTGTAGGATACAGCTAGGTGTACATAAGCTGAATGTAGTTAAGTATACATGTAGTTAGATACCAAGTCTCCCATTTGACTCGCTGGTCGATTTTCTGCTACGGCGTACGTGATGATGTAACCTGGGTAACGTACGTGCCCAAAGTGGCCAGCGTTACCTACTGCCTCGAGGCTCACGATAGGCCATAGAGAAATCTACTCATATGAGTGCGTGTAGAGGCGATAAAGGGGGGAGTAGGATTGCTCTATTACGTGAGCGCTGCGTTCAGAGATTTGATCATGCGGTCGCGTGCGCGTGTACCTACGTAAGCATACGTACAGGCTAGGAGGTAGGTAGGTACCTATACGGACGGCTTATTGTCCTCCATATAACCTGCCTTATGCACGTGGAGCTGGCCCGGCTAGAGCGCGGCTTCGATGGGCAAGCGTTAGGTACATGCATGCCAACGGATGTCTATCTTGGAGGTACGAGATCAGTAGGTTACTTAACGAAGGATAGGTTCGATTCCTAACAGCGCTACTTGGTAGTCTTCGCTATTTAGCTCATCTGTAAGTAGGAGGTACCTAACCTACCTAACTTAGGTACCTGAGTAGGAGGTACCTGAGTAGGAGGTACCTCCTCTGCCTGTATGTAGAGTACAGTCTTCTACAGAGGTGTCTAACTGTGTAATATTAGAAGGGTAGAACGGTCGGCCTCCGGGCCCACAAAGGCGGAAACAGCTATAGTAGTCGTCGGATAGGATTCCGGTACTGGGTACCTTTGTCGCAGCGTGCCGAGAGGGCTGGTTCTCCGCGGTGCTGGAAGCTGGCCAGATGTATAGGGTACTGCTCGCCTGCCCGAGGCGAGGCGATGGAAACTCCGCAGAAGCCGGTAAGATTACATCATAGCGCCATTGATGGGTGGCTACACGGTGTGGAAAGCGCGCAGAAGACTGTGGACACCGCGGGAAGCCAGGAGACAACAAAACGGCTCAGCCGAGGATTCACCGTCCTCCTAGAAAACAAATTTTACGGTTCCGGCCAACCAACAGCCTAAAATTCACCCATCCTGACAGACCCCCATCCTTCGCCTGGCGCTGGGGAACTGAGCATCTCCAAACTTCAGAATCCTCCCAACCACCGCGACGTAACCCCCAGAAAATCCATTTCTGCCTTGCACCATCAAGGCTGGCACTCATACATATTGGTTATTTGCCGGTTTTCTTCTCTTCCGTCTTCCCATTTTCACTTCTTCTTCCCTCCCCTTTTTCTCTTCCCATATTATCCTCAATCGGCCAACTTCATCATGTCCCGAGGAGGCACCACCCTCTACGTGACTGGCTTCAGCCACGGAACGCGCGCTCGCGACCTCGCCTACGAATTCGAACGGTATGTCCCATCATCCTCGTCGGTGAAATCGATCGACCGTCCTACGGATGCGGTGTCCGATGTCACCTGCTTTCTCGTCCTCACCCCGACCTCGCTTCGTCGTTCTCGGCTTCGTCGAGTCCTCGATCCATCCGTCATCTCTACGCATCCTGCCTCCCTCGCCCTCCGTCCATCCATCTCAGCATCCCATCCCTCCCGATCGAGCGGTCATGTAGCATCACCAGACGCGTCGTTCCAAGACCCCCATCAACCGTGATGGAATCCGAAAGAGCATCTATGCAATGCGAAATTACGCAATCGATGCACATCATTGGGAAAGTCTCGTGCCTTTTCTCCGAGGTTGCTGACATGAAACTCTATCTAGCTATGGTCGTCTCGTGAGGTGTGATATTCCCGCCCCGCGATCGGCTAGTAGTAGACTGTAAGTTGAACCCGGCATTAGAAACGATGCTGCAGCGTCTGGGGCCTAACTGGAAGGGGGGGACGTGTTCAGGTTTGCTTTCGTTGAGTACGAGGATCGTCGTGATGCCGACGACGCGTACCATGAGATGCACAACAAGCGCATCGGTCGTGACGACCTGTTGAAGATTGAGGTGAGCTTTACCGAGGACACGTCGCGATGAATTGTCGAGTTGCCGTCGGCTGACCGGTACATAGTGGGCACGTACTCCTCCATCTGCGTCGTGGCGTTTTGATTCGGGTCGTGACCGTGACCGGCGTGATCGCGGAGGCCGTTCTCCCCGCCGCGGCCGCTCTCCCTCTCCGCGTCGTAGCACTCGCGATTACTCCCCTAGGAAGGATGATCGGCGTGACCGTGACCGGGACCGCGACTACGACCGCGAGCGTCGCGACACTCGGGATCGCTCCCGTAGCCCGGACCCTCGGTATACTCCCCCGTACAATGGCTGCACCATCAAGTCGGAACTCACACCCTAAACCAATAGTGACCGCGACCGGGAAGACCGAGACGAGCGGGATCGACGTGATAACGGCACCAACGGTGACGATCGGAAGGGTAAGTAAACCACACGCTAACCCGAGACGAGGACGAAGCCGGTGCTGACATTGTTGTTCTCCAGCCGCCGACAGTCCGCCCCCACAGCATGACGACTTGGATGTTGCAGAGTGATAAGTATACCTGGCGAGAATATTGTCCGGCAATGGGTTGCATCCCTGCAACTAGAGAAATTCTCCTTTGTCACATTACCGTTGGCTTTGTATCTCTTCGTCGGGCTGTTACTCATGTTTTAGTTTCGATACCGTCGACCGGCCTACGAACCCACCACACCTTAGTCCGAAGAACCGCGAGGCCAACCCCGGAGATGACATGAGACCACCTGAGAATGCTAGCTTTCCTTTTGTTCGCGAGCTGAAAAAGGGAAACCGAGGTCGGTATAGTTAGGTAATAAAGAAGTGCACTTGGGCGATGTATTATCCTTCCACAAAATTCAAGTAGATCTACCATACGTGTTTAGTGAACGACTTGAAAGCGAGGAAATTCATGTTGCAGACTCGTGCTGCCTGGGCGAGACAGAACGGCCCCGAGTTGCCGCGGGTCGTCTCTACCTGTCCGCCTACACGACCTAGATTCCCTACAGGCGGGTGATATTATTATCTGTTGATGGTATTTCGCGGCCAGCGGAGCCGCATCCCCCGTACACGATTACGAAAGTCGCGTGTGAGAGTTTGACAGAATAACACCATCTTGAAAGGATACGTGGGCAAGATCTCGCATGGCAAATCCTATTCACGTGCTAACTGGGCCTCTGCAGAGTCCGGCCTGCAGCGGGTCCCGTATTAGCATCGACGTGTACTGACACGACCTCCACCGAGTGCAGAATTGACTCGGTCCTGCATGGCCAGCCAGGGGATGGGGAGTCTGACGGCGACCTAATACGCTCTCTGTCCGGCTGGCTCTGACGACACCGAGTCTTGCCGTATGCCTAGTCACGTCATACTGGCGCCGGCGGGGGAGGGAGAGAAATAAAGTAGGGAAGCAAAGCAGACCGTTGCATCCCATGCAGATAATCTTGGGTTCCCGTGCTGCCGTATCGATCCGTTTCGTGGGCTTGCTAGACTTTGCCAGTTGACCCGCGTTGACCTCCTGATTAGCGGGTTGGCCTGCACGCGTGATGTTACTACCCGAGGTAGCACGTATGCACCTACATAGTGGCACGGTGCGCCTACATCCCATATCCATAGCTGGGTTACCGATTTCAAGTTGGTTCCACGGCGTATTTATGTCTGTCGTTCAGATGTGTGTGGCTTTTGTTGGACTGAGTAGGGAGCGCAGAACAGATGATGGGGCGTGGAATGGGTTGTCCCCTTCTCTAGCTAGGTAGGTAGTCGATCAAAAACGGGGGGATGAGAGGTGTGCTTCGGCTGGTGCCGGGTGACGTAGGTGTGTATAGGAGCTGCCTGCCTACCTACCTACCTACTCCTACTTTAGGTACTTGTATGTATAGGTGCATACAGATAGCCCAGTACGCTTGCACTTGAGGCAGTGTTGGCTGTCTGTCTCATAGCCTCCTGGTATCGTAGGAGAAAACAGGCACTAGATGACAGCCTACCTAAACGTTCGGTATCTTACCTACCTCCTATGAGCATCCGTATCGACGGTATCTACTTGTCTTACCTCCTAGGAGGTACCCATTCTAGCTGCGTCCAACACTGGACTTAAAATAGCTTGTTACCACCTTGTTACCGCCTTATCGTCAAGCCCCGGCAGATACAGAGGAGGAGGTAGGTACCCTACCCAGGTAGGTAGGTACATGCGTGCATAGGTAGTGCCCTCGAGCCGACAGTTTGGAAATGTACTAGCCTGCAAGTCATGAGGTGTTATCTTAGGTGGTATTGGCCAATTTACCATCTTCGTCCCTATTTTCCTCATCTCCCTCCCCTTCACTTCTTCTTCTTCGGTCGAGTATATGCGGATTGCCAATTGCGTACATGCCAACTGCGCGCGGATTTCCAGCGTCATACCCGGCTACGGTGGTTGACAGCCGGCTGAGAAAGGGGGGGGTGGCTCATAGCAGAGATCCGTATCACCTGCAGGAATAGATTGTCAGTTACCAAAGTCTTCTGTACTCATATGTATCTCAGCTGAGCCGGTGCAAGTGGACCGACCGGCCAGCTGACTGTCCGGTTTTATGTTATTTTCTGGCCAGACTCTTTTTTTTTTTTTCTTCCCCCATTCCTCCCCCCTTCTCCCCAAGCTCCGACTGGCCGACCTCATGTTGGACCTACCCTCCAAAAAAAGCCTACCTACCTATGTCCTCGCCTGCCAACCAGGCCTACCGCCGTTTCCTCATAGCTTGAGCTTCCCCAAAGCTCTGATTTTCCCTCACTGCCCCGTTTCCCGACCCATCTTGAATTTCCCTCCCTCCCTCATAACAATGTGTCCTGCTCCGCCCTGCCTCCTATCCTGATTGCTAACCTGGGGGGTATGCATGAATAGAAGGCGGCCGACCATGAATGCTCAATGTCGCTTGGTCAATTCGATGATCTGACCGACCTAACAAGGACGATACCACAGAGCGACTCAGACGAACGCTTTACAATCCCGCGCAGCCGCCGCCGTTACCTATGTTCAGCCTTGACCGCCGTCATTCCAAGCTCGACTATGCCGTCCGAGTCGTCGAGACCCTCTCAATGAAGATTATATTGTTGCGATAGTCGTTTTCAGATCCTCTCTACTCCTCTCCCCAACACCTGTTCCGCGCGCATCGGTCGTCTCCCTGCCTCCGCTGCCTGCGAACCACGTGCCGTCTCCACGCCCACCTCCTTCTTGTTGGCCGACCTCCCTCCTACGTCCGCGTCACCCCAGTCTTAATATGGCTACTGTACGTCTATATGGCTACGCTTTTACCGTGTCCCGGCTCCGGAGCCGGGATGTGGCCCAGAGCATCGGCAGCTAACCCGAATGTATCCTAGAGCCCGGACAACATCAAGGCTAATAACGCCAATGGCAACGGCGCCGGCCAGCTCGTGGATTTCGTATCTCAGCCGGTGGCTGCCGCTTTTTGCGCCGGTGGCGTCGCCGGAGCTGTGTCGCGCACCGTCGTATCCCCCCTCGAGCGACTCAAGATCCTCTTCCAAGTACAGAGCGCCGGACATAATGAGTACAAATTATCTGTCGGCCAGGCGCTTGCCAAGATGTGGAGGGAAGAAGGCTGGAGAGGGTTTATGGCTGGCAACGGGACTAATTGCATTCGCATCGTTCCGTATTCGGCCGTGCAATTTGGCAGTTATAACCTCTATAAACGCGTACGTAGACCGCGTGAGCTGCTGAGGATCCTCCGTGCGATAGAATTCGACTCTTGTGGAACTCGGATGAGGCTCTGCTGCTTAGGCTGACACAGATCGCAGCACATTTTCGAGAAATACCCCGGCGCTCCTCTGAGCCCTCTCGAGCGGCTTGTCTGCGGCGGCATCGCGGGCATCACGTCAGTCATCTTCACGTATCCACTCGACATCGTGCGAACCCGGTTGTCCATCCAGTCAGCATCGTTCGCCGCGCTCGGCCATAAATCGCAAGACAAGCTCCCGGGTATGTGGTCTACGTTGGCCACGATGTACAAGCAGGAGGGCGGCTTGCTTGCCTTGTATCGTGGCATAATACCTACCGTTGCGGGAGTAGCCCCATATGTACGTCCGGAGTCCCGGTAGCGCCGCCGGGGAGTGCTGACGGTCTCGTAGGTCGGGTTGAACTTCATGACGTACGAATACGCCCGCAAGTATCTAACCCCCGAGGGTGACCAAAACCCCAACGCCGCACGCAAGTTGCTCGCCGGCGCCGTATCCGGCGCTGTCGCCCAGACTTGCACCTATCCCTTGTGAGTACATCCTTACTCGGCGCCGGCAACGGGGCCATCCGACTGACGTGCGCGCAGCGATGTTTTGCGGCGGAGGTTTCAGATCAATACCATGTCCGGCATGGGCTATCAGTACAAATCGATAGGGGACGCGGTCAGGGTGATAATAGCCCAAGAAGGTCTGCGAGGCATGTATAAGGGCCTCATCCCTAACCTCCTCAAGGTTGCACCTAGCATGGCTGCCAACTGGCTGAGCTTCGAGGTTACTCGGGACTTCCTGGTTGGTTTGAAGCAAGAACCGGTGACTCTGTAAGTGGGGGGAGAGCTGAATCGTGGTTGAATATCTTGGTGTCTCCTTTTTTTTTTCCCCCCTCCTTTCCTTCCCCAATCCCGCGACCTGGACGTAAATAATCCAGGTCATCCTCGACTACTTTTAGATCGTCGCCGTGCACGGGCCTCCTTGGCTGGATCGCTCGATGGGACATGAGATTAGAGAACACATTATACATGGGACGGGGAGTAGATAAACGGACATAGAGCACAAATATCCAAGTTCACTTGGCGGCACCAGTGGTACGACGACTGGACGGAATAGCCTAGACGCCTACGAAGGCATACATACTGTATACCCATTCTGCTGCGGGCTCGTTCTAAAAGGAGAGAAAGAGGGCGTCGAAGGGTTGGACTTGGGTTGAGAGATCAATCATCTCCCCTGTCAGAAACGCTGCCGGATGATGAGTACTTTGTATATAAGGAGTACGCGGGCAGTGAGGCGCGGTGAGGATGCCTACGGTTAGGACAGAGGAGGCGAGAGGAGAGGAGAGGAGGGGAGGCCCCAGAAATCAAATGAATTCGTCTCATTTATACGACAGCTACGCGGTATAATAGGATGTTTGGTTTACTTATACCTACATTGGCCTAGGAGCTGGTTCGTTTCCCTCCCACGGGCCTTGAATCGGCTGGATGGATCCGGGTCGGGAATGCGGCCCGGGTTATATGCAGATCAGGATACCCAGGAAGTTATCCGAGTCCCCGCAATTCTTTTTCACGGCCCGACTAAAAGTCCCCGTCCTCATAGTCACCAGAGGTACCGCAGAACCCTAACTGCCGTTGGTCACCGCCCACACAATTCCGCTGTGTCTTTTGGGGTTTCCGTCCCTCTTTCCAGTGCGCCTAAAAATTGCTTTCCCGTCTTCAGTTGCTACTAACCAACCAACAGCACAACAGCAAATTCTCCCCATCGACTCTCGATTTCTTTAGATCGCAAAGGGTCACCGTCAAGATGGGTATGTTCAATATTTATTTGGAGATCCCTATGCGAGTGGAAACCTGAAGGACGAGCTGCCGCGCGTTGTCGCTCGCGCTCTCTCCTCTCGTTCTCTGCGAGAAAAGGGACCTATCCGCGAGGATGTGCCCGACAGAGCATACTGGAACCAAAAAAGCTGACATGGCTTTTTTCCTCTGAAATAGGTATTGATCTCGACCGTCACCACGTGCGCAGCACCCACCGCAAGGCACCCAAGAGCGAAAATGTCTACCTGAAGCTCTTGGTGAAGCTGTACCGCTTCCTGGCTCGTAAGTGATCTCTCCTATCACCCCCCGACGCGAACTGTGTGAAGTACGGGCGTATCTTCACTGCGAGCGAACGGTGATGATGACTCGAATTCCTGTTGTCTAGGCCGAACGGACTCCAACTTTAACAAGGTCGTCCTCCGACGGCTCTTCACGTCCCGTATCAACCGGCCGCCCGTCTCGCTCTCCCGTATCAAGGGCCAAATTAGCAAGGGCCAGGAAGGCAAGATCGTCGTCATTGTCGGCACCGTTACCGACGATAACCGGCTGCTCGAGGTCCCGAAGGTCTCCGTCGCCGCTCTGCGATTCACCGCGACGGCCCGTGCTCGCATCCTCGCTGCCGGTGGTGAGGCATTAACCCTCGACCAGCTTGCTCTTCGTGCCCCGACAGGAGCCAACACTCTGCTGCTCCGCGGCCCCAAGAACGCCCGCGAGGCATTCAAGCACTTCGGCTTCGGCCCGCACAAGCACAAGGTACGCCGGCTGTGGTCCGCTTCTAACTTGCCAGGGCGCGGCACGCTGACAATTGATAGAAACCCTACGTCGAGTCCAAGGGCCGCAAGTTCGAGCGGGCCCGTGGTCGCAGGCGGTCCAGAGGTTTCAAGGTCTAAGGAAAGCTTGGGTTGGGTTGGGTCTGGCGTCGTGTCTCTTCCGATATGCCACAATGCAGAGCAAAAAGGGAGTAACGCCGCCTTCCGAATGGTTTATGCATGGTTTGGCGTGGCTAGGGTCGCAAAATCAATTACGCGGAATGAAATGCATTCAAGATTTCTTCTGATGTTCATGACTTCTGAGGCCTCGAGGTTTCGGGCCCCCGTAACCGACCACCTCCAGCGGTATGTGTATCGTTTGGGCTAAACCACGACTTGCCGCTATTCCTAGCAGAAGCCGGAGAACTCCTAACTAGTGGCATTCCGGGTAGGTATATGCCAACGTGCAGTTAATTACTCAACCAGTATCGCTGTTTACCTCGGCCGCTACCTCGGCGATAGTGTCGACCCAAAAATATGCAAGCAGGAAAAACGACCTCCGTGTAGACTTGAGAGGAAAGAGAACAGTCACCTGACTCCGTGTCAAAGGCGCGATTTGAGACTAAGGTTACCAGCGTTACCGCATGCAACCGGTTTGGCTTAGGATGTTACCAACGCACCTCGGTGGGGGCTACACCTAGGTATCTACCTAAATTTCGGCATAACTTTCCAGCTCTCTCCATCCCCGTATATTGCCTTCGCCCGCACCGCCGTCCGCCTCAACCAGTAGGGCAGTTAGGTTAAGCGTGCGGCATCCTTTCTTCAACCTCATATCTCCCTCCTCACGTTGTTTACTCCTCCTGTCTAAAATCTCATTGTATTAAAAAAATGTGTGGACGTTATTCATTGGCCCTGGTAGGTTGCAACCACTGCCATACCTCGTCAATAGGTAGAGACACTGACCGCCATCACCATCAGAGACCGGCACAAATTCGTCAGATGTTGCAAGACGACGACATGTCGGTAGACGAGACGCCAGACGACGAAGGCGACGAGACACCTAGGCAGAGTTACAACTTTGCTCCTAGCTACCACGGCATCGTCTACCGTGCCGACGTACCGGACTGGGGAGCCGGCCCTCGAAGGCATCACGAAAACGCCACGCCCGATAAAGTCGCGGCCGAAGAGCATGCGGAATGGGAGGCCGCGGGCGACGCGTCCTCGGCGCACCCCGTCAGCTATAAGCTGCAGAGCATGAAATGGGGCCTGGTCCCCTTCTGGACCAAGCGGAGTCCGGATCGCGGTTCGACGATGAAGACCATCAATTGCCGGGACGACTCGCTCGCGCAGGGCGGGGGCATGTGGAGCACGATGAAGGCTCGGAAGCGATGCATCGTCGTCGCTCAGGGCTTCTACGAATGGCTGAACAAGGGCGGGGGCCGAGAGAAGATCCCGCACTACGTCAAGCGCAAGGACGGCAAGTTGATGTGCTTCGCCGGGCTATGGGACGTGGTGCAGTACGAGGGTAAGCGTTCTCACGGGCATCCCTCGGATCGGAGGAGACGAAGGGAGCGGGCGCTGACAAACCGCAGACGGCGGGCAGAAGCTTTACACGTATACGATCATCACAACGAGCTCGAACAAGCAGCTCAGCTTCCTGCACGACCGTATGCCGGTCATCCTAGACAACGGATCTGAGGCCATGCGCACCTGGCTTGATCCCGCGCGCTACGAGTGGTCGAAGGAGCTGCAGGCCTTGCTCAAGCCCTTCGACGGCGAGCTCGACGTGTACCGCGTCAGCAAGGACGTCGGCAAGGTCGGCAACGACTCGCCCACCTTCGTCGTCCCGATCGACAGCAAGGAGAACAAGGCCAGCATCGCGAACTTCTTCGCAAGCAAGGCGGATTCGCAGCTGAAGCCGCAAGTAGAGGTCAAGAAGGAGGAGGAAGAGAAAGAAAGCCTGGCCGCTACCACTGGGGACGCAGCGTGTGCGGAGGAAAGAATGGATGAGGAAGCAGAGGGAAAGGAGGCATCGACGGGTATCAAGAGAGAAGCCGAGGGCGAACCTGCACACGGGGCGGCCCCGAGCCCGAAGAAGGTGGCTACGACGACGCCGACGAAGTCCACCCCGTCGCCGCGGAAAGGGTCTGGGCGGAAGATCGGCACTGCGGCAACGGTAAATAACACTAACAAGGCCAAGAAGAGCCCGAGCAAGACAAAGCAGGTGGCCGACTCGCAGAAGATCACAAGCTTCTTCGGGAAGAAGTCGTGAAGGGGACAGACGCGCTACTATGGAACGCAAGGATATCGAGGCAGGGAGGCAGGTTCGCCCCTCTTGAGGCTGTACACTTGGCAGGATATCGAGACGGAAAAACCAGTCGTTTTCGCAAGTGCAAGGCAAGATCAATTGATATTTTCGGGGACGAGGGGGGAATATTAACCCCCAACGCAACTACATACACGCACACATACATACAACTCTGAGCCTCGTCGTGATAGGTGGTTATGCACCTTACATAATGCGATAATATCCATGCAAGGCGCTCTCCCCGGCGTCGCTCAGTAAGCTCCACCCCCCGGCCTCCCCTTTCCCGCGCGAGTCGCGTCCATCCTAGCCCTCGAGGACGGGTGTGCTGCGGATTCGAAGGGGAATGGAAGGGCAGGGAGCATCGGGCGCGGACAACGCCGCCTAGCAGGTGAAGACGGCGGGGCCGGGGACCGTGTACTGGTGGAAGTTGTTGTATATGTTGGCGGTGTCTGTTTCGGGCAGGCGGATGTCAGCTCCTCTCGCTGCCCGGACGTGCTCGGGTGTGAGAAGGGGAAGGGAGGGGGGGGGAGGCGATACGGTTTTTTTTCTTTTCTTTTTTGTGGTTCCCCGAGGAGAGGGCAGCGGAGAAAGAAAGAAAGAAAGGGAGGAGGAGGAGGAGGAGGAACTCACAGCCGGGGTCGGTGGCCTTGAAGGCGCCGGGGATGCGGACGGTGGGGGACGGCGAGGCGCTGCCGCCGCCCGACACCCGGACCTGGCCGCAGCCGACGTAGAACTGCGGCATGCCGCCCGGGTTGTGGATCGCGAGCGACTGGATCCGCAGCAGGTACTCGCCGCTCGGGATGCACCTGGGGATCGTGTAGGAGTACGTGTCTGGACGGGGTGGCCCCCCCCCCCCCGGTCGGTCAGCAAACGAAGCTAGCTCTCGCTCTCTTATCTTCTCTCTCTCTCTCTCCTTGTTGGGAGTCGCACGACCACCGTAAATATGGGAAGGGGGGGTGGGGGTGGTTAGGGGCTGGTGTGTCATTTACCCTTCATGTTCCAGCTGGCCTGGCCGCCGCTGAAGGTCGGGCCCCAGTCGTAGATCTTGAACCACTCGCCGCCGCCGTCGTACGCGGCGGCCGTGCTCGGCGCCTTGGACATGTACAGGGAGATGGGGCCCTGGTGGTAGACGGCGGTGTCGAGGGAGAAGGTGAACGGGTCGCCCGCGCTGAGCTCGAGCGTGCCGGTGCTGCCGCCCGCGGCGCCGCCGACGTTGCAGCGGAGGTCGTTGGAGGCTAGGTCTGCAGACGGGCGAGGTTGGCGGGTTAGCCGGCGGACAAACCAAGAGGGAGGGGGTTCGCGAACCGGTCACGGGGGAGTTGTAGTTGGTGTTCCGCCGGACGTACTGGTACGCCTGGCCCTTGGCCGTGCCCTTGGCCAGCGACTGGAAGATGTAGTGGGCCGAGACGCCCTGCGCGGCCAGCGCCGCGGACGCGACGAGCGCGACGACGTTCTTCATCGTGGACCTGGGTAGGTAGGTGTCCGGAGGAGTCGAATTCTCAGGCGATACTATCGCTACGCGCGCGAATGTCCCGACGACGGTGCGAGTATGGCGGAGGTCGAGGACCAGCGGGCTCTTCCCGCTGCGTAGGGACTCGTAGGCCGTCTTTAAGAACGAAATGCGCGCCACTTCTCCGCTCCCCGGCACTTCTCGCGTCCTCTCTCGCTGGTTGCCGTGGACGTCGAACACTCCCCCCCCCCTGCTCCCCCTCCCCCAGGTCCCTCTACCTAGGTATATGAAGCGGGCCGCGGCTCCATCCCCAGGGCGGGGAGAATGGGAAAATATCCCAGCACCAGCGGGGCAGTCGAAGTGGAAAGGGAGGGTGGGGGGGGGAGCGCGGCGAGGCGGCCGTCGTAGCAGAGCTCGTTAAGAATATAGATTAAAGAGTCTATTATCTAGGCAGATCCGGCCAACGTGGTTGGCTGTCGCAGCTCGTCCCGGCGCCTGTTGCGGCGCCGAGCACTTTTTACGTCCCGAATAGGAATACAGATGGAGGTTATATACCTAGGTGTCACGCGCGCAATACGCTTACCTACCACGCGCGAGGGACGGCTCGGCACTGGCACGCCCGGAGCAACGGGTAGGGGGAGGGATCTGGCCAGGTAGCCAAGATCGCTCGCAGCGGCAGCTCCCCCCCCGGAGAGCGAAGAGCGGACCGTCCTCGCTTTCCTCGCCAGCATCGTGCTCGGACGCCATTCGGCTTCAGCAATACGTGCGCGCGCTACCCGCTCCACGCCCGCCCAGGCTAACGCAATAGTTATCCCCAAACGCGCGAATCTCCGAGCTTTCTCCCTTCCTGGCGACGCTGACCTCGTCGGTGTCTGCCTTGCTGGCTACGGCGCTCAGACGGGTGTGAAGGAGATGTGGCATCGCACCCGCGGGCGCTGAGTATGGCGTCAGCCGTTGCGGATAGTCGGCCATGCTATGGTGCTGGCTTGGTTCTAGAGTCTGGAGGGGGTGTGCTAGCCGCAGGGCTCTTACACTGGCGGCTTCGTCGAGAGAGGTACGTCTACCAGATCTCCCCGAACACGCCTGAATTCCTCTGGCGTACTTCGTTGACAGGACCTCTAGGTTCTCTTCCCGATCTACTTGCTCTACTGGCGAGATCGGCTGCGTCTGTGGCGGGCATCGGTTGCCGCTATATTCCACTCGGCCGATGATGATGAGGTTGCCGTGTGGCCGCGGCTCAGCTTCCGTGACGTTGACGATGGAAGAGCTATCCACGAATATCCGGCGGTAGGGGCGCCGCGGAGATAGGCCTGCTAGGCAGCGATGCTGTACTTATACTTGTTTACAGAGGCCAGCTCGTACTTCGAGGTGTGCCTCTCTGGCCGAGCATGTCTGATGATAGCGCTCAGCCGCCATATCTCTCCCAGACAAAAGCACGCAGACAAGGACAGTAGGGCGTACGGCATCGTCACGTAAGCCACGCGTTTACCAAATGTATTCTCGGGGTTTCGCAGCAGGAATTATCCCCGGGGTAGTTGGATTTACCCAGGCGTGTGGGTGGGATTTCGCGGGGAGGCCACTCCTATCAACTTGTGGGCGGATGAGGTGCTGAATATCAGTGCGGGATGCCGTGTCGGGATTCAGGCGGCAAGCCTCGATGATTTTCGCTGAGCGCGAGGCACGACCCTCGCTGATTCCGTCGTTCGTCGGCCCTGGTAACCGCCACGGGTCTGGGGAGTTAAAGCGATAAGGCGGGATGGGATGGGATGGCTTCGCTGCTTGCGCATGATACGACGAGGGGAGGCCGACGTTTGAAGTAGAGGTAGCACGAATATAGGCTGAGAGGCGGCAAATGGCACGCGAGATAATGGCCGACGACGAACCGGGAAAGTGTCTCGCTGACGGTAACATTTATCCAGATTTGCATCCAATTAACCCCATATGCTTCTAGGTGCGGACCGCCGGTGCAGCAGCCCCTGCAAAAGCCGCGGTGGGAAAGGGAGATAAGCAGCGAGCGAAATCTAGGTACTCCAGCGGGTTGTCGAGAAGGTGGACTAATACGTGACAGCACGCACCTAATGTCGAAGTTGATGATGGATCACGTCGCACATGAGATAAAATGTCCGCATGCGCGAAGAACCCGGGCATTTCAGCAGGACCCTGGGGCACGACGGTGCTGCGTCGGAGCAAATGGACATGCTACCTTGGCCTCCCGGGACTGCTGCTACGTAGTTCGTAGTAAGTGAGACCGAGGGTCACCCGTGAGGGTATACTCAAGTGTCCCACCCGTATTCTAACAGCGTGGGGGAAAAGGGGGAGGGGGGCGAGTCCTCGTTAAGAAGGCCTTGGCCGCGCTGGAACGACGGGCCTGAAAAAAGGGGTCTCTATTCGTTTGTGGGGAAGCGAGCTGGGGTTACTTGACGGGTTAATCTCACGAGATAAGTGAGATGTGAGGTATTACTCCGAAGCGTCGCCAAGACGGTACTCAGAACGTAGGTATGCGCCTCCGAAGCACGGAGGCCGAGAGATGTTGTTCTTGGAGACGGAAAAGGGGAGCGGGGGAGGGGGGTGAGGTGGGAAGATACAGAGAGCGAGAGGGGGAAAGGAGAGGGAGAGTAACAAAACTAGTAAGAAGAAGCTGAAAAGGGATAAAGGAAGAAAAGGAAAATAAAGTGCAGAGGGCCAATAAGTCGATAAATAAATAACAATAACTGCTCCTGACAATTCCGCGTCCTGCTATTGGGTCACGGCATCGAGTTCCAGTGGTTCGTTCATTTGGTCCCTGGCAGCACGAGAACCCCCGGCCTCGTCGAGTGGCCGTCGATCGTCCATGGCCCGCTCACATATCCGACTTGGCCTGCCCGACGTTTCCATATGACACTATCAACACCACCATGTCCAGCCTCTCCCGGTCCAGCCAGGCCCAGCCAGGCCCAGTTAGCTTGGGCTCTCTCCCCTGCCCTCGCTATGGCCCACGATGCTGTACGCCAGGCGTATGCTATACCTACTATACTGCTCTCTCTCATCCTACTCTGTCTCCCTCTCTCTCAGGCTCAATCGCATGCTGAACCGCTTGCTTCGACTTGGCTCCGCGGGTGGATAATGCCCGGCTTATTGCTGCGCGCACTCTGTCCTGCCAGCGCTGGGGCGTCTACCGGCTATCCCAGCCAGTCGGCGCTCCTCTCGACCCCTTTCCGCGCGTCCCCTGATCAATAATATACTTACCCATCTCCCTGCCTCCTGAAGGGTGCCGGCACGATCCTTGCTAACCATTTCTATACGCATTCCTCTCCGGCACTCTCCTCCGCACCCCAGTCCATGCTTTAGCCTGGCCCTTTGCCCGCCCCGGCGAATAGCTGGACGCCCATTGCAGATCATGGCCTATCGCGCCCCCGCCCCCTGCTCCCGGAAAATCGGGCGAAGGACGCTCGCTCGCTGCTCTTAGCTTATCCAATGTCACGCCGCGATGCCATTTAATAATCCGTTCAGGCCCCCCCCCTTTCTGTGTACTCGACTCGCCACGCTCCTCCAGGTCTTGGATGCTTGGCCGCCGACCCCCTTAAGATGCCGTCCTTTGCCAACGTTGCGACTGCCGTGCTGGCAGCCGCTGCCTGTAAGTTTCTGAGTGTCTCTCGGGACCCTACGGTGCGCACGCTGAATTCCTGTAGTTTTCCGGACCGGTCTCGCCCAAGACCCCGTGCCCTACACAGACCCCGAGACCGGGATCGAGTTTGGAACATGGACTCAAGGCGGGATGACCATCGGCCTAGCTCTGCCCGAGGATTCTCTGACGAAAGACGCCACCGAATACATCGGGATCCTGGTATGTTAACGATGATGGCCTCGGCGGGGAACCGTAACTAAATCCTCTCTCCCCATAGCAATGCTCTACTGGTTGGTGTGGGATATCCCATGGAGAGTCCGGGCAGATGACGCAGGCCTTGTTGCTCGTTGCTTGGCCCTACCAAGATCAAGTCTTAACGTCGTTCCGGTTCACGACCGGCTACAGCCTCCCGGGGGTCTATAACGGAAACGCAACGTTGACCCAGATCCGATCTAGCGTCAACGCGACCGGCTTCGAGGTCATATACCGGTGCCAGAATTGCTTTGCTTGGGACCAGGATGGTGCGAGCGGCAGCGTCCACACTAGCAGTGGACTGCTTATCATGGGACGGGCATCGGCTAAGACGGTTCCAGCGAACGCTGAATGTCCTGTCAATATTCGATTTGGACAGCATGATTCGTTTGGCCAGTATGGTGCCCCCCTCGAGAGTGTCCCAAAGGCCCAGTACACCGAGTGGACCAAGCTGGCTACGAGAGTCGTGCCCGGAGACTGCGGTACTTCGCCTCCCGGCGATCCCGGCTCGGGGGCCCCGGTTGCTTGTGCTGCCGAGATGGCTGGTCAGACATTCGACTACGTCGTCGTCGGCGCCGGCGCTGGCGGTATCCCGATTGCGGATCGGCTGAGTGAGAGAGGCTATAGCGTCTTGCTGCTAGAGAAGGGACCGCCATCTACGGGAATATGGGGTGGAAACATGAAGCCGCTCTGGCTTCAGAAGACAGACCTTACCCGGTTCGACGTTCCAGGTCTGTGTAACCAGATTTGGGTCGATTCAGACGGCGTCGCCTGTAGGGACACGGACCAGATGGCTGGGTGTGTTCTCGGCGGCGGGACTGCCGTTAACGCCGGCTTATGGTGGAAGGTAAAGAGCTTCAGTACATACGTCCAAGCCGAGATATTGACACAATTTAGGCCAACCCGAAGGACTGGGACGAGAATTTCCCCCCTGGATGGCGCAGCACGGATCTCAGGGCGGCTACGGACCGAACTTTCCGGCGTATTCCGGGCACCACGAGGCCATCCCGGGACGGCAATCTGTATATGCATCAAGGATTCGACGTCATCGCCAATTCCTTGAGGGCGGCCGGCTGGAGGAATTTGCCGACCCCGAACAGCAATCCGACCCTAAAGAACCACACTTTCGGCTCTACTACATACATGTTCTCAGGGGGTGAGAGGGGCGGACCGCTGGCCACCTACCTGGTTACGGCCGCCAGGCGGGACAACTTCGCGCTTTGGATGAACACCCCGGCCCGGAGGGCTCTTCGGACGGGCGGGCACGTCACCGGAGTCGAGCTTGATTGCACAGTAGCGGGTGGCGGGTTCGGTACCGTCAGCGTGACCCCCAACACCGGACGAGTCATCGTTTCAGCAGGGACATTTGGCTCAGCTAAGTTCCTTCTGAGAAGTGAGTTCAGTCATCCGAGCCTAGAACCGAATGCTGATTACTGTTCACAGGCGGAATCGGTCCACAAGACCAACTCGAGGTCGTCGCTTCTTCTCCCGACGGGCCAAACTTCATCGAAAAGGAGTCGTGGATTAACCTGCCGGTCGGCGAGAACCTCGTGGATCACGTCAACGTAAGTGAGCCGGAGGCGATAGTCGAACCCTTCTAACGCTGCTTTGCCAAGACCGATACCTACTTTACCCACCCCGACGTAGTCTTCTACGACTTTTACGAGGCTTGGGCAACGCCGATTGTTTCGGACAAACAACGATATCTCGGTCAGTATCTACGCGAGCAGAGAACCCAGACATGACATTGACCCTCGGAAGCGAACCGCACCGGCATTCTTGCGCAATCTGCTCCCAATATCGGGCCCGTAGTAGGTGTCCTTGGCCCCACCGCTTTCTAACAGTTTCTCATGATGTGTTGTTAGTTCTGGGACGAGATAAAAGGCGCGGACGGGGTAGTCCGGCAGCTGCAGTGGACGGCTCGCGTCGAGGGCGCCGACCAGACAGAGAGTAACAGTAGGGCGCCTCGCAACGAAAAAGTCGAGGGTCATTCGAGCTAATATGGGTTAGGTACCATGATCATGAGCCAGTATCTAGGTCGAGGGCAGACTTCTCGGGGTCGGATGACCATAAACGCTGGGCTGGGGACCGTCGTGTCGACGCCGCCGTATCTCCGAGACGAGAACGACAAGGAAGCCGTCATCCAGGGAATCGAGAACGTGCGAAAAGCCTTGGGGGCCACAAAGGACCTCGTGTTCCGGCTTCCCACGCAAAACCAAACTACCAGGGAATACGTTGAGCGTATCGAGGTTACCTCGGCCAAGCGTCGGGCCAACCACTGGCTGGGTTAGTGCTTCTCCGATGGTATTCCTCGCGGCACCGCTGACTGACTCGCTCTTTGTAGGGACGGCTAAACTGGGCCCGGACGACGGCCGCTTGGAGAACGGAACGGCTGTGGTAGACCTCAACACCAAAGTCTACGGGACCGACAACCTCTTCGTCGTCGATGGGTCGATCTTCCCGGGTATGGTCACTGGAAACCCTTCGGCCATGATCGTGACGGCGGCAGAATTTGCGGCGGACAAGATCCTGGCTCTAAAGCCGCTGGTTCCCGTAAAGATACCCAGGAACACCGGGGGAACAATAATAACGCTACTAACAGAAGGGTCCGATTGAGATAATCGTAGACCTGGTAATCAAGTCCCTCCTTCTTTGGGTCAGATTCTTGTACATATATGCCTGCGTTGCGGAGCACCCTACAAAATTTGAGCTATAAACATATACCTACACGGATACGTTGTCTGTACCTACATATTGATACGCGATTTGAGCGATTCGTGTGAGCTAGCAGTAGAGTAAGGTGCTACTATGAAACTAGACTCTCGAAGAAGGCAGCGTCAAATCCTTGGAATGTCCACCGATCCATGTCGGCTGCAAGCTCAGGCGATTGGTACTGCGAGGAAAGGTCTGGCTCGATCTGCATGAAAGGGAAGTTCGCGTCCCCCCCGAGCGAGGCCAGGAAGCTCGAAGGCGCCGGTTGGAGGTGCTGGGCGGGTGGTTCCGATAGCATTTTTTCGGGTATATCGGTGGCCCCGTACGTGTCCTCTCGCGCAGCATAATCCTCCCCATATATAGTCGACGACGGCGTTACACTACCATCCGGTCCAGGTTGGTGCTGCTCGTGCGGTGTCCACCTGCGGACCGGGTTGATGTTGACAGTGCCCAGGTAGGGAATCTCGAGACGGACGGGAGCATCTAGCTGCACGCTAGGGAGTGCGGCGGTTGCCGCCATGTCGACCTCCGTCAGGGGTAGCAGGCGGCTGATGATATCAGAGGCCTCTTGGCTGAGCTTATCGCCGTCGCGATCGGCCATTTCCTTCATGGTGTCCCGGACAGCGAGGACGAGCTCGCGGTCGAGCGCTCGCTGGCGAGCAATAGTGGCTGCGGCGGGGGCGACCCTGAGACCGCGGCCGTCGTGTGGTCGCGCGCGCAGCTTGGGATCGAGGTAGCCAAGCAAGAGCGTCATGGCGGCGGTCAGGGCGCCGTAGTCGGTATGGCGGCAGGCGGAGGAGGCGCCGCTAAGGCGGCGGAAGACAAGATACGCGCGCAGGAGCTCGCGCGAAGAAGCCAGACAGGTCGTCTTGGAATAGTCCCAACGGCGCTCCTTGGGGTCGCGCATCATGTAGGGAAGATGTAGCAGGATGAGCAGGTGGTGATGGTTCATCTGAAGCATGACGTGAGAGTGTGCGCGGACGAGCTCGATCGGCGCCAAAGCTGACAGCGGGCCCGCGGGCACCTCGACGGGGCGCCACCACTGTGCACCCATCGACTTAGCTGCTATCTCGAGGTCGCGGTCAATAGCCTGCGTGGCGCCGAACGCGGCATCTGCCGCGGTCGTTCCCCTACTTCCGCCGCCGTGGCCGCCGTTGCTGGCGTTACGCTTGATGATTGCGCCAGCGATGACACTATGCAGCTTCTCGAGTTGTACCTCTGACGGGCCATCGCGGGACATATGCTTAAGGTCGGCGAGGGCAACGCCGTCGTCAAGGATGGTAGCGGGGAGGCCGAGGAGTAGCGAGAGATACCGGTCGGAAAAGTTTAGCCGGTGCCATAGCCCGTCCGCGCGAGTCCGTGTCGAAGGGTCCGATCGCGGGTCAACGGACCTGAGAGGCTTGTCGTCCCCCTGCCGCGCCCACCGGTCCACCCCCATGAGCTGTGCTACTGCGATGACGCGGCGGGAGGCGAGCCACGATTTACGCAGATTTCCCGCATTGGCACTAGAATCGTTAGGCGTTGGACAACTTCCTTAGACGGATATGTGTGGGGTTCTTAATAACTACGCACTGGTATAGGGCGACGAGATGTAAGGCCTCAAGGCCCTCGACCGAGCCAACAAGGTCATCGTTAGACGCGACAAGCTCTGAGACGATGCTAACCATCCTGTTCATCTGAGCGCGGATCGGTTCTTTTGAGGTCAAACCCAGCGGCAACTCGCTGGGGGACAGTTTTTGCATACAGTTCGTCAGTTGGATCAGCCGCTTCGCGAGCAAGGCGGGGTGGCTGGTGACTGGCGGGATCTCCGAAAGGGCGGACGGAGGCTCCGATGGCCCATCAACCCCGTTGAAGAACTTAACTATGAAGAACGCGCCCGGACCCGCGGCCAGTATGGCATCTATATCGTGCTGGCAGGGGAAGGCCGCGTGCAACGCTTTGGATATGTGCGCATGCATGGTAGGTATGGCGACGGTGACGGCAGCCTTGCTCTGCGTCGATGCCGGAGTCGGCACGAAGGACGCACGGCCAGACGCGTAATTCCCGCCGTCTTCTTGCAAGGCATCGAAGATACCCATGATAGGAGGATGGTCGGCCGCAGACGGACGTAGCACGTCCGCTGATGAATCTAGCTCATCATCTTCGACCGAATCGGAGGATGTAAAGGGGCGCTGATCCCTCGCGCCAGGTATATAAGCATTGGGTGCAATCCTCGTCACAAGCATCTCGAGCAAACCTTCGATTCTACTCAGTCTCTGCGATAGGCCGCGATCCGGCGCTTGCGGCTGTTCATTAGGAAACTCCTGGCTCACACAAGGAGTCCTCCGGGCCTCGCACCCTACGCAGATCGTGGCCGTAGTTGACGCGAACTGACATCGAACTTTCCTCCTCCTACCTTTTCGTTGGGATGGTATGTTCAGCGCTGGCCCGGTAACGGCGATTACTGCCACCACGGAAGAAGGAGGGAAGTAAGAGGACTCACATTCCCAACAGCTATGGGTTCCCTTGCGAATTTTCCTCCTCTTCGCCTCTGGGCTGTCTTCGTCGCTCAAACTTCTGGCAGGAAGCCGAGGCATTGAATGCTACCCTCCCAAAGGTCCCTACAATATAGAGTACTTTGGAAACACCGGTCTTCCCTCGTGTCCCCGGATCCGTACTCATATACTCTGAGGGCAGAGAAGCTTCGGTGAACAGGCTGATTAGGCACGTATGAGCCCGCCTCACGGTAGGTACTAGGTATACCTGAGACCACAAGGCAATAACTTCTCCTCGCTCTAGTAGATCTAGCGACTCCGTGTGAAATGCAGAGCGTATCTCCCAGCTCACTCTGCCCAGGCCCCCTTTCTTGCGCCCAGCAAGAGTGATGCCGGGAAATTCGGCCGAATTCACGGACGGACTGACGGACGAATTTGTCAGCCTGCCTGTCGACGTACCTATCCCCAGTAGGCGACAGGGGTTAGGCAGCCAAGCAGCAGCTCCCCTTTTTGGCCTGCTCGTAAGTGAGCCAGTAAGGGGCCTGGAAGGGGGTGACCCTAGACTTGTCGCCTGCATCGACGACGAACGGCGGCTCCCATACCCCGACCAGGGTGGAGGTTTTATCAGCTAGAAGTCGAGACAAGTCGGAGGCCCTCAACTGAGCGGACATAACCCCGTAACTGACGTCATCTCTGATCGTGGTAAGCCGTGGGGTGGGAGCGACGAGGAGGTCCCGACCCGATCGGGGCGAGTCCACGGCAGCCTGCCGAGGGCAACATACAACTTCATAAAACCCAACATTTCGTATGTGTCCAACCGGCTCACGTCTCGCAGAAGATCCCGAAGACGATTGCAGAGCATATCGGGTTTTCTCGCCGTATGTCTCCTTCTCCCTGCCCTCCCTGGCGGTTAGAAAGTTGGACCTGTATCACGCCTGTTTGGCCAGCTTAAACAGGATCCTGATGTCAAGACTTGTTCCCGCGTCGATGCACCCTGCCTCCCTCTAACGTAGGAGGGGGACGCATCTAGCCGCTACACGTGCAGCCGTTTTTTGAGGTCGAGGCTCGGTAACAGATGTTACCCTAGATCAGAGATTCGGACTCGTCCTAGACTACCATAAGGGATAGCGAGAACGCGTTGCGCAAGAGTCTCGACCTCACATTTCGGACACCACTGCCGCTCCGCGATGCCAAGCAGCAAATATCTACGTGGCTCGGCCGCGGATCCTATGCCGGGTCACATCCGCCCATGTGGTGATACTTGTAGGGCGGTATGCTACCACACATCGCTCGGAGGGTTTCTCGATTGTCTTGCGCGTGAGGGAACTGCATTCGATTGGAAATAGAGACGATCCTATTGGCGCCGGCGCGTTACCGTCCACAGCTTTCCACCTCGTGCCTATCCGTCTCGACCTGGTGTGCCGTTTAGGAGCGCATCACGTCGACGGACGGGAAACGCAGCCGCTCGAAAACACACGGACGGCCATTAGGCTAACCCCGCCGTGCCCCCTTGCGAGAGACTCCCCCAAAGGAAAAGGAGCGCCGCCCGGGAAAAAGGCAGGCCGCCAATTCAGACACGACCCCCGGGACCGAGAGATCCCTCTCAATTAGCAGCGCCTCATAGAGGCCTCTGGGTTCGCCCGAGTCGAAGAGGTCTCCGGACAGGTATGCCGTCGAGGGTTCAGTGTTGTGCACGTGGGTCTGCAGCAGACACCAGGCCAGGTCTTTGCTAGGATGGTTTATGGTAAGGAAAGGGTACCGTGGCAGGATGTCATCCCTTCACCCTTCTATTCTAGGTAGATTTAGGTTGGGTATGTACCTACATTTCACCGACACGTAATGCGTAGGGTCCAGGTAGGTAGGTACGTCACCTACACGTAAAGCATTCCTGACTACCTGGGTACTCCGTGCCTACCTAGTAGGTACGGCACCGTTCGAGATGTACGTACCTTATTTATGCTGAGCTTCGGTGGGAAATACGCCCCAGGTACCTCCAAAGGTTAGGTACCTACCTGGTAACCGCCTAGGTGGGTAGATGTACCCAGGCACCCCTCCAGAACAATCCCAGGTGCTCGTTTCAAAGTTGTCAGGCGCTCCCGTCCCCGCCTGGCGTCGCTCACAAGTACTCATAAACCTTGAGAAAACGAAAGGCCTCCGGGGAACTCTCCCGATGACTAAGAGGAGGGCTTATAAGAGTAGGTTAAGTGAAGGCAAGCTCTATAGGCAGGTAAAACCACCCAGCAATCTTGGCGGAGCTCAACGCTTCTAGGGATTCCTCGAACCGATACCAAGCATCTGGTGCTGGGCTCGTTAGTTAGGTTGGTTAGTACACGTAGTCGACGAGATTAACTCGTGCTTAGCCTAACAGACGCGTCTCTTGGAAACGCCCGCGGCGGCGGAGAAACCGCTCGGATTCCACAGGCTACAAGTCGAGTTAGTCTACGAACGGCCGAGGTTGCCAGTCGGCCGCTATCCTTCGATATACCTATGTACCTATGAGTACCTACCTTACACACACACACACTTCCCCCTTCCTCTCTCTCTCTCTCTCTCTCTCTCTCTCTCTCTCTCTCTCTCGTTCACTGTAATCTCTTCGATCTGGAGCCAGCCGCTTTCCTACGTTGCCCAAGCCTATGCTGACAGAATGTGTCACTCAAAACGCCTTGGATGAATACGCATCAGGCAGGTCACACAATGTTGGATTTCGCTGGTTGGAGATCAGGATGATACGGCGCTATATATAAATATGTAGGTAGGCAAAGCGACTCTGGTTTGCGAGAAACCAAACCCCCCCCCCTCCCCAACCCCGTTCCCCTAAGTGAGAACTCGGTAGCGAGCACGAACCCAAAACGGAGGCGCAGCGATGGCCCATGGAGGGGAAACCAGCACTGCTGCTGGGAAACCCCCGCGGATTAGCTACTCTGGTCGTCGCGACTGCGGATGAAACCAACATGCATCCCGATTCGGACGCTCGCTCCGCAGACGGTGGTGTCCTGGGCCTGTCCCAAGTGTAGTAGATGTGTTTGGGACGCGTACAATCTATCGTTGCTGCGGACCTTATGCTCAAGCCGCCACACAGTAGGCATGTCCGACAAAGGAGTCGAGAAAGCAACACGGAGAAAAGAGAAAAAGAGTCGAGAAGGGTGGGAGTAGGTTTGGGCCTAACATACTTGTAAAGTCACCCATTATTAAGATGGCAAGTTCCCTTTCTTCGGCCACGTAGACGCCTAACCGGACAGCCTAATAAGAACTTAGTTGGAGATGGTCAATTCTGCTGCGTATGAGTACACGCATGTTTCCCAACACGCTAGAAAACCAACGAGAGAGAGGGGGATGCGACGACTCCTCCATTCGGCCAGGATCCCGCCCGCCAAGAAACCCGTGAACACGCAACACAAACGCCTTCACTGGGGTAAAACCTTGCCTCTCCGACGCCGTAGGTAGTGAACCATGCCCAAGGGTATGCCTACACGCATCCCAAGTCACCACCTACCTCTACCTCCTACCTCCTACCAGTAGGTTTTACGCCACTCAGTATGTGTAGAAGAAATTTCCGTGTACGTGTGCTGAGTTTGGTGCGCTGAGCTGGTCATCTGACGGAACACCCACACAGGCAGATATCTACTGTTGATGAAGATGCACGGATCTGCCTTATTACCTACCAGGTATCTAATGTAGTAGAGGCAGCATCTACACAAAGACCAGGAACGGTACAAAGCTCGATTCCTACGTAGAGGCGGTACCTAGCTACCTGTACTTAGGCTGAAACAAGCAAGCCTCCAGGAGGTTTCCGGAGGTTTCCCTTCACACTGTCTACCTCCTCCTAAACGTATACGTGCCCGCGCACATGCAAGTGATTTGTACCTACCTACAGGTAGGTACCTCGTCCAGCCTGCCCTCGATTTTTGAGCGTTCTGGCACTGGAACCCAAGCCTCTCTCACCCCTCCGGGAGATCTGTCTCTGCAGGGTTTCGAGGCGGTAAGAGTGTTTTGATCTAGAGAATATAGCTACCTACAAAAGTAACTTCGCGATTTGACGACCACCCTCCAGGATACCTTCTTCTTCTTATCTTTTTTGGCAAACTTATAGGCCCGAACGAAGATCGGATCTGCCTCCACGCATTGGGTATAACGCGCGGCACCCTGCCTGGACTGACTGTTCTGCCATCCTTCAACAACTATAATCGGATAGAGGTCCAGTGTAGGTATCGGAGAGAACGAGAGCCGAGAGTTTCAACAATATAATCACCCTCTCACCAATACGCGCGCATACACTGAACTTAAGCCCCGTCAGCTCATGGCGGCGTCCCGGATTCCAATGATCGAATAATGCTATTTTGGATAAGCGCCGGATTCCGTGGCACTTCTCGCTCTTATACACGGCCGGGTGGCCGGTCAGCTGGTGTTGCCTGTGTATTCGGATTCCGAGATGGGCGAGTCACCGGCTGTACCTATCGCGAAGAGTCACTTACACGTGTAAACCTACCTACCTCTTATATGCGCCTACTAGTACCCTCTTCCAACCCTTCCCGCAGGCGATGGAAAGCAGCTTCGCCTTGCCACCGGAGGGCAAGAAAGCTTGGCTTGGTAAATAAATAAACTATCAAGCGCCGTTTTCCACCTTGTCCTTATTGCTTTAACACTGGTGTGTGTCCATATCGTGTCGGTCTAGTGCCAATCCGGTTACAGATCTCAGCGCTCGCTTTCCAGTGCCGGCCTTCGGCATCAAACACCGCACAAGGGTTTCAGGCCCACTATTGGGTCTCATCGTCTCTTCCTTGGGGCCCTCCTTTTTGTTACATCTCGTCAATCGGTTCGCTTAGTTACCTCAGATCTGCTGTGCGCGAAGAAGGGAGGGAATCCACCCTTCTGCAGGGTATGAGGGCGGCCACACTGAGTGGCTGACCCTCGCTCCTAGTGTGTAAGGTAGGTAGTATGTAGGTACATTACATGTAGGTACCCAAGGTAGCTTAGGTACCTAGAGGTAAGGAGGCAGGTACCTAGGTATATGGGTATATGTCTACAACGGGTACATGCATACAATGAATGACCTGTTGTAGCCACTCTTGACCGTAGAGTACGGAGCCTCAACTGAGAAGTTGTAATATGTGCGCGTCGCAGCCCCTTGCGACCCCCGTCGACGAGGGAGGGAGCTGCAACATCTATAGCGCTTCTACTCAAATTCATCTTGTCGCAAACCACTATGACATACCTAAGGATTCCGCAGCAAGACATCCCCAGTCTTTCGATGAATTGACATGCATTGGAGGAAGTCTCCCTCTGCTGCCCGCTGCCACCCCTCTACCCCCCCTTCTTCTCGCTCGCACAGTTTCGCTTTCCAGCCCCTCGAGAGTCAGCCTCGTGGATCGTCCAGCAATTTACCAGGCGTCGGATTTAGAACCGTTCTGATCAGCTCATACCATGCGAAGATCACGGAGAGGCCACGGCGGCGGAGCGTTTGACGCCACGATCTACCACACGCTGATCTAACGCGGGTAGCTTCTAAAACGACTTACTACGTGGCACATACATATCGTGGTTGATACCTTCATAGGTAAACACTCTGTGTCCGGCAAACCCCCCGCGACTGTACGGATCTAGGAGGAATCCTTAACGATAGTAGAGATTCCTCTCTTTCTCTTTCTCTCTTTCTCTCTCTCTCTCCCTCTCCCCCTCTCTCCCCCTCTCTACGTGGAGGAGTTACGCACAGAAAGCCTACCCGTTACCCGGGGCCCCCTATACGGAAGGCGGAATGTCTACGGTATACCAGAACACCCTTACCAGCGCACAGCGCGATGCATGCCGTGAAGTCTCTGTGTAGCCCTAGCAAGTGGGAACTCTGCCCGAGTTTGACCGTACCTTCACCCTATACTTCTCATCTATTAGCCACCGCGAACGTCTCCCATCCCTCCCTCCGTCCACCCACGCCCTCTCGCTAGTGAACAACTCAGGATATCTAGGAACTTGGGCTTAGTTCGGAGGCAACCGTAGGTAGTGCTTCTCGACCCCCCGATCGAAGCTTCTTCACAGCCCACACACACACACACACACACACACACACTTACTTTTGGCCCCTATAACACCAACACAGCCTCTCTCTTCACGTCCATCCCTCGGTTCGGATATCGTCTTAACTCACCTTATTACTCAGATATGTACGTATTCACCCACACCCCCGGCGTCTCTCTCCTCGATGGTGCCTTGCCATCTTATCCGTCTCGGGGCATAAAACTGACCGGACAGGAAGACCTCCCTACTGCTGGCATCCTATTACATGGCGGGAATAGGGTTTATAGTTACCTCGACGTCTCAGAAGAGACTCCGATACTAAGGGGGGCCAGGTTTTCGGTTGCGCCTTCGTATCTTTCCTTTTCCCCTCACAATTCGGTTCAACTCAATTCTCGGTATAGCGGCCACGCAACCGGATGAGGCCTCGGGCACGAGTCTTCTACCCGTCGCTAGTTCCGCAGTTCCTTATTCAATAATTCTCTTATTCCAACTAGGCCCCGGTGGCGCTTTCTCTGGACATTAAAAGGCCTGGTCCCCCTCTCCCCCCATCTCTCTCTTTGGACCGGTTTCATCTAGAATCAAGGACGTTACCGTTCGCCACTCTGTACCGCGAAGTCTTAAGCCCTAAGCTCTAGAGATCGAGAAGCGACGAGCTAGACACACCCTACAACAGAAACCAGCGCCGTCTCCGGGTCGCTAACTGGTTCCTACCATAGCGGCTTGCTACCTCGATAGCTCGTCGTCGCCTGGCGATGAGCAGCAGCTGGTGACGTGGACCTTGGCACAACCGTTCTATCACCTACAGTATAGCGAAGGGCGCTGGATAATTCCCCCGCCATCCTCACATCTCCCTACCTCGAGTCCCCGGGCGGTTGTCTGGGAGCCGAGCTTCATTGGCGGTCCCTGTGGTTCCTTCGCGTCCATTTACACTCGAGCCTTGATCTCGTACAACACCACCCCCTCCGCCGGCCTGATAGGTAGGTGCCCCAATCACGACGCTCAAGGCATTCGCCTGGGCTAATGATTCCCGTACTGGCCCCATTAGCCAGTAAAACAATATGGACGTTACCTCGATGCTTAATTCGTCCTCGGTCGCGAGCGGGGACGAGAGGGCGACTGCAAGGCCGACAGAAAGGGTAGAGTACGCTATTGAAGCGTGTCCTTCGGCAACGAGAGGGATGACAGGAAGTCCCTCCGCCTCGGCCGACGCGTCCTATCAGAAGGCGGTGCCGAGAGCAGCGGGCGATATGAAACCACCAAGTAGAAACCGGACGCCGTGGGATGGCGACGGATACTCCCTACCACCCGCACTAGACACAAGGCCCGCACAAGCACCGGCTCGGCCAACATCGCATAGTATGTCGCCGCCAGATTCTAACAGCCCCAAATCACCACGACACAAGCCCTCGGACAGCGACAGCAGCATAAACTCTTATGAGTCTTCGACACTCTCTCCATCCCATGCCCATTCGAGAGACTCGTCCACATCTACCAACGGAGGGTCACAACCCGTCAGCACCCTCCCCGACGCACCACGCGAGACCAAATTCGACGGTTCGGACGTTGCGATGCCTAAAATACGGCCTTCCGATACGCACGAGAGGCGAAACATAGGGATCGCATATCCGCTAACAACCTGGAACCCTCCGAGGACTGGGACGATGCGGCCGGGTTCTCCATCCGATGCCGTGCTGATATCTAGGGGGGCGCCAAGGCCGAATCAAACGAACTACCCAGACACAATCATGTGAGTAACCCATTTACGTCCCCATTTGCCCACGGATTCACATGGAGCCATTCAAGAGCAGATTGCTTGGGCCGATAGACTCGGCCTGGAGTAGCTTCTATTGTTCAGGATGAGTTGAAAGCATCGGTTCATCGCCAATCACCCAGTCCCTCCCAGCTAGTGCTGTGGTTTGCTGTTATTTCCCCCTGACTAGTCGGTCACCCGCCATCAGGTACACCGCCCGTTATCACATCCAATCAATTGTCCCGCTGTACCTAGAACTCATCCTGAGGTCTTTTGGACTTCATTTTCTCATTTGATCCTACTCATACTCATGCTGCTTGGTCGCCCCACGCGTGATTGTTCCTGGTTGTGTGCCGAAATAGCGCAGTCACTTACGTCCAATGCCAGACCAGACCAGTCCCAATTCCCTCAGTATGAGTCGCTCAAAAGGTTGGCTGCCCAATCTCTTGAAAACACCATTCGTCTCCCCCCCCTCTCGCCTCTGTCAGTCGGATTGTGCCGGATTTGTTCCCTTTGTCGGGAGGACTCTCACGTCTCAACAGCTAACACTATTTCAGCGCGAGGGATACGAAGCTCGAACTATATCACCTATCCATTGACTCGACCAGGGCACACAAGAGAGCCATCTCTGCCCCGGTTATCGCCAGAGCTAATTTAACCCAACGGGAATTTCTTCCTCTTCCCCCTCTTCCTCCTCTTCCCCCTCCCCTCCATATGACACCGTCGCCGTCCCTGAATCCCGGCCTGCCACTAGCAAATTACGCAATGGATATGACGCCCTCTTCACCGACTCAAGCTAGCCAGACTCCGGAGTCCACGGAAATTTCTTGCCGGTACCAGGCAAAATGTGACACTGGTTCCCAACTCCGGAAGGCCATCTCTCACATTTTCGGCCGGAACAAGACCTGTACTCGAAGCATACCTAGCCACGTGTGGGTTTATTTTTGTCGCAAACACTACCAGCGCAGTCGGTATCGCAACGCCCACGAATGGGCCAAAGTGCAATGTGATCTGGTGCAAGAGCAGATCCGTCGCGTCCAAAAATGGAGTGATGACAATAAGCGGACAGGGCAACCCGGTGTCGTCCAAGATTGGTCCCTGTCCATGAGAAAGCGAGAGCAGAATCGAGTCCAGGAGAAATCCAACAGGAAGCGCCCCCACCCTGGCGACAGTGATGACGAGGACGACGACATGCAGGACAGTGCTATGCTGAACGGTACCGCTGTGCCAGAGTGGCTACGTAGCAAGTGCGGCAGTGGATACAGCACAGCCGAGATAGAAGAGATTGTAGCTCGCCTCAAACAAGAGATGGAGGAGACCGGCATGACACAGATTCCCGACATCGAAATACTCCCCAATATCCCCACGGAAGCGTCGGGGCCTTCCGGAGCTAAAGCGCCGTTGAAACGGAGGACTAATGGTGGAGGCGGCGTCCACAGGCGATCTCAGTCGGTTGGCGTAAGTCTTCTGCCCGAATCTCAACCGATGGCTCGTCGGGTGAGCCAACCCCCGTATTGGCAACAAGAATACGATATCCTCCCACCGCCGACGGAGAAACGTCAGCGTACATCCGACGCTCCCCCGTATAATAATCTATACGGCCTCTCTGGACGCCCCACACTCGCTCCGCCGAGACAAGTGCATAATCTGACTCATCGTCCCGGCTTCAACAACATGCAGGAAAGCCGCGTACAGGAGTCGTATTACAGCAACGGCGAAGAAGCCGGAAATCCCGGCCACGGTTACGGTTATTGGTCTACGTCGGACCCCCAGCGAAACCTTAGCCAGCAACCCGCTGCAGGACGAGACTCTAACATGCGAGAAAGCCGCGCACGGGAGTCGTATTACAGCAGCAGCGAGGAAGCCAGAAATCCTGGCCACGGTTACGGTTATTGGCCTCTGTCGAACCCTCAGCGAAACCCCAGCCAGCAACCCGCTGCAGGACGAGGTTCCAACATGCAGGAAAGCCGCGCGCGGGAGTCATATTATATCAACGGCGAGGAAGCTAGAGATCCTAGCTATGGTTACGATCATTGGTCTACGTCGAACCCCCTGCGAAACCCTAGCCAGCAACTTGCTACAAGACGACGGGGTTTAACGTGATATTAAGCGGCTATTGATCATTTGAATCGTTAGCGGATATCCCGTAAAGGGATCAACAACGCCCAGTTGATGTTTACTCGTGTTGATTTGGTAGCGATTCATAGATGATACCTAAATATTATTTATATTTACCGCTGCTTTTAATCGGCAATACCTATCTTTAGAAATACGCATCCGATCAAAGCCGAAAGAAAAAAAGAAGCTCGTATTTGATGGGAAGACTTCCTACTGACCATATCTATAGCGGTTCGTGACCAATTTTAAAGTGGCGGGTGGCGGCGTGGTTAAAATGGTGTAGGCTTTCTCTGGGACAGTCATGGCCTAGATAAATCGATCCTCGGGTGCGCCGAGCTGAGCTAACAGTGAACCTGTCGCGACGTGCCTACTTGGGCATTGCTATCCTCTGAAGTAGGTAAAGCAACCTGTCTAACCGGGGCTGTTTCATGCTGCGATTGCGCTGCTAGGTATTATGTCCCCATGTGTCGGAGGGGTGCGAGACGCCTCCCTGATTTACGGCAATGAGAGCTTGGCCGGGGGGCTGTAATGGCGAATGTTACCTAGATAGAGGCTGGCATTCGCAGTTCAAGTCCCGGGATTCTACCTAGGTATCTGGGCAGCTGTACCTAGGTACTTACACTGGTAGGTATAAGTTGCCCCCGCCAAGATGTCGGTGGATGTCGACTTGTTCTTCGAACTGGTTAAGAAACGGACCTGCTGGCTTGTGTAGTCGTTGGCGCACCCGACGCCTGGCGGAGTTGCTCCTTGTCTTGGGAACCGAATATACAATATGCCATTGGCTGGATCCCAACCGGCGGCCTACGTAGGTGCATGTGTCGGTACATGCATGCAGCATGCATAAGCGTGTGTATGCGAATAGGCAGATGGTAGCCACGTGGCAGACGATAGCTCAGGTACCTAGGTACCTACCTAACCCTGTCTACCTGGTAGGCACATCACGTCTTCGATACCTCATCACCTGTCTCGTTCTAGTGCTTCTGTACCGTATAAATATCAGAGAATAATGCCTACAGGTACCTACCTCCTACCTAGGTACCTCCTAGCCAGGCACCTAAGGCACTCAGTATATGCCTACTAGAGGAGGACCTCTAAGAGCAGGTAGGTACTTAAGGTAGTATGCAGTACACGCCATAATGTGTACGTACCTCTAGGTAGCTTGTACTTACCTAGGTACCTGATAGGTTAGGTACCTACACGTATAGTGCCAAAGAGGGTTAGTAGGGCTGCATGTACAGACCGGAGGCGGATCTGCCACGAGGTACCTCCTATTATAGATAGTGCTAACCTGATGGAGTCTAGACGGCGGGCAGTTTAGCGGGTTGGCCAACCACGAACCGGCGCCAACGAGCGATCGCCCGGCAACCAGCGAAACAAACACAGAGGGGGGTGGAATAAACCATCTCAGGTACCTATGACCCAAGCACTACAATCGGTACAGGATGTCATGATATCAGGACATCGTCGGCGTCGGCACGTCGAAACTTAACGCTGGACAACCTCACCACTGCCATCACACGCTCGCTGTCTTCTCTCTCCCTCTCTCTCTCTCTCTCTCTTTCTACCTCGCACACTCTCTCTACCCCACTCTCGTCGTTCCTATCCAACACCCATTGATTTGATTGATCTTGGATAGATATCACGCCTGGTCTTTACTCTACGCGGCTTGCTCGACCCCGGCCGTTGCAGAGCGTCCTCGATATCGCGTCTCTTGGAAAGAACGCTAGCCACGATAGGTACCCTCTTCTCTGTACGTCCATGCCCATGAAACGCCACCACCATGGCAAAGCAGAGCCAGCACGTGGCGGCGCCAGAATCCTCTACCTGCCTGGGTGGGCTGAGGCAGCGCTTCCCCATCCTGGATACGAAGCGGGGCGGAGCCCTCGTTATCGGTCTCTCGATACTGCCCCTGCTTTGCCTGCTCGGGCTTCTCGCCCTGCGCAATCGAGGCGGTGCCACCACAGAGGCCGGCCCGGCCGGGAACGGCCCGGAGCTCATCACCGATGATACCTTCTTTTACGGCCAGTCTGAGCCGGTCTATCCCTCCCGTGAGTCCACACCTGGCAAAACGACGCGCAGAACCTACTAATCTCTCATGCGCGTGTCAGCTGCCATGACCGGGGTCGGGCCGTGGGCTGATGCCTATAACAAAGCTGTCACCTTTGTGAGACAACTCACAATCGAGGAGAAGGTAGGTGATTGCTTACAAATTATGTCCTATCATGCATCCATACATGGCGAGCAAAACACGGCGAGCAAAGCTAAGGCGGTCTAGGCTGGCCTTGCCTCGGGCATCTTCTCGTCGACCGGGAGCTCCGGGACCCTGAACGGCTGCTCCGGCAATATCGCCGCCATCCCTCGCATGAATTTCTCAGGCCTCTGCCTCAACGACGCCGGCCAAGGGGTGCGCGCCACCGATTTCGTCAGCGGATACCCGAGCGGCATCCACGTCGGTGCTAGCTGGAACAGGGCCTTGGCACGAAGTCGTGCAGAGAGCATGGGCCTCGAATTTAGAGTCAAGGGGGTTCATATAGCTCTCGGCCCAGTCGTAGGGCCTCTCGGCCGGGTACCGCGCGGCGGCCGCAACTGGGAGGGCTTTTCGCCTGACCCCTATCTATGCGGCGTTCTCGCGTCCGAGACCGTGCAAGGGATCCAGTCGCGAGGAGTTATTACGAGTACAAAGGTACGGCACGCGCGCGATACGTATGCCTCTCGTGGCTTAAAGGAGAATCCGGCTGACTAGGCCCTTAGCATTTTATCGGCAACGAGCAGGAGACAAATCGACAGCCGGGTAACGGCGTCGAAGCCGTTTCTTCTAATATCGACGACAGGACTATGCACGAGCTCTACCTATGGTGAGTCAAACGCGCCGTTCTATCAAGCAAAGCACGTTGACGAGTATCTCTCTGACTTGCAAACTACGCGCCAGGCCCTTCCAAGACGCCATCCGAGCCGGCACCGGGAACATCATGTGCTCGTACAACCGGGTCAATAACTCGTACGGGTGTGCCAACAGCAAGGCCCAGAACGGTCTCCTCAAGACGGAACTCGGCTTCCAGGGCGCCGTCACGTCCGACTGGGACGCGCTGCACGCCGGCGTCGCCTCAGCCCAGGCCGGCATGGACATGGTCATGCCCAACTCGAGGCTCTGGGGCGACCGGCTCGTCGAGGCTGTCCGCAACAGCTCGCTTCCCGCCGAGCGCCTCGACGATATGGCGACGCGCATCATCGCCTCATGGTACCGCATGGGCCAGGATCAGGGCTTTCCAGCACCCGGTGTCGGGATGCCAGCGGACCTGACACGACCGCACGCGGTCGTCGACGCGCGGGACGTGTCGTCGCAGCGGGTGCTGCTTGATGGGGCGGTCGAGGGCCACGTACTTCTCAAAAACGCGCGGGGCGCGCTGCCGCTGCGGCGCGACCCGCCGCCGCGCATGCTCTCGCTGTTCGGGTACTCGGCCAAGGCGCCGGACCAGTGGAGCTACGAGTCGGACGGTGGTGTCGCCGCGTGGACTTTTGGCGGCGAGTCGTCGTACCTCGGCCGCGACACGCGCGCCGGCTTCGGCGGCGACTACCATCGCGCCGACTTCTCCCAGGTCGCCCCCAACGGCACGTTGCTGTGCGGCGGCGGCTCCGGCGCTGTCACTCCCGCCACACTCAGCGCCCCTTTCGACGCGCTCGCTGCCCGCGCCCGCGCCGACCGCACCGCCCTCTTTTGGGACTTTGGCACCCCGGACCCGGACGTCGCCGCTCCGTCCGAGGCGTGTCTTGTACTTGTCAACGCGTTTGCATCAGAAGGGTGAGTGTGGATCTTCTCGTTAATTTCCAGTATTGCTGTCGAGACTCGTATTTCTGTTTCTCTCTCGTTTCTTCCCCCTTTCTCAGTATCTCGCCTTACAGATCGCAAACTGAGGAAAAAAAAAAGGTATGACCGGCCGGGCCTGCACGACGACTACACTGACGGGCTAATCCTACACGTGGCGGCGCGGTGTAACAACACCATCGTCATCTTCCACAATGCGGGTGTACGGCTCGTCGACCGGTGGATCGACCACCCGAACGTGACGGCGCTGCTGTTCGCGCACCTGCCGGGCGAGGCCTCGGGCGATGCGCTCGTCGCGCTGCTCTACGGCGACGCGAACCCGTCTGGAAAACTGCCGTACACGGTACCGCGGAACGAGTCGGACTACGGCGCGAGGCGCGGCGGGCCCGACATGCCTGAGGGGCAGTTCGAGCAGTTCCCGCAGTCAGACTTCGCCGGACCCGCGGGCGCCAACGGCGAGGGCGACGGCCTCCTGCTCGACTACCGCCGCTTCGACGCGCTCGAGATCGAGCCGCGCTTCCCCTTTGGCTTCGGGCTGTCGTACACGACGTTCGCATACGCGGACCTGCGGGTGGCGACGCAGGCGGACGCCGACACGGGGCCCTTCCCGACGGGGGCGACGCGCGAAGGAGGGCCCGTTGACCTGTGGCACGTGCTAGCGACGGCGACAGCCGAGGTGCGGAACACGGGCGACGTGGGCGGCGCCGAGGTCGCACAGCTGTACGTAGCGATCCCAGCGGGGCCAGACACGGAGAACGGGGAACGGCCAGCGGAGGAGGAAGAGCAGGGGAACGGGGGCGGGGCGCCGCCGCCGCGGGTGCGCCGCCAGCTGCGCGGGTTCGAGAAGCCGTTCATAAACGCGTTGGACGCAGCGACGGTGCGCTTCGAACTGACGCGGCGCGACCTCAGCGTCTGGGACGTGGTCGCGCAGAAGTGGCGCCTGCGCCGGGGCGAGTACACGGTGTTCGTCGGGGGCAGCAGCCGTGACCTGCCGCTGAATGGGACTTTTACGATTTGAACGACGTGGTATTGTTTACAAAAAGGGGTTCTGGTTGTCCTTTTATTTTTCCCTTAAAACGAGATATTGTTTAATGGACGGGATGTATAAAAGAGGTACGGATGAGGAAGAAGGGAATATGAGGCACATAATGATATCACGCACGATCGAAGGGTACGAGGACGGGGGGGGAGGTAGGAAGTAGTGGATCTAGCCCCTTGGAGGATGGGGGAATGAATGAGACGGCGCGTACGGCGTCGGTGACAAGAGAAGAGGATAGGGGACCCCCGTGTAATTTGTGGATGGGGTGTGAGGCTTACCGTCTGCGCGTGCGTGGAGGCATATATGGGTACACATATATCTTTAAGCTGACGGCCTTGATCTGGGTCGGGTTGCTTGTTCTAGAAGGGTAGTGGTTTGAGGGGAGACCCGAGTCGTCCCGGGGCCTGTGGAGGACACGACAGAGAAGCTTATGCGGGCGGATAGCCCGGGGGGATATGACGTTGCTGTTATTACCTACTACTACTACTACTACTACTACTACTACTACTACTACTACTACTAAGGTAGCTACTACTGCATCGAGGCAGATCCCGGCGAGGTACGAGGCGTTCCAGATCCGAGCCGTTTACTGGTGGTGAGAGAGACGGGGATGGTAGATTGCTCCGACTCGTTGCCTTCTGAGAAGCAAGAAGCAAGAAGGGCTACGGGCGTTGCTTATTATATCGCGTACACGCGTCGGGATGTGCGTAATATATCTCAACGGGGAGGACGAAAGGGCGAAGGGGGGATGAACCGGCATGTGGTTTGTGTAGAGGAGGTCAGCCTCAGCTTGACAGCCGTTGATTATGCAGCGGTAAGCACCCCAGACACACTGACACCCCGGACACGCACACACACTCGAAATTGTCTGACAGGCACCGTCGGTCTGGCAACAGATCCATACGAAATGGGGTTCTCCCGCCACTGACGAACGCCTCGCCGTCTCATTGGGTCGGAATTTTTCTTCGCTGGCCTCGTAGGCAAGTTCTATCTCGTCCATGGGCTTTTCCCTCGCCTCTCAACTGTCCTCGCTCTCGGCTCTTCTACAAGCCTACTGCTCAACAACTGCATCCCGGCACACCAGAGGCGAAGTTTCCAGCGAATCGGGTGCGAGAAGCCTCCCCCCAGGACCCAGACAACGGGGAGGGGGGGTGCAGGGGGGGCGTACCATCGCACTCGCATCGATCCAGTGACTGGCCGCGATCTCTCGAACCTCAGCTCTTCGTGAGCATCGAACCGTCCCTACGTCTCTTGGCAAGCCACCTTGTGCGAGGCTCAACATCATGCCCCCCCGCGCCATATGTTCTCAGCCTCACCTCTAGTATAATACGTTGTACGTCCGTTCACCACACCCGTGCACGCTGGGGTGGGGGTACCACCAGGCCTGGTTTCGGGTGTCTTCTGATTACGAGGCGCCGTTTGGTTGAGCGAGGCCGTACCGTAGCCGTCGCGAGGAGTCGGCTCGGGGTAGAATGGACATTGCCAACGAACGTCGAGAGAGAGAGGGAGAAACAGAGGGACAGACGCGGAGAGAAGGAGAGAAGTCGTCGGATCGATGGAATTACCTACCTCTCGGAGCTATGAGGATTCCATCTCTCTACACGCCGATGCCGACCGGCCTCGCCTGGGTAGCGGTGACCACGCCGACTAATCAGCCAGTCAACGGCACGTGAGAACGAGACATGGTAATTGAGGAGGTAACCCCCGTCGCCAGGGACGTCTCTTATATCCGGGCCCGTCTCCCCCCCTCGTTTCCCTCCCTCGTCTCCCTCCTCTCTCCCCTCCCCTGACTTGCCGCCGGGCATAAGAGACTTTTAGGTTCCCTTCCCATACGTCGGCGTGCGCTCAGTCTGTCTACGTGCGCCCTCAGCACCCCCACGCTCGCCGGATCGACCCGCGTTACTAAACGAAGCTTTCGAGATGCACATGGCGCAGGTTTCCGCCAGAACGTCTCCCGTGTCGGACACGACGACGTCGGGTGGCTCGTCGGGGCCGTCACCCAAACGGCACTGCCTCGAGGGCCCCCTTGCCTTCGGCGCAGTGGACGCCGCGGCGAGCTTCGGCATCGGCCTGGCTCCTCGAGCGTGCGAGAAGTGCCGCGCCTCCAAGCGCAAATGCGACAAGAAACTCCCTTTCTGCAACCGATGTCAGAGGTATTCCCCCCCCCCCCCCTCACCCCCTTTCCTAACCGCCGCCCTGTTACGCTGTCTTCTGAGCTACTTGCCTGCCCGTTCATCTATCTACCTAGCCCCTTCTTCTTCCGTAGCACACAGCCTAGACGCGAGGCGACGAGGGAGGCTAACCGAGGACACCGCAACTTATCGACGACGGCTCCAGACTGGGCGCCAGGTGCTACTACGCCCGGGACGCGGCGAACAACGTGATCCCCGCGGGCGCCGCCCCGTTCTTCATCTACCAGCCGCGGTCGCCGGCCGCCGACGTGCTGCTCCGCGGCGCCGAGCCGCTCTCGGGCGTCACGGCCGGGCAGATCCTGGCCCTCGTCGCCAGCGGCGCCGGGCCCGGGTGCCCGCCGCCGGGCGACTGGCGCGCCGGCGCCGACGCGTACTTCGCGTGCGTGTACCCGTGGTTCGCGGTCGTGCACCCGGGCGTCTTCGCGCGGCAGGCGGCGGACCTGCTCGGCAGCGGCAGCGGCGGCGGCAGCAGCGCGGACCCGCACCCGGCGGCGGCGCTCGCGGCCAAGGACCTGGCGCTCGTGGCGGCGGCGATGGCGCTGGCCGCGCGGATGCGCGAGACCGACGCCGGCGAGCAGCCCGTCTTCGACGAGACGTACCGCGCGGTGAAGCGGCTGCTGGCCGCGCGGCTGGTCGCGTGCGCGGGGGACCCGCACCCGGGCGTCGAGGCGGCCCAGGCGGCCGCGCTGCTCGCCCTCTACGAGTACGGCCACGGCGACGCCGCCGCCGCCTACCGCACGCTCGGGCTCGCGGCCGCGACGGCGCGCGCGCTCGGCGTCGGGCCCGGCCGGTTGGCGGGGAGGGGGCTCGGGGCGACGGCGTGCGCGCTGGGGTCTGGGGGGGTGGGGACAGGGGGGGAGGAGGAGGAGGAGCAGGAGGAGGGGGAGGGGGAGGAAGGGGAGGAGCAGCAGCGGAATGGGTGTCTCTGGTGGGGCATGTTTATCCTTGAACAGTGAGTGAGCGTCGACTACCTCCTCCCTATCTACTGAATCACCTTCCGTCTCGAATTCAAGCACGAAGGGTAATCTAGAGGGGAGCGCTACTATTCTGCCCGTAGCTTATAAATTAGCGGCCCCTGTGTAGTCCCAGGGACCGCCTCCTCCTTTTCACACAAGTTCCCCTAACACTCCCCCTCCCCCGCCGCGTCGAGGATAAGTAACAACTCACGAGCGCCCGCCGCCGCCCTCTAGGTTCATCCACCAGGACGAAGCCGTCCGGGGGCTGCCCTTCCTGCTCGAGAGCCCGAGCCGGGACACGCTCCTGCCGGACACACCACCACCGCTGCCGCCACCGCGCCGGTCGCTCGGCTCGACGTCCCCCCCCGCTCCCCCGCGCTCCCCGGCGACTCCGACTCCGACTCCGACTCCGACGCGGCGCCGCCCGCGGCTGAGCGTGAGGGCGCGCGCAGGCGGCGCCGACCTCGCCGCGTTCCAGCTGTCGGCCAAGGCGTCGACGCTGTTCCACCGCGCGCTGCGCATCGACAAGGAGCGCGGCCGGCGGCCCGGCGGCGCGCCGCTCGCCGCCGCCTACGCCGAGCTCGACGGCGAGATCCGCCGCGCCACCCTCGCGCTGCTCGAGCGCACGCTCGACTGGGAGGCCGCGCTCGACTGCTTCGCCATGCTTGTCAGGTACGTCTCTACGCCGCGTCTTCTGCCTTGCGGGGGGGGTGTTTTCTCTCTCTTTCTCTCTTTCTCTCTTTCTCTCTTTCTCTCTTTCTCTCTTTCTCTCTTTCTCTCTTTCTCTCTTTCTCTCTTTCTCTCTTTCTCTCTTTCTCTCTTTCTCTCTTTCTCGCGCGCACATGCATGAAGGGGAGAGGGAGGAGGGAGGCGAACGGTAGAATGGAGGCCTCCACTACCTATCCCGCACCTCGCGCGCGCGCTCTCTCTCTCTGCCACACCTTGGTTCTAACACCGCGGGGGGGAGGCCTGCAGCGCGCTCTTCACGCTCTACATGCCGTACCTGGCGATCCTGGAGCAGACGCCGGCGGACGCGCTGGCGGCGTCGTCGTCGCTGTCCTCGCCGCCCGGCTTCGGCGCGCCCTCTTCCTCTTCCTCCTCCTCCTCCTTCTCCGCGTCCCCCGCGCCGCCGCCGCGTAGCGCTGACATGGAGCTCGCCACCGCGCTCGCCGCCCTGCGCTTCGCCTGCAAGATGTCGACCGACATCTTGTGCAAGCTGAACCGCGACTACGCCCGCGTCGCCGCCTCCTCCCCGCCTCCCCGCCGCTACCGCCACCGCTCGTCCCCCGCCTACCTCTGCGCCCCCGCCCCCGCTACCTGCTACCTCGTCATCCTGGCGCTCGCCGGCCTCGGCCGCGTCTGCCCCGCCGAGGCCCCCGCGTGCGAGGCCATCATCGCCGACAAGTTCGAGACCCTGCGCATATTCAGCTTCCGCTGGGGCATCGCTGGTGAGTTTCTCTTTTCTTTCTTTCCTTCTTTCCCCCGGGACCCCTGAAGAGGCAGCGTGGACCGAGTGCGAGAATACCAGCAAAGAAAGAAAGAAGCGTGGTTGCTGACCGCGCCCTCCCCCCCGGCCCAGAGACCATGATGCGCCGCCTCGAGGCGCGCCTCGGCATCAGCCGCGAGCGCTACCTCCAGCGCGCGACGATCGTGCCGCCTCCGCTGCACGCGTGCTTCGGCGGCGGGCCGTAGTGAAGACACAGGAGGTTTGTAGGCAGGCAGACGGTCCGCGGCCGCCAGGTACGTGTTTCGGCGCCGCCGCGGCCTGCGCCGGTTTCCCGTGCGGAGCGTCGGCGGCTGGGCTCCCGGGGTCTGTCCAGGCGTGGAGGTTGTTTCTCCTTAGAACGTTCCTAGCACAGGAACGGGCGCAGATTGGTTATATAGGTAGATCTCGCAGCCTCCTGGCAAATTCAAGCCGGCAATGGCTTCGCCAGCGATCGGTTCTCCGTTGTCTCGTGAGCCCCGTTATGTGGTGTGCGAGTGGGCCCGGCGCGGAGAAAACCCCCCGTTACTCGGCGCTGGGGGCGTGAGGCTGCAAAATACGTGAGACGGCGAGGTCGGCGCGGACGAGATCGAACCCCCTCCCCGGAGAGCCGCAGAGGCAGAGGAGCGACTGCGCGCATCACATGGATGCCTACACGCACATCCTAGCAAGACAATGCGCTCGCGCAACATTCTCGGCTCAACCATTCCTCGAAGATCCCGATAGCGGCCAGACCTGGCTAACTAAAATATCTGACCTCATCCATGACTATCCTATCTCTTTGTCTTCTCTCTCTTGTCACCCCCCCTCCTCTCTTTCTCTCACCGTCAATACGCGTAGTTCCTTATCTCATCTTTAACGTACGTGTTACTACGCTCAATTGTTCACGGCGGCAGCATTGCAGCAAACACCCCGCACGATGAGTCTCGTAGGCATCATCATGCTAGCTCGGTCGATCGATCGATCGATCGACCGACCCGCCTCTCAATTTGGTATTTACGATCGGCTAAGGGGGGTAGCGTTGTCACCTCATCTATGCGTACGCGTACGGGGCGCGACCGGCAGGGTTTTGCCTAACATAAGTCGAACAGCAGTCTCATCAAATCCACACACCTATACGCACGGGGTTTGGGGGAAGGGGGGCCAAAAAAGAGAAATCTGTGCCGTACACTGTATGCCGAACCAACAATAAGCGAAACCGAACCTAGGTGCGTTGCGCGACACACCACGTGCTACACCTCCTCGCGAACGACCTGAATCAATGATTGGTATCATATCCCGGAGTGTGGAAATACTAAGAGAGAAGGAAAAGAAGAAAGAAAAAAAAGAATTCCCCGAATGCCCGCTGTGTGTAGAGGTATAAATAAAACAGTAGGTTGGCAAAGCATAACGACCCTGTCGCGCTCTATCGAGAGCGGAATACGACAGTAGATAGCACCCTGCGAAGGTCTCGTTCTTCCAATCATGGCCCCGCTGTCCCGAGCCTCACGGTAATCCGTAATTTTTGGTGAGGCATGCATAGACCGTGTGCATCGAAGGCACACAGTCTCGCTTATGCGATGGCGTTCCAGCAGTCTCTCTATGCTGGAGCGCCCTTCCCTTTCGCCAACGCCACTCAGTAAATCCCTAGAAAATTTAGACGACTTTATATGTAAGGTAGGGCCGGAAAAGGAGGGGAGCAGGGAAATGTCGATGTTGTTGGTCGGTGGTTGGTGGGTAGGATACCATGTTTCGAGGCGTCACAAGTCGTTGCTGCCTACGACGAGCACGAGCAGCATACCGTTGAGGACGCAGGCGGTCGTGAACGCGACCCAGACGGTGATGGTGTACATACAGCCGACGGGGAATTGACGGTATATGGTGACGCCCAGTCCCATGCAGGCGCAGAAGAGGCTCGTGACGGATCCTACGGCGACGCCGGCGTCGACCTCGAGCCGCATCTTGTGCCGGCCCGTCGCTATCAGAACCCCAGATATGATGAGAAGGATAAAGGATGTGAGGAAGGCGAGCACGGCCGCCCTTCCCATCATCATATCACGGTACCGGGCTAGCTGGTACTCCTGACCTTCCTCTGTCGGCGGCAGTGCCGAGTAGGGGGTCTGCTTCCGGCGGCCGACGCTCGAGTTAAGCGACGACGCATACTCGTCCTCAGTCCCTTCGTTGTCGGTTACGGTGGCGGTGGCGGAATGGCGGCGGGTGCTCGAATAGTCGGCGAACTCGTCGCGGTCGTGGAGGAGCGACCGCGTCTCGGCCGGAGGCGACTGGCGGCGCTCCTTCAGCCAGTGCCGTGCCATATCGATCGGAACGGTAAATACGGATTTGATATAGACAAAACCAGGGATAGTCACGCTCGCGTCCGGGTCGATGTAGATGGCGTAGGTTCCGTCGTCGTTGTCGCCGGCCTCGCTTCCGTGTTCGTACTCGTTCCAGTACGTGGCCGACGAGCTCCCTGCCGCGGGTATGGGCGGGGGGTCTGGCGGTTGGGTCTGGGAGGATCGGCGGCTCGTGCTGCGGGACGTCAATCGAGATTTCGCCTTCTGGCACTCGGAGCTCGAGAGCAAGAGAGTGGCCAACTCGGGAGACGCGGCCTCTAGGGTGGCGAGAAGGTCTCGGTACTGCAGCCGCAAGGGGGCGAAATCGCGCTTCGTGAAGCTCTTGGGCGAGGAGAGAACGTTTTCCTTAAACCGGCTGCTCAAGGTTGTCGAGCCGGTCCATTTCTACACGCGGGCGCCGGCGGCCGGGAATACGTCAGCACCTAGCACGCACGGGATGTCACGGGTGTCACGGGTGTCACACGGCGGCAACGCGCCGGGTTTCGCGGCCATAGCAACGCCGAAAGTTGCGTGTGAGATGCAGTATACACACATACCCTATACTTCTTGAGGATCTTGTGGAAGGCCGTAACCTGAGCACCGACGAATCGGCTCAACGCCTTCACGTCCTCATCGCACTCCTCGATCTGCAAGGCGTACTTGACGAGCCGTCGCTGCCGCTTGGCGGACACCTCGCCGACTTGGTTGCATCGCAGGAGCAGTCGGTGCGCTAAGCTGGAGAGATGGTCTGGTGACAAAAGATGGTGTGGTGCCAGGTTAGCTGGTGGTGGCGAAGGAAAACCAAAAAAAAAAAAAAAGTTTAAAAAAATGACGTAAAAGAAAAGGAGGAGGAAATCGTACGGAGGCGTCTCGAGATCTCGTCGGCTTTGCTCGAGACGAATAGTCCGACGCGGCTGTGCTGGTCGCAGAGTTCGTGGTAGAAGGCATCCTCGAACCGCTTGAGGGCGTAGTCCTGCTGTCCCGGGATGGCAATGGCGGTGGCCTGGTCTTTGCTGGTGTGGGCCTTGATCTGGTATTTGAGCGAGTTGTAGTCGATGTTGTGTAGACTCCAGCCCGGCACAGATTCCGCTTCGAAGTGTTCTCCGTACTTCATACTCGGACGGGGTGCGCCACGGCGGTCGGAGGCCGCTGTGGCCTGGCGTGGCACGGGTGCGGAAATGCGTGCTCGACCAGGAGAGGAGGATGAAGAAGAAGAAACGGCACCAAGCACGGCCGCGTGTTGCTGGCGACGACTGTGTCTATTCGCAAGCCGGGATGGCGTCGAAAGGGGAGTTTAGCCGGTGCAGTCGGGGGCTTTCCCAAAGCCTCTAGTCCTCAGGAGAGGCGAGCTGAAGCAGAAACAAGAAACAAGAAAAAAAACGAGCGAGGGGCGGTAGTAGGTAGAGTAGGGAAGAAGAAGTGTGTAAGTGGTAGGGAAGGATGACGGTTTCGTCTGGCCTAGCGGCCGGTAGCAGCAGCAGCAGGAGCCTACTAATAATAATATAGTGGAGAGCGGACTCGGAGCTAGCTATCTCTCTATCTCTATCTCTCTGGCTTAGACCGTCGTCTCTCCTCGTTCTTTTATCCTGGCCCGCCTCTTTCCGCGTCCTCTCCCCCCTATGCAATCCCATGCAATCCCATATGACGTTATACATGTCTGTCGGCGGGCAAGATAAGGGGTGTAGGTACCTAAGGGAACCTGCTCAGGCCTCTTCTCGGCTGTCTCACGATGCACAAGTAATACCTGCCTGCCTTCCTCGGTGGAGAGCATAGGGCAGGTACCTACTACTACCTTCCATACTGCTACCTTGGGTACGTGTTGCCCACCTACAGGCTACAAGGCAGGGTACCTACAGGTAGCAGCGCGAAAGGTACCTATGTACCGAAGCGGGAGTATGCATGTACTCAGTATGTAATACAGGTACTTCAGGATGTAGGTACCTAAGGTACCCAAGGCATGCATGCACATATTGTATGCACGCCATGGATTCGTCCCCTATAGCACGCGGCTCGATATAGCCTACCCTCCGCCGTGACAGGCTGCATACGGGCATAATCATACCTACCTACATAACACTACCTACCTGGCACAAGCATATAAGCACAACACAAATATGCGTGTACAAGGCTCTCACCCTGCCGTTCGCTCTCAGGTTGTAGGTTGTCACGTAGCACTAATAATCTTGCCTTTATTATTACAACTAACGGAGTGTGGAGGGGAGAGAAACAAGACAGAAATAAAATGGTCCTCCCGGTAGCACGGTGCTGGCGCGAGAAATTGCCATTGACTCATATCCACACAACCAAACCCGGCTAGCACAGCGAGAAGGCATCTGCCCCCTTCCAGCTTCGTCAAGACCCGGCGGGCAGGTTTCCCAGGAGGCATAGCGCAGACCCGATCTAGATGCGGGCGCGGCGCGAGAAGGGGAGCCCCCGTACGGGGTGCCCTAGGAGGTATGCGAGGCCAGAGTGGTGTGCCGTCGTCTGCAGTTAGCGCGGAGGAGGCGCAAGCTGGGATTCCGCACCGAGAGCGGGAACGGCCTTGGGTGACCCTACAGCGAGGACGCCCACGCCGGGCCAAGTAGGCTACCTTCGGCACCACCTTATCATAGGTTCTAACACACGGACATAGTATATGTATGTTACATGCTACCTGCCTTAGGAGGTGCCTCTTGCGTGTGCAGTGCGTGCCTTACGTTACGTCAGGCATCTTGCCGTCGGTGTTTCGGCGTCGACGTTGTTCTACGAGGTGCGTGGGTAGTGCCCCCGTATCGTCTATCAGCTTGGACGGCGAACGCCAACACCGCGACATATCGATAGAATATAGTAGACAGAGAGTAAATATCCCTCTCCGGCCTGGAGGATGGCCGCCTCGGGGCTTCAGCCCGCCGCCAATACGGGGCAAGACTGGGGCCACTGCAACAGGCAAAGCAGGTTAGCTGTCCGTGGGCAGGTATACACGGCTGGTCCCACTTGGTATAGCCCTGTTTCTACGTATAATCAGTCAGTAATTACCTACCTACCTTATCGACGACCTACAAAGAAACATCTTCGTCGTCACCACTCTCCCCCGCCTCTTCTCGCTGATATGCAGGAGGTGTCTAACACGGGAAATTCGGGGCCCGCCCGGAATGAATTCCAGACCCATATTTCCCTCTCCTTATGCACGCATGTGCGTAATATACACGGTATCTAGGTATCTACGAGTTAGCCTAGGCATGTATGCACATATGCCCACGGGCATTGCGGGATCTATTTACGTAAACCCCTTCTCGTCCACCCTGTCCATCGCCGGGGGGCATTTCCCCAGAACGACTTGACGGACACGGCCTTCATGTGCGTGCATCTCTGCTCATAGGTAACTATCTGTAGTATGAATATATTAGCACGCAGATTCCAGAGACGCGTTGCGGCCAACAACTGTAACGGCGTGCACCAAACGGGGCAGGGATGACGCGTACGTGCATATCCCCACCTCCTCTTAGGTACCTCTACCTAAGGTGTGAAGGTATCCTATCTACGTGCTCTGATTGGCCAATGGAGCCAGTTCCCCTTTCGGTGCGCCAGTGCGGGGCGGGTCCAGCGCTGATTGGTCCGAGCATTACGTATCCGATACGCACCTAGCCTCGCCGCCCAGGGTTACCCCGATTACATAACCACCGATCTCGTGTTGCCCCGATTCAATGGTATTACCACATGCCGGCACTCCCCAGCCAAGGTAGCTAGCAGAAACATGGAGCAGCCCAGTCTCTCGCCTTCGTGTCTCCCTTCAACCACCTCAACCGACCCGGTATAGATGCCAACCCAATTGACCAGGGGGCCGCGATGCCCGCCGGGCAGTAAGCAGATTCAGCTTCATTTATCTTCTTCTCCTGCCTGTGCGAATCACAGCCCGTGTCTCCCGCACGTGCGCCCACACCGCCATCTGACAGGTCCCGACGCTTGTCGCGACGCCTCACACCCTTCCCTCGCTGTCTCTGCCAACTATACTCGTACGTGTACACACTTTTTCCCTCTGGCTTCGTGTCTCTCTCTCTCTCTCTCTCTCTCTCTTCATCTTGCCTGGGAAATTGATCATGCGACTCTTTGCCTGTTGCGGGTGGTATGGGGTTACGGGGTCCCGTTCCGATTGAGTCGAGCAAATCGAGGAGGTCCCGAACATTCTTTCCACATACAGTGGGACGAACTGCAACTCTCCGTTATCAGCAGGAGGAAGAGGAGCACGTCCGAAGCATGCAGATCGTATTAACATTGTTACCTACGGGGCATCCCTCCACATGTGAGAGGATATTACGCTATCGTATCTTCACAACTACGCGAGCGGGCGGAGACGCCCCTCCATGAAGGGCCCCGTCGCCTCTACCGGTCGTGGGAAGCAATTCGACGCTTCCATTCGCTCACCCTCCTCCTCTGAATATTTCCTTTGGGGGGACGTCATTATCGAGGCTGCAGGGTCGCCGTCGCAACGAAGAACCACCAGCCTAAGTCGTACACACACCGTATTATGAGTATGCGTACGGGGGGGGGGGTTTTTTTTTTCGCGCACGCAGGCCCCAAGCCCAATGGCGCGAGACATTTTATGTGCCGTCCCATACAATGTAATATGTATGCGATCCCAGAGTGCAGCGTTCTCCTTTTGCCCGTTACGCTGCTCCCAGCGCCATTAATATAGAACAACGCTACCCGCCGGGACTTGCAGGATGCGCACGATGAGACGCAGAGGCACCCCGGTCAATCGGAGGGGTGCGCAGCCCGAAATTTCACACCAGTCGCGGGCGAGGAGTGTCAATCCGCAGCACGCTGCCATCACCTATTGTTCAACAGTTTCATCTGTTTATATTGCCGAGCAGGGTTCACGTCATCGTGGAAGAATAGCACAGATCGCGGGAGCTCCAAGCCTGCAACTATCCATGTGTCGCTCGGACACATCCACCAGGCACAGCTTCCCTTCTGGACGGCAAGCCCGCTTACGACAAGACAATCCAGCCGGTCTTTCTCATGATTCTTACCTAGTGCATGCTGCCGGGTAAGGCAGAGCCGCATCCAAACTTTGAGCACCATGTTTGAGAAGAGGGAACCCAACCAAGATTCTAGATGACCCGAAAAGCAGACGGTCTAGACCCATTTCGAGCTAGGTGGTTCTGCTGCTATTGTCAGAAGCCTGTGGACATCTCGCGGCTTAAGTTGATATCGCCTGAGAGCAGACTCAAAGAAATTCAAAAAAAAAAAAAGTCCACGGGAGAAAAGAAAGCGGGAAAAAGACGTTATTGCTCCGTGCTTCTAATTTAGACATTCTCAACTAAGACTCCAACCCCGAAGGGTGGATATACTGCGAGAAAAGGGGTCGAGGTTGAGAAGAGATTTCGAGTTTACTGCACCCGGCATTCCCTGCTTGTACCCGTTTACGAGGGATGAGGGAGGCCACATAGCTGAGGTGGATATAGGCTTGGAGAATTTTCGCAGGCTTCGTCTCGGGTGCTGAGCGGCATCGGAAGGGCGATATGTTACATGCAGACCTCGGCGGCGTTGTCTCAGGCGGCAAGCAGCAGGATTGTGATCTATCATCCTCTGTTATACCCCTAGCGCCCTCCGCACACGACCACGTCCTGCGAAACTCTCCCACCGTGAGTCAGTCACACAGACAGGACGAAGCCTGGCTCTCCTCATCGGAGGAATGACAGCGATCGCGAGAAGGGGACCACTGTCGCATCGAGATACCGCTGGACAGGCAGGATGATTCGACGTGGCCTAGCTGCGTAGCTACCCGTCACACACAAGCGGCCCAATTCCGAGGCTGACACCCCGGTTCACGGCTGGTTGCCATGCTCGGCAAGTTTTCGGAGGCCACCCGTGGCAGTCTTCGTGGGTCCATCACCGCGAGGTAGGGTGCCATGCACGCGAACCAGCCAGAGAGTAGATGTGTCTAGACAAATATAACCGACCAGGGTGTTCGAAGCGGGTACTTTCTCGAAGGCCGTTGGGAGGGAGCAGGACTGACCGCTATCCCGTCGTGGAAAGTGCTCACGTGTGTGTATCGATGAATGTATACCACGTACGTGTGTGTGTGGGCTCGACAATGCGACGGTATAGAAGCGCTGTGGTATGGGGTCGCGCACTCTTCGAGCAGATTCCACACCCACCCGTCCCTCCACCCATCCACCAGCCATCTTATTCTCCGACCATCCACCCACCTCCCTGGCCGTCCGCGGGCATCGAGGACTGACGAGACAATGCGATCGCGACATGGACGCACATATTTCATTTATTCCCCCCCCCCTCTCGATCGTCACCCTCATCATGGCTACGGTAGCCGCATCGCCGCCGCCTCCGCCTTCATCGCCTAGTGGTGGTCTCGATCGCGTCGTCGACGCATTCAAGAGAGGAATTCCGGTTCAACCGGAGGATGATCCGGAAGAGGGATATTTCTCTTACGGCATCCCCCATTTAGAAGCGCCGGCTCCATCGATGCGCGGGCGAAGGGCACAGCAAGCTATCTATCTGCGGAAAGGGTTTGCTTATGTATATGTGATGCATGTGATAATGGGGTAAGGAATACTAGGCGTGCGAGACGTGAGCCGAGCGAGTGGGAAAGAGAAATACACAGGGAGGGGGGAGAGTCGGGGAGACAAGTAAGCCAAAGTGTAGACTGGAAGGACTTACACAATCCGTCGGGAACATGACATTTCTCGGCGTGCGCGCCCTTACCGAAGTGTCGCAGGTGAGTAAATTGTTGGGAGAGGAGCCAGAATGCGCGTTTCGATCCGGAGTAGAGCCGCCCACCGACCGGACTTGCATTCCGTCCCCGATTGCCCTGAGGTGCGTAGGAGAAGACGGCATGATATCGCGTTAGGGACATCTACTCGCATTAGCAGCGAGGAGCTACGCTCTACTCCAACCAGCTGCGACATTACGGCGTAGCAACCTTCGGCAGTTAGCGGTCACTGTTACCGCAGAACGAGACGCCCGAAGAAAACAAGTAGGCAGTGCTTATCCCAGCCTTTACGATGGGGAATTTGAACGGCGGCGAATGGGAAAGCTGCGCGCAGGTAATCGCCCGGTCCTACTACAGCATCGACCCGTGAAGTTGGCACCGAGCCGGTAGGCATTTCGAATAGACATCGATAGCTCGTAGTTCACGGCTCGGGCGGGGGGTACCCGGGGAGATTAGATGGCCTAAACAGGAGATAGGTAGGCCCGCGGAGGCCGTCACAGGGGCCCAGGGGGCGCCGTCTAGACGTCAGGGGGCTAGGGAATTGTCTATACCACATGGTACTAGGGAAATGCGATATCGAACACAACAAGCAATCTCAAGTCCCATCCCCATCTCCATTCTAGATCGCCAATACTGTCATAAGGCGGCGGTTCGCCTAGCGTGCCGACTGAGATATGTCCATGCTCCACCAAGCTCCGCTACCTCCTCTTCCGTACCCTCGAAACATTGACTAGCTCCGCGTCGGTTCGTTTTTATTTTTAAAAGATAGCCATATCTCTATCTCTATCTGCCACCTCCCCCGCAGCCAGGTCCATCCCCGGCTCACTCGGGCTCCTCGAAGCTAATCTTACCCTGGTTGATATCGGGGTAGACGTCGAAGCGGCGCTGGGTGGCGAGGGGGATGTTGCGGCGGGCGTCGGCGATGGCGGCGGGGTCGAGGACGAGGGAGACAGTGGCCTCGGCCTCAGCAGCCTCGACAGCGACGGCGGCGAGCGGGTCGGCGACGAGGCTGTGGCCGTAGGCGTGGTAGCCGGCGGCCGGGTCGGGGTCGCGGGCGGGGCTGCACAGCGCCACGTAGAGCTGGTTGTCGGCGGCGCGGGCGCGGCCGAGCAGGGCCCAGTGCAGCGGGCCGGTCGTCGTGTTGAAGGCGCCGGGGTAGACGAGCGCGAAGCAGCCGCGCCGCGCGGCGATCGTGGCCAGCTCGGGGAACCGCACGTCGTAGCAGATGGCGACGCCGATGCGGCCGTACCCGGGCAGCGCCACCACCGTCACCTTGTTGCCCGGCGAGAGCACCGCGCTCTCGCGGAACGTGATGCGGCCCGGGATGTCGATGTCGAAGAGGTGCACCTTGCGGTGGGCGGCGAGCAGCGCGCCGTCGGGCCCGAACACGAGCGACGTGTTGTAGTACTTGCGGGTGGGCTCGGCGGCGCCGGCGGCCGCGGACTCGACGACCGGCCCGGCCTCGGGGATCGACCCGCCGACGAGGAACACGCCGGCGTCGGCGGCCATGGCCGACAGCGCGTGGAACGAGGGCGCCTGCTCGCGCGTCGGCGGGCTCGGCCGCAGCTCCTCCGCGTACCGCGGGAAGAAGTCGCAGCCGTACGGCGAGTTGAAGCACTCGGGCAGCACGACGAGCCGGGCACCGTCGCGCGCCGCCGCGAGCACCTTGTCGCGCGCGCGCGCCAGGTTCGCCGCCTTGTCCGCGCCGCTCGCCAGCTGGATGCAGGCCAGCTTGATCGGCTGCTGCAGCACGGGCTCCGTCGAGGTGGCCATGGTGCGGCGGCCGGAGGGGTGGATCGGGGAGCGGAGGAGGTGAGGAGGAGGAGGAGGAGGGGCCGGGGTGCCGACACTTCTTCGGCTGCTAATATCTCGTCTGCCGATGCTGATGCTGCTCCTGGCGACAGCTGCAGTTGCGCGACTTCGGGACGCGGCGATGGCGAGGAGGGACCTCGGAGATGCTGTGGGCGCCCCGGGGAAGGGTCTCATGATGCTGGCGGCATCGCTGGTTTATCTGCGTCTCCTCGTCCGGAGGAGAGGGGGAACCGGGGGGGGGAGACACATGACGTAAGCACTCCAGGACTTGTGAGAAGATGGTGGCGGGCGAGATCGGCCAGATTCGGCCTCGAGAATGGACGTAGGTATATAGGTATAGCCTATCGATAGCGGGCAGCTACTGGCCGCGGGGCAGGTTTCTGCTTTGATGCATAGGTAGATGCGAGGAAAAAAATGTTGTACTTCTCAATTGAATATCGTTGTATTGAGAGGTTGGATGAGGACGGATAGACACTCACTTGACATGGCCGTCCCCTCAGCCTCTGTTGCCCAGAACGGCGTGATGTGCTCTGAATCTATCTACCAACTAAACATTTTAATAGAGGGTCCTAAATATAAGAACCGAGCAAGATTCCCAGGGTAGGGACGAGGGGAGAAAACCCCGAAACAAGGCCCCCTTTAGCAGCTTGAGCTGGATAGCCTCTTATTCATGCCTTAGCAATCGCGTGCTCGCGCGAGAAAACTCGTCTTCTGTCGATGCTTCGGCAACCAGCCATCCAAACTAAACCCATCCCCCTTTTCCAACTAGCATATACTTATATACACGTCCCTACGAGGCTGTGGTAAACGGCATCGGGTTTCTCATCTCGCCATCGAGTGTCCACCTGGGGAAATCATGGTTAGTCACCGCCAGACGGTCACCCCGGCCCTACCGCGAACTCTCCCCTCGCGGTCTAATTCCTCCGTCTGCCAGGTCCACGCCGACGCGTCCAACTTCGCCGACGGCATCACCAAGGAGCAGGCCTACGAGCAGGTGCTGCTGCAGGCCGAGGGCCTGTTCGACGGGCAGAGGAACTGGGTCGGTGGGCGCCCGACCCCTCTAGACACGTGCATATTGCATTGCGCAGGCCGGCTTACATGTTAGCTTACACGTTGTTCCCGCTCTGCTCTTAGGTCTGGTACGTCTCGCCTGCCCTTTCTGCGCTCGGCGTGAGCCGCGCAGCCTACGGCCTCGGGTCTGGCAAGTGGCCGGCCGCTAACGCCGGGAAGCAACCTCGCGAACACGGCCGCCTTGCTATGGCACGCATACAAGTCGCTCCCCGCGCCGAGCAGCCGGGTGAACTGGGCAGGTGAGCCGCTCCGCGTTCCGCAAGGGGGGGGGGGCGAACGGGAACCGGCCGTTCTCGACGCCGGCCCGCCGAGCGCACCCGCATCCGCTGACCGCGCGCTGCCTGCAGGCTTCTACGTCTTGGACCCGGCCGCGCCGGCGTCTGAGCCGCGGCTGGTGCTGGGCCCGTTCCAGGGCAAGGTGGCGTGCCAGACGATCGCGTTCGGGCGCGGCGTGTGCGGCGCCGCGGCGGCCGCGCGCGCCACCCAACTCGTCGCCGACGTCGACCAGTTCCCCGGCCACATCGCCTGCGACGGCGACAGCCGCAGCGAGATCGTCGTGCCCGTCGTCGTCGTCGCAGGCGCCGCCGCGAAGCTCGTCGCCATCATCGACGTCGACTGCGCTGACCTCGCCGGCTTCGACGACGTCGACAAGGCGTACTTGGAGCGGCTGGCTGACCTGCTGGCGCGGAGCTGCGACTGGTGATGAGGTTGGATTGGGCGGGTTTCGGGCAGTGGTTCAGGGGCGCGTCGGAGGCGAACCCGGGCTGTGGATGCTGCAGTTAGTAGATGTCGAATACACCCCGCTGCCATCCTCGAGTCAGTAGTAGCAGCGCATTCGAGCCTTCAACGTCGATGGCGACGCTCAATTCTACGGAACAGCTTGAGAATCCTGTCGAGAGCCTCATTGTCGAGACTTTAACCCGGCGAGCACGGCGCATAGCTCACTACCTATTCCGAAGCCTATAGACGTAGTATTTATCTGTAGTCTCGTTAGCGGCGCCGAGGGATGATCGAATACCTAGAGAGAAGTATCCACCGATCTCAGTTGGCACATAATCAATCTAAGTTCCCGAATCCCGTACCATAAACCCCTTTCTCGACTAGCACAGCCAGACAGCGACAGATACTTAACACGCATTCAGCTTGCTCCTAAAGCAGAGCCCCGAAGCCATGAGGGCATGTTCTTACTAGCCCTGAGCGCAGGCCCTTCGGCCACATTACCCGGGGCAAATAGCAACAGCCGTCGACGGCCGGGGTCTGTCGACCCGAGACCAAGTTGATTGGCCACAGCGGGACGGGCACGGCGGCCCGCGTGGATTTCCCGAGGGGGGGCTCCCACGTCGCAGCCGCCGGGAGGGTAGATCCCTTTCCATTTCCCGCTCTCGGAGTGACTGCCCCCGGGCGTCACCCACAGTCCGCGTCGCGCGCTATCTCTCTCTTACTCTCTCTCTCTGTATACCTGGCCTTCCGTCGCCTCGTACACGGGCGTCAGCATGACTTACGCAGATTTCGCTTCAGGATCGCGCTCCCCACCCACGCTTTCTACCTATCTCACATTTGATAGCCCTTCGTGGGATAGAGATTAGAGAGAGAGAAGAGAGAAAGAAAGAGAAGGGGATCCGACGACGCCCAATCGCAGCCAGCGAATAAGCTACGACGCAGACGGAGAACGAGGCGCCAGCGCGAGAAACTAGCAGCGAGAGCCTGAAATGGGCACCGCCCCGCTGCAGCGCACGCGATGATCACGACCATGCGAATGGGCGGGGGCGGCAGGCCGAGGGCTCTCGCCGCCTACGTGCGACTGCGCCACGTCGTCGCCGCGTCTCTCGTCTGCCTGGCGCTATACTGCGTGCTCCTGGCGCCGAGCGCACCATCACGCGCACGCGCCGGGCTCTACAGCTTCTCAACCGACGCGGGTTTTAGCGCCGCTGGGGCTCCCGCGCTCTTCGAGAACCGGTCGCTGACGGGGGCGCAGTGCCGGGCGGCGTTCCCGGGGCTGACGTGGGAGATCGAAGCCGCAGCGGCCAAGGGCGCGTTCGCGGTGCGGCGGCGGCGCGACGGGCTGGGGCTCGGGCCGACGGTGGCGCGGGTGCGCGCCGGCCGGCTGTACGTGGTGGCGCGGGCGCGGCGCGTGGACCTGAGCCGCGACATGCTGCAGCACCGGGCGGCGACGCTGCACCAGGTGGCGCGGGCGCTGCTGACGGCGCCGGCCGCCGACGCCGACGGCCCGCTGCCCGACACCGTCTTCGCCTTCAACCACGCGGACGACCCGGTCTCGCCCAGCTGGTCGTACGCGCGCGCCGCCGACCCGGCCTTCGACGGTCCCCGCCGCCGCGTCTTCCCCATTCCCCACTTCAGCTTCTACGCCTGGCCCATCCCGACCGTCGGCTCGTTCGCGCGCGCCGCCGCCGCCATCTCCCGCGTCGAGGCCGAGCTCTCGTCCTCGTCCTCGTCCTCGGCACTGCCGCCGCCGGCGGACCTGGACCCGGACCAGGACCGGCCCCCGCCCTGGTGGGCCGCCAAGATCCCCAAAGCCGTCTGGCGCGGCACCACGCACTTCAACCACCCGCGCGCCGGACGGATGCGGCAGGACCTGGTGGCAGCGGCGCGCGGCGCCCCCTGGGCCGACGTCGAGCCGCTCGCTGCCGACGGTGCCAACGCGCTCCCCATCGAGGACTTCTGCCGCTACCGCTACGTCGTGCATACCGAGGGCGTCACGTACAGCGGGCGCTTCCAGCTGCACCAGCTGTGTGCCAGCGTCGTCCTCAGCCCGCCCATCGCCTGGATGCAGCACCTCACGCACCTCGCGCGCCCCGTCCTCAGCTACGACCTGCTCTCGTCGTCGCCGTCGCCGTCTTCTCCTGCCGCCACTCACGCCGACGACCCGCGCCGCCCCTCCCCCCGCCTGCCCTACCCCGCGCCCTGGGTCCGTGCCGCCTGGCCACCCGCCTCCGCCTCGTCGTCGGGCCCCTCGGCGGCCGCTAATATCTCTACCGCAAATATGATCTTTGTGGCCCCGGACTGGAGCGACCTCGCGGCTGTGGTCGCGTGGCTCGAGGCGCACCCGGCTGCCGCTGCCGCCGTCGCCGCGCGCCAGCGCGCCCTCTTTCACGACGCCGGCTACCTCTCGCCCGCCGCCGAGGCCTGCTACTGGCGCGCGCTGATCCGCGCCTGGGCCCGGGTCGCGCGGTACGAGGGCGGCGGCGACAGCGGAGAGGAGGAAGAGGGCGTCCCGTGGGAGGAGCTGAGTCTCACCGAGGTGCATAGATGAGATGGACGGCTAGACGGGTGGGCGGGGAGAGGAGTCAACGGGTCGTTGTCAGCAGATGATGTACGAGAAGAAAGCCGGAGGGAGCACGTACCCTTATAAAGTGTCTGCCTGGACGTGCGTGCCATCTACCGTCTGCTACCTGCATGCATCTGCACCGTCTTGGTCTCCCGTTTTCGTCCCACACTTATAGACTGAATACACTCCGCTTTCAATCGCGATGAGGGCTTATCGTCGATTTGTCGTCCTATCACACGTACCAACGAAAATGCACTGCACCCCCAACGAGACCGAAAAACATAGGCTTTAAAACCAGGCTTTCTTCCTTCCCCTTCGTGCCGATATCATTATTACAGTACACTACTTACTACCCAAAGTAACGGCGATTACCTCTTATATGTGTGGTTTTTGTCTATTTATATACATCACCCTCAACACACTTACACCCTCATTCTCTTCTCATCCACATCTTGGCCTCTGTATTTACTGCCCTCCCGCATCTCTTACACATGTACGCCTACACCTACCACCTTCAGATCCAACCAACCCATCCTCTCATCCTCTCCTAACCGCTCCTCGCGCTCAGACTGGCGAACGCGTCGGGACTGTGCCGACCGTTGCTCCACGCCATCTCCATGCCGAGCGTCATGCTCTCGCGGCTCCTAGCGCTGCCAAACGTGGGACCGACGCTGCTCGCGACTGAGCTTGGACCGGGGATCGGGGAGGCGATCGCGCCCATGGCGCCGCCTATGAAGGGATTCTTGCTCCCTGAAACAGGCATCGGAGAGGCGGCTGGCCGTGGCGGAGGTGCCGGCTGGTTTAGTTCCGCCCCGCCGTTCTGAATGTGGCCTTGCGGACGGGCGGGCGCTAGTTGGGGGTAGTTGTACAGGGCCATGATGGATGCGGTATCGGGTCGTTGCGGTGGAGGCTGGTACGCCGGCTGGTACGCTGCTTGTACGAGGGGTTGGGCATCGTACCACACCTGCTGGATGGGTTGGGTTGGCTGGATCGGTTGAGGAGGTGAAATGAAGTTGGGGGTCTGTACGGGTTGTGCGGTCTGATTTATCGTGAGGAAGGGGTTGCTCGCGTACGGGGTTTGGGACGAGCCGTAGAAGTTCTGTTGCGACGATTCGGGGATCTGATTCAAGGTTGTGGGCGATGTGATCCTGGTTGGCGATCTCGTGAACGGGTTGCTACCGACAGATCCTTGATTCTGAAATGGCGACTGGGAGGCGGTATTCAAGGAAATGGGTGCGTGGGCGGCTGCAGGGGCTTGCAAGAATGGGTTGTGGTAGCTTTGCGATGGCTGTGGCGCAGGTTGAGGGTATGTCTGATTACTATTGAAGGAAAGGAGTGGGAAACTCTGCGACTGGGGGATCGGCGGGGCCATCGACGGCGGATAGAAACTCTGTGATATCGGCTGGGCTGGTAGCCCCCCTGTGTGGTTCGGGAACAGCGGCTGCTGAGCTGCTGGCGTGAGGGAGAGATTCTGCAGGCTCTGGTTTAGATTAAACTCGGGTTGCTGCTTGGGTATATCGAACGGGTTTGCCGCATAGAAAGGGTTCTTGTTCTGTAGGGTTCCCGTTGACTGCGTGGACTGTGGCTGGGCAGCGGGTATGTCCCAAGGGTTATTGGAAGGGGTTGCCGGACTGGGTGCGGCTGGCGGGCTGGACTTGGACAGGCCGATGGCAGGTCTCGGCGAAACAGGCTGCGGCGTCAGGGACCTCGAGGTAGGTCGGGTACTGTGAGCATTTTCACGTGGAATTGGAGAGGGTAACGGCAACGACCCCCCTCCACCCTCTCCTAGGCGAACCAACGCTTCGATCGTCTTTTCTAGGTTTCCGTTGACACCTTTTAAAATCATGGCGTTGCGCTTGTCGTCCACAAAGCCCATGTCTCTAAGCTGCGACAATTTCTGCGCCGTGGCCTCGGGTGTGTCATGGTGCACACTCGCTCCGAAGACGCTGGGCTGCTTGTTCCGCAGGAACCCGGGACTGCGCGGAGACTGAGGCTCCTGCGAGCTGACAGCGCTATCCCGTGAACGCGACTCACGTGAATCCTTCTTTGACCGGAAGGAAAAGAAACGGCCGCCGGTCTTGGGTGGTAGCGGCGGTGGGGTACCTTCGTCGGAGCTTCCGGTGTTGTGCTTCTTGGAGCCATTGACAGCTGCTTGCATGTATTTCGACCTTATGAACCGTTCCATGGCGGAGTCTGCTTCGTCGACGTCGATGGGGACCGGAGGTTTCTTGTTCTGGGGGTTGTGAATCTTGTTGGACGTGGCATTTCCCACCCGCTTCATATTCTATCCGAGAGGGAGAGGGGGAGAGGACGGTTAGCTACGACTCGAAGGGGAGGGGGAAAGTGGTTGGCTGTCCAGCCCATACCTCGACCTGTTCATTGGACCAGCTGTCCATACTCAACGACTTGACCTTGGAAATGTGCGTGCCCAATTTACGATGGATCGCAGCGCATCGCATGCATAAAAAGACGCCCAACTATATATAGCCATACACATTAGCACCATGCATGTTTATCTCATCCGGTCCATTCGTCTATGCCTGTTCGCGTGTTCGTGTATGCGGGCGTGCGTAAGCCTTTTTCGACAACCAGAAGGACGCAATATGGGAAGAGGGAGAGGGAGAGCGGTTGGATTTCGGGTTTCAGAGCACCTACACTCCACGATGCCCAAGCTATAGAAGTGTTAATAAAAAAACATCACATGGTCAGTTTCGGACCGTCCGTCGTCGCAAGAGAGGATCTACCGGGGAGGAGAAGAGGCATCACCTACAAGGGTTTCTAGCTTGACAATCGGCACAAAAATTGTTTCCGGGGACATTTTGCACCAAGTCTTGCAAGACCTTCTCGTTGCGCGCCTGCTGGCGCTTGCTCATGATGGTAGACATGCTGATGCTTCTCGTGGATATTCGGGCGGCGTGCGCGCTCGTGAGCACGGGGTGAGGATGATTGCGTGTTGTATATGTGGTAAAGTAGAGCTTTGGCTACGACGGCACGCGGCTGAAAAGTTGGGCTTCCTACGCCAACCTGGGGCATCCGCGCAGCAGATGGTCGAGGCCGAAGGAGGGCTTATTTCCACCGTGGGATCTGGGCCAGGGGGGGCGTGTGGTTGGCCTTCCTAAATCTGGATTAGGGTCTCATCGACCAAGCATGGGCGAAGTTCGACCTGGCTCAAGTGGTAGTAGCGAATTAGGAAAGACGAAAGCGTAGGAAACAGAGAGAGAGGACGAGCTCGCAAGCACAACTATCGAGGCAACCTAACCTGATTTCTAGATAACGGATCACGGACAAAGAGGGGACGAAGGGGAACAGGAAGAGGAATTGGAGAGAGAGGGTTCCCAACGATCATGTCATTTTCGGCCAGGAATAATGGAGAGTGAGGAGGGATGGGGGAGGGGAGGGGAGTTGAGTCGAGTACCCAAGAAGAAGAAGAGGAGGAGTTAGCGTTGAGCGAGTGGTATGGAGAAGGGCTAGATGGGTTTAGGAGGAGGGAGAGGGCATGAGAAGAGGATCGACGGGGGCCTCGAGATGGGACAGCAGGGTCTGTCTTGGATGGCCGTGACTTGTAGAGGATCGCCTTCGCCAGACTAGCACTAGAAGGGAACGCGCTTACTTCGAGGTTGCCCAGAGCAGGCAGGGCCAGGGTGGAAGGAGAGGTCGACCCACAGAAAGGGAAAAGGAGGCGGGACGATACGACGGCCATGCATTAGCAGGTAGGTACCTATACAACCTGCCCCTACCGAATACGCCCACGGGTGCGAGAGGCGCATGTACACAGTACCCGACGCACGCGATGATGCGACACCACACAAGTAGGTACCCAGATACTGCCAGCCTAAACCTTGAGTTGCTCAGATAGGTGTATACAGGTACAAGGTGCGTGCTGACCGGGCCAGGTAGGTACTTTTGCCTCCTACTGAGTAGGTGCTGCTGGGCTACCTAGGTTACCTATAGTACCTATTTTCCTAGCTGCGTAACGAGGATTATGGGCGGGCACTTGGGTATATATGTATATATATGTATCTACATACCCTCTAGTGCATTCTCTAGCACCCCAGCCCTTGTGTCCGTTAGAGGTATGTACCTAAGGCCTAGCATGGTATACACTAGGTTACCTACCTAGGTAGGTAGGTAGGTAGGTAGGTACCTGAGGTGGCCTGTGGTTCGGAACCGCCTTAGCTTGGGTTAGGTAGGTTATTGCCTTAGCGCTGGCCCGCCACGGGCTAGCGCCGAAACCAACCTAGTCGCCCAGCCCGCCGCCTGCACGGGCCAAAACTTCCCCTCTGGGCTCGACGGGGTCACATCTCTCAATTCCCACGCGCTCAGGGAGCCATACTCAGTAAACACCTACATCGTCAACATATTAATTCTCTAGCAGAAATAATGTCTGCGCGTAGGAGCCTGCGGAAGAAAAAGCCCAAGACGCGATTCCCTCCCTGCCCCTACCTCCCTCCCCCCTAATCAGATGAAGCACTTCAGAGGTCACTTGCCACCGATGCCACCAACGCTGCCGATGTCATCAGCTCAGCTGTGAGACTCGGCTGGGCTGCTAACGTGGTATTTCTGACCGAATACAGGCATGAATCGAAACCCGCCGTCATACATAGCAGCAGGCAATGCCTACACCCAGTACACATGTGCACGTGCCCAGAACGTCCACGAGAGCGTGTTCAGTGTGTATAGACAGACATGTATACGTGTACATACGCGTCCAGTATCGGTATATCCAGTATCGGTATACTCATAGGATGCTGCGTGCCGGTGTATGCACGCTATAGGGTACGTGTGTATGTGAGGCAGGTCGTATTTCGGAACCGCGGCAACCCCATCTAATCTGGCCCGCTGGCCAGACGTTCTGGTAGCGCTCGATAACCGCACCTCGAAATTTCGCTCAGACCCCGGTATCTCCCCTCCGACCGGCCGGGGAGGGCTGAGCGGCGTAACACGACACGTTTAGCGATCAGGTGGGACAGATCAGCGACTGTCTCGCATCTGCACATCAACACCTCGCGACCAGTCTTCCGCCAGCCTCCCTCCCTAGAATCATACCTCCAGACATGCCCAAAATAGATATTTATACATGTCGTCTATGGCTAGCCAATTAGGGCTTATCAGTGAATAGGGCCGTGAGATCTGCCATCCATAGAGATCGTTTTCGCTGGCTTGTTGCTGGCTTGTTACATATCGCCACAACGGACTCCACCATCAACACATCCAGGGATACGCATGGCAAGCATCTACACATACCTACCTAACACATACCTAACACATAGATAATACATATTATCTATATACTAGGTATATTCGCTATCATCTCGGGGATGTTTGTATCTAATACGTCCTGGACCTCTATAGATATCATCCTCGCTAGCGTTAGCACATTGCGCCTCCCGAGGACCTACGGACATCGTCGCGGATAAGGCGTAAGCGTAAGCCTTTCCAGTCTGCCGTTGATAGGGTGTGGCGTCTTCCGAGCCTCCCGTCACCCGACCGAGCCGTCATTAGAGCCTCATGTCAGCGTCTACCTACGCGTCTTGTCAATAGAGATGCGCGGAATACCTTGCCTGGCGATTCCGCTTTTCTAGGACTGACGAATACATACCTACACACGCACATACACATACACATACGTGCACATACATTAGGTAGGTACCTAACTATGGACAGTCTTACACGGGCCCATATTCTTTCCCTCCAAGCCCCCCGCCACTCCTGAGTCGACAGTCCACTTATCTTCCCCCTAACTCGCCACCTTCATCTACTATATCCTCTTCTTACGAGCAGCCCCGTCGCCGGAGCCGTGACCATCCACATGCAATACGTACTGACATGCATCCATACTCATCAAAACACCGAAGCCCCAGACTTGCTAGACTATTAATAGAATATCCCGGGAATGGCTTCTCCACCTGTCAAGCGGAATAAATCGTTTACTGCCATGGTTAGATCGAAGCATGTTCAAATCCGTTCCGTTGCACGAGACATCCCATCTCATCGCCGGTTTCGCTCGGACTCGTAATGCATCAGCAAGCTCCGTAGGTATATCATCGACCCTGGGGTCCGGGCTCCGAAGCAACCGTATACCTATGCATTAGGAACATCATGTTCTACCTCAGGGGACTTCGTCAGCTACCGTAACGGTAAACGAAGCCAGAGCGCGACCCTTGCGTTAGTGCCAAACGAGCGCTGGGGAGTAACCTAAGCAATCAGCGCATCCCTCTCTTCGCCCCCTTGCGAAGGCTCAGGTCCCCACGGACACAGTGTTGTTGGGGAGACAAGCAAGCAGGCCATGATAATGAAGGTAAGGTGACCGCGGTGGTTTTTTTTTTTTCCCCAATAGGGATGGCTTGTTCTTTCGGGCAGGGGATATTGACATAGAGAGCGATATCTCACCCGGCAAGATTACGAAGCCTTAAGCTCGGCGCGATATATCGCCATAGACAACCACAACCACGTTAGAAAACGATCGCCATCAAATTTCCGCCGATCTGTTCGAATCGAATAAATAGGAGAGGGTACAGAAGCGTCGACACTTCGAAAATGCCAGGCATATTTACAGAATCCATACCGCCCGGAATCATTCTCATGATAGTGCATCAACACAAGAGGAAGGATAGCGTCTGCCTCGATGCTTACAACACAGCGAAGAGCCCTGTCCCAACCTCGCCCAGTATAGCATAATCATCCCCTAAGATGACGCGCAGTCCGAGACACGGCGTCGCGGACGAATCGCGTGTCGACATGTATGAAAATTCACTTTTTTTTCTTTAAAAAAACAAAGATCTCAATACCGCCTATTGGAAACGGTAAGTAATAGCCACAGCACTACCACGAAAGCCGCGCCCCGAACACAACTAGCTGCGAGCAATGATACATTGCGTACTTATACGGGCAGCAACCCTCGCATCCGCGACTTTATCTCGTCTCTACATATGGACATCGCGGCGAAAGGCTCCGGGAAGGGTGCAGCGGAGAGAGAGAGGTACGCAGTACGACTAACCGTGTCCGACATCGACCGGAAAATCGGCGAGAGGGCGCCGCTGGCATCCCATGCGGCTTATGTATTACGTTTCTCGTGCCTGTGCAAGCGCTTCTAACACAGGTACCGGCGGGTAAGCGGTAATACGATCCAAGCTGGCAGGCATGTATAAGAAAGCAGTAGAATGCCTCACTCCTCGTCTGCTCTCGCTTTCTCTGCCTTGCTTACCCTCTCGGCGCCGACTTGAAGACATCGCAACCAAGGAGCGTGTCGAGTCCAAAGCAGGTACCTACCCAGGTAACCACTCAAGTACCTCTTCCTTCTCCGGTCCCTTTAAAATCTCCTCCCGACTCCGCGCCGCCCCTCCGCCCCTCCCCGCTGACGTCCGGGAATTCATTACCATCCACCACCTCCCCCTACAGTCTGTACCAGGACTAACCCACCAAATCCTCCCCTGACACACACGCACGTGATGGACACCGAAGCCTTCCTAACCGCCTCCTACGCGCGCATCCGGGCGCGCGCCGCCGTCACCCCGGGGACATCGGTGCCGACGCTGCCGACAGCAGCGCAGCTAACGCAGGCGCGGGCGTCGCTGCCGGGGCGGGGCGAGGAGGCGACGGCGCTGGCACAGGGGCGCGGCCCTGCCGCCACAGTCGGCCATCTCGTCGACGACATCGCGCCGGCGCTCGCGGGCCATAACCGCAGCGGGCGCTACTTCGGGTTCGTGACGGGGTCGTGTCTGCCGATCGCCGAGGCCGCCGACAATCTTGTCTCCGCGCTCGACCAGAACGTCCAAGTGCACCTGCCGGGCCAGTCCGCGGCCACCGACGTCGAGGACGCAGCTCTACGCTTGCTCATCCGCCTCCTGCGCCTCGACGAGGACCCGGCTATCACCTGGGAGGGCCGCACGTTCACGACCGGCGCCACGGCCAGCAACATCCTCGGGCTCGCGTGCGGCCGCGAGGCCGTGGTCGCCGCGCGGCTGCCGGCGGGCTCCCCCTCTGTGGGCGAGCTAGGGCTGCTAGGGGCGTGCGCGGCGGCGGGGGTGCGGTCGATCGAGGTGCTGACGAGCCTGGGGCACAGCTCTCTGGCGAAGGCGGCGGCGGTGGTGGGGGTGGGGCGGGCGAGCGTGCGGGAGCTGCCGCGCAGCGCGGCGGAGCCGTGGGGGCTGGACCTGGAGGGGGTGGAGGCGGCGCTGGCGGCGGGGGCGGCGGCGGGGGTCGCGGCCGTGATCGCGGTCAGCGCCGGCGAGGTCAACACCGGCCGCTTCGCCACACGCGGCGGCGCCGACATGCGCCGCCTGCGCGCCCTCGCCGACCGCTACCGCGCCTGGGTCCACGTTGACGGCGCCTTCGGCATCTTCGCCCGCGCCCTCCCCGACACCCCCGAGTTCGCCGCCCTGCGCGCCGCCGCCGGCGGCCTCGAGCTCGCCGACAGCATCACCGTCGACGGCCACAAGCTGCTCAACGTCGTGAGTGGCCCGTATTTACCACCCTCCCCCGCGTCTCTCTCCTTCCTCTACGCTACCGACCGTCCCACCCGCTAACCACGCAACAGCCCTACGACACCGGTATCTTCTTCACGCGCAAGTCCGCGACGCTGCACGCGGTATTCCAGAACCCGAACGCGGCGTACCTGGCCGCTCCCTCAGACACCGCGGCGATCCCGAGCCCGCTCAACATCGGGATCGAGAACTCGCGGCGCTTCCGGGCGCTACCAGCGTACGCGGTGCTGGTGAGCGAGGGGGCGGCGGGGGTGGGCGCGATGCTGGCGCGGGGCGTGCGCGCGGCGCGGGGGATCGCGGCGGCTGTGCTGCGCGACCTCGCGGCCGACTACGAGCTGCTGCCGGCTGCTGCCGACGACGGCGATGACGACGCCCGCGTCGCCGCCACCCATGTCGTCGTGCTCCTGCGCGCGCGCGACCCCGGCCTCAACGCCGACCTCGCCGCCCGCGTCCAGGCCGGAGCAGAGTGGTACGCCAGCGCCACGCGCTGGGCCGGCGCGCCCGCCTGCCGCGTCGCCGTCGCTAGCTGGCGCGTCGACCCCGTCGCCGACGTCGCGCTCGTCCGCGACGGGCTCGCGCGCATCGCCCGCGAGTGGAGGGCTGAGAAGGACGCTGCGGCGGCGGGGAATTGAGGGGACGAGAGGGGCGGGCGGGGTAGGTAAAACGCGGATAAGGACGATGGAGAAGAAGCAATGAGTAGGAAACACGGGGTGGATGTAGTTAGGCAGCGGCCATAGCGCCGTTGCAGGTCTCTCCTCACGAGGGAGACGGGGCTACGGCTCTTGATAGGTATATCTTGTCTTCGTGGTTCATTACGGAACCACCTCTAGCTAGGGCTGCCTATGAAACTAGATCCGGCTCGTAGCCCGGGCATCTACCACAAGTGCTACGCCTTCTCTATCCTACCTCTTCCTAGCCTCGGAAACCTAGCACCATGCCTCGGGCCAAACGGTCCTCCGATCCGTAGACACCGAGTGCAATGTATGTACACACACCAACCGCCGACTCTTGCCCGTCTACCTAGTTTCTTACTTCGGCCCTGGTCTCTCGGGTAAATAATGCCTGCCCCCTTGACTAAACACCTCGCTAGTCGTCCGCACGGAGCGTCCCCACAGCCGCAGCACCGTCCGTCTCGTCCCCCCCCCCCACCCCAACGTAGTCTAGTCCTCCGTTCTAGCGTTTCGAGCACGCAAAAGGTCCACGACACCACGAGCGCCCCAAGCGACGCAGACATACCAGCGCAGACCAACAGCCCAAGGGAATCCTTCTCGCCGAAGCGCGCCTCACGGCGGAGGGACGCTCGGAGTTGGAGCTGGCGAGACCACGCTCGCCTGGCCCCGCCCCCGCCTCAGCCAAACTTCCTGCTCCCGCCCTTCCCCTCCTTCCCCTTCTCCTTCTTACCACCGCCCGCCTTCGCGCCGGGGGCGCCCTTGGCCCCGCCCTTGCCGATCAGCTCGAGGTGCCCGGCGCGCTCGCCGAGCAGGCGCTCCGTCTTGGCCGCGAGCCCCGCCGCGTAGCGCTGCTGCAGCTGGTCCGCCTTGGCCGCCCTCTTCGGCTTCGCCACGCGCGCGCCCTTCTTCTTCGGCGCCGGCGGTTTGGTCTTGCGCCCGGCGCCGGCGGCGGAGGAGGAGGAGGAGGAGGAGGAGGGCTTCTTGGGTTTTATGGTGCCCTGGGCCATCGCGGGTGGTAGGTGGTAGGCAGGCGAGCTGAGGCGGCAAGACGGGATCGCTCGCTCGTCGCAGAGGAGAGAGAGCGTGGCTCCTGCAGCTGCGGCCTTGTCGGTGTTTGGTCGTTCGGTAGGCGGGATGGATGGATTGAGCGGGCGATGTGCCGGATTGTGCGGCTGTTCCGCCTATTGTGATATCTTCTAGACGGGTCAGACGGCGGCACGCCTCGCTCTCCCTCCCGGGGACTCCTGACGAGTCACGCGAAAGTGCCCCCTCCTTGCTCGCCTCGAGAAGGCGACGACGAGAGCGACGGGGCCGATGCTCGGATGGGCGCCTGCTTGGCCGGCCCAGCGTCGACAGTCCAGAAATATCCTCTGCACTGCTGCACGCCTCTCGAGCGTTGGGTATTGTCGTCGTTAGCGGCGTCGCGTCGGACGTGGTGGCAGTGCTTGCGCGTGTTTTTTTTTGTCGTTGTTGGGCAGCGTGTCAGAACGGAGACCTAAAATAAAATAAAAAGTGAGGGAAAAAAAAGGTGAAGAATTAAAAATACCTGCCTTCTGCACTAGTTCGGAGCTTCCCCGGAGCTAAGCCCCCAAGGTTGTATTGTACCCAAGTACCTGCCATCCGCTTCTTCGCCCGGCCGGCGGTTGGCAGTCGGCCGGATGCCCGGGTCAGATGCCGCTGCGGCGGGCAGCCCCCTTGTTACAGCCTCGCTGCGTACTGCCTACCCGCCTAGCCTTTCCCTATCTGCTTATATTTCCCATTTTGTTACCTATATCGGTATCTAACACTGCAAGTTAGCTGACGAGCTAGATGCAGGTAGGAGGTAGACATGTTGGTGCACGGTAGCTGACGAATAATACCTACCTCATGCACAGCTGCGGCGGCGACCCAATCGGCCCCTGGCCTCGCACACAGCGGCAAGCATCGCCCCCATAGTCCGGTCCGGTCCGCAGCCGCTCCTCCCGGCTCTCCATCGAGGGTGTCGTCCCTCTAAGATAGCAGATGCGCGCTTATCTAGGTCTGAGTGTTTATCTGTACGCAGTCTTAGGAGAGGGAGGGGGGTGAAAGGGGGGAGGTGGGGTAGATTGTCGAACGGGTGGGACTGGTGCGGAAAAAGGGGGGGACAGGTCCGCGTGTTATCGACTCCCGTCCCCTAATAGGCAAATATTACGCAGACGGAGAGTAGGAAATCGATCGAGGCCCGGTAGTCATCACCTCGACGAGCGTCTAGCCTCCCGGCATACCTACGTGCTGAGAGAGCCTCCCTACCATCGACGCGGCCGACGGCGCGGTAAACCTCGTCCTCAACGTCATAGGCCTAGTTGTTGCGGGGGTTGCCGCAGTCTTCCGCATCATCGGTTCTGCGGCCGCTCTTAGCACCCTCGGCGTTGAGAAGGCGAACAGCAGAAGCAGCAGCAGTAGTAATAATGCCCAAATCGATTGGCTATTCAGCGGGAGAGAAATACCGTGTACCGACCTAAGACGACTCTCGGGTTAATCCCTCGTGTAGCTTCGGCCATGACTAATCGCTGGCTCCCATTTTCCATCCATCTTCCTCAGCATGACATAAACACGTTACCTTTCTGCCTGCTCCCCTCCTCTCTCACGATCCTCCGACAGCGCACAGCATTTTCCGTCTTCATTACTTCAGCGAGGAAAATAAAAATGCCTAACAAAAAAACTTACAAATCTCGCGCTCGTCCCGCCGAATCCGAAACCGCGTAGACGGGCATCCTCGAATCGAATACGACCTGCCCAATGGAAGAAACCCCGGGTCCGGAGACGGCTTCAAACGCACTTAGTAAACTCCCTAAATAGCTTATGGCTGGGATGGCGCCGGTTGAAACACGCCACGCGCCCATCGCGACGCAAGGAATAGGAGAATGGAGCGTTAGCCTTGCAAGAACACATGTTACAGCACATCTTTTTCTTCCTCTCTCTCTCTCTCTCTCTCTTATTCTTTTTGGGGGCTCTACGCTGAAAAGTAGCTCGGGTATCAGTCTCCTTCTCCCCCCCCCGCATGCATCTACGTGCACGCGTACTTTCCCGTCCCCTTCTCTCCATCCTTTCTCGTTTCCGTCCCACGATATATGATATGATACATGGCATGACTCCGATGTGCCTAGATAGGCAGGTAGACAGCCGAAGAATCCGCAATTCTTCGCTGTCGAAGAGCAGAGCGATTCCACTTTTTAAAAAAAGGTAAACCCAAAAAAGACACTCAAATCATTCGCCCCCGGGTCCGATAACTCCTTCACCATCTGTTCCCAGGTTGTGCACAGGTAAGGTAGTCCTATGCTCCTTATCGCCTAAACGCCGTGTATAATGATCGTGTATGCATGCATGGATATAAGTGTGCAAGGGGCAAGGGAAAAAAGATGAAGCGAATGTTAGGATGAAGGTCCGTCCGGTGCGGATGTGATAAATATACAATGATAAATAATGATAAAAAAGAAGTGGTAATAATACAAGAGCCGTAGAATAATAGGGCGACGTCTGTCGTCGTCGTCGTCGTGGCAGGAAAGAAGAAATCGTCTCTCTATCGCGGCGGTGTGGCCAGGGGGTATATATAAGAACAGGTATATGTATAATCCGATGCGATAAGGAACCGTGATCATCCGCAATGCCGTATGTGGGGAGAACCGTGAGATGTACAGAGATTAAATAAGGAAATCAATCGTAAAGTGGCTCGTCGTCGCGATACCTCCCTGCCATGTTCCGCAGTTCTCGGGGAGGCCGCCTCATCTACCGGACGTCAAGGTACAGGTCGTCGCCGCGCCGAGTCGGCGTCAGCTTGGGCTGCCACGTGGGCGTGTGGGGGAGAGTCCCCTTGGGAGACGACAGACCCGCGTCCTCCGGGCTCAGCAGGCCCTTCGGGTCGCTGCCATTGCGCCGCCACGGCTGCTCCTGCTTCTTGCTGTCTGGCGCGAGCGCGAGCGCCACCGCCTTGTCGTTCCCGATCCGCTTCGCCAGCAGCGAGCTCGCCGCCAGGGAGGTCGAGCTCATCATCGCGAAGGTCATGGGAGAGATCGCGCGGGCGACGTGCGGCTGCGAGTTTGCCGTGCTCGGCCGCGAGGCCGTCGTCTTAGCGCTGAGCGGGCTGGATGGGAGACCGGCAGGCGTCTGCACCGGCGGCGTGTGAAGCCTCTCCGGCGCCTTCGTGTCCGGCCCGAAGGTCTCGGCGTGGGGCACCCGCGGCGAAAATCGCGACACGGGACTAGGGATCGGAGTAAGATTTCCTCCAAGTCGAGGGGGCTGCGGTAGGTCCAGATCGATATCCGGCGACGCAAGAGGTGTCTTGCTCTTCATCGACCGCTTGGTGTTCAGAGGCCGTGGGTAAGGCGACGTGGCCTCCCCCACGGTTTCTCCCAAGGTCGGGCTTGGCTGACCAGGAGGCAAGGTCATCATGAAATCTGGTTTGGGTGGCTCATTGGCCTCAGGCAGAACTCGGTTGATGCGTCCAGGAATTTCCGGATACGTGACCGGAGAGCGTCCAGTCGTCGGCGAAGTGGTTTCGGCGAGTGGCGGGAGCCGGGGGATCGTGACGTCGTCAAATTCGAATGGGACCTCCATATCGAACGGGCTCGACATAGAAGTGCTGATAGTGGTGACCGAGTCGCGAGACGCATTAGTATCAATCTGAGCCACAGCACCCTTTTCGCTCTTTTGAGATCGGGAACGCATCACGTTTCTAGAGTTCCGCCAGATGGTGCTAGCTTGCGAGTATACGCTCGATGATCGGTAGAGCTTCCAGGTAGTAGACGGGTCTTGCGATAGGAATGCCGGCGGCGGCTTTTGGGGCTCCTCCTTAGTAGCCGAGGTTCCCGCTTCCATCGCCTCCGCTTCCTCCTCCCTCTCTATCGGCGACTTTGTCATCGAGGTGTGTGCGTCTAGTTCCGCAGTCCCCGCGACCTGAGCGAGTTCCGACTTGCGATTACCATTATTCAGCACCCAGTTGCCCCACTTGTCAGCGACATATAAAGCTGAGGCGTCATTTGGCGGTTGTCGCCGCCACATCGGGTTTCCATCTGGAGCCTCCGTATCCATGTCGGCAAAGGCCGTCATATTTGTCAGAACGCTGGCCCTGTCGGTCAGCGGTGTTTGTGCGGTAGGTGCGCCGGCTTCGGCAGCCACAGGCTGCAGCAACAAAGGTTGAACAGGAGGAGGAGGTCGAGGTGGGGGGACGGTAAGGCCCAGTGTGGGTTTAGCTGGAAGAAGACGTGAGACGGGCCTTTGAACTACGGGTTCCGGGGCCGCCGAAGGCGTTGCAGTTAAAGAACGCGCCGTTGGTGCCCCGATAATCTCGTGGCTAGGCCGCGGCGAGAGATGAGCGTGCAGCGAGGCGCCGGGATTGGGTGGCGGAGTTCGGGGGTTTTCCATTAGAGTGAGAGGACGAGGGTTCGGCGTGCCGGTCCGCGAGCTCAGGGTAGGGGCGCGAACGTTCGGCGACGCGGTGAGGAGTCGCGGGGGGAGTTGGGGCTCCGTTAGGTTGGAATACCTACGAAAAGGGGGCGAGATCCTTGGTGTGCCAGGCTTTTTCGCCTCAGTTCTGGATTTGCTCCTTTCGTCGTCTATCGGGACGAACGCTCGCTCGGGGTCCGGATATTTCCGTTTACGTATGCATCTAGCAATGAAGATAGCAGCTAACGTAATTATTATAACGCCAACGACACCGACGACGATCCCAACAATCTGGATGGTAGTCAGAGAACCCGCACTCGCCGGCTCGGGATTACCGGCTCCATTCGTTGCTGTCGACCCTGCGTCTTGTCCCGCGGAAGAAGGCGCCGGACCCTCAGATGCGGTCGTAGACAAGATCCCCGTCGAACCTGACCCCGCCGGGGACGCCAAAATCGTGCCCGATCCCCCGTCAGCGTCGCTAACGACGGTAGCGGTTAGCGTAGTGTGCGTGTTAGGCAATGCACCCTCTATCCCGGAGCACATAACATAGGCGTTACGCTTCGCGGAACCTAGTGTCACGTTAGCGGCCGCCATCAAGAGAGTGGTGGTTAAGAGGCCTGAGTGGGCTTACTGGTGAGGTTTTGATCACACACGCCGCGCTCTATCTCGACACTGATGCACTGGAGTGCCCCTTCCCCGATGGTATACCCCGACGTCGATTGCTCCGAGCATATGCACGATAGTGTCGGGTTAGCAGCGCAATCCGTCGGCGGGTAGTTGCTCTTTACGAAGGACGTCAGGCAAGGTTGAGCACAGGCGGGGACGAGCGACTTGATGTCGACACCGAGTTCGACACCGGCAGCGAGGCCGGCCAACGCTGTAATCCATACTAGGGAGCGACGAGTCTGGGACCCGAGCGCCATCCTACTCGACGATATCTTCCGACGTTGTTAGTATACGATGTAGTCTTTGCCGAGTCAAGTCGCCTTTCTGCTCTCATGTTTCGACGAGATGCATACAATCCTCTGATCGTTAAGAGACTACCCTTGAGATCGAGAGGCCTCCCCGTCAAGACCGGCGACGGCGAGTGAAGAAGAGAAGGAAACAAATAATGGAAATGTTTCGAAGGGCGGCCGGCTAGGTGGCATCGGGCCGAGCTATATGATGCGAGAGATGGGCTGCACTGACCTATGAAGGGGGGATACGGGTTAGGAGGAGAGCACCAACATTCCCTGCATAGTGGTCCTACACAGCCCAGGAGGGAACAGCAGGGCGGGCTGTCTATCTAGCCTGGGGAAGATGGAGAGACGGGCGAGGTAGGAAGCAGACGAAGAGGCACGAAGGATTGTAAAATCAGGAGTGACGAGGAGGAGCTTGTTACATGTACATGAGACAGTGGGAGACGGGGACAGACTAAGAAGAGAGATGGGTGTAGAAGCCGCGCGAGCGACACCACGTTGGGGCCCCAGCGGGTAGGTATATAACAGACAACGTGACAGAGGTGGCCCGAGGTTACCATCGATGGCGTCTGATGACGTTGCGAGCCATCCCAAGCTACTTTATAAACGGCGGGAATAGGTGCCAAGCGGCGCAGACGGGCGAGTAGGTAGGTAGGTGCTGTCGTATGTGTATGCAGGGGTCGATACACGGTGTCGGCGTACGGTAGCATCGCGGGTCGACAGACGTTTGTAGTTGTTATAGAGAGGGAGAGAAGGAGAGAAAACGGGTACGCTGTCCATCTACACCTCACCTACCTACCTGCCTGCCTGCAGTCGTCGAAGCGAGCCAGTAGGTAGGCGGAGAGGCGTAGAGACGGACCATTCGGCGTAGCATGTGCAGAGAGGCGGCGATGTCGGGCGATGTCAGCACGCATCTGCGCTGCAGACCGGCAGGCGGCAACAAGCTGCGAGGGCGGTAGACGGAATAGCTCCTGCAGGTACAAGCAGGCCAGATGGTCATACATGGCTATGATCGAGTAGGTAGGTAGGTAGGTCGTGCGATGGTGAGATGTCAACGTTGTGTAAGTCGGGGCCGGAGCCAAGAGTCCAACTGGGGAATTTTTGGACTCATCTCGACCAGGAACAGGATCAGCACGGAGGGCTGCTCATTGGGCGAGCGGCTTCGTCTCGGCGTGTGTCTACGACCCAGAGGGTCCCAATAAGCGCAGCAGAGGCTCATCCGGGAACACCATGGGTGCAGGGGTGTGGGACACAGATCCAGACGCTCTAACAATCCATCGGCAAATATAGATCTTAATCTGCAAACCAGAGGAGGGTGAGGCTGGGAGCAGGGGTGGGGGGAGGGAAGAGGGGGAGAGAGAGGGGGAGCAGGGGTAGGGGGCTGTTACTTACCCGCTTCAGCGGGTCCGGGCTGTGTCTGTCTGCGGATGTGTCTATATGTGTATGTGCATTGTATGTTGGGATGTCCGTACACACGGCTTATCGTGGTGGAGGAGATGATGATGGTGATGGTGGTGGTGATGGAGATCACATATCGAAGTGGGTAGTCGGAGGAGGAAGGGGTTTTTTTTCCCGTATAAAGACCTAACTCAGGTACCTGTAGTGCCCAGGCACCTCTTAGGAGAGCGCGATGCAAACCTGTTATGCATGCATCAGAGGGTACCTGAATTTATGTATGGGTTGTGCATGCTGTGCATTCGTTGCTGCGGCAGTGGCTGTTCGTTTTGCGCGCGCTTAAAAAACGACACTACCTAGGTACCTACCTAATATAATCGCCGATGCGGAGAGACAGAGAGAAAGAAGGTGTGCGCTGCTTCGATACAGACCTCGGCGATACCCATCGCCCATTGGTGATGCCGTGCCGCATACCTATGCGATGCAACAACCCGCCAGCGCTTCCGCCAGAACGGATGTCCAAGGTAGACGACGCCTCGCCCGTCTTCGTTGTTCCTCGCATCAACTACCCACCCCGAAGACATGGTGGGAGGAGGCAGATAATGTGTACCTACATATGCACCATGCACCCAGACGCACACACATACTCATAGTGGCGCACACGCGCCTACATATCTGACATACATTGCCTACCGTGATAACGCGTGTACAGACGCCGAACCGGGAGAGGGGTGCTGTGGACAGTCGCCGAACAACCGGGTGGGGAGCAAGAAGCGATCGGATGTGCTGGAGCGGGAAATACTGCATTCCAAATAGGCCCCCTCGCTCCCCCCTTCATCACTTGATACTTATCCGAGCGTCTGTCCTCCCACCAGCACCCCACATCTGCCGTCCTCCCATCCCTCCTCGCCTCCAGCATCCGCCTCGGGAATTGATGCGTGCGCGCGGATGGCGAGCAGACGAATTACGCGTCCATGCTATATCCGCATGTAACCTACGCCGTGGTTTACCTACTGGGCATATTACTAGATATTGGCAGCCGGGTAGGCAGATGCGTATGGCGTGCATGAACCGCTGTGCTCATGTATGACTTAGAATGTCCAACAACCATCCATCCGTGTAAGCCGGGTAGACAACCGCGCTCATTTCACGATCATGAGAAGGGCCCCTACTATCCTGCCAACCCCAGCATATTAACCCGACCGTAACGTGACGTACACTTCTAGGCGTACCTACATGGGCATGTGCCTGTTTTTTTTCTTTCTTCTATTGCTGACGAACTAACAACACTGAACTGACCTGCCCTGGATATCACTCGACCACCACTTACCTATACCTACTGCCTCTCACTCACCAAGTAACCAACTAACCAACCAACCAACCAACCAACCAACCAACCGACCGACGAAGGGCCAACCGGAGCCAATTACCACCCCCCGGGCGACGGCGCAACGACCAGCTAAACATCTCACCCTCTCCGCCCCCTTTTTCCACTTTCCTGTCTACCCCGCGTGATGCGCCAATTCGTCCCGTGACGTGACATCGCATCGCACCCGGCCGTGGCGTCGTCGCCGTGCCGCCTCGCGAGAGAGAGACGGCCCCTTCTGGCCCTCTCTCGACGTCGAGGGGTTCTCGCGGCCGCTGGGCAAGATCATCTGCCCCCCCCGGACGTTAGCCAACGGGGTTTTGGAATGATAAGGGGGCCTGCTCGCTTCCCTTACTATTGGTCGCTTACCGATCGAGAAGTAATCTACTTCCCTACCTACCTACCTACAGTATCTATGTACGGGAGGTAGGTAGGTAGGTGGGTAGGTGTGCGGATGGCCTGTGTGTAGGTATGCAGGGAGAGTATGTATGCACGCGGAGCCATGTCAGTAACGTCGCCGAGCACTCTGTCCCTCTCCCCCTCTCTCTGCGGTCCCCTCCCGACGGCATGGCCCTAGACCATGGGGCTTGCTCTTGTTCTCTGCGGGATCAGCTCGCCTCGCTTTGCTCTCGTAGCCATGCGCGATAACCATGAAACTACACAAGGTAATTACCTAGGCATATTAACGGGGGCCGTGCCGGCGGCGCCGAAGCCACATCAGCTTACGCGAATCTCTTTTTCATCACTCTTCTCCCCCCTCTGCTTCGTCTCTTCCTGTTTCCTTACGCTTGCCTCTCTTCCCTTGCGAATGCGATTCACTCGTGCGTTCGGCGCCGACCCCTTACTCTCTTGCCCGATGCCAACCTGGCCCGCCCGCGGCAGAATGCAGCCTCCGTGAGTAGATACCTAGGTGGGCGCCGAAAATGCCTAGTTACGGGGGCAGTTAGGGGGCACCACTGTAGGTAGGCACGCAACACCTAGTAGGTAGGTACCCGTTAGGTGTAAATCCCCACATGGATTCGTCGAACGCTACGAGTACCTAGCGAGCGCATCGTCAGGATCTCCGCCGGCGCAAGTAAACAAACACCTCCAAAGCAACGATAGGCAAAAATAGGCATCTTTACCGTGGTCTACTAGCCTACCCGAAATTGCGTCTCCCTCAGCAAGGTGCGTATGTATAGGCAAATATACCATAGGAATACGACGCCTATGTTTGGGTACGGCTAGCTGCTTCACAGAAACAACATTAACCCGAACCCCCCCCGTCTCGCAGGTAACGTTTCCCACCTCTCCTATGGCCTGCGCCTATCGGCCTACCTAAGCACGTTAGGTAGCGAGCGCATCCTCGTCGTAAAAACCTCATCTTACATGCTAATCTAGTGTCCTTCTTACCTTACCTCACTTTACTTTATTATCTATTAAGATTAGCCTTGCTCGCGTCCTCTGTTTCGATCCGGGGCCACTGATGATCACCAGGAATACATATTTAGATCCGATTGCTGTTATTCATCGTAGCCAGGCTGGGGCCGCCTCGATCCTCTGTTTCGTCAGACGTGGGCAGTCCCCCGTCTATAAACATGTTTCGCATCGCATCGCATCCTCAAATTAGGGGCATCGCATCCAGCACCCGGCAATTAGGAAGGTCACATGAGAAGGATCTCCCCTTCGGCAACGCGTGCGACTTCCCGTCGCGCGACATTCAGAACGAACACTTTTTTTTCCCTCCCCTCTTGGTATCTACTCGGTCTCGGCCGTCGATGTGAAAGCTTCATCCACTACCTGCTCTCCCTTGTGCAGGAGAATGCTCGAGTGCCACGTGCCTGGGGATCGGACAGGACGAAGAGAAGCCTGACGTCTCCTAGCCCCAATCCGGTCCCCCTTCTTGGCGGAATCCGAGCTTCACTGCTGTCATCAAAATATCCCACATGCGTCCCACTAAATACGATGCGATAGATGCCTAAACGCGCAGAAATAGCTCTTTCGGCTGCTTGATTATGCCAATGGAGTCATCACCATCGTCATCGCCACCATCGCTTAGACCCCCGCGCTGGGAACGAACTCGGCTTGAGCTCGGCTCGACTTGATCACCCGCTGCACCTTCTCCTCCGTCTCGTCCCAGTCGTCCGGCTTCAGCGCCACCAGGTCGATCTCGAGGTCTGCCGCGATATTTCGGAGCGCGTCGAAACTCTTCTTGTCGGATATGAAGGTGATGCTGACGCCAACTCGGCCGAACCGGCCCGTGCGTCCGATACGGTGTAGGTAGGTTTCGGTGTCGTGTACCGCATCACCCATACCCTTCATGGGGATGTCGTAGTTGATGACCATGGATACCGTGGACACGTCGATTCCGCGAGCAAGCACGTTGGTAGTGATCAGCACCTTGGATTTCCCGGTTCGGAACTCCTCCAATAAGCTGTCGCGTTCGCTGCCCTCGTAAGCGCCGTGCAGCACTGATACTCTGTGGCCGTCCTTCATCATCCTCTTCTGAATCTGCGACGCACTCTCTCGGGTCTGGGTAGGTGTTAGCGGAGGGTGCCCGCGGGCCGGCTTGGCGGTTCGGCACTTACCTTAACGAAGATGATGGACGATCCAATGTTCATCAGGCCATAAAGCTTGCAGAGGATTTCATACTTGTCTGCCTCCGAAGGACAGTCCATGTACATTTGTGAGATGCCCTTTACTGTGAGCTCCTGTACTTTCAGCTTGATCATGTTGGCATTGGGCGCAAATGTAGTGGCGTATTTCATGACCTTGTCGGGGAAGGTGGCCGAGAACAGGAGGATCTGGATGTTCTTAGGCAGCATGCTGTAAGAAGAGAGGAGAGAAGAAGATAGATCTATTAGCATAACGGTCTGCGGCTGCGGCGGGTGGGAATGAAGAGAGACAGACGTACTTCTTTACCCTGGCGCACTGATCGCCCATGCCCTGCTGATCCAACATGTTGTCGGCCTCGTCGATAACGAGGACTCGCAACTGGGACGCATCAAACTGACGTCTTCGGATAAGATCCATGACGGTTCCGGGCGTGCCCACGACGATAGACTTGTCGACACGTCCGTCGCGAGGAATAGAGCCGGGAATAGCAGCCGCCACGCCCAAGTTCGAGATGAACTGCCCGATATGCGTAATAACGTTCTCGATCTGGCGTGCCAACTCGCGGCTGGGAGCGAGAAGCAATGCCTGAGGTTGATTCGAGCTGTGGTCGACGCGAGATAGGACAGTGGTGACGAAGGCGGCCGTCTTGCCGGTTCCCGACTGCGACTGCGCTATCATATTGGCTGGAGGATCGGACAGCATCAGAGGCAATGCTTTCTCCTGGACCTTGGACGGCTTTTGGAAATTCATAGCCAGCAAGCCCTTCAAAACATCGCCGGGTCTATCGGGCACGTATCAGAATATCGTCCACCTTCAGGTTTGCTCTCCCATATTGTACTCACAATCCCAACTCCTCAAAGGTGTGAGCAGAGCCTAGGGGATTCTCCGTATCCTTCTGGAGATCGCTGAGCTGGACCTCGACATCGTAGCTATTTTCCTGTAGCCTAGTCTCCTGCACCAGGGCCGGTTCGGCGGCTTGGTTGGCTGGTTCGGCCATGGTAGAGGAGGATGAGGTCGGGTGTGAGATGCTGCGGAACTGGGCAGGGAGTATCGGTATATCTTCTGCGTGTCGAGTATAGATGAGGCACTCGAGATGTCGGCGTGGGGGGGGCCGGAATTCGGGTTGAGCCTGGGACAAGAGACGTGATATATTGTCAGCTTGTGTTTGTTTGTTTGTGGGGGCCAGGACGAGATTTCTCTTAGGGAGGGGACGGCTTGTAGAAAGGGACAGGCAACGGGCCGAGGCGTGGTGTGCAGGGCAACAAGGAGAGAGTAAATCTACCTTGGGGGTTTAGTCGCCTAGGCCCCGAGGAGATGGCACCAGAGGAGTGGCGCGAGTAACAGGCGTGGAGATTTGATGGTTAGAGGACGTGCAGAACCCGGCAGTGGCAATGTATGGGCGAACACGGGCAGACAGGGGAGAAGGCAGAGGACGGTGATGAAGCAGAAAGCTTCAGAAATTGGCTTGAAGCTGCTGGCCGGTATCTGGTGGGGCGTATCGAGTGTGGTGGAGGGGTAATCGGTACCTTAGGGATGTAACTCATGCTGTTACCTGGGTAAGTGCCTAAGTTACCTACCAAAGTTACTTATCATAGAATCCCGCTGGAAGAGGGGCAAAGGCTGAATCTACATATAGGTATATCTTGCGAGGCCGACATCCATCTCATTACTTAAATTTGTCCGTACGAACATTGCCTTATGAGGGAGGAGACCCCCTTCGTAACTTGGGCGTCTCGTAACTGGGATGGTGATGACGATCTTGTCGTCTTGTACCTACATACGCTCGCTCATTTGCTCCCCATTTCCTGGCGGCACCTGGCAGCTGGCAGTATCGTATCCTATACTATGAGTAGGTTGCAAGCGGCCTCAGTCTGGCGCAGTAGCCCCATAGCGCCCGCTGTAGCCCCCACAGCAGCGCCTATTGGGAGGTATCTTAGTCAAGGAGGCGTTGCCTTTGCTATGTACCCTTCCCGGTAGTAGAGCAGGCAACAGCAGCAGGAGTGAGGCCAGGTACCTACGTTTTCCTTGGGGAACTGTAAGTACCTACCTAGGTAATAAGTTGGGCGGCTGCTTTAGGTGCCTTGGGTACCTAAATCGCCCCTCGGTCCCCCGTGAGATGGCTGTCACTTGAAAAATAGGTACCTAAAGCTATGGGGCACGTAGGTAGCAGCACTGCGAGAGGTACCCCACTGGATACGTAATGCTCGTATGCTGCACGGCGCTGTCCTGCACCGAATAGCCGGGCGTTTGGCGTACTAGAGCTGTTCTGCCAATGTTGCCCTGCATCTCCTGGCCTTGGACCTTTTTTTACATCATCCTCCCTTTCGAGGTCAAGGCCCCAAGGAAATCCCATCGCCCACCACCTCCTCCCCCATTCTCTTCTGCACGCATGATATGGCCTTTCTAGGAGGTAGAGCGCACGCGACGACGACCTCTCATCCCTCCGACATCCCGCACGCGTCTGCCGCTCCCCATTCTGCATGCTTCCAGGCTTCGTCAGTCCTTTGCCATGGCTGAGGTCGATACTATACCGACGTTTGGTGCCGAATTGAAGGTATGCCCGCTGTTCTCGCCGAGTTTTCCGCGTCTCGCTAATTGCCTACCCTCTGTCGCTCTGTGCAGGACGGCTTCAAGCCTGCCAGCGCCTGGGTTGGGAATGGCATTGCTTGGCTTGACGACATCCAGAGTTTCTACCGGGAGCGGAGCACCATCGAGAAGGAGCACAGCGCAAAGCTTAACGCTCTGGCAAAGAAGTATTTCGAGAAGAAGAACAAGAAATCCACCAGCCTGAGCGTTGGTGACACTCCTGCTCTGACCCCGGGCTCCCTCGAGAATGCCTCTCTGACGATCTGGACGACCCACCTAACCACCCTCGAGTCGCTGGCTAGCGAGCACGAACGATTTGCGAACGAGCTTATCCAAAAGGTCGCCGACCCCCTCAAGGTCTTTTCCGTCCGGTTTGAGGAGCTGCGTAAGCGCCACGTCGACTACGCCACCAAATTAGAGGCCGAACGCGAGTCTTCCTATTCCGAGCTGCGCAAGACGAAGGCCAAGTACGATGCGGTGTGCCAAGAGGTGGAGAGCAGGCGGAAGAAGACCGAGTCCTCCTTCGACAAGGCGAAGGCGCAGAGCCATTACCAACAGCAGCTGCAGGACATGAACAATGTCAAGAACACGTACCTGATAGCCATCAGTGTTACCAACAAGCAGAAGGAGAAGTACTATCACGAATATGTCCCCGAAGTGATGGACAGTTTGCAAGACCTGTCGGAGTTCCGGACGCTGAAACTGAACGCATTATGGACCACGGCAACCAATCTAGAGGCGACGATGCTGCAGCAGAGCAACGGCCTCGTTGATCGCCTGACCCAGGAGATCACTCGAAATCAGCCGCACCTGGACTCGATGATGTACATACGGCATAATATGAGCACGTGGCAGGAGCCCCTGGACAAGGTGTTTGAGCCGAGTCCCGTATGGCACGACGACGACCTCATGGTCACCAACGAACCGGCCAAGGTGTTCTTGCGCAATGTGCTAAACAAATCAAAGAGTCAATTGGGGGAGCTTCGGCGCGAGGTCGACAAGAAGAGGAGGGAAATCGACGGCGTTAAGCGCATCAAGCAGAGGATACGCGACGGCACCGAAAATAAGGATGAGGTAGTTGTCGTATCACAAATTTTTGCTATGCAGGAAGACCTCCACCAAGTCGATCGCCGACGCCTGACGGCCGAAGTCGAGACGTCCACCATCACCTCGGCGGTGGGAGACGTCACGCTGGGAGCGAAAAATCACAACTTCAAGTCGCAGACGTTCAAGATACCGACGAATTGCGACCTATGCGGAGAGCGGATATGGGGGCTCTCGGCGAAGGGCTTCGACTGCCGAGACTGCGGATACACGTGCCATAGCAAATGCGAGATGAAAGTGCCCGCCGAGTGTCCCGGCGAGCTGTCAAAGGACGAACGCAAGAAGTACAAGGCGGAGCGACAGGCGGCAGCGGGTTCCCTGCTGAAAGCCCCCACCGGACCGCCCGAGCACGTTGCCGAATTGCCCGCCTTGAGCCGGTCTGACACTCTAAACTCGCTGAGCTCCGGATACGCGGCTAGTGCAAATCGATCTATAAGCGGCTCGGCAGCAAGTCCACGACCCCCCATCGAAGAACTACCAACACCAACGACGCCACCGGCATCGGCACCACCGCCGGCAACAAAAGGAACCTCTCCACCCGAGCCCTCCGGCCCCCGGCCTACGGTAAGGAAGAGCCGCCTCGTTGCCCCGCCACCCGCCGCGTATATCAGCGAGCTACCCGGAGCCCCGGTTCCGACGCCGAAAGCTCCCGAGCAGAAGGGCAAGATGCTCTATACTTTCGGAGCAAGTGGCGACGGCGAAGTTTCCGTCCCCGAGGGCCGCGATATCACCATCCTCGAACCCGACGGTACGTTTTGCTGTCACTATCGTCGCGCTGTCTTGATCACGCACAACGGAACTTGCTAACAGAATGCCGCTACGTATAGACGGGTCAGGATGGGTCAAGGTCCGGGCAGGCTATAAAGAAGGATTGGTGCCGGCAACCTACGTAGAGATTACCACCGAGCCCATCGCACCCCAGGACACAGGGTCCTCGCTCAACAACCGACCGGCTTCTACCTACTCGAACTCGGGTTCCTCTATCGGCGCGAGCGGCGCCAAGAAGAAGGGCCCGGCTGTGGCGCCGCGCCGCGGTGCCAAAAAGTTGAGGTACGTTGTCGCACTGTACGACTACACGGCGCAGAGCGACACCGAGCACAGCATCCGGGAGGGTGAGCGGTTCGTGCTGATAAAGGAGGACCCGGGCGATGGCTGGGCCGAGGTGGAAAAGGGGGGCGCGACCAAGAGCGTACCGGCAAGCTACGTGCAAATCGCGACCGACTAACCTCGCAGAAATCACGCTCCGACTATACCTCGTGACGGGCATGCGCGACATCGCCCCGCTCGGAGATGTGTACGCTGCCAATCTTGTTATATCAGCATTGGGGAGAGAGCGTAGGATATATATATATTTGGTGGTCGCATGGATACGGTGTTGAGTAGTTGCGGTCTAGAGAACGAGGCATAATACAATACTACTATCCGCGCCCACTATGGCTTTTTTTTGGTTGAGGGGACTGGCCATACTATCTTTTCTTTGGAGCTGCTATCTTACAGGATGTTTATTGTGTATATCAGCTACGTCGACCCTACGACACCCGCGGGTGTATGCCACTACACGCCAAGGACCAGGATATCTCGAGCATGGCAGCGAATCGGTAACGCTACCCCTACTTGAAGAAGAACTTGTTGCTCTAGGCCGCCGATTTCGGTATTGATTAACCCAGGCTAGGCTTTGTGTAAGTAATGTACGCGTGTGTGTGTATGGATGCTAGGATGTCCAACCACAGATATATACTCATAGGGACCAGAACCTCGCCAACACCACTCGCCCGACAGCGTATGTGCATACAAATCCCTACCAGGCCGGGATGCTGCAACGTATGTGGCTTACTTAGCTCCCTCTACTTCGAGAATAGATCACAAGTCCTCGGGATTCCATCTTACCTAATGGAAGTGCGGAGATCTCTTAAATCTCGGACTACGAAGCATGTATAGCTAAGCGCCGGGCTAAGTTCGCTCGCCTCCTCGCCTCCACACCTCCTCGTTTTCTCCCCCCTCCCGCCGTACCTTTTCACCGCAACCCAGACCACCACCACCCCGTACACACCTCGATCCGGCCGGGCCGGGGACACACGCGCGCAGTTTAGAAGGCGGGTGGGCACACGAGACCAAACCGAAAGAAGAAAAAAAAGACCCGCAGAAGCCATGGTCTACACGATCGTCGTGCACCTGCGCGCGAAGCCGGGCGCGGACAACATCGCGAAGCTGCGGGCGAAGCTGAACGAGGCGAGCGCGGTGTACTCGCGGGACCAGGAGACGCTGTCGTGGTTCGTCAGTGCGTAGCCGTCCCTCCTTCCCTCCCCTTCCCTCCTCCTGCGCACTCAGGCAGAGAAGCTGACAGAAACGAAACAGTGCAGTCGACCGCGGACCCGCACGACTTCACCATCGTCGAGCGCTACCTGCGCGAGGACAGCCAGCAGTACCACCTGTCGAACCCGTACTGGCGCACCTTCGACCCCTTCGTCGTCCCGCTGCTCGAGCGGCCCATGGACCTGCGCCGCTACGAGGAGCTCGAGCCGCGCGCCGGCGAGGAGGCGCTGCTCCAGTAGGGGCGCTGCCCCGGGGGGGGCTGGGGACGTGGGGCTTCAGGAGGAGGAGCAGCACGAGGAGGAGACCGATAGGAGCGCTGCGTGCCGTCGCACTGACGGCTCGCGATCTCCTGGGGCGCCTGTGTATCTGGCACGGCACGTAGTCAATAACAAAGGTGTGGCCCGACCGCGCGCGGGGTGTAACCGGTTCATTTGCATTTTCGTTCCCCTTGTCCGCTCGCGTGATACCGATAGGATAATAGGGAATATGAGACGTCCCGCCGGCTTCCTGCCGGAACTTGTCTACGTTTTCTTCGCTATGCTGCGTTGCATATATCCTAAAAAGGGGACCAGGGGTAAATCTAGTGACAGACATGTGGCATACGCACACACCGCAATGTGTATGTCGCCGAGGTCCTCCTGGCTTGTTCCCTTCCCCTCCTGCTCTCCCCCGCTCTACCCATCTCTACTCTCCAACCCCTTCCCGCTCACTTCTGCTGCTTCGGCATCTTCCGCCGCTCGAGCGCCTCCATGTCCTTCTTCCTGTGGAAGTGCGGCGCCACCTCGTTGAGCCACTCGGGCCGGATCGGCATGCAGCTGCGCATGTATTCCTTGGTCGTCTGCACGAGCTCGTAGTAGATCACCATCCGCTCCGGCGGGTCCGCCCCCATCAGCACCGAGCTCGGGTGGATATACACCGTCGTGTTGTTCTTCACCGTCCGGTAGCTGTCCCCGCCGCGCTGCAGCCGCGCCGCGTTCGGGAAGAAGCCCGCCGTCAGCGCCTTCTTGATCGGCTCCGTGTTCGCCGCCCCGCACGTCGACGGCGCCACCTCCACCCGCTCGCACAGCTTCGCCAGCTGGTCCCGCACGTCCCGCGCCCGCGTCAGCGACCGCTGCTGCAGGAAGTTCTCCCGCGCCCAGATCGGCGAGAAGTCGCTTTCGACCCACTGGTTCCAGATGTTGAGCAGCGTCAGGTGGTCGCCGCCCTCCTTCACCGTGAACCGGTTCCGCGCGCTGTCCGCGTGGATCTTCTTGTCCTTCGGCCGGAAGAAGAGCGCCGAGGCCTCGCTCAGCATCGATATGATCGACAGCACCTCCTCGACGCACTTGTACTTGTCCGCCGCGAGGACGGCTTTTGCGAGCATCGGATCCGTTGGGAATTCCGCCATCTGCCTGCCGACCTTGGTGAGCTCGCCCTTATGATTCAGGGCCTGCAGCGCGAAAAGCTGATTCAGGGCCCCGATCAGAGATTCGTTCGGGGGTGGATCCATAAATTCGAACTCGAGCAGCTGATTGATGCCGAGTGATTTGAGCAGTAGCACGACGCTGTTGAGGTTGGTCCTCTGGATCTCGGGCGTGGTAGACTCTTCCATCTCGTTCATGTAAGCAAATCTCGTATAGAGGCGGAAGCATTTACCGGGGCCAACACGACCGGCACGCCCGCTGCGTTGGTTCGCGGAAGCTCGAGAGCACGGCACGACTACGAGGTTCGACATGCCTGTCGCCGGGGTATATACGTTCTCTTTGACGTATCCCGGATCGATCACGTAAGTGATACCGTCGATAGTTAGACTAGTCTCCGCGATATTGGTAGCTAGCACGACCTTGCGAGCACCTTCGGGGGTAGGCTCGAAGATCTTGGACTGCAAATCCGAAGGGAGGTTGGCGTAAATAGGGCAGACGATCAACTCCTTTACGCGATTCCCGAGTTTCTTCGCGGTTTCGGTTAATTGCAGTTCGGCAGACTCGATCTCGTCTTGCCCAGTTAAGAATACTAGGATATCTCCCTTCCCTTGCGTTGTATGGATCTGGAAGATCGTGGTAATGGCCGCCGTCAAGTAGTTCGCTTCTGGCGCCGGGGTATAGTAAATATCGACGGGATACCTTCGCCCCGGGACGTTAAAGATGGGAGCATCGTCAAAGTATTTTGCGAACTTTTCGGCGTTCATGGTAGCTGAAGAGATGAGTAATTTGAGATCTGGTCGTTCCCTGGCCAGGTCCTTCACCAAGGCTAGCAGGATATCTGTGTGGACGGTGCGCTCGTGGGCCTCGTCGATCATCAAGGCTGAGTAGCCTGAGAGGTCTGGTTCGGTCATGAACTCTCTGAGTAACATACCGTCGGTCATGTATTTCAAGATAGTCTTGTCGCTAGTCGCGTCCTCGAATCGAATGGAGTACCCGACTTCGTTCCCGACCTTGACTCCCATCTCTTCGGCGACGCGGGCAGCGACACTCATAGCTGCGACTCTGCGGGGTTGGGTGCAGCCAATCTTGAGGCCGTTTTTGGTGTAGCCGGCCTCGTGCAGGTACTGCGGCAATTGTGTAGTCTTTCCGCTGCCCGTCTCGCCGACGAGAACCAATATTTGATACTGCTCGATAGCCGCGATGAAGTCGTCCCGGTACTTGTAGATGGGCAGACTCTTTCGAGTCTCCTGGATAGATAGGGCCTTCTTTTCAGCGGCCTCGATCTGAGCCTCCAGAAATCTCTGCTCCTTGGTCAACGTCTTCCCTTCGCCTGCCAGCGTTGACCCCAAGTTCCACTGGATATAGTGCTCCGGGTCGAGAACGGGCACGTAGTCCCCTTCGTATTGCCTCTCGGCCCTGTTGATCTGAGCCTTTGCTTTTTGCGTCTGCTCCCTCTCCCACTCCTCGTGCTCCGTGACGAACTTCTCCTGCCCGTATTCGTCCCTTTCGACATATCGCTTGTACAACGCCTCCTCTTTCCGCTTCTTATCGATCTTGCCCTTCTCTGTGATGTAATCCTCCGGCATATAATAACCGTCGCGATGGTCGTCAATTCGCAATCGTTCCTCGGCCAGTCGGAGAACTTCTCGGTTCTTCGCAAACTCGGCCACCTCCCGCTCCGTGAGCCGCACACCGCTACTAAGTTCGGCAGTCTCTTCGGCGACCTGTTTCCGCAGCAGCGCTAGCTGCTCCGCTTCCCTCTTTTTCAGGTAGTCTTGCCGAGAGCGCTCACGCAGGTCCGGCATTGCGGCTCGATTCGAGGCGATCTCATCGGCTAGACGCTGGCGTTCCGTCTCAGCTTTGCCTTTGGTTTTCGACTTGCCCTCGTCCCGTTCCTTGAGGCGCTTGGAGAAGGCCTCTCTTTCGGCGATGTCACGCGCCGTATCGGATTCGGCACCGTCGTCTTCCCCATCACGACCCGCATGGCTTATTTTTACACGTTTGGGGGCCGACTCCTGGAATTCCGGTTCCTCGTCGCGGCCGTCGAGCGAGGGCTCCGCTTCGGGCTCGGTGCCTGGCTCCTCGTCGCCCCATCGATCGTCGAAATCGTCCTTCCTGCGCTTCCTGATCATCTTCGATTTGTGCTTGCTCGCGTCTCGTGCAGGCGAGCGGCTGCGACTACGACTACGACTCCGAGCGCGATGTGACTTGTGATGATCGTCGCGACGAGAACCGGAGCGTCCGCTGCCGTCTTTACGCCGGTGTTTAGACTTGCTGTTCTCGACCTTCTGGGGACCGACTTCTTCGTCGTCCATAGGGACGAAGGCGTACCGTATCGCACTCATATTTCGTCGTTGTGGCGCGAGGTAGTGTTGAATAGGCAGAGGAAATAATAACCTGGAGGGCGGCGGCGGCTCTGGATAGGGGACTCTCGACTGGTTGCCTCTATGAATCTAGCCGTATAGATCTGTCCGGAGGAAACGAAGGCACCGAGGAATGTGGGAAGGTAGATAGTTGGTTCGGTACAGGCGATCGAAAATCGGAGCCGACTAGAGCGGCTCGTTCGAAGATTGGCGATGGCGATGCATTGAGAGAGAAAGGTGAGAAAAACGAAAGATGGGGATGAACACCCCGTCATAGCTCGCCGCAATGGTTGCCTGCGAGCGGAGGGTTAATACCTATCTGATAGATGGGTAGGATGCTGGTACGATCCTCGTAATTCTATATTTCTTGTTTCTGTGTTCTGTTTATGTCCATATCGTCACGTATTGCTGAATCGGGGATGCTGGTGAACGCGGCCAACCAAGGTCCGGTCCCGGCAGCTACCAACAGCTACATCCAGAGTACTTATAAATGCAGCCAATCGTAGACAATCCCATTCTCATGCAGCCAATCATAACATCTTGTAGAGACAAGATAATCTCCATTATTTAAAGTTTGGTCTACGCTAAGGGTCTATCTTATCGCCGGCGGCCGAGACGCCTGCAAATTCTACGACTCTGCTTCATGTACCTCGGTACTTGCAGTACCTCCGTCTACAAGCAAGCTACACACGTAGCCTTTTTTCTTTCTGACACGCTGGTATTTTGCTGGGTCGAACTCGGTCCAGCTCTGGGCCGCGCCGAAAGTGAACAGTTAATACTTGGTGCTTCATGTCTTCACTTCTACACATAGGTATCCTCCGTTCTTCTCTTCTTGTCGTCTGCTCTCCTTGCCTGCCTGCGGAAGCGCATACGAGTAACCTGCTAAATACCACCGCCTGTGCGCGGTCGACGCTCTATTCGCCCCGGTCAACCCACGAGTCGCCCGCGCCAGCTGATCTCTCCCATGCTGGTCCCCCCGTCGTCTGCTTCATGCTTTCGAAAGCTGCGCTTCGGTGTCGCTCGTGAACTAGCCTGTCCTCGGGGACTCTAGTAGCCGTCTCCAGTCATCAAGCCGGCGCTCTCGCGAGCTGCCTCGTTTGGCCAATAAAAATGCTACTATTCGGAAGAGCAATCTTCGCATTGCTCTGCGTCCTCCTCCAGCTCGCCCTCTGCGCTGAGGACTTCTACAAGGTATGGAGGAGTGTCTTCTCCCCTGCCGACACCATCCAGTTGTCAATCGTCAGTCCGCGACTAACCGCTTTTCTTCTTTTTTTCCGGTCCCCAGGTTCTCGGCATCGATCGCCAGGCGTCCGACAAGCAGATCAAGTCGGCGTATCGACAGCTCAGCAAGAAATTCCACCCGGACAAGAATCCGTAAGTCCTCCCCGCACCGCTCGCGCTGTGCGACCGTGCCACCCACCTCTCCCGTATAACCCAACGTGTCCTCTGGATAAGACTAATAAGGGGCCGCTCGCAGGGGTGATCCGACAGCAAAGGACAAGTTCGTCGAGGTGTCCGAGGCCTACGAGGCTCTAATCGACCCGGAGTCGCGCAAGATCTACGACCAGTTCGGACACGAGGGCTTAAAGAAGCGCAGCCAGGGTGGAGGACACCACCATGACCCCTTCGACTTGTTCAGCCGATTCTTCGGTGGCGGCGGCCACTACCAAAGGGGCCAACCGCGCGGACACGACATTGAGATCAGGGTCGGCATCTCCCTGCGCGACTTCTACAACGGCCGCGACACCGAGTTCCAGTGGGAGAAGCAGCAGATCTGCGAGGAGTGCGACGGTACCGGCTCGGCCGACGGCGTCGTCGACACCTGCCGCCACTGCAACGGCCACGGTGTGCGCATCATCAAGCACCAGCTAGCGCCCGGCATGTTCCAGCAGGTCCAGACCCAGTGCGACGCCTGCGGTGGCCGCGGCAAGACCATCAAGCACAAGTGCCCCGTCTGCGGCGGCAACCGGGTGCTCCGCAAGCCGACCACCGTCTCGCTTAAGGTCGAACGCGGCGCTGCCCGGGACGCTAAGATCGTGTACGAGAACGAGGCCGACGCGAGCCCCGACTGGATCGCCGGCGACCTCGTCGTCACGCTAACGGAGAAGGAGCCCGACCCGGAGAACGACAACCCCGACCACGTCGACGGCATCTTCTTCCGGCGCAAGGGCGACGACTTGTTCTGGCGCGAGGTCTTGTCGCTGCGGGAAGCCTGGATGGGCGACTGGACGCGCAACATCACGCACCTAGACGGCCACACGGTGAGGCTAGGGCGCAAGCGCGGGGAGGTGGTGCAGCCCGGCCACGTCGACACGATCGAGGGCGAGGGGATGCCGGTGTGGAGCGAAGATGGCGATTCGGTGTACCACCACTACCAATACGGCAAGCTGTACGTCGAGTACGTGGTGGTGCTGCCGGACCAGATGGAGTCGGGCATGGAGAAGGAGTTCTGGTCCGTCTTCCAGAAGTGGCGGGGGAAAGTGGGCGTGGACCTTCTGAAGGACAGCGGCAGGCCGGAACCGCCTAGTCCCGGCCGCGGCCAGCAGGAGAAAAAAGATGAGCTATAATGTGATACCTTGACTTACCTTACCTAGACTATAGAGAGGCAAATGCTACGAGACAATAGAAGACGATGACTTTAGGCGACGTGCTTTTCTTATATACTGCGCTGTCGAAGCGTAGTAATTCTCTGGGCATTCGCCGTCTTCGTACTGTAGTATTTCACTGTATAACTATCTGTTCTCCTTTCATCCTGGCGCCGCAACACCCGCATTGGCATCCCTATCCCCATCCACGCCCACACAGCAGATATATGCCCCCCTTCCCCCTCCCCCCAGCTCTACCGACTACCGTACAAGCCGGCTAGTTACATGGCCGGTCAACCAGTCGACCCGCCAACCGGCCAACCAACCGGAACCGTACGCCAGAGTCGCTAGCTTCCCTTTTCAATTTATCCCATTAGCAAGACGCAGATGTAGGCGGGTAGGGGTATATAAACATATATGTGGATATACGCTTACCATACATGTAGGTATTGGCATTTTACACCAACGGTGGCGAGTAGGCAAATCCTGCTTCCCCCTGCCAGTCTTACACCTGAGAATATAAAATTGTGATATCGGTCTTTCTTCTCCCCTCTCTCTATTCATACTCTTCGCCTCGGCTGCCAAGCTGACCGAGCTCTGCCCTGTCCATCGTCTTGTCCCACTCTCGCTCGCAGCCACTAACCCCGATTCTCCATATCTCACCCCCCCCGTTCCCTCTCCCTCCTCCTTTCCCTCCTTTTCCCCCTTCTCCTCCTTTCTCCTTTTACCCTTTCTCCTCTTCTCCCCCCTTTACCCCTTCCCACGCTGGCAGCCCCGTGACGGCCACACTGAACACACACACCGAAAAAGCTCACACAAGCCACCACCACCACCACTCCCGGAAAAAAAAAAAACCTGCCCGTCACCACCGCACGCAGCACCATGGCGCCGACCCTCTCGGTGCTCAGGCGCACCGTCGCCGTACTCGCCCGCACCGTCGCCGTGTTTACCGGGCTGCTCGACCCGTGGGTCTTCATGTCGGTCTCGCTGTCGTACCTGCCGCGGGTACTCGCGACGCTGATCCTGGCGCCGACGGGCGGCGGCGGGCCGTCGCTGGCGCGCATCCGCGAGGCGTGGTTCGGCGCGTTCTGGCGCGAGGCGGCGGGGCCGGGGATCCGGGCGCGCAACGCGGAGCGCGTGCGGGCGCTGCTGCGCGGGCGGGTGCACGCGGGGCGCGCGCTGGCCGACGGCGCGGAGGGCGGCAACGCGCCGCTCGCCGGCGTCGTGCTCGAGCTCGGCGCCGGCGCCGGCTTCTGGGTCGACGTGTTCCCGGAGGTGGCGGACTGCGGCGGCGGCGGCGGCGAGGCGGAGCCCGGCCGCCCCCGCGTCGAGCGCATCTACGGCGTCGAGCCCAACGCCGCCCACCACCCGGCGCTGCGCGCCGCCGTCGCGCGCGCCGGCCTCGCCGACGTCTACGACATCGTGCCCGTCGGCATCGAGGCGCTGCGCGCGCCCTCCGCGGCCGCCGCTGCTTTAGACGCCCGCGCCGGCCGCCTGCGCCTCCCCCCCGCCTCCGTCGACTGCATCGTCTCCCTCCTCTGCCTCTGCAGCATCCCCGACCCCGAGCGCAATATCCGCGCCCTCTACGACCTCCTGCGCGACGGTGGCCGCTGGTACGTCTACGAGCACGTCCGCTGCGAGTACTCCTGGTACATGCGCGCGTATCAGCGTGAGTCCCACCCCTCCTTCTCTTTTTTTTTCGCTCTCTTTCCTCCCGTCTTTCTCCTTTTCCCTCGTATTCTCTCCCCTTCGCCCCCTTTTCTCCCCCCAAGACTGAGCCGAGAGCTAATCGCGAGCACGGCCAGGGTTCGTCAATATCTTCTGGCCGCACTTCCTCGGCGGCTGCCAGCTGTGCCGGCCGACGGCGACGTACCTACGCGCTGCCGGCGGCGTCACCGGCGTCGACGCCTGGAGCCGGTTCGACCTCGCGCAACCGCCCGAGGAGGAGTGGTGGCACACCGTGCCGCACGTGCTAGGCGTGTTGACCAAATGAGGGGGTTTCAATGGGAATACAGGCACGTCTCGCGAAAATACTTAGATGCCTCTGTCTACCGACTGCTAAAGTCGTATGGTCTCGTCGCCTGGCGGTGACTATTCAATCCCCACGGGGGTAGGGAGGGAGAAATGCCACGTAAGTATACCTATGTAGACAACTGTCAGCTCACGCGAACTTTACGCCATGTTCACACTGTCGCGCCCGTAAGACATCAAAATACGCAGCAATAAATGCACCAGGCCGGTTGATTCTTGATAGCTAGTAAGCTAACCATCGAGCCATACAAAAGCATGATTGGTACATTCCCGATTCTCAATCCCTCATTACTTTTCTCTGCCGCCTCAGACCCATTCTCCAACCAAATTCAGGCAAACCTATAGACCTCTATGCGTCTCCTGAGCGGACGCGACACTATTCCTCTCGTGACGCCTGTGCCCGTGATCGTCGTGCTCGACCGACGGCATGCCCACGTGCTGGCGTAGTGTCGAGGGACCAACCTGCGCAGCGTCCGTGGGATCTTTGGTGGTGGTACGGTTTCCGGTTCCCCTTCATTCGGACCAACCGGTTAATGTCATGATTTGTGAAGAGTTATGACGGTATAGTTCGCCCGAAAGAGAGACACAAGTAACAAAGGAGAAAATACGATAACAGGAGGCGTATTCGTCCGATATGATCGCGAGGCACTCGAAGGCACTTACGGGTTGCTGTACGTCTTGTCGCCGCCGAGGGTCTTCGAGTTGTCTAGGTCCGAGTCCACACGAGGATCCAGCTTGTTCGCCACGTTGCTCTTGTGGGGACCGGCCGTGTTGGGGGCTGGTCCGGGGCCCGTGTGCAGCCCGCTCGTGCCCTGGCTGTACGTATCGTGCCTGTTGTGATTTCCGGTAGTAGAGCCGTATCCGGAGCCTGGTACCCCGGAGCCTCCGTAGGGCATGCCGGCAGCGCCCGTGCCACCGATAGTGCCCGTGCCGCCAGTAGTGCCCGTACCACCGGTATTGCCGCCCGTTCCGACGGGGGCGAAGTGAGAGCCCGTATTTCCAGCGGTACCCGAGCTGCCGTACGTATTTCCAGCAGTGCGGCTGCCGTCGCGGTCACTGTCGACGCCTGAAGTGTCGACGTTAGCCACGTCGGTCTAGTCAATCGGAGACGTGAACCCGGGTTACTACGTACGAGGATCGGCAGCGTTTGTCAAACGGGAGTTGTGCGGGCCGGCAACTCCCTCGCGGCCGCGGCCGCCATAGCTTCCTGCTGTGTTGCCCACCACGCGGCCATCTCGGTCCGAGTCCACTCGGGGATCCTTGGGAGTTGTCAGCCTCGTAGTGGGTAGGGTGTCTGCATTTCACAAGACGCACCATCTTGTTCGCCGCATCTGACCGATGGGGCCCGGATGTGGTTTGGCCCGTGGCGCCGGCACCATGGACATAATTGTCGCCAGACGTGTGCCCGTGAGTGCCCCCTACGGTTGAGCCTGGTGCACCACGATGGTCCCCTAGCAGGTAAAACGAGGGTCAGTAGCCGTACGAGGCGAGGGACGAAGGGAGCTCTTACTGTCGCTATCGATTCTAGGGTCAGCCGCGTTGGCGGTACGGCTGGTGTGGGATCCATAGGTCCCCTCGGGGGCGCCCTGCGTAGTGGACGAGTGGTGGTTGCCGGTGACGGCGTCCTTGATCTTGTGAATGACGTCGGACATGTTGAGTATCTGGGTTGAAGTTGTGAAAGAGAGTCGAGTAGTCCAATGTGGTAATAGTCGTGTATTACTGCGTGTAGTGGTGCGTAGTTCCGTTGAAGTAGGGTATCTTGGATCGATGGGTAAGAAAGGAGTGGGAGCTGTGTCCAAGGGCTTCCCTTTATATACCTACGTGCCTCGCGAGGCAAGTCTCGAGCAGCTCCCGCCTGACAGCTATCCCAGCTCTCGCACCCTGCCCCGAAGTCCCTTCCTCGCAAACTCCCCAAATTTCATCATCGCCGTCATCACCTCCGTCATCGTAGCGATCTCGATCAGACACGGCCGGCAACTAGACCGCGTTCGTATACGAGCGCATTCTTTTGTCTGCCGGCCCGAGATCTAAGACGGGAGCAGCTCATAGGTAGAGCTTCGACTGGTCACACCCCGCAAAGACACGACGGGGACTCACGTAGGGGCCTCCCCCTCTTACTTCATCGGTCGTCATCACTCGTAGCCAGGCGAGGCTCCGTCTGTGCAACGCTCTTGTTAGCGCATGCCGGGGCATGTGGTCCGGGCATGGTGAGTAGGTACCTAGGTACTTGCTTCGGTCGTCGACGGTACCTAGTCTCGGTACATGTCTGGGTACGCTGGTGATGCGCCTACGTGCTGAGGATTATTCCGTATACCGCGGGCACGACACGATGTACCCAAGGTGCTTTGTGCGCCCCCGGCGGCCGAGATCAGCGATGTACCTCGCTCCGGCGCGACCGACGTCATAGCCGTGTCAGAAAGCGCAAAAGCGCACACAATTATTAGCGGCCTGGACCTGCCTTACGCAAACAGGCCACGGCACCTGCCTATGAGTAGGTACCTAGGTACCTACGTCTGTGTGTAGGGAGAGGGATGACGACAGCGCCGTACGGGTCCGCCACCGATTCTCACGTCCCGAGACGAAGCTAGACCCTGCCTACCTGCTAGGAGGCTCAACCTTACAGTCTGCTAACTTACTTAAGTGACGAGTGTATCGCATGCCCGTCGTTAGCCAGGCTACATGTACTTATTTGGTGTTGGTCTCTTCCCCGGGTTGCTGCCCGCAGAGAGAGAATTCGGTCCTGCTACGCGTCCTGATCTAGGGTACCTAGGTACCTAGGTAGGTAATATTGCGCCTTGAAGACCTAGTGGCTGGTGATGAACTCGTGGCGTCACGACTTAGGTACCTACATTACAGACTTCACACGCGCCACAGGCAGCGCTTCGTGGCTGGGGCCCGTGTCCCGCGGCTTTGTCGTCATAAAACCACCCTGGGTGCCTGAGGCGAAAACCCTTGAGTAATTCCAAGGCGCCGAACGAGCACAGCCGAGGCCGCCACTTCAGTCTCTTTCCCCATACCGCCAACCCCTACAACGTTCAACTTCTTATTTCGACCGACGACGAAAGCTACCTATGTAACCCTCTCGTACCCGAGACAGACACACGCACAGCTCCATCATATCAAGACCTCGTTTTCCATTAGGTACCTACCTACTGCCTACGTAGTCGGGTACGGGTATCTCTTCCTCGTAGCTAGCATAACACGTTCGTCTTCTTCAAACCAGAGCCCGTCCTCGCCTAGCTTAGCTGCATCCGAAACAGTACCGGCGAAGGTCGATACAGAAAAGTCAACCAAGCCCCCATATTCGTATGTCATCATCGCCAAAGCTCCTAAAACAAGCTGCACGCTTGCCCGGAATCGCCCATCGCGGTAAGGTGAGGAGGTGGTGATGGAAAGAATCTAGCTGAGATGTACGGGAATGGATTATCTCGGAGACGCGCCGGGGACGGGCGGCAAGCATCGGCCGTTGCTATAGGTAAGGTCCGATCTGTCCACAGAGGGAAGTAATCCCGGCGGGTCTCCCTCGTCGGAATCAGACGCGAGGGTTGGCCCGGAATCGGCGGCGGTAGACCTGGGCCTCGCGATCGCGGACCCAGAAGATCCCGATGATGGCCGACACGAACCAGCAGATGGCCGAGAGAAACGAGAATGCGATGACGGCCTTCCACTTCCCGCACTGGTTGTCGCGGTGGAACGAGAGATTGTCCCAATTGAAAACGTATCCGCACGAGCCGCCCAGGAACTAGTCATACCGTTAGACCATCGACGAGCAGACCAGCCCTCGAAATAATTCGACGGACTACGCAGGAAGGGTGGGATCGTTGCTTACGTTAACCAGCAGGCCGAAGGCTACGAACCAGCAGATAGAGATGAGGAGGTCGATGGGCCAGTGCAGGAAAGCGGCGAACGGGAAGAGCCAGACGAGTGCGAAGAAGAGGGAGATACCAGCTACCACTTCGGTGTAGATGAATCGGCCTTGGTACCAGCTGTCGGCGTTGTGGACGCTGCGGAGATAGTCGCCGTTGATTCCGGCGACGATACCGGCGAACGCCAGCTCCGCAATGCGGAGGATGAAGAAGAAGACATCAGCCAAGATCATCTTCGCTCGACAAACCGGGGTAAGTTGACAAGTGAAGTTGTAGATGTTAAAGATGCGAGCGGTGTATCGACGCCTGTTGCGTTATGGGCGATTTTAGCAGCGCGAGAAATGATATGCGAACAGAGAAGATCAGAAGATCGGAGCAGAGAGGGGCGTCGAACACACGTCGGGCAACTCGCCAGATATTTATTCGTGTCAGTATGCTGTGGTTCGTCCGATCCAGGCTACAACTCAGTCAGGGCCATGACAGCTTCGCCGTGTTACCCGGGCGTACTGACCAACTGCGACGGCCGTCTCGCTACGCCTCCAGCCATCCATACACGACTTAGCTCGCCTACCGCCATCGGCGAACTGAGGATGGAACTGGCTTGGCTGGCCTGCCCGATGACGCCGCCGCACCATCATACCTAAACTAGCAAAGCCGCCTTGGAGTCGGTATCGTTGTACATGACACGACCCTGGCTGCAGATCGGGTATGCTCGCCCTGCATGTGGTCTACACGCGTACATACCTACAAATACCGTATGGCTGCCGGGGGGCTGGTGCCAACGCGGTGAGGCAAGGGTGACGATCTCGTGGTTGATTGGCCGCCAGTTCCAGCGGTTTCGACGTTCTACCAGGTCTTGGCACGAGTCTACCCACCTTAACTCACCTTACCTGGGTGGAAACCCCGCGGTGCTGCCAACCAGATCACCAGATGTCTGTTCACCGTGTTCCGTCTTGCGTTGTCGGGCCACAGGGGGAGTCACCGCATTTATTTGCTCGACTAGATCAAGTTCTATGCCTGCCTGCTACCCGGCGGAGAGAGGCAACTTATTGTCTTGGTCGGGGAGCTTGCGATATAGGTACACCTACCTATGGTTAGGAAGGACGGAGAAACCTCAATTCCCAACAAGACGTACATTTTCAAGCCCCGCCTTTGGATACCTATACATCCGTCCGTTACATTACTCGACGAATATGAGACCAGCTAGGGATAGTGCGAGATCCGAATGGTAGACTTACGTGTTTTCCGCTCCCAACGAGATGGGATCGCTTGATCCTCTACGCGCGCTTGATTCTGCCTAGTGCAGGTGGCTCATTATGCAGCAACGACAACGTGTGCGTCTCCTCACCCATCACCCGTCACCCTTCACCCGTCGCTCGGTACTTCGTCACTTACATAAGTGACCCGGTTGACGGTCCGGTCCAACCCCGACTCATTCGGATGCCGAAGACATGTCTCGGTCTGCTTGTTTAGCGCAAGGTAAACGGGAAGGATGAAATTCAGGTGATTTAATCTTTTCTTGCCTCGTCGGCGGTATTGCAGGCATTAGGTACCGACCACCGACGGCATCGCGGCTGATGACAATAAAACCTGCCGGGCGCATGGGCTCAACCTATGGGATCGGGGAGGCAAGTGGCCGTTATTCGGAATTCTCTAGGCATGTGCTACTATACATGGCTGTGGAAGCGGACGCTATATTGTCGAAATCTACGCTCCAGCGTGTGGGCAATAGGTACATCGACCTATCAATACGCCCTCTGAGAATCAGACAGAAACAGCCACTTAGATCTATGCCCCTCAGAGAGACAGTGGGAAACCTATCCGGGTAGATCTGAAGCATATACAAGTGCAGTTTACTAACGGATGGCTTTACTGATAGCGGGCAAAAGGGCAAACCTGCATCCCGATAGAATGAGGTGTTCGTCTCACATCATAGGGAGAGGCGCCCTGATATGGACCTCTCCATCGATCAGCTCTAACTGAATAAGAGCTTGGCTTCCCGCTCATCCTAACCTATATAGCTTTTCAGCCACGACAACTAGTCGCTGTCGAGCTGAGATGGTGATGTAAGCAAATACGTAAGAATTGGAGACGGGGGATTAACCTTGCTTCTTGGGTTCTAGGCGCTGTAAGAAGAGCATTAGTTGCTTGGCGAGATTCGCTGGGTCCAGTTCTCGACGCCTGGCGTTTCCGTCACCACATGGGCTTCACTAAACTATGGGGTAAGCAGGGATGGCTATTCTACGAAGGCGATTTTACCCTTCCTACAAACTTGGTCTTGAGTTCTAGACATTCTTGTACAAGCATTCCTTTCGATCGGTGGGATCTGGCTCATATCTCGCACGCTTCGACTGGCGGAGTTGGGCGGACTTGGCGCTAGAGTGGGGGCGCAGCTCGTCAAGGACATGGTGGAGTTATACAGAGCCAACCAACTCCATGACTCGACATGAATTCAGCCTTTTCCGATCTCCGCCGTCAGATTCCTCTCATACGGTCTTCAACTCGATATACTGAATCCTACCCCGCAGCGTTTTCGGCTCTGCTACCTGGCTGTCATGGACAGCTCTGCTGCTGCAGCCGGTGTGCTGCTGTCGAGGCAGAAGAACTGCAACAACTGCGTCCAGGTCAAAAGGCGATGCGACAGGAAGACGCCGGTGTGCTCCCGATGCGCGGAAAAGAATATCTCTTGTATCTACAGCAAGACCAAAGCGGTTAGACAGCTCGACAAGCCCAGCATCGAGCCAATGCCTTACGCCGAAGCTATATCGTTTGGGAGTCCTGGCTATCCTCTCTTTGGCGTCGACCCTCAAACGGGCCGCGCTGCTTCGGAGTACACTCCGCAGTCTGTCCTGGAGGCGTCCGGAGGCGGCGACATTCTTATGGATCCCTTTCTAGACCTGATAGGCAATACCGGGTCGCCTCTCTCGGACCAGTGGCCCGTCCCTGTCGACGAAAGCCTGTTCGCCCGTCGCCCAAACACCCCAGCGGATGACGAAATCGTAAGGGCATACGGCAAGATGGCAGGCCTATGCGTGAGTCCTATCCAGATAACCCTCGTGCTCCACTTCGCATCTCTCTTCCTCTACCAGACATACAGCTATCCTCGCTAGGCTCTCGACGCCGCTGACGGCCGTCCAGGACAAAATCGAGCCGTGGCACTTGTACGACCCGACGACGCCCCTGCACTGGATCGTGAGCCGCGTGAAGGGCTTCGTGACGGACATGGCGACGCACAACGCGACACCGTTCCTGCACAGGCGGCTCTACCAGCGGTGGGCGCCGCCGTGCATCCTGTCGTGCTTTGCGACGAGCGTACTGTACGCAAGCCGGACCCCGGCAAACGCGGCCATGGTGATGCGGACGCTGCACGGCGGGGCGCGCGAGCTCGTCGACGCCGAGGCCGGCCGCGCCACCGGCGTCTCCCCCCTTGAGAAACTTGCCCGCGTCCACGCCCTCTTCCTCTACCAGGTCGTCCGCCTCTTTGACGGCGACATCTCTCTCCGCGCCCAGGCCGAGCGCGACATGCCCCTCTTCCACGCCTGGCTCGCCGACCTTTGTAGGATCCGCGAGAACCTCGAGGATGTCGCCCGCCTGGGCGACGCGGCCGCGCGGAAGCAGCCGCCCAAGGGTTGGGAGGTGTGTATTATGCGTTCTTGGTCTCCAACCTCCTCCCCCTTCCCTAACCAAACGGTGTAGATATTCCTTTGCTGACTGGTCGCGCGGCTCCCAGAAATGGATATTCGCTGAGTCCGTGCGCCGGACAATCATCATGGCGTACGCAGTCATCTTCTTGTACGGGATGGTGAAGGATCCGGAGGGCCGATATTGTCGCACATCTCAAGGCTCAAGCCACACGTGTGAACCGCAGACTCACGCAGACGTGGCAGAGAACTTGGATCCGTGGGCGTATGTGCACCGCTGGACACTCTCCCGCCCCCTGTGGGAGGCCGGCTCCGAGTTCGAGTTCTCTCGTCGGTGGCGGGAGACACCGCACTTCGTCATCACCAACTTCTCGCTCGAGAACTTCCTCGAGCACGGCGGAGGCGAAGAAGTCGACGACTTCGCCGAGATCCTCTTAGGCGTGTGAGTTCGGGCTCCTTCGCGGGGTGATGTTTGGGGGAGGGGGGAGGGGGGAGGCGAAGGCGGGAGATGATGCTAATACGCCGCCACAGGTACTTGGGTGTCGACGCGATGAAGGAGTTTGTGTCCGGGCGGACTACGCAGAATATAACATAACGATACCTCAACGCCCTCCGGCGGACGCACTGGCCGCTAGCTTAAGTTGCTGGCCGGGCGCCGGACCACGACCGATAGGCTGATGGATCACGCTCGTTGCGACGAGACGAACTCGCGGGTCTGATCTGGGATATGCTCTCTAGGGCGACGACGAGGTCATCGTCAGCAGGCAGCTAGCTAGCCCTGAATCCCAAGAGGCACGGGGAGACCCTCTTCGCGGCTAAGTTCGGCGCCATCTGGCGGGCCTGCGGTTTCGGGTTTCTCGAAGACGACGCCACCACCTTCTCCTAGTACTCGCGGACAGACAGCTCGCTGGCTCGACTCCGTCCGAGCGTGCTGTCATCAAGACGATCACGACAGAAGTGTAAGCGGTCCTGCGCCCCAAAATACCAGATAGAAAAGAAAGGCTGAGCGCTGGTCATTCGTGGATAGCGGTTAATAATACGACACTTGCGCCAGACAGGCACAAGATCCGAGCCGTCAGACTCCGCGTACCGATTACCGTAACTTCGGTTACGCAGGCATACCCACCCATGCGTGTGGCTAGAAGGACGGCGCACAGGACAGTTACGAAGCAGGACACTAGGGAGAACTTCTATGCAGTGTACACACAGCTCGCCCAGAAGGGGAAGAATTAACGAGCTGTACCCCCTTCTTTTCATGCTTACCGGCGGTATTGTAAGCGGGTGTGAGATGAAGGAGAGGTGTACAGGCCAGCCAGCCGAGCTCTGCGTAGCTGGTACTCCGAGCTACCTACGGATGCCTACTTGGCTCCCAGATCGTAAGAAACAAGAGGAAATACTACCAACGTATATACAGTTCGCCGAACTGAACCTCGGCGTTAACTTTGAATCTCAGCCTTTTACTAGGTACTGACTGCGATAATTCCTACGGTGGGTGGGCGCCTGCGTCCACGTGGTCAAGCTCAGCCTGGTTTCCTGAACCTTTATCAATCCCTCTACAGGAGAGAAGAGGAGCGGTAGAAGGCGGGAAAGTCGGAGATAAATCCCCGGGCGTAGGACGTTTCGGCTGTTCATCGTGGCCCGCGTGGTATGGTGACATAGGACCCCTCACCCCGCTCCCAAGAGCCTCCTTGGCTAAGGACAGATGGGATGGGCAATCCTTGATGGGCAAATGGATATGAGGACGCTTTCTGATGGTAACGTGTTGGCATAAGTCCGCTCACCAGATCCGAATTTCCCGGGTGTCTCCCCCCCCTGCTCGATATACCTATCTTCTTTTCCGCATCGAACCACCGTCGAACTACCTACCCATACTCGAACCCAGTCTCAAACGAACCGAAACCCCTGCGTCTTTTCTGCCAAGCACGAAGTCGATCTCCGCCGACAGGAAGTCCGCCGACCCGTGGAAGCACTAGTCCGCTGTCGAAGGCCCGCAAACTCCGCTAGCGACCGGGACCCCGGCTGTCTCCAGTCCGATGTACGTATATGAGCGTCGACGGCTCACGTGCGAAGTCGGGACGGAGTAGGTATTAACCGGGATCCGAGCAGAGCACTCTTTCTGCCGAAGCCGGCCAGCAGCCTCCAACATCTACACCCTTATTTTCCCACCCCGCACACCTCACCACCGAGTCCGCGAGATACTTAGATGGCCGACACCACCAAGTTCAAAGTCATCGTGGTTGGCGGGGGCCCCGTCGGGCTGACCGCCGCGCACGCCCTGTCCCGCGCCGGCATCGACTTCGTCGTGCTCGAGCACCGCGAGTCCGTCGTGGTCGACGTCGGGGCGAGCCTGGTGCTGTGGCCGTCGGGGCTCCGGGTGCTGGCGCAGTTCGGCCTGCTCGAGCGCCTGCGCGAGATCGGCGCCGACCTGCGCCGCACCGTCACCCTCACCCTCGACGCGCACAAGTACAAGGACAGCCAGGCCTCCCGGGTCGTGAACCAAAAGTAAGCGCCCGCAGCCCCACTTCGGCATCCGCGAGACTATTAGCTAGCTAACCCGCTCGCGCGCGCCGCGCGACAGCCACGGCACGTATCCGGTCATCTTCCACCGCGCCGACGTCGTGCGGCTGCTGTACGAGAGCCTCGGCGACGCCGATAGGGCCCGCGTGCTCGCGGGCAAGCAGGTGACGGACGTTGTTGTCGCGGGCGACGGCGTCGAGGCGCGTTGCGCCGACGGCAGCGTGCACCGCGGATCCGTCGTGCTCGGCGCGGACGGCGTGCACAGCGCCACGCGCCGGGCCATGCGCGCGCTGGCCGTCGCCGCCGGCGCGCCCACCGTCAACGACGAGCAGCCGTATCTGACCGAGTACCGGACGATGTGGTGCACGTTCCCGCGGCCGACGGACCTGGGCACCGGCGAGTCGATCGAGGGCCACGGCCGCGACGTGTCGGTGCAGTGCCTCGCGAGCGGCGAGCGGTCGTGGCTCTTCGTGTACGAGCGGCTCGCGGCGCCGACGCGCGCGCGCGCGGCCTACTCGGCCGCCGACGTCGAGGCGCTGGCCGCACGCCACGCCGACCTCCCCGTCTCCGAGCACCTCCGCCTCCGCGACGTGTTCCCGACGCGGCACGCCGCCGGCATGGCGAACCTCGAGGAGGGCATCGTCCGCCACTGGAGCTGGGGCCGCGTCGTCCTCGCCGGCGACGCCTGCCACAAGTTCACGCCGAACCAGGGCCTCGGCTACAACAACGGCGTGCAGGACGTCGCCGCGCTGGTCAACGAGCTGCACGCCGTCCTGCGCGCCGGCGGTGGCGCTCCCCCGCCTCTCGACGCGCTCTCCGCCGCCTTCGCCCGGTACCAGGCCTCCCGGATGGCGTCGCTGCAGGTGGACTACGATAACTCGGCGAGCTTCACGCGGATGTCCGCCTGGCGCAACTGGATCCACCATCTGCTCGACCGCTACATCTTACCCTGGATCCCTCGCTTCGACGAGTTCATGCTCACTTACATCATGACTACCACCACCAGGAACTGCGTTGTTCTGAACTTCGTCGAGGGCGAGGAGCCCTTTCAAGGAAAGGTCCCCTGGGCAAATGCGGTGAAACCACCAAGCATCAAGTTGAACGGATAGGCAGCTTCCCTGACGTGACCTATTACTTCCTGCGGCAGACTCTTGAGGCCGGATAGACTGTATGATTATAATCAGAGCGGTTGGTGCTCTAAGTGGTGTTGTTACAACTGCTTTAATACGTTTCGTGAGAGACTCGCATTCTCAACTACCTAATAAATACCTTGCCATTAGTTACCTTGCTCCTATGTATAGATAGATGTGGGTAATATATGATATTGACCTTAACTGGATTACTGTGTATGCTTCCACCCGTTTACGGCTTTTTCTTACTTGTAGCCATCAGAAAGGTGGTGTGGATTCTATGGCCCGCATGCAGCATAGACAAAACCCGTCGTCGAATTCTGTCATGAGAAAATGCAGACCGTGCTTCCTACTCAGGGATGTAGGCTTATGAAGGAGCTTCCCACATAGCGAATACCCAAATTCGTCCGGAGAGCACTGCTCTACAACAGAAATCATCGATTGTTAGAATGTAGCACCTAGAGCTGGGTTCGGTAACAAATTCGACAACCCCAGTAGCACTCGGGACGTAATATCTAGCCCGAAGCATTCATGAGTCGATCCATGAAGATCAATGCCGCCACACATAGACTAGCCTTGCACGGGCGATCAGGCTTCTAGTCAAAGAATCCCCCCAAGCCTTTTCGGGGGGGGGGGGGGGGGGAGGGGGGCACTTCCGCCATAATAAAGTCGAGTGCGAGATCACGGCGATGTATATATGTTCTTATACGTGGGTGTCTCATTGCGCTGCCACTCTAACCTCGGAATCCATGAAACTAGTTCACTAGGCGTACGTGGACCCTTACATATGGTGGGGTTCTGGCTCTCTTGTCGGGCACAAGCCTCACTGACGTCTTAGCCGGAGACGAAGCCTGTGCCCCATACCCCGGCGGTCCAGGAAGGACTCGCCCGCAAATGAATCCATACGCTAGTATCTGTCTGTTCAATGCATCGGCTATACGCCGATGACTTGGCTAGACAAGACATGAGGCCGCCGTGGATCTAGGGCGTTCTAGGTCGCCCAAGGAGTCCCTTGGAATATAGTATCAACGTGCCAGAGCGCCCAATCAAGACGGGGCGACCGGCCTACTTAATGGGGCGGTTGTGTCGTGGATGGATGGAGATACCTGCTGGGCTGGCACGAAGGCGGCCGGGTGGGCTGGGCCTGAGTTGAAGGAACCCTCCCACACCCATCCGAAGCGGCAGTACGCGTCGTACAAGAAGAACAGGCCGCGCTGCTAGGGTCAGGCGTGAGTGTTGGCCCATCTAGGCCCATCGATAGTCCCATCGTCGAGACCCTTACTTACTAACTCGGTTTTGCAAGGGCTTGAGATCGTACGTCTTTAACCTCAACAACGAAGCTAACGACGGCCCCTACTTGATCTTGGCATCCACACTCTGAAGATGCCTTCGGGACTCTCGAGCAATGCGCCGCCGTGCTGGACTTGTCGCCGTGCCCCTCTTGCTCCTACCTAGTCGCCCAGACCCCGCAGATCCCCCCCCCCGCGCTGGTTTCTCACGGCATCGATCGGTAGGTACCGCCGTCAGAATCGACAACTCAGAGCCGCCGCCCCGGAAAAAAAGGGGGGGGAAGGGGGGTTTCCTCGGTAGTCCGTGTGCGCATGGCGAGTGCTGCAGGTCCTGACCCACCGGGCAGCAGGCTGCGGGTACGCCCGTCCACACCGCCATCTCGCCCTTCTCGACACCCCTGCCTCCCTCCCCGATTCGTAGACAACGTTTATTACTCTGGGTTTAGTGCATCTGCGTGTGTGCCTAAGTGTAGATGTGTTGTCTGCGGGAGGACTGACAACTGACAGACCGCAAGGGGAAAATGATAGAGGGGGCGAGGTTCCAACCTACTGAGCCGGCCAGCTCGGCCTGGGAGAAGTCTAAAGTTGACTATCGTTGCTTTAAGGGCGTTAGCGAGATAGCCTCAAGAGACAACTGGCTACTGTTAGGTCGGGAACGAGTCAAGGACGGATTAAGGCGCTGGGAGTAGGTATGTCGTTCCTAAGTAGCCTTGAGGAGGATGCGTTCTGCACACTAGAAAAGGGGTACTGAACCTCTCCGGGTCGGAGTACGAAGACGCCTCCATGCCCGTCTAGGCCCATCCCCTGAAGTCCCTTCGCATGTGTCAAAGACCCGCGCGAGACCGTGAACTCCGCCGAGTATTCCGCGAAAAATCACTGGTCATCCAAGACATCTCGTTCTGCGGCTTCCCATATACCAAACCTTCCGGAACTTGTTGTTTACTTGGAACACGCAATCGTCCAGAGGCATCGAGCTCGAGAAGTACCCACGGTAAACGCGCTAGAAATATGTATGAGTGGCGGCATCGAGGATTGGGTAGGATGAGTGCCGAACCGCGAAGCAGCCGAATGGCCAAGGTATTATAATAATAGTTTCCGAGCTTATCCCACCAACAAGGGCAGGCTTTCCTTTGGGATCATTGGAACTGGCCCAACTACCCCTAAAAAGTGAAATTCGAGCACCATGTATCGGGACAGTGAGTTGGGTGAACAGTATAGTAACTAGCGAGTCGGCAGCGGTTTCTAAGCGCTATTAACACTTTCGAATAGAGGGCATCCCACGATGCTCCGAACGTCATATAAACACAATGGCAATCTAAGGAATCACACGGGAGCTATAATCGCCACCACTGGGCATTTTGGGGCGAAACGTGGTGTTTTGAGGAGCCGGTCACGCGCAGACCAGGGTCAGGAGGCCAAACCAGGGCTTTGGGATGACCATGGGCGAGGGTAACATTGGGGTACGTGAGATTAGGTGTGTATACACATGAGCTCGACGGCGGCGGCTGGGGTTTCCCATTCGTTTCGCCCTGATACTGGTCCGAAATATTGGAACCACTGACTTGACCCGCGGGTTCATCAGGCCACTATATCAGGACGCTGCCAAGAGTCGCATGTAGGGAAGTATAGGGCGCCGATGGCCGACCTGGGTAGTTAACATGTGGTGTGATTTCCCGATCCGGGGCCGGATCAGAGGGGGGGCATCGACCGGACATTTGGCTAACGCGAGTCGACGTCTTGAGCTGACGCGGTGAAGATGCTCGTAAGCCCGAGCCGAGGAGCCTGAACTGGATAAGAATGAGAGGTGGCATTCGAAAATAGGTTAGCGGCGATTCGTTTCCTTAGCTCTTCAAGCTCTTGTCGGGACTCGGCGCAGGAAACGTGCACCCCTGGCTGATCGAGAATTCCATTGGTAGGAGTAACTAACGAAGTCACAGGGGTGAAAAAGGAAGGACATCGATCCCTGAAGGAACATCGATCCCTGGAGGGATTATTGGACGAGCAGATATATGAATAACTCGGGCGTAGATGCGTGGTGCAGTCTCGCGAAGAGGATGAGGTTCGATGCTTTAACAGGGGGAATGCTGCAACAGTGACCCAGATAGAGTGTTGACCGCAAAATTGGTCAATGAGAACCCATACCAACATCAGAGCAGTGGATAATCTACCTATGTCCTGTGTACTAAGCGTAGGGTGATTCCATTCGTCATCATGGGGAAAAATGGGGCGTGTAAGTGAGGCGAACCATGCATCCCTTGTGTGCGCGCGCCTACCTGACCACGGTAGCATTCGGAACAAGAGCGTGACGAACCAAAGGACCGAAATACACGGCTGATGCTCAAGCTTCGCCTGCAGTCGAGGGTGGCGTAAGAGCGAACGCAGCAGAGTCCACTGGAGGCGTCGTGCTGCTATCGAAGCTTCGGCGTTTGTTTTCTTGGGCTTGAGGCATATCTGCCGGTTGTCCCTCTTGACATAAATAAATCGCTCGACTGGCCTTATGGTAACCCCCCCCCTTCCACCCCCCCAAATGCTTTCTCAGGCCGTCATCCCCTCGATTAGAAGGATATGCTCGAAGAAAGATGGCTTCCAATCCCATGAACAGATATTGGATCCCGCACCTAGACATCCACAAGAAAGTTATCACCCAGGAGCTCCAGTACTACTTGGGGCCGGACGCGACTGTGAGACCGTACACTCGAGAAGTACGACTATCGCGACGGTTCCTCCGTGAGCAGAGCGTTAACACATGCTTCTAGGGAGAAGACGGCTTCCTAATCACGACGCCCGGGGCGTGTCTCACAGATGTAAGCCGGCTACTCGCCCGCCCGTCTGCCGTAGGTACAATCGGAATTAACCCGCGTTTAGGAGCAGATTGACGACATCTGCCTCAAGTCCAAGGAGATGTGGGAGAGGCAGGCAGCGGCGCGGTCGCAATCGAATCCCGAGAAGCCGCTGAAACGTCCATTGCACCAACCGGTCCTGATCTCGAGAGGATCCGGAGAGGGGTCAATGCGCCGGGGCAAGAATCGAAGAGGCCACTTCTCCCGACGACCATACGATGACAAGAAGGGAGGCGAAACATCTCGGAAGTGACGGTCAGCGCGAGACCTGGCGAACTGTCTGGGGGATGCGGCGGATCGCCGATGTAACGCAGGAGTGTCCGTCAGACAGGCGGGACACGACGTAGAGAAGCTCAAGGCGTGTGTCCAACCGCGAAGCGGGACAAGGTCGGCTGCAAGCTGGTCGAGTATGGAGTGCCTGAGGTTGGAATCTGCAGGAAGAGGTCCTCCACCGAGGGGTTGCCATCTGGCATTGCGGAAGCCTCTGTGGATCCCGACGTTGAAACGGGATGGTCTTAATGGCTGTCTGCATAGACGCTCGACTTTCCACAAGAAGCAAAAGGGGTATTAGCTCTCTCTTGGTGGTACATAGTCCCAATTGGTTTTCACCACGCATCTCATCAATGGTTCTGTGCATGTCATGCAGAAGCCACGCAGGGAAACACGGCCCATCGCAACGTCGGGTGTCGAGATGATTAGGTAGTTAAATAGATAGAAGGGCTCGATATAGCCCCTTTCGACTGCTTCAACTATAACTACCAATCAACGGATTGCGCAGCCTGACGAGCGACGCCAGGAGGTCGGGGGGCCACGAGCCGAGAGCGGAGAGGAGGGAGGGAGACGGGGGGGTCTTACCAAGTAACGTGGTACCGGGCACCGACCAGAGCTTATGCCCCCCACAGAGAAGAAAAAAAGAAAGAGAAGTAAAGAAAAAAAAAAGAGCGTGCTCGCTTCTTAGTGATGCTTGACGCTCAGTGTTGATGAGTTGGCACGAAACCGGGGTGGCTGCGAGGGCTCTTGGCGTCAGGTCAGAGTGGCCTTCGAAAGTGTACGACGATGTTGCAGCTCATAAATAACCTCTCCAGTCCATCCATTGCTGCACATTGGCATTGAGCAACAGTCGGGAGTGAATCGAAGGCGTCAGAATAAGCAACGACCGGCGAGGAATTATCACGAGTGACGTAGCAATACGGTACCGAATAAAAAATGGTGCTGGGGGTCATTTGACATCTGGACAATCGGGTTTGCAATCAAGCCTCCGTTGTTGACACAGGCGAGGTTTGACTGGTTGGCCGCGAGAGCTGACCAGCGATATAATTCGTGTAAACCCGCGGCTTTGCAGGAAGTGTGTGCATCGTGGGCTGTTGTCTCCTTTCTAGAGCCTTCTCCGGGGACTCTGCCAGTTTCTCTGGTGCGCCCGCGAGCGTTTATGCGTGTCTATAGACACTCGAGCACGGTCCATTTGGGGGGTCATTCAGTCTCGGACGCGAGGGTCTGCTCGTAAGACGAAATATCTAGGTCTTCGGCGGTCCAGAGTACGAGAGCCTGCACCCCAACGCTTGCGATTGCGGCAGGAGCCGCTATTTCAGAGGTCGTCGTGGCTTTGGCCAATGCTTGCCCGATAGAGGTAATATAGCCAATAACATGGACCCATTGGCCAATATCCGTCTGCTCGGATTTGAGGTTCTGGAGAAGAAGGGTGACATCAGCGCCAACTTTGGCCTTGCTTCCCTTCGGATACTCGTGCTGAAGGGTCAAAGTGGCTGACTGGGTCGAGTATCCTGTTACACTAATAATGGAACTTGTTAGCACCTATCATGTCGGCCAGGAGGGAGGGCTTGAGAACTCGAGCTTAGCCGGAGAGAGGCGTTCCCCTCCCCTCAGCTGTTCCTAAGCTTGCAGTATTGCTTTCGCACCTGTCGATTCCCCTACTGCTGGGAGCTCAGTAGAGATTGCGGGACGGGTTGAACCAGAGAGGACAAGGAGATGCGAGACCTACCACCCCAAAAACCTCACTTTGTCGCCCACGTGCCTCTTGGGAAGGGCCGAGAGGAGACACCGCACTGACGGGAGGGGCGCGCTGGACATCTGGTGGGACGGCTTTAAATTCGTGAAAGCATTAAGAGGAAGCGCTCACGCGCCAGGAGCGGCAGAGTACTCTATAGGTTGGGGCCAAGGCATTCTTCAAGGGAGTGGTCAGATTGGTGCCGTGATTTGCGGTAAGGGTTAAATTGGGAGCTATGATGATCGTGCTACGGAATTTACATGATTCAAATGTAGAGCGTAGGTCAGCCCATTGGTATAGGTAGGCGAAGGTGTAGGCCTGGAGACGTGGTCAAGGTAGCAGTAGCGAGACGACGAGCATTGTAGTGGTAGGGAATGTGTATGAAGTAAGATGGATCGGCTTGGTGTCCGCCATATGATGGGTCGGAATGAATCCAAGTGGGGTAGTCTGCGTACACCGATTAGGTAAGTAGGTAGGTATAGTAGATATGGATTGCATGGCTCTCACGTGACTAAACCAAAAGCGGAAGCTGGATTAACCGCAACTCCGCTTCCGAGATAAAAGCCCTCTAGCGCCCAGGTGGGGACGGCTGGCCGTCCTGATAACGTAACCATCCAGGTGGCGCCGCCTCTGAGCCAGGAGGCCGTCAGGTGATGAGGGTGATGGGCCTTGTTTCACGGGTGCCTAGGCGGATGGCCCATCCATCTGTCGAATTGTACCTATCGCCTATGGCAGCAACATCTGACCTGCCTACACACCCGTTCGCTTCGCTATCTCCATCTATTGGAAGCCTAGCTTAGACAAACCCATCTACCCTGCCTTACCCGCTGAGGGACCTCGTGCACACCATACCCAACTCTGTTACCAACAAATCTACCCGAACATCGAACAGCTCGTGACGGCCGTCAGGCTTCCTCCGCCCTCCATCCTCACACTTATCAGCATTGCTCGCCGATTCCCTCCGTCGTCTTCGTCGACATCCTCGACGACCGGCCCGCCTTCTTGGACATAAGTAACGAGCGACGTCATCGTCTTGGCCGCGAATACTCTGCTGTCTGGCCCTACCCCGCGGTCGACACCCACGCCGGCATCGCGTCGGTCTCCCTTTGCGAGTCGAGCATCCCTCGATAGTCATCGCCGAGCTATCCTCGACCTCGTGTAGCGCGTTTTAACCGCAATGTCCGGCGTCTGGGGCTGGTTTGGCGGCGGCGCTGCCCAGAAGAAGAAGGACAGTCCGAAGAATGCGATCCTCGGCCTGCGGGCACAGCTGGATATGCTCCAGAAGCGCGAAAAACATCTCATGACCCAGATGGAGGAACAAGACGCCATCGCGCGAAAGAACGTCAACACGAATAAAACCGGTGAGTGCGGCTGCCCAGCCAGCCTATCTCGACCCCACACTGGTTCGAGCTGACGTGTACGCCTCGTGATAGCTGCGAAGGCTGCCCTGCGGAGGAAGAAGGGGCACGAGCACAGTCTCGAGCAGACGATATCGCAGATTGGGACGCTGGAGCAGCAGATCAACGCCATCGAGTCCGCCAACATCAACCGGGAGACCCTCGCCGCGATGCAGAGAGCAGGCGAAGCGATGCAGCAGATCCACGGGAAGCTCACGCCAGAAAAGGTCGACGAGACTATGTACGCTGACTCCCCGCCTTTCTATCCGCCTTCTTCTGCTATGACTTGCTACTAACGTGCGTCAGGGACAAACTGCGGGAACAGAACGTTCTCAGCGAGGAGATTGTCGCTGCCATCACCAGCAACCAGATCGGGGAGCCGCTGGACGAGTCGGAGCTGGACCGAGAGCTCGAGGACATGCAGCAGGAAGAACTCGAAGAGAAGATGCTCAAGACTGGCACCGTACCCGTGTCCGACGCGGTAAACCGACTACCTACAGTTGCCAACCAAGAAAGTAAGTCTAGCGGCATATTCTACCCTTCTCAGACGCTAACTTGGTTACGTAGTCCGTGGTAAGCCCCAGGCTATCGCGGAGGACGACGAAGAAGTAGAGCTTCGGAAGCTCCAAGCGGAGATGGCCATGTAACGTTCCCGGTTTCTACGTCCATTCCACGCAGCCTCCTCTTATCCCGGAAACGGTGGCGTGAGGCCATATTGAGGAACCCGACACCGGTGATCTCCTACAGACAAGCGGCTCCATAGACAGCGCCAGCGATGCTTTGAGCTCGGCTTCGATCAAGCCGCTCCGAATCAGGCAGTCTATCAGAAAACAGACCTCTCCCCGCGTCGGGCTCCTCGCACTCATTTACGGCGTTGGCGTTATAAGACCCTTAGTGCTTCGTTGGCGGTTACACCTGTTTAGCAACTTCGGCTTCGTAAATTACACATCTTCTAGTCTCCCTGTTTGGGCCGTCTTTCGCCGAAATATAATCGATACGAATCCACGTCGGTAGATAGTGATAAATGTGCCTGTGCTCTGCTTGTCGCTCGGCCATCGATCGGCCTACGGGTTGGAGTAACCCCAACAAATTAGTCCCGATAATCATGGTGTCATGCCGGAAGTTCCCTTCTTTACATGTATAGCAACGCCACCAGATGCTATCAAACTCGCCGCAGCCTGTGAGTTCTGGCTTACCGCATAGGCTGAAAAAAAAAGGGATAAGTAGAGTACTGTAGGCGCATGGTCCTAGTGTGCTTCGTGTACATATGTAGCCAACCATGTATAATAATAATTACAGCTTATGCGTGGAGACTTCAAGGTTGTGTCCTATAGCAACCAATCCCTCCCCGTCCAGCTTCGCATGAGTGACCCCCGAACCTACAGGAGAACCATAACAAGATCGACACTCCAGCTCTCGGCCCCGATCTCCTACCAGTCCCTCGGGATCACACATGCAGATAGGGGACCTGTCCCCACCATCATTACGTCTCCAGCTACTCCCATACAATACAACCCCGAAGGAAAAGTTGCCCCATTCATACAACACCGTAGCTCACCTTGATGAACGCCGAAAATACAAGCCTTCTTAAGCTTGTAGAGAACCTCCAACGGTCCGAATGTCGGATGCAGGACGTAACGGCCCCCGAATACCCCCGAAAGAGGATTTCGCCCACCCCTTTTACCGGTTGTAATCGGGTCCTGTACGGTTACAACGGTCATAGGATTTAAAACATAATATGCATGCCGAATAACCTACTCATGAGACGAGTTTATCGCACATGTATGTATGACCCGAGGCAGGGCAGTGGCTAAGATGCCGCCGCCATAACGGAGTCCACCCACAGAAGATACCCGCCTTCACTAGGTACTATCACCTGAACTATCAGAAGTCACAAGATTCAACTCTTATCTGCTACGGGATTTTTTATAAATCAAAACGGAGTGAACAACTGCCAAGTACGTCGCTATGTCGAATGCCTCCTATTCCACCCCAGTAGCAACCTTATCTATTAGTTGCTGCGTGGATTCTATCACACCCCTTCTCGCTCTTCTGCGCAGTTTATTTCCTCCTTTTACATGGCCTCCATTCCATATATAGCTATCGAAGAAAACACCAGAAACCATATGTAAGAAATCATGAAATACTATCGAGTGATAGCACCAGCTCTACTTACCGGATGTCCCTGGCCATCCGCAGGGCCCGGTAGTGGTACGGGGTAATTTGACAGATCCACAGCAACCATTTCCTTTGTTTCAGCCGCCAACACAGCTCTTTACTCTAGGTCCATAGTATGGCCTTACTTTTTATTAATACCTAGTTCCCGAGGCAGAATACCGGGGAGTATATACCATAGTGGTTCTACGAAACAACATGGGAAAAAATGAGTTGAACAATAGCAACAAACCGTATTAATAGAATCTGAGGCAGGTGAGACTGAAAAAAAAAAGCCGCTGCGGCAAGCCCTCCGACCCGCGCAGAATCCAATACTCCTAAAGAGATACTCAATCTCGGAAACATCCTACTCACGGCACTAGCTAAGACGTCTACCTTTCCTTTGTAGAACCACGGCACGAGAGTGGCACGATTCACAGGAGCTACACCAGAAAGAGAAGATTGAGCCGCGGTAGGTATGGTCACGAAATAATAAGGGGGGGAGGCGCTGAGAAGAAACAGTGAAACGAAGAGGGAAAGACTGGGGACTGCCCTCACTGGGAGGAGGGAGGACACAGTGAGAAACTTGCTTTCACGAAACGTCGATGGGCAGGAGCTTCTAAATAGGCCACTGAAAAAAGTTGTAAATATCCTAGCTCGGCACGCTTATAGTGCCCTACGAAAGGCCCCGGGATAGCATTAACAGGCAATCCCCATTAGCGGGTAAGTAATACCACCAGCACCAGCACCACCAGTTAGGCCATCTACCATACACCTCGAAAGTCAGGGGTGACGAAATCATAGCTTCACTCAACTCTCATCCCGCTTGCGTATCTAACAGATCTAGCATGCTCCTGTGACATCAGCAACTCGGGTCCTAAACCTAGAGGCGGTAGCCCTTGGTGAGGCAAGCCTCCTCCTTCCCCCAATAACTCGATAGTATTCGGCTCTAGAGAACATGGCCTCGGCAATGGTACGCTCCAACAACCTCCTGCGTGGTGATGTAAGCACCTGCCTGCCCTCGGTACCTCTTTATAAGGATCACGATAGGGGTCTCCTACCTGTGCGTAAATGCAAAGTGGTGCCCGACGTGTCTTCGGGGCATATAAGTGCGCGGGCGACATTGCTATAGCAACTCGGGTGCCGAAGTACTGCCGGGAAGATAAGGGGGGCAAAACAGACAACCAGATTCGCAAGTGATGGTTGAGGTCGGTTAGCTGTACCGCGATGCGGCAATACAGCATAGGGCACCGCTACAACAGAAGGCACGGCCACCGGGGGCACCAGAGTCACGATGTCCACCCACGTTCGGGGGGTCGGTTTTCGTGGTATGGCGCAGGTAGTCACCCCACAAGCATTACTTTTGCCATTTTTCGTCCCCAGTCTTAGGCCCAAGTCTGTCTTGGGGCGCTTTTTCCCACCCAACCTTGTTAGCAGTGGGTCTCCTGGAGACGGCATGTCCCGTGCAGTTCCACTTCTATTCCCCGTTTCTCGCGCGGTGGCGGCTTCTTGGTTGCCGGGATTACAGATGCTCTAGAGTTGAAGGTAGTTGTCCCATCGAAGGGTCAGTCAAAGTTGCCTCGAAAGTCCCACATAGTAATATGCCTAGGGTTAACAATTCCTAGTGTGTCAATCAAGGCTTAAACTCCTACGTTGATCTAGATGAGCGAGTCTCAGCCGATTTCCACCAAGGACATGGTATCATCACCTAAGTAGGTTTTGCTCTAGGTGTACGCCCGTAGGTATCTTATGATCTAGAGGACCTCCCATGGGACTCCGCTCGCTTGTTCTCTCACTCGATGCTTTGCTCTCTTGGTCTAATTCATACTTTTCTTTGGAGTGCCACTACCCTCAAACTGAGACTAACTAGCCCCCTCTGCATACCAGCACGAATGGTAATTTAGACGTTGAAAACACGGCATATAAGCTGTACCAGTTTCGAACACTGGCCGCCGTCGCGTGTTGTTGTCGATTCCCTTGTTTTCTTGGGCGAAATTTGAGGACAGGTTGTTGTGTCTTATTCATTCCGGTAAGATGGTTGTCGTTAAGGACTCAATGTTAACGGGTTCCCTGGTCCCTACCATGGCCTTTTTGGGAAAAAAAAAGTATTTTGATAGCTGTACCTCCGGAAGGGCATCGACTACATTCTATCACGGCCTTGAAGCCCCCGCAATGTAGCTAGATGTAGCTAGACGGGTTAAAACACTCAATTACATGATCATGGAGGCTGTAACGTAGAAAGCCTTACAAGCCTACGTTACCAAACCAGGAGGTTTGGGTACCTATGTTTCCCCAAGACGGATACTTCTACAGGGCCAATAGCCATTGTTACGATCCTTGAATACCTACATGCTGCACACGAAACTATCCCCCGCCGGTAGGCTGGTCCGAGTGTATCTATTTCTGTATAGAGACCCTCTCAGTCTATACAGGTTTAAAACTCCACCAACGGCAATGGACGTATTGGTCATTGGAGATGTAATACATATACGAGAGCTGGCATGTAAATGAAAGCTTCAGGCTAGCTAAAATAAGAAATCTAGATGCCAAGATCAAATGAGATCGTCCAGCTCCACAGTGTCTGCAAACTAATGCGATGCTACCTAGTAGCAATTAAAGAGGCGGGGGGGTGGGCAAGAAGAAAAGATAACTACTCATACGGTTCGGGTGCCCCCGTCGAAGTCACAGCTTGGCCAGCATCGCTGGGATGGCACGGCAAACGTAAGAGACATACCTAGGTATACCTCTGTATTGAAGTCGTTGGATAGGTATACCTATTGTGTTACCCGCCCCCCCAACAGTACACGGGCATTGGCCGTGGCTCTAGCCACCTAGGTAGACCGTGGGATGACCCGAAGTAAGGGGATATACTACGACCGATAAACGATATGAGCATCCCACCTTAGATCATGCCATACTGCGGGAGACGTGGCACGGCAACCCGCGGGGTTGCTCTCGCTTTGGGGGTGGCCTATGACGATGACGATTGGCACGGAGCGCAAAGAAGATAGCTAGCTAATCGAAGCTGTAAGTGCTTACGGAGCTCTGACATGCCGGAACCAGCCTGCTTCCGGTGACCCTACAGCATTGCTAAGTAATATTATCTAAGAGCCTTCGCATGGAAGCGGGACGGAGAGCGGGGGTCAGGCGGGCGCTATCTCCACGAGCGTCGCCAATGGGAACCGAACGCAGAGTTCTTCCGCCCAGTCTCCATACGAATATGCGCGTCGTGATGGTTCACGGCATCGGGGGTGCTACGGACAAAGTACGTGCCCGTCAGGTACATACGGGGCCCTCCCAGCTGAGGGACCTGGGTAGCGACTAGGATCGAGATCGGTGAATCCTACGGGCCAGGTGCATGAGCGCCCGATCACGATTGTCTCAGGAATATAAACACGGATACCCGACGTGTTGGAAAGCAGGTAGACATCGCTTTCTGTCTGTCTGTCTGTCTCTCTCTCTCGCGACACGCTGGTGGCGTCGCCTGCCAGCATGCTGCTGTGTGTGTTTTGTGTTGATGCCGTACGCGCTTTGTAGGTACGTTGAGACAGACTGACGGCGACAGCAACGTATACGGGTGTGCGGGCATCTAGTAATCGCGCCAGCATCAGCGCCTGGTCGGGGTGAGTTATAATAGGGCGTGGGCTCGGGCTTACGGGTGGCAACCCTAGAGATAAGCCCATCTGATGGGCTTGGTGGAAATAGCCGCACCGACGGAAACCGTACAGAGAAATGCCACCTACGTGCGCAGAACCCGAGCTGGATGCGGCGGAAGTGAAGCTATCACTCTTTGAATGCTGGGCATTCCCCTCATTTACCTTGATGTACCTAGCTATGTGCTATAGCAAGGCTCGGTGCCCTATGGTTAGGTAGGCATACCTATTAGGCCACCGCGGGTCGGTTCTGTAAGTACCTAATGTAGGTACCTAATCAGTGGATCTTAGGTAGGTAGGTACTTAAGCACTATATGTAAAGCATGGCGACCAAAGTCGTGCTCACATCGGTCCATGCACGTGATGGGACCAAAAAACCCGGGCCACTGATTAATCTCGTCGTCTCCTCTTCCTCTCAATTCCCTCCTCCCCTTCGTCCTCCTCTCCCGCACTGCCCAGACGCCTAACCACATCCCGCGCGCCGTTCTCTTTCGCTTCTCCGCTCTCGATCCCGGCCGGCCACCGAGAGCACGATGAATTGAGGCAAACGACAGGACGCGTCATGTTCCCGCCAGCCCAATGAGGTGTCGGCGCTGTATTTCCCGCCACGCTGCCCCACCTCGTGCTTAGGTGCCGTGCGGACTCACAGGATGGGCTCTGGGATGGGCTCCAGGATGGACGCGAGAGCGAAGCCAACGAAGACGACCACGTTGCACACCATGCCGCTGGTAGCATCGGCGTCATGCAGCCCGTAATTGACCCTGCTGGTTGGGTGCTTTCTGCCCACTCGCCATCGTCAATTCAGGGACCATTTCAGACACTGCCCATCGCACTATCACACTCGCGAAATCTCACTCTTCCTCTTTCTGCCGGCCACCCAACCCACCGTCCCTCCACCCCTCCTAGGTTGTGCTGTGCGGGTAGAAAGAGAGGAAGAGACAGACAGACAGGCAGAAAGGCAGACCGAGTCCGTTGTCACCCCCCTGCCCCCCCCCCCCCCCCCCCCCCCCAATGTCCGCCCCGGCCCGTGGCTAGGTGGCCGTGCATGACGCTGTCTAACCCCGAACTCCCTCTGCTTGGAGATGCTGAAATGCGTGGGGTTGGTCCATTCCGTCTACCTGCAGACGCTTACCGGCTGTTGGGCCGCGATTAGCTTCCTTGACCAGCCTCACTGTGTCTATCTCCCCCCTCGTCTCTGCTCTTCGGGTATTATGTCATGGAGGGTTTGTCTCACGCCTCATCCAATCTCCTTCGCGACGTGGCGCCAGTGTCACCGGCTAGGAGCCTCTGAGCGCGATATTCATCCCGGACGTCTTCAGAAATCTGACAGCTCTGACTCGCCCGGGCCTAGTGGTGGGTCACATGTAGGTGGTGACTCTCGAGAGGTGCTGGTTGGGCGGCGTACCTCTCTGTTTTCGGCGTAGCTAAACGTCCATCCAACTCTCGGTTCTGCATGGAGAGACTTTTCCCTTTCAACTCCATCCGTTGAACCTCTCAATCCACTCAAACCCCTCCCCTCCTGTCTATTGCCGGAGTCGCGAGCTTTCACCGTCTGCATATCCCCATAGGCCGTGTCCATTTGGCTTGTTCTAACCAACTACATCGTCGCCGCCGCGCACAGGCCGGATACCCAACCGTTGAAGCCAGAGGTTCGATGTCCAATTGTCTGGTACCGCTCCTGCAAACGCCCGCATTATACTCGTCATTATACGCGCATAGAAGATAATAGGAGTAGTCTTTTAAGGTACCCACAGGCCTCGTCCCTGTGGGCCGAGGGATCATGGCCGATAATCGAGAAATCGCGTACTGCTCTGCGCGGGCTAATCCTATCGCACATGTTCAGGTAGCTGACTTCTCGCACGTACAATATTTGCGGGTGCCACACTCGGAACCTGAAATCGACGATCGAGGTACATGGCTTGAAAAGAATATTCACTTGATCTGTTCGTGCTAATACGCATCGTAGCTGGTAAGGGCGAGCCTGGGGAAGAGCGCGTAGGCCGGGAGCACCATCCAGACCCACTGGCGCTTCAAAATCCCCCATCACCGAAATCCGCACAAGTAAACTCGCCCAAATTAAATATTCAAACACCTCAAAGTCCTCAGCCCGATGAGACGAAGTTAGAGAAGGAGACTGCTCCTCTAGCCTCTGGGAAAAAGAGAAAGAACCAGAAAAAGACGGAAAAGGCCAGGCAGAAGGAAAAGGAGAAGAAGGCTGACAAGGCCAAGAACGCCGCAGAGAGCATGGCGTCCAACGCCGAATCATCGCAAACTCCACCGTCGCCAACCGCTAACACGGATCCTGAAGGTCCATTGCCTTCGAGTGAGGCTACAAAGGCAGAATCATCATCACCGCCTGACCAGAGCCCTGATGAGCCAGAAAAGAAGGAACAAGATATTGACTCCAAGCCGGTAGCAGAGTCTCAACCGCCAGTAGAGGACGCCAAACACGAAGAGACAGAAGACGGGGAAATAAAGGCAGCGGATGTCACAGACGTTGTACCAGCACATGCGCCGACGAACGAATCTTCCAATACGCCGGGCCCGGAGCAGCCTGACGACCCAGTCGCATCGGAACCCACGCCGGAGCCCGTCAAGCAACCAGAAAGCACCCATTCCTCTGTGGATCTTCCGGCTGATGGTCCCGCTGGAAAAGCGGGCGAGGAAATAGCACTAGAAGCCGCGCAAAAGCCGGCAAAAGCTGACGAAACCCCCGTGTCTCAACCCTCAGCCAACAGTGCCGGCGACGAGCGCTCGGCCACTAGCGATTCAACAGCAGCAGACCAATCTCCTCCAACCGAGAAAGAAAGCAGACCCCGTGATAGGCATGCAAATGACCAGGGGGTTGCAGGACCAACGCCAGGATCTGTAAGTTTTGATTTTGAGGTGCTTGAACTCTCAGCCAACCACCCTGTTGTTCCGTTGCACGATAGATCAAGTTATCCTCTGTCCCATCACTTAGAGATAACGTAGACCAGACAAATACTGACATACCTAATAGGACCCGGTCGTTGACAATTCTGGAACGGGGAAACCTGGTGTCGATTCAGACCCGTTAAGCGATAACCCTAGTGCGGAGGCTTCTGCTGATGCCTTGCCTTCCAATGATCAAACGACTATTATACACGAGGAGGCGGAGGGCCACGCCCACGTAGAAGAAAACATCACGGCTATGCCCGAATCAGACGGAGCTACTCATAGTGAAGACAACGGCAAGGCGGAAGACGAAACCGAAGCTACCGGCGCGCCAGGCCCGACCGAAACGGAGCCACAAGCGGAAAACACGCCCGAGGCTTCTGTAGAATCCAGTGCCCAAGGCAAACTAGAACAAGCCCCACAGAAGGAAGATGTTGATACCACGGCTGACGGCGCCCCTGCGCCCAAAGACACTGAGTTAGAAGAAACCAGATTGGACGAAACCAACAAGCCTAAGATGGAGGAGAACGAGTCACAAAATGTGTCAGCCATTGAGACAATAGCTGCGACACTTCCTCAAACAGGAGAGACAGAGGATGAACCGGCAGGCAGATCGGTTGAACCTGTGGTGCACCCTGAAGGAGTGGTCGACGAAGCTCCCCAGCCAACCAAGGAACAAGTCACGACAGAGAGCGAGGAGCCACACGATAGTTTGGCGGTGGATATGTCTAGTAATGGGAACGAGGATGCTAATAATCCAGCTGCAGAGCCGCCTATTCCGACCCCTGGAGATACTCACCCAGTAGAATTTTTGAATACTCAAGATACCACCGAGTCCGAGAGCACCACTCAGGAAGGCAAATCTAGCGATGAGCCGAAGGCCAGTTCTGATGTTGAGTCGAAGGGTAATATCGACGAGTCGGATACGAACGCAGAAGATGCTAAACAGATCGGCGAAGTCGAGGGAGCAGCAGGCACGCAGGAAGTGAAGCCGCTGACGCTAGAGCAAGCTTGCACTGTTGCGGTCCCGCTTACGGAGGATGCTACTGAGGTGCCGGCTGACGAAATGCCAGCCAATAACGCGACTGAAAACCTCGAAAATATAGAAAGCGCACCAGACTCCGAAGTGAAGCCAGCTGATGATGGTACTGAGGTGGAAGATGCTATCCCGCTAGCAGTTCAAGGAACGAAAAACGATGCTTCTGGGGTTTCCCATGAAATCACCTCCCCGAGCATAGACAGCCCTGCATCTGAGGCGCAGGGAGGTAATAGCGGGACACAAGACTTGTCTGATGAAAATACAGGGGACAGCCTGAAGCCCTCTGATTCTAATCCTGAAAATATGGAAGGGGCGTCAATGGGAGCCTCGGGCGATGAAAATACGCAAATAGCGATTGAACCCTTAGACCCGCCAATCTCTACCAACAATGCTGAGGGAGGTCCCACCGCCGGGGAGGTGTCGTCTATCCCCGAGACAGATGACGCTGCTAAAACCACGGTCACCGCTCTTGATGTATCTCCTGAGGGAGAGACCCACGACACCATAGCGGCCATAGTTGCCGAGTCAACAGAACCAGCCGCTTCAGGTGCACAGGACGAACCATCCGAAGAACCTCAAAAGTGTGTGGACGGCCAAGCGACCATTGAGTCTTCAGCAGACGACCCCGACGAAGGAGGAGCAGCAGAGACTATAGAAGACAAATACGAGTCTCCACCTGAAATGAGTCCACCCGAACCGGCACGCCCTGCCGAGTCTACGGAGGCTACTGAGAAAGTAGCGAGTTCAGAAGCGGCCCCCGAGCTCATATCTCCCGAGGATGCGAGTACTATCCAGGATAAGCGCGAAAGTAACGATGATACGAATACTGGGCCCCCAAAGGAAACTCCGGCGGATCCAATGTCCGTAAAGGAACCCGCAACCTCAGATGAGGCGCCCGAGCCCATATCTCCTAAGGATGCGAGTGCGGGTCAGGATAGGCCCGAAAGTAGCGATGATACGAAGACTGAGCCTCTAGAGGAAACTTCGGCGGATGCAGTGTCCGTAAAGGAACCTGAAACTTCAGAAGAGCAGCCAGTTGAAGAAATACTAGCGCCTATCGAAACAACGGAAAGTTCAGGAGAGCCGGTGACTCAGGAGGGGGCATCCCCTACAGATGAAAACATAGAATTGGAATCAACTCTTCCAGAAGACCAAGCAAAGAATCCTGCCACTCCAGACACAACCGATCCGCCTATAATCCAGCCAGCTGAAGCCGGGAACTCTGTTGAGATTACTAATGCGGAACCCCTCGAACGCGGAGAGACGCCTGGGGAAAATATGGACGTGATACCCACCAAAGAACATGGAGACATAGATGTACCAGATTCCGAGCCTGAAGCGGTTGTGGCTAGCCAAGAGACTCCTTTACAAGAGACCTCCGTAGTTGAGAAACATGACGGCGTCCCCGAGGATCAGAGCGATCACGAACCTCCAGAAACGACCCTCCCCACGAAAGATGTAGCATCTACACCCGAAACACCAGAGCTTCAGACTTCTGTAAGCTAATCCTTATAAATTCAGGCTCTACGGTCCCCCTTTCGCCCCAAAGCCTGCTCCTACCTCTTGCTATCCGCCAAATGTCACATGCCGTCGCTGGTGCTCCACCAATTTATGAGATTTCAACTAACTGATCCTGCACAGACCCAAGTAGCCGAGAATACCGATAGCAAAGAAAGCACGGATGAGCAGGTAATCACAGCTGCTGTGCCCGAGAACCCGCCTCTTGAGATCAAAGAGGCCAGTCTGCCCGCTGACAAGGTTGCTGTCGACTCTCTTGCTGGGGAGACCGCTCCTACTCCTGAAGTTGAGAAGCCCCTCGAGGAATCTACTCATATCGCGGAGCAGGCTTCTACTAAAGCTACTGAAGCGGGACCGGCTACCGCCGAAGACGCTTCTACGAAGAAGGCCCTCGATGAAGACCCCGCTGTCAAGAATGCCACCGAGAGCACGGCTGCTGTCCAAGAACCAGCTTCTGTCGAACAAACCCCTTCCGTAGTGGAGGCTTCCACCCAAGCTCTCGCCCAAGAACCCACTTCTCAAAATTCTAACGAGGACTTCAATTCTGAAATTCCGACTATGGACCACCACATGGGAGAATCTTCTACAAAGGAAAACCCTATAAACGATTCTGTCGAGGAGGACGCTACAATACAGCTAACTGAAGACCGGGCCGAAGACCTAGCGACCGAAGAACCCTCAACTAAGAATTTAGTCACCGGAAATGACGAATCGTCTCCGAATGAGGAAGTAGTTGAAACCCCCGCTGAGGAATCTCCCTCCGAACAACTCCCTGCTCAACCTGTCGTACAGCAACTTCCTCCTGAAAACATGTCTAACGAACCTCTCACCGAAGACCAAACAATAGAGACTACTCGTGAAGAACATGTCGAAGAGCCTGCCCATGAGAAGCCCTCTACTAAAGAAGGTTCTATTACGTCTACTCTAGAGCAGCTTAGCATAGAGGAAACCTCCACTACTAAATCCATTGAAGAGTCGTTTTCCGAGTCTGCCGAGGAGACTCCAGCTGAACGCACTGAGAAACTTGCAGATGGATCCGGCGAAGCCACAAAAGCCTCTACAGCAACTACCGGGGAAACTAATAAATCTACCACAGAGCTAAATGGCAAAGACAGAAGCGCAGAAGTTGTTGATCCGGTTTCTCTCGAAACTAGCTCGGAAGAGCTTGCCGCTGAGGATAATGCGGAGGACACACTGGTAGAAGAACCTACCGAAGGGCCCACCGCCGATGAAACTCCTGCGCCTGAGTTTACTGTTGAAGATACGCCTCTCGAGTCTTCCGATAAGCCTACCAATGACCTAACCCAGATCCCCAACCCCGAACCTGCCCCCGAACCTGACTCTGGGTCTGGGTCTTCTTCTGAGTCCACGGTAAAGCCCGCTGATGAGGCCGCTGCCGACCCCACCGCCGAGCACATCACCGAACACGCCCCCCAGCCTTTTGGCGAAACCACTCGTGTGGAGTCCGCACCCGAAGTCGCTGAACCTACTGAACCCTCTGTAGAGTTGGCTGCCATATCGGCAGAAGAGGTTCCTATTCCTCAAACTGGCGCAAGCGAATCCGCCAAGCTAAGCATCGGTCCCGTCACTGAGGAGCCCGCTGCCGAGGAGGGTTCAAAAGAGTCCGCTGCTACTGAGCCTAAAGCTGACGAACCCGTGGAAGAATCATCCTCCAGCGAACCTACTAAGCAACCAGCTCAAGACGTCGTCGTAGACGAGAGCCGCCCTTCAGAGACTAATTCTATTGATCCTTCTACGACAAAAGAGCCTGCTACTGAGGAGGCTATGAAAGAGACCGCTGCTACTGAACCTAAAGCGGGCGAACCTATAGAAGAATTGTCCCCTAGCGAGCCTGTTAAACAACAGGTTCAAGACGTCGTCGTAGAGGAGAGCCGTCCCTCAGAGACCAATTCTATTGGTCCCTCTACGATAAAAGAGTCTGCTGCTGAGGAGCATTTAGTTCAACCTGCTGGAGATGCTCCCGCCGAACCATCCAGTGCCCCGGAGGAACCCGCTATCGAATTAGAAGGTAATCTCAGTACCGAAAGCACTGCAGCGTCGGTAATCGTCAGGGAACCCGTTGTCGAAGAGTGCTCCACCCAAGAGCCTAATACAGAGGCGGCCGAAGCTCCTAGTTTTACTCCCTCTACCGAAGTGGCTACTCTTGAGACCACCGATGAGGAGTTACTCCCCCAACCCCTCAATGAGCCTACGGAAGAGTTACTTATTGGGGAACCAGCCCCTGAAGAACCCAAGCCTCTCGAAGAATCCACTGCCAGAGTGCCCGTAGAAGAAGCTTGCCCTGGACCTGTTCTCGCCACTGTCAAGTCTGAGGTTCGCCAAGGTGACCCCCAGCATGAACTCGTCCCCGAAAAGGTTGAGGAGCCAGTAGTTGATACGGCTGCACAAGATCAACCACAAGAAACCACGAACAAAGAGGTCACGGATAGGCTACCAGTCAAGGGTGCTGTCGAGAAACCAGTAATCAGTTCTCAACCAGAACCGGAAAAGGTATCCGAAAAGCGAGAGGCCAAAACCGCATATGGAGAGGTCTCAGAGCGGAAAACTCGAGAAGATGACGAAAGCAAAGATACGATTGGACCTATCCCAAGTCAGGATAGGTTGACCCGAAAGGTGTCGAAAGGTGAGGATCAGTCATTTTTGCGTTCAATTGGAGATACCCCTGGCATGTTAGCGAATGATTATGGAGATACCCCTGAGTCGGACCCAGAGCGTTTCTTTTCGTTTGGGGATGGAGAGAATGGTCCGAAGAACAACGAACAAGTCGCTGGAGAATCGTTTGCGTCGAATCAGCTCGGTGAATTCTATGATACATCCCAGGCATCATATGCGCCTGGTGAAAGCGGTATGCGGTTGTCTGAAGACACGGCGACAGTCAGTAACCTGGCCCGCTCGGAACTACCGTCAACTGGCAGCTTGACTAGCGAGGAAAAGGCTTTCGCGGATGCCGTCGGCATACCACGCAGCCTAGCGCAGGAAGGTTCCGAACCAGACCAGACGGTTACGTCCAACTCGCCGAGGGGGCTAGAAGCTCAAACGAGCGATTATACAGCGAACAATCATAGCTCGCAGCCCCTCACTTCCCAGCAGTATCCTGGCGGGGGATACTTGGCCACACCTCTGGTGCGGATTTCATCTGGCCTTCTATCGGGGAAACAGTCCTCAGCCCCTACCACCGATAATACGAACTCTCCCATAATTTCCGAGGCACTTCAACAAGAACTCGTATTATCCGCTGGGCCATATTCAAATCTGCCAAAAGATGCAGACGATGCCGGCCTCAGCCAACAAGAAATTGATCGCGTGATCAAACTAGCGAGTGACGAAGATGCGGAGTCTTTCGAGCCAGCCACACAGGCGATACTGAAGACTGAAACTCCATCGATGGCTACCGCTATGCCGAACATCTCTGAGACCTCTGCCGTATATTCTGAGACCAATAAAGCAATTCACACCGTCGCCGCGCCAATGCCGGATCAACCTGACGAATATACAGCCGCCCTCATCACGGAAGAGCGATCATACCGACCAGGCGTCCAACGAAAGTTGGATACATCGGAACCTACCTTCGCCGATACCCACACAGTCATAGCACCACAGCCGGATGGTGTAGAGGAACTCATCTTCTCAGAGATCAACCCTCGGGATGGCCGGGTCATGGCCAGTTCAATCGGAGAATCTTTCAGTATTGAATCTAGGCCAGAACTAATCCTGAAAGCTGAACGAGGTTTAGAACACACCCTAGAAAATAATCGTCATGCGCTGGGGCAACTCGCTGGTCCAGCAAACTTTGCCACTCGAGAATATGCTACTAGGGTCGCTGGAACGCATTCTGCCTCTACTAAGTCAGACTCGGACGCTATCAAGCTCAAGACGGTCGGAGAGGAATTCTCGGATAAAGAAACTGAGCCTACATCATCGGAACACCGGCACGTTACCGAAACATCCGGATCCAATCAACAGTCTAAAGACGTGATAAGTCCGGCAGATAAATGGACTCCGGAGCTCCTAGAACTAGAGACACCCCAGGATGAAGGGTCCGGGACAGAGAAATCGCATCTTGACAAGCAGAAAGAAGCATACGGACCTTTCTCAGTAGGAAGCGCGCCTCTTCTCGAGCCACCGGGTGTCGAGGATAGGCTAACTGAAGAACATTCGGTCATGATTGGTGGCTTTCGAGATACCAAAGACTCGCGCTCTCCACTACTTATACGTAAACCACCACAGTCGATCACCCGGTCAGAATTCGCATTAGAAGAAGGTTCGGCGGTCGAGGACGACTTCATATTGATCGAAAACCCGGCAGACGCCTCGATCAGTGAAACTCCAGTCGATTTGGGGAGCCCGTTGGAGGATGAACCATCTATGAAAAGGCTCGACAGCCCATTCAAAAGAAAATCATCAAAACTAGCGGAGGCCAAGTTCCCAAGCTCGGATGAAAGCCCAGCACTAATCGTTGATTACGGGGAGACACTGATTGTCGACAATGCCCGTGCTGTCTCTGAAGACATACCTGAAGACGACAAGTCATCGTCCGCACCCCAAGACATTGGACGTACTGGAGAGCAGGCACAGGAAACTGGCCTGGAAAATAGAGCCTATCCCGACGGTTCGCAGAATGTCATCTCGACGCCTCTGGCTGATTCTCCGGTTCTGGCTACTGAACTGGGCCGGTTTGTGCTAGAAGACGAGACGGCGCCCGTAGTATCCGGTCGTCATAAGCCGGCAGAGAGGCCCCATAGCTCCGATTCAATTAGTGTTCCTCGACAAAAGCCCGAGGCCGACCGGGAGACCTTCAATCAAGGATATACCGGAGACGACGGCTCTCTGATTACCACGGAAGAGCAGCTATCGAAGAGGGAAGTCGCGGGTGCTGCTGGGCCATCAGAAATTGACGAAGGACTTGGGGTCAAAACATCGCTGCCCGAGCGGAATCTCAAGAGCCACCACAACTTGCAGGGAAGCCTAGCCGAATCGACCAGTGTTTCACCAGCTATAACAGCATCCGAAGGACAGATCTACACCGCAAACACTGGAGAACGGGATCATACCGGCATGATTATGGCTGAGGCAGCGGAAGCCACTGAAATTGTAGGCTCTGGCGGAGTGGGCGCCCACCAAACGTCGGTGAAAAGTGACGCCCATGATGCTCGGAGAATGGCCGAACGCCTATCGGGTATCACAGCAAATCCTCCTATTACGACAACAAGCAAGTCCAAATCGGAGGTCCTCCCCACCAGTCGCGAGCCTGCTCTCGGAGAATCTTTGCATGAGCCCCTTACCTCTAACATTGATTCATCGGAAAAGTCGATTAGCCTCCTTCCGGGCAGCCGTGAGAGGATAGATTCGTCCAAAAAGGTGGCAAGCGAAAAGCCCAGCTCCTTTCTAGAACGCTCTAAGGCGAAGGACCTTGTCGACAATCGCGTCCCTGTATCCTATGAAGATACTCCACGCGGCAACATCGACAAGGGAGCTCCGGATGCAGAATACCAACCGAGGCAAGCTCAGGCCGCCGTGGCCCAGCCTCCCGAGATAGCGTCAAATGTATCACTTTCGGAATCCTTCATTATGATCCAGAATAAGCCATCCCCGCAAGAGAGCAGTCAGCAGACGCTACGACCCGCTCTAGTGCATTCGGGTACTCAGACAGAGGAGTCATTCGCCTTCGACCCTCGATCAAGTTCAAATTCGTATAGCAGCGTCAACTTCGCTAGCCTGGAACCCCGTCCAGCAACCCCGGCAGTTGTCCTCCCGGATCCTGCTGATCCTAAAGCGAAGGCGTTAGGTCGTGCGAAGAGTATTAGGAAACGGCGCAGACAGGGTCTCAAGAATGCGGAAGAGACAGTTGCAGCCGCTGTGGTTATTTATGCCGCAGTTCAGGAGATTATCCCTCCGCAAGTTTCTCAACTGGGTAGTTCCCAAGCTGAGAACATCGCCCAAGTTTTTGAATCGGCTCAGGGGGGGGTTCAAAAACCAAGCGCCAGCTCTCCGGGGGTTGTAATTGAAGATTTGGGCGGCGACCAGGGTGCAGTTTTTCCTCTCGATGCTGACCTGTTGACAGACGACGAAGGCCGAAAACCTACAGATGAGGCCAAGTCTTCCGACCGACATCACAGGCATCGGCACCACCACCATCATCATCATCATTCTAATCACTCGAGGGAGAGTAAGGGCAGTGGCGAACATCGTCATCATAGTAGTCGACCAGACAGTAACGTATCGGTATGGACAGCTTCTGATCATTCTAGCACCCGCATCCCAAAGGGACGGGATAGCGGGTTCTCCCTTGGAAGTTCGCATAGTTCATCAAGCCAGAAGTACCGAGCTCCTGATGAGCAACTTGCACGTGACAGACGTAGGGAAGAACGACGCGCGGAACGCGAGCTTCACAATAGGGGGCGAGAGAGTAAGGGAAAGGAACCAGAAGTGCCACCGAGCGCCCGACACTCTTACCGCAGTTCGAGGCATCACAGTTTACCCTACTCTGAAAGGTCACACTCCGAGAGGTTTTCCGGAAAGGAAGATATTCCTTCTCCGAATAAGAAGTTCCTCGACACTAGAAACGCCGAACCCGCCCCAGCACCGAACTATGCTCCGCGTCCCAGGGCAAACAGTAGCAACGACAGCTACTTGGCGCCCAGGGACTCGCCAAAATCATCGTCCCTCAAACGTTCTGACACCAACAAGTCTTACCGAGACTCGGCAGACATTTTCCGGACTAAGAGCCACCGAGACGGCGAACATCGGGACCGTGGCGAATACCGAAGTCGCGGTGAGTCGCCTAGGCGGCGCAGGACAGAAACGAGGCACGCGACACATGCGGAAGCATCCAGTTCGAGGGCCGCCCCGGTGTCGCCCCGAGATGAGCTCAAATACTCGTCTAAGCGAGAGGAGAGGCAGAGAGCCCGGGAGGCCGAGGTGAATAAGAAGTCGACCGGATTCCGGGCCGCCATCAAGAAGCTGTTTAGCTAAACGGATGATCGAATAAGGCACCCGCCCGGTGAGTTTGGTGACTATTACTATTGGTGCTTTGGGAGATTGACCACACCGGAATGACAGCGATGATCACGAAGTGCGAAAAATATTGCTGGTTTTGCCTGGAGCTTACGAGATCACGTTTAACGTTTCCAATATTGCTGGAGGGTGACCTTTGTCACGTCGGATATTCTGCCGGGTCTCCTCTGTATTACGTTTACATGTACGAAATGATCCTGTACGAGATTACGGTTCTTGTGTCTTTTCTCCGTTCCCGGATAATGTTCCCTGGGCGAGGAAAACCCGCGAAGACGGGCTTTGAGGGATGAAGATTGTCCGTTCCCTCAGCGAAACGAAATAGGGGCTATGAGCTGTAAACCAAAATGGGGTTCTCTCGTTTACGTATTCGTGTGTCTCGAGTACGCGTGTGTGTAGGACTATTGGTCTAGATTAACTACTTTACTTAACGAATACGATGTTAGTACGTTCTCCTACCGGTGTGTGTCGTCTCCTAGTTAGGTCTGTCAGTGATGGTATCTGAGAGCGCTCACACGCAACTTGATTTTCTCCACCGTAACACGCACACAGACGATATGAAATGTCCCAGCTTACGGGCGAGCTCCTTAGCCGTAGGAGACGAGCAAGGGGACCAAGCAACAGTCGGTTCCCCGTTCCACTCTACTGATTCTACCGAAATGAGTGAGGCAGTTAGCAGGTATCAATACTTGACCGCTCGTACGAAGCGGTTCCCCAGACGACACATTATTTTATCAGGTTCTTTCTCGGGCATCCGGACTTATTGTCTTAACACGGGTTCTGTCCCCATCATCGTGGAGTCTTGAAAGACCCGGATGGGGATATCGACACACATACGAATACTGATATGTGTTGCGCAGCTGGGGTGAGCGTTGTTTCAACGCCTACCACGCTCACCCGTAAGAGCTTCCAAACAGGGTGTGCCTTGCGACAATGTCTATAAAGCCGCCGTTGATGCACCCAGAGGAGCTATCCGAGTTGGCCATCCAGGCACGAAGCTGAATATGCCAACAAGCCATATCTTCAGTTACAATCACGATTTAAAACCCCTCAAAGTGCTTCTTGTTTCCATACTAACATTATAGGGATATCGATATGTCACGTAGATCTGGGAAGGAGCTACGTGTGGTGCGAGAGCGCGCGCGAGGAGCTATCTCACGAGTAACGGGAGGAGGAGCAAAAGGAGAAAAAAGGTCTTGTTCTATTTAAGAACTAACTGAAGGAATGGAAGTAATAGGAGCGTATATATAGGAGCTCCTGTTGTTGAGGTAAGTAACGAAGAGGAGCAACCTCTACGTGATACGATAATTGTAGACTAATATTGCAGAATTTAATACAGCCTTATAGCTGCCAATCTTAGCACTCGTTGGGAGAAAAACTGCCTATATTTTTAAGCATAGCTGAGCAGTCTTATTAGATGCTAAAGCTGATGTGTCTTAATAGTAGTATAGTAGAGCTATGATTCTCGAGGGCCATCGTAGTAGCATCTTACACCACAATAAAGACATGAGGCGCAACCCGGTGTGGTTAACAGCTGGTGAAAGCTAGGCCGTCTTTTGCTACTTGACAGAGTGCTTTGATATTCTAGGAGTGACACACTATCTCTACTATCTAAACCACCCGTATGCGGTCTATATTAGAACTCGCACGCTCACCACTATTACCGGAAGTTTAAGACTGAGTGGCTTGAAAGCCATTGAAATGTGTGCAAAGGCCTCGCGAGATCTGCCAAGCACTTAATATTTACGTTCTATAACGGCAGGTATCTGGTTATAGAGCAACTAGGGACTTCTGGAAAGTTGCCAGTTAGCCCCAACCGTTGTCCGACACATCCCAGCATGTCCTCCCAGCCACGAGGTCTCCGCAGAATACGTGATGCATCGTCGTCTCCTCTGCGCAGGCAACCAAGTGCAGGGATTCGCCGCTCCGCATGGCCAGGCCCGAAGCCGACCCGGCGCGTCCCGACTTCGAAACTCACGGCGACGAGAGAGCGAACTAGGTAGGCAGCTCCCTTTCTTTCTCTCTCTCTCTCTCTCTCTCTCTCTCTCTCTCTCTCTCTCTTACCTACCACTTCTACGGAAGCGGCATAGCGCATCCTATCGAGGAACAGCAGAGACGCAGGAACCGAGGCCTCTTGCCGGCAGCTGGAGAGCGTCAGTACGGCGGCCGCTAGAGCCCGCGGATCGCGCTCCGGTGCTGAGGCTCGCTGGGCTGGCGAAGGAGGCCGCCGGCTATGAGTCTCGCGGGCCTCGATGCAGGCACGAAACCGAGACATGCAGAAGGAGTCACAGCACCACACATTGTTCGTTGGGGAGGGGGGGGGGCCGGGCGACGTAGCATCGCGCAGCTGTGACAACCGCGTCCGTTACACGGCCCTATAGCCGTCGACCGGTTGGGGGGGATAATACCTAATATAGGTAGCCCGTAGAACGGCTAAGATGCATGTCTCTACCCATGCACGCGCGTCGAATGGCACTCTGATATACCCTCCACCCGAAGGATGTCATACCTATACCCGTACATACATGCGCACCTAACGTCTGGGCTAGCCGTGCCCGTAGGCCAGCCCAAGGCCCAAGCCCAAGAGCCCAAGCCCGTCCTGCCAAACCCGGTCTCATATGCGCGTCTGCTAGGTATGAATTCGCACTACCAGAAGCGGGCGGGCGGGCGGGCGAGTGTGGCAGGCAAGCAACCGCTCGACAATTATCACGCATATCCCGCAGCGTGGGCGAGTTGCCTACGGGGAGACGAGGCCAGCTCCGGAACTGCATACACACGTACCTAATCCTTCTTCATCTCCGCACACGTAGGTAGGTCGTTTTGCGCAATCCCAATTCCTTTGCCCGTCATTGGCACGAGCCCAGGTTCGGCGTCCAAGCCCTCCCCCTTCTCTCCCTCTTCTCTTTTCGTGTCTCACCCCTCGCCCTCGTTCCCCACCTCGATAACACTCCTCCTCCAACTTATACCATGCCCCGGCACATTTTCACCCTCACCCTGGGGCCTCCCTCTCCCTCTCCCTCTCTCTCTCTCTCTCTCCGTTTCTCTTCTCCCCCACCCCTGTACAACCTAACAATTCTCCGCGCCCTTGGCCTCGTCTAGTTCCTCCGTCCCGAGTTCCGGTGTCGAGAAAACCCGGTTACCACCCCTACCCAGCGTTACCATGCCTACCCGCCTGTCCCCCTCCTCTCTGCCTCCCCCTTCGCTATCTGCTATCCGCCCTAGCAACCCCCCCCCCCCCCCCCCCCGGTACGGCAACACCCCCCTCCCCTCTCCATCCTTCTCGGACCCCTCGTATCGCCATCCTTCCCCCCTCCTCATCTTCATATTCGTCTTTCTCCTTCACAACCACCCTCGCCCCTCGCCCCTTTCTAACGCGCTCCCACACGGACCCGCCCGCGTGGCAGGCGTTTTGTTTTATTACCTAGCACCTGTTTGTGTGCGTGTGTGTTGTTGTGCCGGCCTGGGGCGAGCGAGCGAGATTCCTGGCTCCAACACCCCCTCCCCGCCTCGAGTCCAGACCACCACCAACCAAGCCCACGCACCCGGCCCACTCCGCGAGCAAAGTGGGCCGGGGGGAACGTCAGCATGTCGTCAGCCGCAGGGAAGACAAGAGCAGTAATAGTAGCGGCGGCGGCGGCGTGAAAGAGAGAGAGAGAGAAAAAGAGAGGCGGGCCCTGAGAGCAGGTAGGTACCACATGCGCGTACGTGCCTAGAGATGTATACCTGCAAGGCGCGCAGGCAGAGGCGCAGGCAGAGATGTATGTATGCACCTACGGAGAAGATGGCCCTGCTCGGATTCTAGATCGACAAGACGACGGACCTACCTCCTTGGGTGTATGCACTATCTACAAACGTTGATCTACACGTAGGTAGGTATGTAGACGTAGACAGGCAGGCTACACCGGCCCGCCCATCTAACCTACCTACTAACCTACCCGCTTAGCCCGGCCCAGCCCGATAGACAGCCAGCCAGCTCGCCCGATAGACGGTCAGCCAGCCAGCCCGGTAGCCAGCCAGACAGCGCAGCGCACGACGTGATACGCAGAACCGCGTAGCCGTGGCGGCCGTCAGATAAGTACGTCAGACGTCAGGTGTCATCAGACACCTACCTGGAGCGCCGCAGGTCAGACAGGTCAGCTAGGCCACGCGCACGCCTGCCCGCGCGCGCGAGTCGACGACGGGGGAGGGGGGGGGGGGGGGCTCCCCTCGGTATTAGCGTATGGCGAGCTTGTCGATCCCTTCCCCTCTCTCTCTGTCTCTCTTTCACGGGGATATTTTGGGGGAGGAGGAGGGGCGGACCCATAAGAGCACCAACAGCAGCAGCAGCAGCGGCAGCGGTGAGCGCAATCTGGTGATCTGGTACCTTCGTCGGAGGTCCCCCCTCCCTCACCCTATCCCCGAGGGGTGAGGGGCAGAAAGGAGATAAGAGAAAAAGGCTAAGACTGAGACTTAGACTGAGACTGGGAGGAGGCAGACGGAGACCCGTCGGGGGGCAGGATCGGGGCCTAGCCAGCTGACGGGGGGAGGGGGGCCCATTCGGAAAGGATAACATTATTCAAACCTCCATAGACATTACAAGCAATATTATTACTTTTCAGCCGGTAGACAAGGGACCAAAAAAAAAAAAAACAGATGGCAGAACGCGGCGACGGGGACAGATGAACGGGCGATCAACCAGCTAATCGAGTAATCAGCTGGCTGCAATATGCATCTTATCAGAATGCCACGTCTTTCCTCGCAGGGTCACGAACCAAGCATATACCTACACATGCTAAGCAATACTATAGCTATTGATTATCCCTATCTAGGGTGTATGGAAGCTGAACAGGCGCCTCCAGACGCCGTCACGGTGCTCCCGAGAGGCCCGGCAGCATGTAGGTATATGTGTTAGCGTGTGCGCGCATACCTCTGCCACGGCCTTTCATACTGCCATCGCGCAGCTCGCCCGGTCCCGATATTCAACTGCGGTAAGTGCAACAGCCGTGCATGGCGCTATGGCACCTTGCATGCATGCGCGCGCACTAGACGAACGTGATCCTCCTCCCCGTCAGGCCTCTGTACACGTCGTCGAGGGCCTTCCTCTTGGCTGCGCGCTCCCGGCTAGCCTCGTCATCCCCGTCCTCGTCTTCGTCTTCGTCCTCATCTCCCTCGAGGCGCGGCACCCAGGCCCTGATCTGGCCGTCGAGGTGTGCGCTGAAGATAGCCCCGGCCATGTTACTGCCCCCCATGACGGCGCCACCGACCGAGCTCGTCTCGCTGGCTCCCGCCCCGGCGCCCCTCCACGCCAGGCTCGTGACGCGGTTCCTGACGGATCGGGTCGACGACGACGACGATCGGAGGCTGGCAACGGCGGGGGCCGTCGGCCTCAGCCTCGTGACGACGTGCCCGTCGTGTAGGTCGAGGACGAGAATCTCGGTCTCGTTGGGCCAAAAGAGCAGCTCGCCGCCGGGCCGGGCGAGGCCGGTGGGCGACGTAAAGGGGGTGATGCTAGCCAGCTGGCGGTTCCGGATGCTCGGGCCGAAGCTCGCGAGCGTGTTCCTACCTGTTGCCGCGTCCCAAACGCGGATGCGCTGATCGTGGCCGGCTGAGACTATGTACCCGCCGTCGTCGGTCCACGTCAGCGCGTTTACGGGGGCCGTATGCGCCTTGGCCGAGGCGCGGACCCTGACCTTAGCAGTGCTAGCGTCGAGAAGTCCGTTGTAGTAAAGGCCCAGGCTATCCTCCTGGTCTAACATGCCGATGGGCCCTCCCGCCCGGCGGATGTCCCATATCTTGACGGTCCCGTCGACGCTACCGCTAGCGAGAACATGTTCGTAACGCGGCGACCAGGACACCGCGAGCACAGCGCCCGCGTGGCCGGCCAGCGATTGCACATTGGCTCCAGAGCGCAGATCTACTAGGCGAACGGCGGGGTGCTGGGTCCCGCAGGCAACTAGCAGATGCGAAGCGATGGGGGATATAGCGTGGGTATATACCTTGGACCCCAAACTAAACGAGGCCGCCAGGCTAGCCGTTTTCGTCGCCCAGACTTTGAGGGTTTCGTCGTAGGATGTGGACAGGAACGCACCCGAGTCAAAGGGGTAGAAGGAGAGGTGGGTGATACCAAACCTGTGGGTTTGCTCTGAGCGTCGGATGCTGACAACTGGAGTGTACGTATGCCCTGTGGATGGATTCGCGCACTGCTCCAGATTCCAGAGCTTGATGGTGGCATCCAGTCCCCCCGATGCGAGACTACACGACCCGTTAGCACAAGCAGACCAGGGGGGAAGGGGTTCATGGCAGGACGGATTCCCACAAGACAGATCGGAGTGTTCTGAGTTCTGAGCTCACATTCTGCCGTCGAAGTGCTCGAGGGCCAACGCACTAACGCCAGTTTGATGGGCCCAGAGGGAAGAAGCAGCATCTGCCTCAGCTACGGGGCCATCCTCCTCATGACGTATAGCAGTGCCTGTCTCACCGCCATCGAAGCGGAGCCCGGGCGCAGCCTGAAAGGTGTTCAGGAGCCGCGAGGTGACTAGCCTAGCAAAGCCACCGGGGCTCAGGCTGCCAGAGGACCGTTCAAACAGCGATCGATTCATTCATCAGAGTGGACAACTCCGGCAGCCAGACTGGTGGGGGCGGGGTACGTGTAAATCGTCGTCGATGGGCTAGTTGGCTGTGGCTGTCGGATGGCGTCTGCTGTGTTGTATTGAATCTGTCGTCGTTTGTCGCATTGTGCCTGTTAGGTGACCTAGAGAAGAGATAGAGAGGAGAGGAGCGGACAAAGGAGGGAGAGAGGAAGGTGACTGAAAGGACCGAAAGGACCGAAGGGACCGAGTAGAGCCGCAACTCTTGGAGAGAAAGGCACGACAGATCCCGTCCCGTCCCCTCCTGCCTTCCACATACACACCTACCTATACATACACAGGTACATACCACCGCCACCAGGCACCTACGCAGGTACATCCACCCCCCTTCCAACACTTATTATCTGGGCAGACAGGGAAGTACCCCGGGCACCTATAGCATGAGACACTGGTAATCTTGGGTACCTATTTCAGGTCGCGAGGTACTTACCCAGCTCCTGCCTGGTCCTAGGCATCAGGGACATGGTGGGGAAGGTGCGGTGCCGGTCCGCAACCCAGGCGGCCACGGCTTCCTAAGTTAGGCGCATAGGTGCTACGCAGTAGATAGGGTAGCGAAGGCAGGTACGGTATAGTGCCTGCCTTGGCCTAAGGGAATCCGGAAACAGAGGAAGGAACCAAGGCAGGGGAAGTAAGGAAACTACAACCCGGCGAGCTACTCTATAGGTACCCCATCGCAGCTGCGCATAGCGGATAGAGGGACGAGGTACCAGGTACCCGTGCCAGCTGGTGCCGGTGCTGGTGCCGGTGCTGGTGCTGGGTGGAACCCGACATTCTTGGGAGGGATCAGAATTCCAAATAGCGAGGGGGGGGAAATAAAAAAAGAACACAGCAACATCCACACCTAAAATCCATACCCAAGATACGCCCTCAGAATCCCGTAGCCGAAATACACCTCTCTCTCCCTCTCCACACCTGAGATACACCGTCACACCTGCGCCGCATACGCGCCGCCAAGTGCATGCCGCCGCCGCCTAGCCTTCGACAGCATCCCACCCGCTGCCCGGATACCTGAGGTCTGTCGAGCGACGGACGGGACAGGCGGCCTAGGCGAGAAGGGGAACAGCCACGGTCGGGCGGTGGGCCGGACGGTGAGCCACAGCAGAGAGAGCCCACCAGGACGGCAGAGAGCCCGTCAGCGATTGGCTTCTCGCGGCATCTGCGCCACCTCGGCGACATGACCGCCAGCGCTGGCAAGCGACGCTTCGTGCCCGGTTCGTCTCCGGGGGCGGACGACGCCACGGGAGCAGACGCCGTCGTCGTCGCCGCCGATGGCGCACGAAAGCGTCGGAACAGACATGCGAACGTCTACGACGCCGTAGCAGGTGCGTTTGCGACCTGCCTTGTCCCTGTCCCGCCGCAGCGTAGTAGCAGCGGCTACCACCGTCTTCGGCAATCCCACACCCGAAGCTCACCGCCTTCCATCGGGACCGAACTCGTGACGGGGGCAGAGGAATGAAAAAAAAAGAATACTACCTCAATTTCCAAGCTAGCCCAGCCCAGACCAGCCAGTGTGGATATTGACCAAGTTCTGCTTGCTCCAATAGGCCGAGTCACCAGCTCGTATGGCTTGGACGATGGATCCGAGCCGGAGGTGCTGGCAGCAGAGGCGGCGTATCGCCGCCGCCGCTACCGCCCAGCGCAACAGCAGTACCAGCACCGGAACCCGACCCTCGCGCCGGAGGAGGTCCTCTTCCGCCGCGCCGCCGCGCCCGTCCGCTACGCCGAGAAGGACATCTACCGGGCCCACGAGGCGCTGGGGCCGGCCCTGCCCGACAGCGACATGCTCAAGGCGATACACAGCTACGCGAGCCACTTCTACGCCGCGCGGTCCGCCGGCAGCACCGTCCGCGGCGTGCACATCGACGAGTGCAGCATGGACGAGACGGCCCTGCTCGCCTTCGGCGTCCTGCTCGAGGAGGCGGGGCGTGAGGTGCTAGGCAGCAAGGGAGACCTAGTGTTCACGGAGGGCGTGAGTAACGGACCGCGGCCGCGGCGGTGACCGGGATGACGACGCTGCCGACGAAATCGTGGACTTCCGGGCAGGCATAGGCCTGAGGAGGACTGGAGGCAGAAGACAGCACGTAGCCTCCAGTGATGAGGGATACGATGAGTAAAATCTTCGGCCCGAGGAAGTAGGATAGGGTAGGAGGGAAACGGGGCTTGGGGGGGGGGGGGGGGGGAACGTGGACGAGGGCGAAGGGTGCGCGATGCGCGCTGCGCGCGCGCCCGGCCCAGCCAGAAGGAGCAGAGGCAGCAAATGGAAAGATGGTGATAAGCGATTTGCCCAACATCAACCAGGGCCCGGGCCCATCTCCATCCCCTCGACATATGTATGCAGACACATTATGCCTACATATAACATACATACATATAACCTACATCACGTACCTCGCCTTTCACCCGAGGGTGGTGGGAGGATGCGTAGAAGCCAAGCGTGGACCTCGCGCTGCCGCCGGCGCCGTCTGTTGGCACTGCTCCCGGCAAGAGGCACGAACCCGAGCAGAGGCCAAGCCAGAGACCGAGAAGGAGAGAAGAGTCCGCGAGCGATTGACCTCTCCACCTTTTTCCTCGACGCGGACAAGGCTGACGATATCCAGCGGCGCCGCGGCGGGATTTGGTCTCGGGATTTGGGGATCGCTGTCGCTGTCGCTACCGATGTTTCTGCTGCTTGGTGCCGGTGCTGGTGCTGGGTGCTTGGTGGTGGTGGTGGTGGTGGTGCTGCTGCTGCTGCTGCTACTGCTGCTCCCCCCCCCGTCCCCTCCCCTACCCGTACAACCGTACGGAGAACGTCGTACGCAGTAATGGTAGTAGAGAGAGACCCCACTGGCGAATCCACTCTTTTCTCTCGCGCCCGCGCTCTCTTTCTGTCTCGTCTTCTGCCTCTCTCGCCCTTCTCCTCCCTCCACGCAGACGCAGACGCAGACGCAGACGCAGACGCAGACGCAGACGCGGGCCAGTGAGGGTACGGGCTCGCTCACCACTAACGCTAGCAAAACCACTCCCACCCCCCCGGCCGCCTGTTCCCGCGGCCCGTCTGGCTCGCGCTGTCTCTCATTTGTCTACGTATGTGTGTGTATGTATGCGTGTATGTGTACTATTGTCGTATGCAATGTAGGTATGTGGGAGACGTATGTAGGTTAATCTCTCTGTGTGTGTGGGCGAGTGGCCTGTAAGTGCGGATGTGCGCTCCCCTCCTGGTTTTCCTGTTCTCCCTCCTTTCCCACCCCTCCCCCTTCTAACAAGGGAAAAAAAAAGGGTCCGAAGTCTTTAGTGGTGTGTAGTAGAGAGGGAGGAAGAGAGGGAGGAAGAGGAGCAAAAAAACAACAAGAGGACAAGAAGAAGAAAAAAACCCCCAGAAGAAGGGGTTCTCTCAACTCGTGACAGCAGCCAGCCCATCCCTCCCCCCCCCTCCCTTTCTGTATCACCCTTGGCCTAGATCGCTGGGCCGATCTTTGTTTGCCGTTTTCGAACGCATGCAAGATGGGGCAAGGCTACCGAAGGATCCTCCAGGGGGGGGATATATGTGTAGGTATAATATCTATAGGCGTCTGCACGTATGGCCTTGTTTTTTTCTTTTTCCATTGCAATTTCTATTGGCTGCTTTTCGGTCCTGGGTTTAAAAGACAGAGAAAAAAAAGAGACACGCAGAGAATCCGCATACGTTATTAATATAATAGTAGCACTGCTATTATTATTATACTAATAAGCGAACGGAGAGAGGGAGGGAGGGAGGGGGGGAGCCATTGAGAGAAAAGAAAAAGAAAGAAAGAAAAGAAAAAAAAGAACTCCAGCGCGAATGGAAGGGCAAGGAACGAGAAGTGCACAAAATAAAAAATAAAAAAAATTTCGCCAGCAGCTCCGCCCGTGACTGGACCGTTGCTTGGTCACGGGCTTCGCGGTGGACACCTCAATGAGACCCGTTCTGCGGCCGCGACTTGCAGGACCGCGGCCGGGCCAGCCCGCTTCGATATCGTGGCCCATATCCTGTCTAGCACTGGGCCATAATGAGCACTTCTCTCGTACTGCCATAATGTGGCTCTTTTTCTTTTTTGTTTTCTCTCTCTGTCTCTCTCTCTCTCTCTTCACCAACCCCCCTCCTCCCCCCTTCCCCCCCCGCCTCCCCCTCTGGTGGTAGGCCGGTCTATGTAGGTATGTAGGTATAGGCACGTATATGCAGTACGTATGTGCGTAGTGTATGTGTTATGTGTAGGCAGGCATATGTACGTACATGTGTAACAAGTGAGTGGGCATCCAAGATGTGCGTATGTATGTGTGTATGTAGGTAGGTAGGTAGGTAGGTAGGTATAGCTAGCTAGCTAGCTTCTGTATGTGTGTGTGTGTGTGGCAGAGACGAAAGCAGGGCAGAGGGAAAAAAACAGACAGATCAAATTAGCCGAACCGTGGACTCGCCGCGTCCGAATCCGTAGCCCGGCACCGCCGATCATCCAGCGTTCCCAGGTTACTCTAACACCCACCGCAGGCGCAGGCGGTTGGCGGTTGGATGTCGCTTGGGCGACGATGGCGGCTGTGTGTAGTATTCACATCGCAGCTCTATCTCCGACGTCTCATCCCCTCCTCCTCCCGCTCTCGAGATGCAGCGGTTTTAGGTCTCGCGCACATCGCGAACCCCAGGAACCTCGAATAATTTGATCATGCCATGTCCCCTTTCCCCCTCGCCACCACAATTCTCCCCCCCCTTGCCCTCCCCGTGGCCGCCGCGCCCATCTCCATACGGAGATATGACGGCAGGGGGGGGGGAGGGGGGGAGAAAAAGGAAAAGAAGAGAGCGGAGGAGAGGAGAGCGGACAGGTCGCATACCTACATACGTGCCTACGTGCATGGGTGAACAAGATACGCAGACGCATACTCGCATACGTAGTAAACAATACCGTAATATATGGTTAATTTATGCACGTACGTATATGCGTCTAAGTTGCCTAGTGTACGCGTGTATGTATAGTCGCTGCCCGCTTCCCCCTCCGCTCCGCCGTGGCCCTCCGGCTAGCGACGCACCACCGCGACGGCTCGCTTCGCCTGTATGTAGGGCGTATGTACATGCCTGAACCGAGGACCAGGTTGGGGGAAAGACGGAGGCTGGAGGCTGGAGGCGGCAGCAGCAGCAGCAGCAGGAGGGAGGAGATGGAGTCGGAGGAGGAGGAGGAGGGGAGGGGGAGGAGACGGAGGAGGATGGGCGACGCAGTAGTTGCAGCAGCAGCAGCAGCAGCGTCGAGATGCTCTCGAGATTACTACTGCAACATAACATCGTAGACGAGGAGCTGAAATCCCGGAAGCCGCTGCGCTCCTCGCCTGCGGGCCCCCCTCTCGGCACACGCACGCACGCGGCACGGATTCGACGCGAGTCGCGGTCATAGTCATGATCATGATCATGCATGCAGCAGGCGATGGATCTCGGCTGCCCACTTCGCCGCCAGAACTAACGCCTATAGGCCTTTGACTTTTTTCTTCTTCTTCTTTCTCTATTGCGAACTTGTGTCTTCTTTTTTTATCTACTTCTTTGCTTTTCGGTTTCCGTTTTCTTGGAACTATTTACCTCCAGAGACATGCGTCTGCCAGCGTAATACTATATGTACCTACATAGCATGGATCCAGAGAGCTAGGTAGCTACCTACCTAGGTAGGTCCTGATCACGCGTCCCGCATTGCTCTCTTTTCTTTTATTCGAGCGGAAAACTTGGACACCGTGTATGCGTAACGCTGGGTCGTCCCTCTCCGGGCCGGGGTTCGGGCGCCACCCTGCGATGCTAGACGACGTGTGGGTAATCAGATCGTTATTGTCGTACGCGGTATGCAGAGCGGGAGAGGGACTTTAGAGAGAGTGTGAGACAGGCACAGATCTGCGGCGGCGGCGGAGGAGGTAGCCAGCCGTCTGGGGATAGAATCACGTCCTCGAGGCAACGAGGCAGAATACGATGAAAGGAAGTAGGGCAAAGGTAGCAAACTATGGGGCATGCACGTTGGAGGTACTCCGTTAATATCTAAAGGGGAGAGAGAAAAAAGTGAGATCGGAGCCGGAATCTCGAATCTCGCTTGTCGGCTAATACCGGCGCAATCACGTCTCGCTACACGATCCAGCAGACTGGTTCCCGGGGCCCCCGAGGGTATCGCACGGGGTCAGTCAGCTAAGACAGGCAGGCTGTCAGATAATAATGGGGGTGAACTGGGGCCAACGTGCGAAGGATCGCAATCTGGTTTCCTCTACCACGTATGCGGCATTGGTTGCGGGAGTAAGCAAGGGAGAGGAGCGAGAAGCGTCTCCGGGGCTTAGTTCTCTTATCTCCCCAGCGTTTCCGTCCCCTATTCCCAAGCCTCGATGCTGGCGCGTGCGGGGGGCGAAGAGAGCGTCCCGATGCGGCCGTCGGGGCGGGAAACGGGTGGTGTGGCAATGGTGAGGAGGAGTGAACAAGGGCTAGATATCTGCAAGATCAATTTCGGGTGGCAGATCTAAATCGCGAAGATGCTTCACCAAGATCAGACGGACCGGGCTCCTCCCTTCTTCTTCTCGGCCGCCCCCCCTACCTCAGCCCTAATGTGCACCCTGCGGCTGTACGCGGCATGGGTTCCGTATGCGCATAGAACCGTCCCGGCGGCCGCTTTAACACACGACAGCCGTCCAGGCGAGGTGCTTTAGCGGTCGAACCGTGAAGGTTGCACCCCCGCATATGGAGTAGATAGGGCGACGGCATATGCATGCGAACCAAATGCCATCATCGCCGAACAAGGCGCAGACCCCGTGGAAGAACCAAAGGGGAGAGAGAGAAAGAAAAAGCAAATCGGTGGCTTGCGGTCTGGTCTCTGAAGGAATCCCTCCCCTCCCCCCACCCCTTTTCTCCTCGCCTGTCCTTCGACGTGAGATGGCTCGAAAGGGGTTCTTGCCTGTCAGCAAAATGGCTCAACAGGGAGGAGGGCCCGTACGATGCCCGTCTCGCCCTGGATAAAAAGGGGCGATGGGCGTCAGAATAATGAGCAGGACAGTACGTGTCAGTCCCTGTATGTCTGTCAGACGCAGGATGACTGTACCGTGGGGTAAAGTGGGAGGAGAGGGTTATAAGATCCGCATACGATCCCTATCAATAAGGGGATGCCTGATAATATATCGAATTAGGGGTGCCATTAGCCAACCCCCCTCCCCTTTCCCCCCATTGGTAGCACCGCGCGTCATCTCTGACAGCGGCTAGATATGTGTATGTATCTACAGGGCGAGCACAGCGTCCACAATACATACAAAACGCGCGGCGCCGGGGAGGGCGCCAGAAAGGACGGATAGATAGAGATGAGCATGCGGATATGCACACGTACGTGGTATCTATCACATACACCGCTGCAGGACAGGGTCTGGCAGAAGATGAGCGGCACCGGTGAGCCTTACTGGCGACTACACGTTAGCTGCCTGGAGACGAGGGGGACGAGGAGGCACCAGTAAAAGAAAGGGGAGGAAAGTGATGTAATTATTTACCTGGGCAGACAAGACGGGGGGGGATGACTGGTCACATTGACGCCGCGACGCGCGTGAGGGAGAGACCCCCCCCCCCCGAGAAGTGACTGTACTGCATGGCATCGTCTCGCTAGAAGTAGTCGGTGGCGTCCCCCCCAAGGAAGAACGAGGGAAAAGAAAAAAAAAGAAAAAAGCAGAGAGGGCCGTGGCGATCAGATCATAACTGCCTCCATGTAACCCTAGCCGTGCTCGACATGCAAGCGAGGCGCGTGTCGTTCTCCTTCTCGCCATCCACTCTGTCCTACCTACGGGGGCAGAAGGAGGAGGAGGAGGGGGGAAGGGGAAGGGGGGACAGTACAGCAGCAGCAGCAGCAGCAGCAGCAGATTACCGCCGCCGATGCAGGCTCGGCAGCCGAGATCAGATCGATCGATCTGCTTTGCCTGCTTGCTTGCTTGCCTTGCCTGCCTACCTGCCTGCTTGCCTGCTTGCTTGCGTTGCTTGGTTGCTTGCTCCCTGGCGTCCGCGAGGACGACCCAGACAAAAAAAAGACCGGGTTGGACGGATTTCGTCTGCAGCTAACTTTCGTCCGCCAACCGACGCGCCCGCGGACCAACAACAACCATCACCGTTCGTCGAGTTCGCGAAAAAAAAAAGGGGGGAAAGGGGGTGGGGGAGGGAAGGGGGAGGGGAGAACCTCGGAGCGCTGAGACGACCGCGCTCGGCGCTCCCGGGATGTCCGAAGGCGAAGTGAGATGAGGCAGTGTACTTTGTGTAATTCCCCCTTTTTTCTTTTCTTCTTCTTCTTCTTCTTCTCCTTCTCGGTCTCTCTTTTTCTTTTCGACGGCGACGTTGGCTCGTTCGTAGGCGAGGAGACGAGATGAATGCCGTATCCGGTTGCCCGGTGGGGGTCAGGCAGAGCTCGCGCGCGCGCGCGCTGGCTCGCTCGCTCGCTCCACCGCCCCCCGGCAGGCTGCAGTCGCTCGTCCGTGGACGGCGTCGACTTGGGTGAGCTTGGTCTGATTTGGTTAAGCTTGTCGATAGAGAAGGGGTGGGGGGGGGAGGAGAGGTGGCAGGACGAGAAGCGAGGGACGAGAACGAGAGGGACAAGTTACCAACCCCCGGTTAGATGGTGGTGCTTTTTCGCAGCGTGAGGCTGTACTGACTGACGTCGGCGTTGCGCCTCATTGGAAGAGGCTGATCAATTGAGCTATCCCTAACGCAGGACCAGGGCCACTACGCATGTATGTATGTGTATGTGTGTACGTATGTATGTCTGGCTGACTCTCTGACTGCGTGTGTGTGTATGTAGTGTGTGTATCTATGTACGGAGGAGGCCGCATGAACAGAGACATGGCATGTAATGTATGTCTTAGACAAGACCCCGTGAGACAGGACCTGTTGGCTCGAGGGGAGCAAGTGGGGTGTGGTTCTTGGGAAGGGGGGGGGGGGGTTTCTTTTGGTTTTTTTTTGTCTCTCCATCTGTCGACAGATCGTCACCACCCTTCATCCGCATGGAATCGTCGTCTCGTAGATGAGATGATGATGAGGCGGTAACTCGTTCGTGCTCGGGTCAGCTGACGAGCAGAGTTGGGAACGTCGGATTCATGTTCGCAGCTCAGCTGCCGTAACGGGACCTCCTCTTCCCACCCCATCCTTCCTCCTCGGCCTCACGCCCCTGTTTATGGGTTTAATTTCTCCGTCGAGAAGAGGTATCGACTGCGAGAACGACGACGACGACCTCCACAGCGCAGGCGGGTACCGGCTGTTGTTACTTCTGGCATGTCATACACACACACATGCATGAGTAAGTGTGGAGAGCATAGCCATTACCCCTACCGGTGTGTATGTATTTTAAGACCGGGATATGCTATGGGAGGCTCGTAGAGACTGGCTTGGCAGAAGTTATATGTGTACGTGGTGTAGGCATGTAGCACAGAGCACAGAGCACGGAGTACATAACCGAGTTATTGCCTTGGGCATCGACTGGCCGTCGTCGTTGACTGCGAGCCGCCTACAGATTCATGCTTTACGATATCCTGGGAGGGGAGAGAGAGAGAGGAGGAGGGGGGGGGGGGTATAGAGGAAGGGGTTCGGGTTCAGTATGTATACCAGGCTTGGGAACCCCCCGACGGTCCGGGGGGATCGCAGGGAAAATTCGCTTCTCAGCATCGGACTTTACGCCGACCGAGAGGGCCAATCAACGGTGGGCGAGGAGGATCTTGCCCGCCCTCTGCCTGCTGCGAGGCGGGGATCCCTGAGGTCCTTAGACGACGATATAAAACACGTCCTCACCACAACCCGGGCAAGTGTGGATAGAGTGGATTCGCTAGGGGTCACGTGACGGGCCAAGGGAGCATCTCCTCGGTGTCCAACTTTTGGGAGGATATCCAAGGAAGAGAGGACCAAATATAGGCCGGCCTGGTGATAGCCGAGTGCTGCTCTTGCTGCTACGGCGCGGTACTACGTAGTATGTAGATATGCTATGGAGAAGGACTGTATGGGTCCGAACCAGGTCCAGGCACGAGCCTATTCCCATGTTCCCAGCAACGGGTTACATCTGCCAAGACGATGGGTTTGGACTCCCATCGGTACTCGGAATGCGTCGTGGTGGCGATAGAGCATTACGGGCTGTGAATCAGCAGGCCTTGGGTGGTAACGATTTCATCATTGTCGGCTGTCAACGCTGCTGGCTTCCAGTTTCAAGTCGCCATCCTCCCACAGCATGCTACGGTATAATGTAGGTACCTTGCAGTAGTGGTGGTCCCTTCTTGCGCTGCTGCCGACGGCATCGCGACCGGGGTTCGAGGGGACCGTCCTTGGAAAAGACGAAGCTGGAATGGGGAATTTCTGACAGGTGTGCTCGCCAGGGGTCCGACGGTCTAGACTCGATCGGCAGGATAATCATTTGCTCATACGGCAATGGGAGGGGGAGTCTTCGACCTCTCGTGAGGCACTTGGGTGCCCACCGTCCCAGTGCGCATCAAGGCGTGGTCCCCTCCCCCCATTTGAGGCAAATTAGAGCCAAGACATGTCATGCCCTTCCATTTCGCCGTGATGACGTCTCTGAGGTACATGCATATATCTATGAGCGCAGCTCAGAATACTACGCATCTACGTATATTGATCTGCCGAGCTACGATGAAGCGTCGGCAGAACGTATCCCGATTCGTGTGGTATGCCCGGGGGCCATGCTGCCTGCACCCATACTACGCATATACTCATATACACACATACATGCACATCCACTCTCTCTCTATGTACATACATACTCTACACACGTCCCGTACAACCATCTACTATAGGTATATCTATATATGTGTGTGGAGTGGGTGTGGGTGAGTAAGTGAGTGTGCGTTGCAGGTGAGTGTGTGTGTGTGTGTGTTGTAAGTGAGCGAGTGAGTGAGTGTATGTGTGTCTGCATATATGCATGTATGTGTCGGTGGATGGTTGCATATACATATACGTAGGTAGGTAGTAAGTCGCCAGCCTAGTAACCTACGCGTGTGCGTGTGCGTATAAGCGCATATACACATATGCATATAGGTAGGCGGACAGGTGGGTTGGTGATGTCTCCGGGTAATATGGTACGCATGGTGCCAACAAGGCAGCATGTGCCTATCGCAGAGGCCACACTCGCCGGCGATGAACCGTCTCTTACTACGTAGCATGTATGTATGCACAGATACACCGATGCATGTGTAGACGTACATAGGCATGTGCGTGTGTGCTGTGTGTGCGTGTCTCGGTAGCAGACAGACCTGCTGCTACACTACCTGCGACTTTGATCCATACTTGACGGCTTTCCAGGCGAACCTTGCTTGCTAACGATTAGCTAATGCGCACTATCGATCTACGGTGTAATCAAGACAACCCGTCCGTGGCTCTCCCGTGCCTCTGTGGCACCGCCGGCAGGGAATAGGCTACTAGCAAGCCCATGCCTACATCTGTGTGGATGTGGATGCGGCCACGCAGAAGGAGGTAGTATGGGTTATGGGGTATCTGGCACTCTACCAGACATACTCATACATACGTACGTACATACTACGTGCATACACGCTCCGTATACACTCGCATCGCCCGTAGCCTGCGAAGGGGCGGCGACGACCACTCACGAGACTTCGCTCTAGCCTTGCAGTTCGTCGCCGATCCGTCTCTCGCCCCGTCTGCGTCTGCAGCCTGTACCGATTCTTCGTACAGGCAAATTTCGCAAAGGAGCGTTGGGTCACAGCTAGGCCTCAACGTGAGGGCATCACTGGCCAGCTTGCAGGGTCATGGCCTGGAGGTTGGTCTGAAATATTCGAGTTGGAGGTGGGGTTTGACGTTTCTGACCTATCCCAACCCTCTCGCTCCTCTCGCCCCAACGCCGGCTCGAGAGGCCTAGGTTGGCTTCGAACTTCCTAGAATGCGACTAGAAACACATGGCCTTCGCATGACGGCGCAACTTAAAATAAATCAAGAAACGCTCGGGGCTGACAAATAGTCGGGTATCGAGAGAAGCACACCGTCGTTTCGGCTTGTGTCCCCCTTGCTTCTTTCTTTCTTTCTAGGCTATCCCCCCTTTTTGCTTCCTCGAGCAGAGCCGGCCTTCGCATCGGCCGTTGCTAGTTCTCGCAAGGGGAGGGCCCCGACATCATCGGCTGGAGTCGTCGTGATCTCGTTCCACGGACTCAGGGATGGGATGGGCGATGCCTTTCCGTATACATGCACATGCAGCTTGTCGAAGAAGAGATGGACCTCGCATCTGGATAATCAAGAGCCAAGATGCAAATAAGCTTTCCTAGCCATGCCATGTAGCCCATGTTTCTTTGGCTCCCTTCGAGCGACTCGCTTCGCAATAAATCGACTTGCTTGGATCGCTATTTCTTCTTTTTTTTTTGAAAAAAGAAATGTTTATCTGTCTTTCGTCTCTCTTCTCTGGCAACTCCGCGACTCCGACGCCCTCTTCTTTTGCTTCTAGTGCCGGGGCTTCACGACATGCCGCGCCATGTCGTGGTTATCCGTAGGCAGAGAGCCCCCATGGGGTCACGCATCCGCTGGTGATTGGCCTGGCGCGGATGATATGCCTGTGCTTGTGCCGGCGCTGAGCCGACATCACGATCCTGCTCCTAAGTTGAGCCGCGATATGCCGAAGACGGAATGCGATCGTAGCAGCCCCCCTATCGCTACGCGCGCGTCGCTGCAAGCCGAGTGTTGAAGATCGGGATTGAAGGCGGAAGGGGGAGGGAGGGGAAAAACAATGGTTAGCTTGAGGGGACGACCTGGAGAGGTTTCACACCCCTCGACGACAAGGCGCGGAAGCGGGAGGGTGCATATATGAGCAACGCCTGGACGAGTCTAAGCCACACGCGATTAGACGTCGAACAGACTCGAGCTCTGGGCCTCTAACTGCCTGTATTCTAACCAGGCCTGGCCTCTTCTCTACCCCGGTACGTGTGCACACCACGCACATACTTACCGCCTCCACGCGTACACATACAATGTAGGTGACGCGCCTCCCGGTAGCTGTCGCTTTCTCGCAGCGAGGACGGGGCTCAATCGGGAACAGCTTGCTGGGGTCAGATGGAGGTAGCGGTCTCGGCTCGATGGTGAGGAAGAAAAGAGAAACAAATAGCGCCGACAAGTAGCGTCTTGTCCGTCGGTGGCGCGAATAGGACGGGCGTATCGTAGGGCCGGACGCGTACGTGTAGAGAAAATCAATATACCTACCCTGGAGGGAATGATGGAATGATGGAACAAGTCTACCCAAAAAGAAATGACCGAGGATGGCACGGCTTCGAGGCTTACCTCCATTGCACGTCCATCCATCCATCCATCCATACCTTACTCTTCCCGACATACATTGAGTTTCCCGTGCCCATGACTCCGGGACGGGACGGTAGCATCTCATTGGGCGCCACGCAGGCTCAATCTGAATCCTGACCACCCGCTCGGCTTGAAGAACATGAATCATGTAACCTGGACGGGCTCCTCTCCATATCGAGAGATAACGGCCGCACATATGCCATACCGCCTCCTAGCGGGGTCGCTCTCCCATCCCATCTCCTGCGACTGGGGCAGGACGGGATAGAAACAATCCATCCCACTTTTCTGCTGCGATGGCAATTTTATTAAACTAGCCGAGCTCCTCTTCGTCTCCTTGTCCCTCCTCCCTCCGCCGCCTTGCCTTGGAATCGCCGTTGCATTTTTCGCATCGAGATGCGTCGATATATTTAGAAAGACCTGCCCCGTGTAGATGTAGATGGCAGAGAGTCGCCCAACCGTCACGGGGCCATCCTAGCTAGACTCTGCCGACGGAAACTCGCTAGACCCGAGTCCTACCTGTCGATTCGTAGCAGCCTGGCCGGCGCTGGGGGGGGGGGGGGGGGGGGCATTCGCGCGCCGTCTGATCGACATCGCGTCAGTGCGGCTCGACGCCAAGCGCCATGTACAATGGCGAGGAGGAGGAGACAATGAAGACCAGAGCAGGCACTACCCCGTAGGTATGGTGCCATTTCCGGACTAAATTGATGCCCAACTTGTACTCAGGGTCCCTTCTTAGCCTGGTGACATCGATCCCGAGGGGGAGGAGGAGTAAGAGGAGGAGGAGCAGGAGGAGGAGGAAATGTCGCTTAGGACGGGACGTATCTCGACGTGGTCTGATTTGGCGCGCGTGGCTTCGAGGTAAATCGGCTGAGAGGACGAGTCCGGTCTAGCTCTGGCGTAACCGTGAGGAGAAGCAAGTCCCTGCGTACCACATAAATGCATACATATTACACACAGGCCGTAAAGGCTGCAACAAGCGATAAGCGATCATATAGACAGGGTCTGCACAACTATTATATACTCATACGTATATATATGTATGTATCGTATGGAGATGGGCACTCCATAGCTACGTAGGATGTGTGCATTCCCGGTGTACAATCGTGTACTGGATACCGCATGGGCGGGCGGGCGTACACGGGCATAGGGAAGTAAGTCGAGGTCTCACCGAAGTCATCCCTCTCCTCCGTCCGCCCTGGGCAGATGCCCCTCGTGGTGTTCGTACATATCCGTTCCGGGAACACCAGGTCAGGAAATAGGTAGGTAGCTAGCTATAGTATATCATATATGGCACAGCCCCGTAGGCACGCAATACGTATACGCGACGGGTATGTCCAGCATTGCAACTATAGCACGCCGACGCTGTCCACCGACTCGGCTAGCAGCATCCCGAGCCCGCCCACGCACCTGCATACATGCATACCCTGCCTACATACATACATTCATACACCACTTTGGGCGACATCAGGGTAGGTACATACAACCTATATCGAGAACGACACGAGCAGGCCTGCTTCTATCTCCCGCCCTACCTCCCTACCTACCTCCCCAGGCAACGTACGAAATGCTGACGACCGCGTCCCGAGCACCCTCCGCACGGGCTGCACGTCGCCGGATTCGGCAGTCGTAGGAGTGAGGATGAAGGGTGTGAGGGTGCGCGAGCGAGAAGCAACTAACTCCCAGGTCAAGCATCGAAAATCAGCAAGGGACCAACGTGGGTAGCGGGGCGCAACGGTCTCCGTGCCACAGAAGCCACATACGCCTAGGTACATGCTAAACATCTTCCTTGCCGGGGGTGAGGGGGGGGGGGGACCTACCTACCTCTCTCTCTCTCGCAGAAGCGTCCGCGACGGCGCTAGGCAAGACGAGGAAGAGGCAGAGAAGGAAGAGCGAAACAGCAGTAGAAGACAGTTGTTACCCATCGGCAGCACCGCACGAGTTGTTGCTCGCCTTTCTTTCCCCTGTCGGCGCCTACTATATGAGTAGGCGTTTACACCGTGTGCATTAAGCCACAGTCCGTGCATCGCATCGGCCCCCATCCGTCGGGGGGAGGGGAGGGGTGTATTCGGCGCAGCGGCAGACCCCGGGCAGGCCGGTGAGCTCTCACATGAGGCGGGCGAAGCTGTCGTCTCGTCCCCTCGCGGACGGCCTAAGCGTGTGCTCGTGGAGCTTACGAGAGAGGGAGAGAGCGCTCGGGGTCGCGGCGGAAGCGTTCGAGAGAGGAAGCTGTTGGTCCCCCTTTCGAAGGCCGGGGGGGTACGCGTCTCTCGCGATCCTACGTGAACCGAGGGCGGACGAGGCTTACTCGTCCGGCTGCCAATGGGCGCGGCAGGTTCTGGGTTTTCTTTTTCCCCCTTCTCCCGCGAACCCCTACGTACCGGCCTTTTCGGAGCTATTATCGCGTGGGATGGGGTTGGAGAAGGCGGGAGGCGTCGCATGCTATGCCCCTTTCGTTCTTTTTCCTTTTCTCCTTTCTTTTTTTTTTTTTTTTAAGAAAAAAAACCCTCCGCCTCCCCTCCGTACGTGCGGATTTCTAATTTTCCTGGCCGGCACACGCCTACATGCATACCTGGCGAGGGAGAGAGAAGCGTACAGCAAGTTGCGCATGCCTCGATTCAGCGTGACTTGCGGTGGAGGTATATAAGCCCGATATAGCATCCGCAAATGGCGGACGGGGCTATTCTTATCGGCCACTTATCGTAGGTAATTTACTGCCAGCCGCATTTTCGACGCCCCGTCGCTGTCGTAAGCCAAGTTCGGTTTTCGGGGTCGGCTGGTTGCCGATGCCTTCGCCTACCTGACCTCCTCCTAGGTATGTATATGTACCCGCCTCTACATGTTGTCGTGCGCAGATTCTGTAGGCAGATGTAGATGGCGACGGACACGGGATGGGATGGGAGAGGGAGGTAGGACGGACGGGAGCTACTGATGCTAGCGGTTGCTGATCAACATAGTAATAAGACCACTACCAACCTGTCACGTACCGCATGCACGCTAATGTGTGAGGTTCGCCGCGAAGAGAGAGAGCGCCGGGGTTATTATAGGACCGCCGCTGCTTGTTGGTATCTGTGTGCGATGTGATAGATTATATATCACCGTATTCTCATCTTTTCACCCTCGCCATTCTTGCCGTTCTCTCCCTCTCCGCGTCGGCCTCTACCTATCTCGCTCTCCCCCATCCCACCCCCTCTCGCTCTCCCCCTCTCTCTCCCTCTCTGCCACGCTTTCTCCGCCCACCGCCTACTCTCTGGTATATACTGACACACGTGCATGCTGGGGTTGAGGTGTTTGGTGAGAATGACCGCAAAATTGGGGTCGGCCGTTCGAGACTCTGCCAACCCGAATCCTTTTTTGCGGGTCTATGGGCCGAAACCTCCGATCGACGTCTTCTGGCTCGGTATGTACAATACAACACTGGGTGACTAGGAGGAGGGGAGGGGACACGCTGATGGTGTCGTAGGCTATGTGCGTGCAGGTGTTATGTGGATGTGTATATCGGCATGTGTAGGTGGGTAGGTTAAGTAGGTAGCCAGGGAGGTAGGGTTGTGCCTCGTACGGTGGTCGGCCTCGAGTCAGCTAATTCGTCGATCGCCTCTCTCTGAGCTTGTTTCCCGAAGCGGGTGGTTTGTACGGTGCTTCCCCAAGATTTAGATGGCCATGTCACATTCACCATCGCGACCCTCGAATTGGCTGGTCCTCTGAAGCTCCGGAGGGCACGAGACTGGGACGGGTGGCACACCCACTTACACACACACATACACAACACACACACACACACCAACGCACTCGCACGTTTCCAGTCAATTAATTCCCAACTCCTCTATACGCAAAGGGTACCACCAAAGGGTGGCAGATCCCTCAACCGAATTCGATCCGGTCCTTGGCCCAACACGGAGCCCCCGTTTTATTAACTCCGTGGCCATTCCCTGCGCTCCACGGCATATACTAGGAGCTTCTTATACCGCAATGTCAGCAGTAGCTCCAAAGTTGGTCTTGTCATTTGACCTCCGCCCGCGCGAGACACCACCCGGCGCTTGGCCGCCTTTTCTTTTTCCTTTTCTTTTTCTAGAACCGGACAGGCCTCGAGACCCTTACGCGCAAACGACGAAAACATGTAATATCCCTCCCGTTACCACGTCTATGCATACGTATATACTCATACTACGTAGGTAGTGTGTTGATAGGAGATCCCTTCTTCCCCCCCTCCCCTCCCCTCCCCTCCCCTCCCCAACATAGCAGGCCGCGCTACGTTGGCTATTCGACACCCCCTTGCCCGCTGTTTGCTTGTTGCGAGGTGTGTAGCAGATCCCTTGCCAGGAAATGTCCGAGGGAGAAAAGAATTAATAAGAACAATGATAATAAACAACCCAAGCGTAAGCCGTGGCACGGGGGCGAGCGGATACGATTTGCAACCTCCGCGCTGGGCCCTGCCAGGTTTGGCACGGTCAGTTTCACTGCTAAACCTACGGCCGACAAGACAGATTAGAGTACGACTGTAGAGCATCTCGAAATCTCGCATGGGTGCCCGGCCTCACAGCGACGAATTTCGGTATGGCGGTTCACCGGTGCTGTTCGCCCTCAGCCGTCCTGTAGCTGCGGCATGACCATGAATGCATGCAGATCACATCAATTGGAGGAGAGGAGGGGGGGAGGGTTAAGGGCCGTGCCTCTAGACAGCGATCGACGCCCGCCTCTCCTTCCCTCTTGCTCCTCGCCTCCAGCCAGTCTGCCAGGTCGCGGTATCGTTTGCCGTCCGGATCCCATCGGTGGGCCGGGTTGGGATTCGACAGGCGTAGGCCACAGACAGTGTACATAGTGCGATGCGTGCGACTGCGGCGTGGTATCAGGAGCGTCGTCGTCGGGGATTGGCTGGAGCGGGAGGGGAGCACGTCCCTATCAGTGACATCCACGCTGATGACCGAGGCCAGCTACCTATCATCTCACTAAGCCCCCATCCTCACCACGGCCAAGCAATCGCAAATACTTGGGCATTGTCATCCTCCTCCGCCCTCTCCCGCTCACCCTCCCACCTACACAGTCTGCCCCCTTGCCCTTCGGCACTTGTCCATACTCGGTGCCTCGACGATGGTAGTGGAGACGCCTTATTTCCGGGATCGCCGCAACTAAGAGCGCTAGGGCTGAGAGTCTCTCTGGGAGAATCTCGGAGAGAAGAAGAGAGAGGGGAGAGGGGGGACCTTCTATGCGTTAATTCTAGCGGTCAACACGTCCGAGGGGAGTCGAGGAGGTATATCACGGTGGTATCTAGAGGAGAAAGAGGATATTGTCGAGAGCTAGATATGGAAGCTGCTCCCGATCTTACTGTTACCGGGGTGCTGCTATGTAGTTGCTATGTGCATATATCTATCAGTCGAGCATACGCATTTCCATCCCGTATGCACGTATACCGTACCGAACGCCCTAAAGCGTAGGATTGACCCTGCTCGCATTCTTATGCATAAGAACAGCCCGAGGGCGTCGGGAATACCAAGCGAAGGCGTAGGGGAGGTGGTCTGGGTGGTTTTGTGTGATCCTATCCTGCGCCTACCGCTGCCTAGGACCCAAATGTGACAGCGGCAGTGAGTTTGGTATTGGCCGAATATGGCTCCTCCCAGCACCCATCCCATCCGGGCCGGCGTTGGGAAGGGTTTGATTGTATGACTGGGTTGCGCGGCCGAGGGACCTCCGTGGTTGGCTAGTCCCTTACAGATGCGGTTGGTTTCCTCTGGCTAGTGGTGAGTGCTTTTTAATTGCTGCTCGGGTTGGTGTTCTTCCCGCTTTTCCCTCCAGGCCGTACGAAATTACCAAAGAATATAGCTGCTAATAAATATGTAGGTAGGTAGGTAGGTGTAACCGTAACATCCCGAAGCGATGCGAGAGCGAACATCACAATGTCTGCCTCGTGTCTCCGCCGAGACGAAGACGCGGGCGCGAAAGCGATGTACCATAGAGAGGCAGAGAGAGAGACAGAGAGGCAAAAAAGCTGAGAAGGGCGTGCGAAGATGTGCCGTTCACACATTGCATACCCGCGTCCCGAGCGGTAGGTACCGCAAGTACCAAACCCAAGGATAGACAACCTCCGTACTTGCAGGCACCGATCAGCCGCCCTGTTGGGAAAGCTACCTACGTCGAGAATTCGGCGCCGCGACACGATCCGTCCGTACGAGGTGTCAACCCCAGTTTATAAGCCTTTTCACAACCGTCGAAAGGCATCGCGACAGGCGCAGCGCCGTGCGCGATGCAACCGACCGTTCACCTCGACACCTCGACACGTAGTCACGGCAGCAGACATGGCAGCAGACGTGCCAAGTAGAGAGAGACATGGCAGTAGACGCACGAGAGGGTGACGATGCATCCCCGGCCGGATTTATGGAAATAGATTGGGGGAGGGGGGGGGTTTTCTCGTGGGTTACAAACCGGTTTGCCCTTCGACACCCTTCTGTACATAGATCCATCCTATACCTACACATTACCTACCTAAGTGGGAGCTTAGGTAGCATCGTCCCGGTTTTGGCTCTCGCTCTCTCCCACTGCAATACATGCCAATACCTGCCTCGCATCCGTCCGTCCCTACTAAGCGGACGGGTACCTTTTCACTAGACGGCTAGCGGGATAAGTGGAAGGTTCCATACCAGACCGTTGTTGGTCGCTGCTAACCCGCTCTGCCTGCGCTAAGCCGGTTTCGACCGCCTGCACGCTACACGAAGTAAGGTAAGACGAGGCCGTTTGTGTTGCGAGCACATCGAGTGCTTTGGGCCCGCACCTGCTGTACGTTAGCGCCTTGGGTCCCTAAACCTAGCTCGATGCCCTCCGTCTAGCTTACCCCGAGGTACCTACGTATCTACGTAAGATAGAGGTAGGTAGGCATTGCACCGTGCACGTACATACGTTACCGATCGCTGAGGAGGCTGTGGGGGGGAGGGCGGGATGCGTACCTTGGAGCTGTATAATGGTGATGGTGTATGTATGCACTGTTTCCTCATTACTTAGGTATCTAGTCTGGATTGGGGATGGGCGAAGGTATGCCTGCAACAGATATAACAGGCACCTAGGTAGGTACCTAATGCATGTACATATAGGTACCCGTGTGGATGTGTGGTAGCTGCCCTAGTGAGGTACCTAGGTAGGTAGGGGGGTATGTGCGTGTATGCCCTAGGTAGGTTAGGTACCTAGGTTAGGTACCTAGGTTAGGTAGGTTAGGTAGGTACGTAATGGCAGTGAGGGACATCCTCCTGCCTACCTTAACCTACTCTACCCGAGCCTACCCAGGTGCCTGCCTCTACTTCGGGTGTGCGCATCGGTGATGGGCGCGGGTGTATGTACCTCTAGGTAGCCGGGCCGCGGCGTGTGGAGGGCAGCCGACGTCGATTCTACATGCAGAGGCGCGTGTCAGCAGGTGCTGACTACTCGTACTCTACGGGGTAGCCTGGCTGGAGACAGGTAGTACTGACCTAACTAAAGGTACCTGCCCCGACGAACGGGTAGGCTGATGACCTGCGGCTTGGATCTCTCTCCTCCTCCGAATCCCTCATTTGCTCACATGCTGCCTAACCTACCCGACCTCTCCCCCCACCCGCCCCTCTCTCTATCTCTCCCTCTATCTCACCCTCGCCTACCCTTCACCACTCACCTCCATCTCCTCGTCCATCTAGGCTCTCGATTGCCCCCTCTCCGCCTTGCTGATTCACCCAACTCTCTTCGCCTCGGCCGTTCGCGAACCGGTTCCTGGTCCAGACGTCAGTCGTAGAAGCTCCCCAGTCCCCGGATCGGTCGTCCAATGCGAGAGGCGCCCGAGCCCCGCAGCTATAATTGGACCTTCGCATTTGTCTCCGTCGGGTTCTCCCTGTGATGCCCTCTCTCTCTGCTTACATGCCATCCCCACTATTGTCTCTCTGTAGTAGCCTTGCTCTTCCGAATTCGACTCGTCGATAGCTGCGAGGTATAGCTACGCCGAAGATCCAGCCCGCGATAGTGGCTACATACCTAGTACCTATCGCCTGCGCTGAGCATTTCGGTGCTACGTCCGGTTTCTGTCTAGTTTACTACGAGGCGCAACCCGACTTCATTCGTCAATTAGCTCCGGGTTGGGAAACTCCACACCAGATTTGCTTACTTGCCGAGCTCTCCAAGAAGACGAGAGGGAGCAAGCATAGCGAGGAAGAGGGGAAAAAAGAGAAGCGGTTGACGCCAGTCCGCCTATCCAGTGCGTGCGTGCGTGCGTGTGTCTGCTTGCCTATCAATCCTATCCTGCCTCTCAACTCTCCCGCAGCCTCTTTTTGGTTTTCCCCTCCTCGTCTCTGGTTCTCCATCCGCCTCCTCACCGCTCTGCGGCGTCGTTATACTGCTAGCATGCTAACTGCCTACCTCGGATAGGGGAGGCATGCACAACACGGGCAGATTACATATGTAGTCCACTGCCAACCTCCCCCCTTTGCTTCAGCACCCCCGGCACACACACACACACACACACACACACACACACACACACACACACGCACCCATACATGCGTACATACAACATATACACAGACACAGGCACATAACGCATACCTGCCTGTCTATACCTATCCCTATACGCAACGCGTGTATGGGCCTGCCAGGACGTGTGCATAGGATATCCCGCACGTACGCACATACACGCGCACATACGTATATGGTCGTCCACATATATATATATATATACCTCTCTATATATATATGGACAATACGCACACGCACAACCTCCACATACATACATAACGTATAGCCGTGGACGGGTCTTGTCGGCGTAACACGGCGAAGGAAATACCGTAACACATCGCCATCCCCGCGGCCACCCGTCTGCGTATGTGCAGCGTGGGCGGGCATCGACAAAACTCGCCAATTCCGTTACTCTGCCCAACGGTACTGGTCGCTACGATACGTTTACTCATACGCTGCCCATTCCGTTGCCTGTTCCGTATACATCCATTGGCCACCGTCTGCCTCGTTCGGATACCCACTTCTGCCAAGAGCGTGCAATTACAGTACCTATCGATCGCATGCTTGTCCGTCCCCATGTCTTCTGGCCCCCCTGTTGCTCTAGGCTCTAGCTCACCCTGTTAATACGTGCGCGCTCGTCTACCCCCCCCCCCCCCCCTCCCCGGCACGGTCACTCCTCCATTGCTCTCCCACACACACTTACACGCACTCACTCTCTCTCTACCCTTCTTACTTACAACCCTACCTTACTCACTACCTACCTACCTAGCTACCTACCTACTTACATACATACCCACGTCCATCCATCCATCCATCCAGCCATACACATACATACATACATACATACATACACCCCTCCCCCCCCCAGGAGGTACCAGTACGTATCCTTTCCCAGCTTTCAAGGGCCATGCCTATCGCCTCTTTGACGCCAAAATAACCTGGGCTGCCGTCGATGACCCTCTTTATCCACTTCGCTACTCAAGCTGGTCTCGCCGCCTTTCCCTGTTTAACCACAAAACCTCTACGTCTCCTGAAGCTCGACGCCGGTGTTCCTGTTACTGTACATCCCTGGGAATCCTTGGGGAGACAGAACCCTCGACGGCAACCTGTATGGTACAGTAGTAGTAGTAGCTCTCGTCTCTGCCCAACTGCTGATCCTCTTGGACTTGGGCTCCTCCGGACCGTAAAGCTTCACCCAGGAACCCGGGACTGCCTCCACGCGCGCCTCGTTCGAGAACTGACGAGCCTCTCTCTCTCTGTCTGTCTCCGTCTCTCGCCCTCGCTCGCCCTCGCTACACCATACGGAGGAGTACTTGCACGCACGCACGCACGCACGCACGCACGCACGCACACACACACTCTCTCTACCTGTCTACCTGTCTACCTGTCTGCCTGCCTACACACACCACACCACACCCACCACCACACGCCCTCACTCACGCACGCACAATTACACCGACCCTTCAATGCCATCATACCTACACCAATAAGCTGCGGCATCATCACAACTCCCCTCCACACCCCAACCGACCAGCGCGCAAGTCTGAGCTTTTGCTTGGCAGCCTACGAGCCATTGCTCCATCCTGCTCCCGGGGCCCTGAAGGTCTCTTCCTGATCGCCTCTCTCATGGCCACCTTCCCCGTTCTTCTTCACGCCTGACCTGTGCTTGCGTCTCCCGGCCGCGTATGACTCCTACACATATAACTCCCCAAGCATGGAACCTGGGCCGCCCGAGACTAAACGTCCCCGTCTTTTATCGACCGGTCCGTCATGGTCTTCCCATCAGGCCGTATCGTTACCTCACCCTACCGCCGCACACCACCCGCCAGTATCAGGTCCTCACCATCCTGCGCCTCCACCCTACCAGCACCCGCTTCCCTTCACGCGGCCGCCAGAGCCTCCACTCCCGCCGGCTCATCACCACCTCGACGAGCGCCGCCACCATGAGCACGAGCCGTACCCGCCAATGCATGATCCCCATCGACAGCCTGCCTTGCCCCCTTCGTCAGCGCATCCGTCTTTCGCGCCCTATCCGCCGCGAGAACCTGTCGTGAAGAGAGACCCAGGCGAGGACAACTCTCTTCCCCAGCTGCGCCGACCGAACTCGACCGGTACTGCTGCCGACGGTCTCCCGCCGGGGCCTCACGGTCCTCCGCACCCCAATCCTCAGCCTCCAGACGACCCGCGACGACATATGAGCTTCAACGACGGGCCTCCTACCATGCCGCATTCGCCGGCCATGTACCGGCCACCTCAGAACTACCACCCCCCACCCCCTCCCACGCCCGTCGCTCAGCATCAGTATGAGTCCCCTCACGTGTACGGCCCGCCGGGCTCTATGTACCCTACGCTGGAGATCGCGACCAGCGCCAAGCGAAAGGCTCAGCGCGCCTCCCAGGTACTGTGAACTTCCTTCGCTTCGTAGGCCGTCGCGCAGCCGCTAACCAGTGAACGCTTCCGAAAAGGCATGCGACAGTTGTAGGCAGCTCAAAGCAAAATGCGACGAGACTAAGCCCTGTAAAAACTGCCGGGAGAAGAACATAGAATGCAAATATCGTGACCCGCCCGCGAAACAGTGAGTTAAGCAGAAAACTCGGTTCGGACAGCGTGCTAAGAAGTGCAGGCCGGACAAAGTCACCGCAGATATGATGGAGATGCTCGCCTCCATGAGGGAGGAGATCACCAGCGGCCTCTCGGCGCTGAAGGAGGAGCTTGCCGGGTTGCGGCAGGCCAACTACGCCCAGAATCAGCGGGTGATGAACTTGGAGACGAAGCTCAGGGAGCTCAACCCCGATTCCGACATGAAAGTCGAGTCGATCGAGGAAGAGGAGCACCCGGATTTTCGAGAGTCGTCCCTACCGGCTGCTAAGGCGCCGGGCGAGGAATCGCTCTCGTCTCCGGGAGGCACTGCCGTGGAGCCGAATCTGACCATAGACGAAGCCCACGCCACGCTCCAGGAAGCGAACGACGACGAGATGGAAGATAACCCGGGCCCGCTCGTGACGCCCGGGAAGCCGGCCATGCCGCCGAACCATACGACGTTAGCCGGCCTGCTCTTGAAGTGGCCGTCGATTCAGACGATGGTCCACCATCTGATGGATGCCGAGAATATCCGTCACCCTGAGGAGTACCCGATCCGCCAGGAGCAACAGCGCGGCATGCTTCGCGTGTTTGGGAGAGGCGAGGGATTCGACCACGACATCCGAGCCTCCGACAAGGAAACTCCGCCAGACCATACGATGACGGATCTCATGGACGACTGCTCAGACGTGGCGTCCCCCTCGCCGATGGGAGAGGTTTGGGGCCAGGTCGGCAGCTTAACTCCGCCTCCCGGGGTCGAATACAAGGGAGGCGTCGTGAACGTGGACGGGAATCCGGACTGGGACTCGAACAAGATTTGGAAATACGTCCAGAGCTTCAAGGACAATATTCTCAACATGCATCCCATAATCATCCCTAGGGAGCTCAACGCGATGGTCAAAGTGTTCCTCGAGACCTTGCCGAAATCCCAGTTCAGCCAGGTCACCAAAGTCGGGAGCGCGAGGTTTGTGAACCAAGCGAGCGCCATGCCTCTCACCTTTTCCGAGACAGGGACGAAGAGGAAGCGGTCACCTGCCGCGGACGACCAAACCCCGTCCACGTCCTTCGTCAAGCCCGGCCGACCATATCGGAGCGTTAACAGCGCTCTCGTCCTTATGGTTTTCGCGCTAGGAAAGATCTGCCTCCACAAGGAGAAGATCCCAGACGCCGTTCACGAGTCGGACTCCCCGATGCACCATTCGCCCTCGGTTCGCAACGGCGTTCTGGCTTCTCCGCTGCAGGGCTCGCCCCCAGGGCTGACGTCTCAGTCCCAATCCTCGATGCCCTCTCCCAAGGAGAGCGACCGGATTCCGATGAGCCGACGGTCCTCTCTGCAGGGAAACCTGCCGATATTAAAGGGTCCCCACTCGCACCGGCGAAACCTCGATGTGATACCTGGCCTCGAATACTTTGCTCTCGCGATGGATATCATGGGAACTCACATTGGCGGCTTTAATCTTAAGCACATATACGTGCACATATTAGCAGGGCTTTTCTATGGACAGCTCGGTCGTGTCCTGGAGAGTTGGTCGTACATCTCCCTCGCAAGCAGGAATCTACAGGTCATACTTCGACCGTAAGTTGAAATCTCCCTCAATCCTCATGCCTTCTCTCCGGGATATAGTACTTACTCGTGACGGTGATGGAAATGTAGGAGTCTCGACCGCCTGTCGAAATCGCACGAGCAAGGCCAAAGTATCGGCCAGTCACGTAGGGACAATCAGTTGGCGTTCGCTTTCTGGACATGCCTGCAACTGGAGAGGTACATATTTGAACCCTCCTCCCGTTTCCCCTAATCCCTCCGCCGCATGCTGACACGTAGGACGCGTAGCGATATTCTCGCCGAGCTACCCCTGCCCCAATCGGGGATATTGCAGTATGAGGATAGGATGCCGTATCCTAACTCAGAGTATGCAGTCAATCAAGGCTTCCAGTCCCACATAGTAACCGGTTATATCGCGCAGCTGTATCTTCGGAAACAGTTGAACCAGGTGCACAACCTACTCTACGACCCGGAGAAGCAGAGGAATGGGATCACGTTAGACGACCCGGCGATTGAGCAAGGCATCAAAGGAATCGAGGAGATGCTTGGGAACTCGCGACATCGCTGGGTCCCCGCTAGTTATACTTGGGACGACCACGACCCTCCAGCGAGCGATATCCTCGGCGCCCGCCTCCGTGCGAAATATTGGGGTTCGCAGGTGATTCTGTACCGACCATTCCTCAGGGCGATACTCGAGAGGAACCTCCGACAGCATGCTAACCAGGCGGGATCTCCAAATATTCAGGCGCCCCTCGGCCTCGATGACCCGCCTCCGAACTTGGATGGCAGGATCCTCAAGTACGCTAGCCTGGCAATTTCTGCTCTTATCGAGAGCACGCGGGCATTCCACGGAATCCCCAACAGCCAGCGCATCATCATTACGAACGTCTTTGGGACCGCTCACGCGTAAGTGCATCACAGGCTGATTAGCAGGAGACGAAGTTGAGAAGGGGTGGGCTAACGTGGCGTAGGCAATGGGGTAATCTCCTAACTCTCGCAGCGTGTTACAGGGACAGGTACCTCCACCAGTTTATCGACACGGAGACTCTGAGAGACTTGTTTTCTCGGACGATCTCCTTCTTCCAGACGATCGTTCAGCCTACGAGCGCGCTCAAGTCGGATATGAACATCTTAATCGGGTTGGCGAAGGATCTCGGGTTCACTCGGGAGGAGCACGACGCGGTGGTCTCGAGCTTTTCCAGCATTTCCAGCAGCGCCCCTCTTCCGCCCATCCACAATCCTGTCGACAACTTCCACACGCCCTTGTCGTCCGTGTCGGGGCGTCCGCCGCATTTCCCTCCGCCGCAATCGATGCCTTGAAGAAGCTGGGTCAGCGGGATCGCAAAAGTCCGACCCCGAAAAATACTTGGAATTGCGAGCGACACCCGACGATGGCAAGGAACGATGTATTACGGCGCAGGCTAGGATGTGGAGGCAACGTTTTCATCCGCCATTCTCGGCGGAGAGGACGAGTCTGCCGTTCGGACCCAGGATGCCGCAGCTATGCTTTCAGTGCTAGATGTCTCTTCCCCCCTCCCCCTCCCCTAAACAGGAAAAAGAAAAGGAGCCAATCTCGAGCTATCGCATGTATTATTCCACATGGTGTCAACGACAAATTCGGGGAGGGTCATTCCATTTTGGCAAGGTTACCACTGAGCATGGCGTTTTCGGGATATCGTGCGGTGCAACACTTGTTTTGTGGTCTTACGGCACCAGCTTGCATATTTACAAGATGCACCTAATCGTGCTTTTGGGCTCTTTTTGCCTGTTTTCGCCTTTTCTTCGTCTTTTTTTTTTCTGCCTACCAAAAAAAGCTTGTTATCTAACTTCATCGTTCGTGGCGCCAGCTATAGTCCACGGGAGCATACAACACCGGCGTTTTTCTATACCGAGGGAGAGAGAGAGCGAGAGAGCGAGAGAGAGAAGCAGCAGCATATGGAAGGGTTGAGGAGAGAGGAGATATCGTTTGTGTGATTACTATGACCACGATTTCGGAACTCGAAAGCTGAGGATACCCAGACCCCGTTTCCCGTTTCCCGTACGGCCTCCCTTTTGCGCGACCGCCATTCCCTGTCTTGTCTTGCTGTCTGTCTGTGCCTTGCCTTGCTTTCCATGTATAAGCAAACACACACAACGCACATACACACACGCAGGCATACGTACGCATCACACACACCACACATACACACACACCGTATATACATATATATAGCTATCCCCGAAGCCGACCCGTATATATATGAATGAATATATATACAATTTCTGATTTCCGGTTCTACCTTTGAGAATCTCTAGTATACATTCTATCTCGCATCGTGAGCTGGTGACTCGCATATGTAGCTGGGTGAGCGGTGGTTTGCGATTTACATGTGGATATAGGTATTTATCCCCCCCCCCTCCCCCCCTCTTTCCCCTTCTCGTCCTGCCGTATATGCCCATGGAGTAAACTAGGTACATCGCCAGGTTCCTCGCCGGCGGGCCACGGTAGGTATGTGCGGCTACATCATTCTACGGCGAGAGGGCGACAGCAACGGCGGGGCAGCCCGGGGATATCATTCCGGCGTCGTGTCGTCTCCCTTCTTCTCGGCCCGCCCAGGTGATTGATACCGGTTACGTGCGGTGGGGATATGTGTTGGCCTGTCGCCCTACCTTGCTTCTTCTCCTCCCCCTCCTTCGCGACATCGTCCGATTTTAACTCGGGCCTCGTAGGTGGTTTAAGGGGGAAGGTTTCTTGTTTGACCCACGGGGGCCGGGGGCGGGGGGGGCTAGAGGAGAGGGGGAGCGGATGTCACCATCGTCATCTCTAGCACTGCTGGCGCCGGTATTATTTATGGCTGGTGCCTGGGAGGAGGAGGAGGGAAGGGGAAGGGGAGGTTTCGGGGCGGCCTCGCCCCCCCCCCCCCCCCCCCCCCCTGAGGTTATGGGTTTTGCGTAGGTAGTGGCAGTAGCAGTAGCAGCGGTAGTGGGAGCAGCGTGATGGCATGATAGTACCTATAGCCGGGGGGGGGGGGGGGGGAGGGGGATGGCGGACTCGGTGGGAAAATGCTTCCAGGATAATAGGTAGGTAGGTAGGTAGGTCTGGCTAGGTATCGAGAGGCTCTTTGCCTCCCCCCCCTTCCCCCCCTTCCCCCCCTTCTGCCTCCCCGACAGATAGGCTTCTCTGCAGCCGGCGGCTCGTCGCATCGATCGGTTCTATTTTTGACCTGGGCTCGGTGGTCGGCTCGCCGGTAAAGGTGGCCTACCTTACGGGTATTGCTGTATAGGTAGGTAGGCAATATCAGGTAGGTAGGTAGGGCGTGCATGGCTGCGGGTTGTGGTCTGTGTGCTGGACCCGCATACAAGGTTAGGTAGGTATAGGATAATTAATACCTGTCTCTATACGGAGAGTACATACCTACCTACATAGGTACCTGTTGTGCTGCCTGGGTAGGTAATTTGAACGCATAAGGGGGCGGGGAAGAGGGATGGACGGGTAATACTTACGCATATCTGCCTATACCTTGGTATTATACGCGCATTCTTATACCTACCTATATCTACATCGACATCTGCGCATATCCGACGCCATACCTATTCGCATACGCACAACCACGTAGGTACCTTGCCTAGAGGCCGGCCTGACTGACTGACTGACTGACTTGACTGACCGGTGTAGCGGCACGCTGGGGGGAAGGGGCGAGGTATTGGCTGGGCCGGACAGCTGAGGGAAAGGGCCAGGACGAGAGGGGGGGGGGGGGGGGGGGGGGCCGAGAGGGCAAGCGATGGCGCGTCGGGGAGGCGTCTGACCGGGCCTGGGCGAGGGCGAGGGCGAGGCGCGGTAAGGCGAGGGGAGATGAGCTAAGTAGCGAAGACTACCAAGTAGCGCTGTTAGGAATCGAACCTATCCTTCGTTAAGTAACCTACTGATCTAGGGGTGCGCGCGTACGTAGGTAGAGGTAGAGGTAGAGGCGCCGGCGAGGGAGTAGGTAGGTAACTATAGACGGGTGGCGCGTCGCAGCGCGCATGCGACAGATCGCCTATAGGTAGGTAGGTAGGTAGGTAAGGTAGGTTCGTCCGGACGCATGGGTATGGACTGGTGTGCGCAGCCCGAGATCGAGAGAGAGAGACGGAGCGAAGACAGAGAGAGAAGGAGAGGAAGAGAGAGAGAGAGAGAGATACGAGCCACGCCTACCTACATGCCCGCGCGGAGAAGACATCCATACCTACATACCTACATACCTAGGTACGTCCACGCACCCGCTCCCTTTCCGCCCCTCCCCCTCCCCCTCCCCTCGCCGCCTCTCTCTCTCTCTCTCTCTCTCTCTCGAGCCGGCCGCCGCGCAGCCTGCCTGCAGCGAGCGCAGGCGGTTCACGAAGAGGGGGGCTGGCTGGCCGGTGTGCTGCCCGCATACCGGCCTGCCCGCCTTCCTCGCTCTGCCTGCCTGCCTGTCCGGCTGTGCTTACCTGCGGGTGTGCGTGGTGCGTTGCGTTGCATGCGGCCGGATATTGGGTGTGGGTATGGGTTGCGGACAGGGCCGGGGAGGAAGAGGGGGGGGGGGGGGGGGAGAGGAGGTTCTGGGGGTTGTTGTATACGTCCGGGTGCTGGCCAGGCAGGCAGACTGGTAGGTAAGATAGGTAGGTAGGTAAGAGTATGTATGTATGTATGCATGGACGGAGGAGCGAGAGAGGAGGGTGAGGAGAAGAGGAAGAAGAAGTGCGCAATGTACGGGAGGGGACGGCGAGAGGGGAGGGCTCAGGAGAGAGAGAGATAGATAGAGAGAGTCGTATGGGGGTGGGTGCATTGTAGGTATGAAGTCGATATGTATGTATGTAGGTAGGTTAGGTATTACCTAGGTTGGGTGATGGATATGGCGAAGAAGGGAGCGAGAAGCAGCAGAAGAAGCAGAAGCAGAACTGGAACTGGAACGGAACGAGAAAGAAGCCCGGGCTGGCTCTCACGGACTGGACGGCGTAAGACTTGGCTGCGTGGCACAACACGATACGATACTACGCGAGACGCCCCCATGGTCGGTTGCTATCTTTCTCTCTGTCTCTCTCTCTCTTCCATCCTCTCTTCTCTTTTCTAATTCGTGCGTGGCCTCCCCCCTCTCGTATTTCAATTTTCAATTTTATTTTTCAATATTTCATTTCCTATCTCGATTCTGCATTATTTCTCTTTTCACCTCCTCCCTCGTCTGTGCGTGCGCTCTAATAATATTATTACCACGGCACGCCCGAGGTCTTTAGCTTATTATTACTTGCGCCCGTGCTTCTCTCTCTCCCCCTCTCTCTCCCCCACGGCGATGGAAGAAACCCTAGCCAGGAGGCAAGGAGGAAATCTAGGCGCAGGAGGGAGAGCTCGGCCCCGTCCGAGGCCGACGACGGGCAGCGCGCCTGCGAAGTCCCCGTCGGCGTTGACGTCGTCGTCTTCTGGTGCGTCTTTGCGCATAGGCAGGTATATAAATAGACCTGCCTCCTGGCAATGTCCGTACGCACACACATACCTATGTATTTGTGTAATTGGCATGGTCCTCGCATGCCCGCCCCCGATGTGCATACATACACGTCTACCAGATACGTGCATACAGCATGCCTACCTACCTACCTACTACCTACATATGACACCTACCTACCTTACCTACCTGGCCCACCTCCTCCTCCCTCCCCGCCCCAACCGAGCCAGACCTACCTGAGCCAGATGAGGAGGTGAAGGCCGGGCTTAACGAGCGATGTATGTAGTAAGCGATCTCCGCAGGGTACCGCCGCGGCCACAGCAGGCCCGCCCACCGAGCTGCGTGCGCAAGATGCTACGTGTGAATGTGTAGGTATATGTATGTGGGTAGATAGATAGGTAGGCAGGCAGGCAAGTAGTATGGAGATGTGTGTGTATTGTACCTATGTGCGAGGCGGCATGAGGCGGGCATGGGGGCCCGCTGGCCCTCCCACGCCCCCCCCCCTCGAATCCAAGACCACGCGTCGGCGATCGCCCCGAGTGGCTCAACAAGCTTATTTGTCTTCGCTCTGGACCGTCTTGGCCCCAAACCTCCTCCTTCGCTTGTTCGTCACGGGGCGCTCCTGGCCAGCACGTGCTTCTAATCATAGATCCCCTGGCCGCCGCTAGTTCTACGCAACAGGGAAGGCAACAAAACCGGTGGATGTCGACGGGGTGGGTTCGTGGTCTGATAAGGGCGAGAGAGAGAAAAAAAAGAAAAAGGTAGCATGCCATCCGGAGCAGAGAAGACACACAAAAAAAAAGGGGTCTCGCACCGGCGCTACGAGACCGTCATTACCATTACCTAGGCTCTACTACACAGATCCTGGACCGGCTCGCGGCCCCTGCCCACATGCATATGTACAATTCTGTAGCAACTCTGGTCCGAAGCTGCAAAGTATGGTGCAGCGAACGCGGGTTCGGTCTCTGACGCTGTTACGCCCAGCCTGTCCGCTTAGCCCGGCGCAAATCCTGCCGACGAAAGGCCAGCAAACGAGCGCGCGGGTTCATTGGAGAGGAACCGAGAAGCAGGTCGGGCCGCGACCAGTCCAATCCCCTCAAACCTCCCTTACCTCGGTATTCGCGGGCGGCACCTAGGGAAACGCGTTGGGCCGACGGAAGTTTGTCACGACTCCACCCCATGTTCGTCTGTCCCACCCCTGCCCTCGCTGCCGGCCGGGTCCGGGCAGCACGTAGCAGCATTCGTGCGACACACGGGAGCCGGCGAGGCTCTATACGTCGAGCGGCTGGACGACGAGGCAGAGCCAGCCATCCGGGTAGGCGGCTTCGCGCATGAGCTCCTCGAGCGGGGTGGCGAAGGGAACCCGCGCGCCGTGCAACACGATATCCGCGAGCACCGGGTCCCGGCTGCTTGGGAACAGGCGGGGCATCAGGCCGCGGAGCGCCGCGCCGAGGGTCTGAGGGACGCCTGCAGATCGTGAGGGAGAAAAGGCCGAAGGGTTAGCCTAGTCTAGCCTAGTAGAATTATACGAGACTGAGACCGGGGGTGGGGAGGGAGGGAGGCAAGGGATACAGCTAGTCGTAAAGAGAATGGTAGCAAGAAAAAAAAGAAGAAAAAAAGGAGAGAGACAAACGTACGCTCGCTAGCGCGTGGTTGCAGCAGGGACTGGACGACTTTGAAAGAGCCCGCCTGGGCGCCACCGCCCTCGGACCCGGCGGACGGCTGCGACTGCGGGATGTAGATGCGGATGGGCACGTTGCGCAACTCGCGCGAGGTATTGAGCAGGCGAGTATTAATCTTGGAGAAGGCGGCATAATCGTCTGGGCATCGCCGGACGGGCCGATGCGTCAGCGTCGCCTCTGCCGGTGGGGGGGGGGGGGAGGTGGGCGAACTCACTGTCTTGCACCGCGTTCCAGAGCGCGGTGGTGTGCTCCTTGGATAGCGACATGATCTGGTGCGCGTTGCCGTTACGCACGAAGTCCGCCTGCCGCCCGGGTCAGCCCGACGTCCTTTTTGGCCACCAGTTATCGCCTAGGGGGCGCTGAAGAGAGGGAGAGGAGGAATAAAGTAAGGGGGAAGAGGCAAAAATAAAACAAAAAACAAAAAATCGTAAACGTGCCTCCTTGGCGCTGTTCAGGAAGGTGTCGCCGATGTCCCAGCTGACGCCGTCGCTCACGGTCAGGCGCCAGGGCAGGCGGGGCTGGTAGAGGTCGACGAGCAGGCCGACGGCCAGGTTGCGGAGCAGCACGTCCTCGTGGTGGAAGCTCGAGCAGGGGCGGCCGAAGAAGGCGGACAGGCGCGGGAGCAGCAGGGCGAGGTAGCTGAAGCGCGGCACCGACGCGACGAAAGGGAGCGTTTTGCCGCCGCCCTCGCCGCCGCCGCCGCCCTCTCCGCTACCGCCGGCGTACGTGATGAAGAGCGGCACCTGCAGGTCCCATAGGGTCTGGGGTATCGATGACGAGGATGGCGGCGGCGGCGGCGTCGTCGTCGGCGTCGGCGTCGGGGCTGTGGAACTCATTGGTGCGCCCGCGCCCTTGTGCTCTGTGCTGTGCCGCGCACGCCCTCGAGGAGGGGTGGAGGGGAGACGAAGCGGGACAGGGACAGGTGTTATCGGGACGGTCGGAAAGGGTGGCTGGACAGGGGGGTGGAGGAGGGAGGCTCGGGGGTTCAAGCAATTAGGCGATCAGTTCCGCGGTGCCTCGTAAACCTGGTTCGGCAGTGAGGAATGCTGTCTCTTCAGCGCGCACGAGCAGGTATCATCTTCGCGGCTCGGATTTCCCCCTAGCAGGCGGCGCTAAGCACGGGGCGGGCGTGCAGCCCAGGGAGAGACGAGACGGCGACGAGACGACGGCGATAGTGTCTCTGCAGCGCCGATCAGCGACAGCAGGCGGGCGGAATGGGCGTAGCGTAAGGCGTTGGGTACGCAGACGGAGGGGATGTCAGCGGGTTTGGGGAAGAGAAAAAGTGGGAGAAGCGCGCGGTCGGGCCAAGACGGACGGGTCGGCGGGGGGTAAATTAGGCAAGGGACCGACCACGGGGTGAGGGGGGTGGGGTGTTGTCCCGGAGAGGGGGGGGGAGAGTACGCGTAGGAACTAGGTACCGCGTAGATACAAATAGTATTGCGTAGGTACCTACCTAGAAGTACCTAAGGTAGGTAACGCGACCGAGCGACGGCCCAAGCAAGGCTGAAGGAGAAAGCGGGGATGGCTAGTAAGCAGTAAGCACCCAACCTCAGGAAATCGACCAGAAACGCCAGAGCCAGCCGGCTGTGCGCTACGCCAGCCTGGTACCTGACCCGGGCTCACCGCGCCACTCACCGCGTGCGAGCCCCAACCCTAGCCTAGCCCCCAGCCCCCGACTGGTGCGACGCCACAAGTTCCCACAACTTGGACTAGTAGCCAACTGCGTCTTCCTTACGAGCTACAAGCTACGAGAACTGCGAACGCCTCACCTCTCTCCCCTTCTGCTCTACCACGCTTGGCGGCTCAAGGGGGCGTCCGTTGGCTTCTCTTGTCGGTCCCGTCTCGTCGGGAACCTCAGCTGGCGGCGGCGGCGGCGGACGGATCCCTTCGCGCTCCTTTTTACTTGAAACTGCCCAACTTCGCGCCCAGCACGCCACGCTCCTTGCCATGGGAGCCACATGGACGGCCGAGCCTGGAGACCAGGTACCTGGGTTCGGGTACACCGCCAGGCAAGCAGGTACCTCGCAGCTATCGGCTCTACCAGTCCGGCACAGGTACCTACCTAACCCGTCTGGGCGCCAGGAGGTACCTGCTCAGTAGGGCATTCCCCCGGTCGGGCGCCGTACATTGCTCGCCTCTGGACCTGGGAATCGCCGTGGGCGCATGGTCCCTCGCCGTCGGCGTGCGCCTCCTGTCATTATAGGTATGTAATTCATCAATATCAGCTCGGCTTCTTACCAGAGGCATGGTCTGGTCTGGCCTGGTTCTGGTCCTCCTGGGTGCCGAATCCCTACGCGTACACACCTACTCTACACGCAGCGCGCCACGGTGCAGATCACGGCAGTGCCTTAGGGACTGTCTATCCGGTCTCTTACCTACCTACCTAGGTACCTACCTCTTGGGCGTGCACAGTAGGAGTAGTGGTGTGTATCCACCGCCTTTTTCCCTCCTCCTCCTCCTCCTCCTCCCCCTCCTTCTTCCTCCTCCCCTGCCCTTGCGCAACGCCTCATTTGCCCAGCCTGCTCCGATTGCTTAGCTTCGCAGCGTGGCCCTGTCGCGGGAGTGGGCGTGGGAGATGAAGAAGCGCCAAATGGGTGTGCGATGATGCTGTGTCCGTCCTAGCAGAGTCGCACGCACCCAAAACGCAGCAGCGCACGGCCTGGCTGGAACCCTTTCCCATTCATTTCCAATCTCGGATCCGCGTGTTCGGGTCGGGAGACTCGTGGCACCGCAGGCGCTTTCGGGAGCGTGGATGGATTAATTCCCAGCCATTATAGGGGTTGGCCACCCTGAGCAACCGACCTACCTACTCCGTCCCTAGCATTTAGCGACAAACCCGGCAACCCGACAGGGTCCATGGATGTTATGGAAGTCTTGGGGAAAAAAAGAAGGATCAACTGATCGAAAGATTCTACCTCATCGTACGTATATCCCGTATGTCTCGTATGCATAGTACCGGTACTATGTAGCTATACCACCCGACGCATTATAGGTGACGATGGGTGTGATAGGTCTGCCTGCCTGCCTCCAGAACAGGTCGCTGTGACTACGTAGTATTCTTCTGCTCCCCGAGGCGTCCTCGTGACCGGCGGGGCCGCCAGAGCAGGAAGCGAAGCAGAGCGAGAAATGAGCGTGGTAGTCCCAGTCTGGAGAAATACCAGCAGATCTCGGATCATGATCTTCGCATCATCGCATGATCGCCAATCTGCCGCGCTGGTCCCGTGGCTCCGGGGCCGAGCAGGAATGACAGGAGGGAAAAGAGACGAGAAACCCTCCCCAAAAGGGAGCCGTCATCGTCATCGTCATTTCGCCTCCCCGGCCAGACCGTGGGTCCGGGAAATATCAGCTAACCCAACCGCCGCGTTGGGAAGAAATAGACTCATAAGCTGTTTGCCTGCTGCCGCTGGTCCCTTGCATCCTCGACGTCAGCTGCTCGACGGGGTCACCTCGCTAGCCCGCTGCGCGGTTTTGCATTCCTGAGCGGACGGGGATTTTATGGGATGGGCTCTTCCCGCCAAGGGGGAGAAGACCACCACTGACCGAATCCGTCTCGTCTCCTCCCACCCGTCTGGGACCCAGGACCTAGCTAGAACCCTCGTCCTCCGCCCGCGCAACTGCGTAACCTGTATGGAGACCCAAAGCAAACAGTCGCCGCCGGGACCGCGGAGAGGCGCCTCCTGACGTATGCACTGAAGTAGGCTAGCATTGTCCTGTGCGCCTGTATGGACGTTCGTGCGCACACCGACCCGGCGGTGCCCACTTGCCGAGGCATGCCTACAGTAAACCATGGCTACCTACCTCCCTCGCGCGTTACCACGGACGCACCCCATGTACTCAGCTCGACTCGTTGGGTATCGACGCGGTCGTCAGCAGGAGCGGCGATCATCCCGATACGGGCATCTTCTAGCGAGAGGCAGAGGGCACAGAGGGTAGAGGGCAGAGCAGCAGCAGCAGCCACCGCCGCCGCCGCCCGAAGCAGAAGGAGGATATCTTCCGCGCCTGGAACCTTCCAGCTTCCCACGTGCCGGCTCGAGCCCACGCAGGGCGCGGCGGCCGGATGTGCTGTCAGCGCCACCGCTGTCTCAGCTTACCCAGCTACCCGGTTAGAGAGCTCGCGCGTGAGAGAGAGAGGGAGCGGCAGAGGGAGCTAGAGAGGCGAGGAGGCGAGGAGGAGGCGAGAGGCGGGAGGCGGGAGACCAGAGTGCATCCCCGTCTCCCTCCTCCCACCCTCCCCGAATCCTACCTAACCCTCGCGCCTCATCTGCTAGCATATGTACCTGCCTACCCGTCGGCGCCTGCTTAGGCCTCTCTCAGCATTGCAAGGGCGAAGGAGAGGGAGAGGGGGAGAGAGCTCCCTGAATGCAATGCAGCTCGCCTGCTTGCCACTGGCCTTCCCTTATCTTACCTGCCTACCTGCTAAACCTTCCGATTAGTACATACATCCGGCCTGGCTACCTACCTGGCTGCCTACCTACCAACCTACCTAACCTACCAGTCTACCTACCTACCTCTTACTTACCTACCGACTAATATGAGGTATATTGTACATCCATACTACGTAGCACGCCGGTCCTCCACTCTGCGCCCCCCCCCCCCTCCCCCGGTCCGCTTCCAGCCCTGCTTATCCTATCCTATCCTATCCTATCCTGTCTTATCCTCTCCTAGCCTAGCCCAACCTGCCCCCCCCCATGCCGTGCTCCACGACATGGCACGACATTAGACATTCTTCCCCTTAGCCACCGTCTCGCGCCTCGTGGGCCGCGTCCGTCCTTCCTCGCAGCACACGGCGACGCTACATACCCTACTTACACCTACCTCCACCGGTGGGAATGCCTGTACGTGCGTAGGTACTGTACGTGCGCTACCCTAACCCGCGCACCTACATCGAGGAGGGGCGTCGATGTATCAGTACCCAAAAGAACTTCTCGGGGGGGGGGGGGGGAGGGGGCTTTTTGTTCTACCTACCTATTACTCACGTAGGAGGGTGGGGGGGGCCCAGTGAGTCAACCGGATAGGAGCTGAGATGCGGGTAGGGGTATCTACCGGTCTAGCCAGGTCCCCCCCCCCCCCCCTCTTGACCGGATACGCTTCGAAGCTGGTGATGGGACCGACGGACGGTTGTGTTTACGGTGAAGGCGTGGGAGCAATCTGGCAAACCGTTTTTGCTCCAAGTCGCCTCCACCGTATCGAGGCTCGCGGCATGCGGAGATTCTATATCCCCTTCCCCCCCTTAGCAGCCCTGTGAGCACAGCGTGGGTGCTTCGATATACTCGGGAGGGTCCTGCTGGCGTCATGATGGGAACTCAACGAGTGCCTATTGTGAGCTACCTCGGCGATTCTGTCCTATCCTACACAGCATGTATGAACTCAAACGTCGGCGGGTCCAGCGAGGATCTGAGGGCGTGCTCGTCTCGGCCCTACGATGATGGGCTTTGGAATTTTCTCAGAGGCCGAGAGAGAGAGAGAGCACGTAACTACCTAGTTCTCCGATCATTCCCACCTGAGAGAAAGTACGCACAAAGCCCCAGAGTCTAGTAGGTACTAGAGCGACGTGATACCTCGCGCACATCTCTCTGCGTACGTAGACAGAAACCAGTTGGAAGCCTTCTAGACTAAGTTTCGACATGTACAAATCATAAATCATCCGCAGAAATTCCAAGAGGTTGATCAAGGGTGTGATCGTCGTCCTTGTTGTCTTGCTGGCCACGTGGTCCGTGATAGTAGGCGACCGAAAGTCAAACAAGCTCGTAGAAAATAAGTCTAGGACATTGGACGTCGGGGCATCGTCGGGACTTCCTTATCCCGCTGTCGTTAGCCCCTGAGCTGTAGTTGTTGTGACGAGTCACTCCATACCGTCGCTCGTGAGGTCAATCAAATTCCTCGTGGGAGCCCCTTTTCCACCTGCCCTGTGCTGTCGAGCTGTCTCCGCCGCCATTGTGCCCCTCCCTAGGCTCCGGCTTAATCTACGAGCACGGCGACTTTGCAACGTCCCCCGCGTCGCTGTTACCCTCCTCCATTTTGAGTCTCTTCACCCTCGGCCCTGTCGCCGCATCGCTATTGTCACTATCCCAGCGCAAACCGGCGTAGGAGCCAGCGTCGTCCTCGTCCTCGTCCTTACCCTTTTCTTCCTCTTCGTCGTCCTCGTCCTTCTTCCTCTTGCGATCACTCACCTGCGTCCCCGCACTGCTGGCCCTCTTGACCATGGCGCTCATGCCGCCGCCGAACCTGGCCTCGGCCGCGAGCCGGCGGTCGATCTCGCTCAGTGAGAAGCCGTCGAGCGACGCCCGCGGTGCGCCCTTCAGCAGGTGGTGCGCGGTTGCGGGGCCGCGCACGGCGTCGTCGACGTCCTGGTCCGTGATCGCGAACAGCGCGTCCTCGCGGCCCGCGTCCATCAGCCCGCGCAGGGCGGCCAGCCGGCGCTCGCCCCGCGGGCCCGCGGCGAGTTCCGAGAAGTCCGTCTGCGGCAGCGGCAGCACCGCCGCCGGCCCGCCCCCGAGGCGCACCCGCAGCATCAGCTCCAGCGCCCGCTCGAGCACCGCCGGGTGCGCGAGGTCCGCCGTCTGCCACGGCGCCGCGCCGTCGGGCTGAGCCCCGTACGAGAGCGTCCGCCGCAGGTTGTTCTTCGCGTGGCTGAACACGCTGCGCTCGCTTGCGGGGAGCTGTTTGTACTCAAGATAATATTCCTGCCGGGTTTTGAGCTCCAGGAATTCCTCGTCGCTTATCGCCTCCTCGCTGCCCCCTTCCCCGGGCACAGGATCGAAGAGTAGTAGGTTCTTGTCCCGGAGAAGCTTCTGCCCCTCGGGGCTCTCCCACGCGTCCCGGACCTCGAACTGAAACAGATTGAGCAGGTGGACGAGAGCATCGCTCATAGGCCCCTGTGTGCGCGCAGCTAGTTCGGGCAGGATCTTTTCGACCTGTCTACTTTCCCGAAACATATGGAACGAGTTGTTTATCATGATCCTGCAGACCTTCACGTCGGATTTCTGGCCGACCTAGATCTTGTCAGCAGAGACGTACTGACGGATATTTTCGTTGAACGGTTCGCGTCATGGCTACTTACCCGGATAACCCGATGCACCGCTTGCCACTGGACTCGGAGGCTATGAGCCTGGGAGGCAACGAGGACCTGGTCGCAATTCTTGTGTAGATTCGAGCCCGCGAACCCAACTGTATACATCTGGATCAGTATCTGGCACGATTCATCTGTATCGTCGTTAAAGCTGGCAATAAGTTCCCTCCGTTCATCTTGGTCTAAACCCGCATGCAGGGTTTGGCAGTTGATGAGAAGGAATTGCAGTACCAACTCGTAGTAGTACGCGAGAATAGGAATGGATTCTGTGATCAGGAGCTTCTTGATCTTGCCATTCGGTCTCCTTTTAAGAACATTGCCCTTGACGAAATGTAGGATGTACCGTAGCACCGGAGAGGCACGTACCGCCAGCTTGATGTAATCCACTGCAATCCGTGGCATCGGACTCGTGCCCTTGTTTAGAAATCTAGCCAGGTGCCGAAGGTTTACCTTTGCCCGGCGCATAGACAAGACGTGCTCTGCCTTCGTACCGAAGCCGTGTCGGCCGAGGAGACCTTCGAGATTATAAACATCGAGTGAAGCAGCTGCGAGTTGAAACCGGCGATAAACAGCCGCGATCGGCAGGGCTTGTTTCCGCTCAGCGGTTCCCCCTTTTCCCTTTTCGCCCTTCGCCTCGCTTTTGCTCTCCCCGCCGTCCTTCTCCTTTTTATTCGCATGGAGTGAACACATAAAAAGTTTCGCTGCTAGTAGATATTCCTTCAAGAGTTTCAAGTGAACCTCCTGATAGACCACTTCTAGATCATGATCTAAGTGCACAGTAGCGGTAAAGTTGTCAACTCTCGGAAGCATACCTTCGAGCGACACTGGGCACCTCCTGGCCCAGTCCGCAAATATGTGTGAACTAGGTGATCTCCTTAATATCGCTAGCGAGTCGAAGTACTTGAGGTACTTTCGTGTTCGTTCCGAGTCAGCTGCCTTCTCGCCGGGCTTACAGATAGCCTTTAGTAGAAGAGACGGCCTGCCGGCCGCAAGATGGCAGTCATTACCTACTTCTAAGGAATCGAGAGTCTCCAGGTCATGTAGTTCTCGGATCTCTGTGTCCATCTGCTTTAGCTTTTGGGGGTTCTTACGTAGATATTTCTCCGGGCCATGCCACAGAATCCTGGCGAGCGCTAGGAGATCGACCAACGTATTCAAGCATGGCGTTGCTGTGATGAGGAGAGTGAATTGGCGCTCGAGAAAGTTGATCGATTTCCAACTTAGCGTTGTCGAATTCTTGATCTTGTGGGCCTCGTCCACAACGACGACAGAAAATGCCCGCCCTGCCTCCGCAAAGCTGGAGTAATATTCTCTCCGGAGGCCGTCGTCCTGTCTAACCTTGCATGTTCTCCTGGACCAAGTTTCGATAGACATAACGATGACTGTCTTCGAAGCGTTGTAATCGTCCTCGTTCCACATGTACTGCAACCGACGTGGCCAAGCCGAATTAAACTGCTGGGGAGTTAGTGAAATAACCCTTCGCTGGCTTAGCTTCCCCTCCAGACCGTTTCCGGATACGATAATCTTTTTTATGCCACGCGTGCTAGCCATTTGTTCAATCTCATCCACCCACTGCGCCGCCACGATCGCGCTCGGCGCTACGATGAGCATCGGACGGTACTTCTTCTTCCCGTCTTCGGACTTCTCCACGTTCAGTCTCTGACTTGCTAAGAGGTCCAAACAGGCAATGGTCGTCATAGTTTTTCCTAGACCCATCGAGTCGGCTAGGATCCCACCGCGGTACTTTGGGCTGCGTAGCCTTTTCCTGTTCTCTTTCTCAAATGCTGTCTTCTGTGGTGGCAGGAACCGTTTGGTTTCTGCATTCCACAAGGCTTTATCCTTAATCTTCAACACTGGGAGGGTCCCTAGAAATCTCGATAAAATCCAGACTATAGCGGTAATTTGGCTGTCGAAAAAGCCCCTACGACCTTCTTGTCCGTCTAGCTTAGGAAAAAGCGCCGACTTCCAGACAGTTAATTTGTTGTCACCGTATTCGCCGCATTTAGTCATGTGCAAGTAGACAGCGCATGCTTCAATAGGGGGGCCGAGACAGTTAGCAGATGACGAGATGAAGGCTTGCGCTACGGAGCCGACATCTTGAGTAATTTCGTAGTCAGGATCTTTATAGCTGTCCACTTCCTGTTTCCGTGTCAGTGAGAGGTAGTCTTGTCATCCCATAGTTCAAATACCTCTGCGTCTATTTCATGTTGAGTATCGGCTCGTATGGCTTCGCCAATCTTCTTAGGCACTTCTGGGATGGCCATCCGTACGGCTACAGACTGGCCCTCCATGATTTGACCGGTTATTTGGAAATTCCTCTCGGGTGAGTATTCACGCAATGCCTCATCGATTGCCCACATAGCAAAGTCTTGGTTAGCGGTGATGTTGTTAAGATCCACTGAGTAGTTGGAGTAGAAGCGGTTGACTTCTGTAGCTGAGATGTTAACAAGACCATCCCACTCCGCTCCGAGGACACGAGCTCTTACCGCTCTGGCTCCCGAGCATAGAACGCGGGTCTAGGCGTCCCCGGGAGATATGGTCTTCGTGGGATCGTTGTAGCGTCTCCCGGATTAGCCTCCTCATAGTCCTGGGGACGTATGTTTTCGGCGCGTGGGACGCCCCGGGTGCCGATGTCGCTTCCGGCTCCATCATGAGGGTCAGGTTAAAAACGGCAGTCCCAGATAACCTCGAGAGCGTGTGGTAAACCGAGGTGTAAATACAGGTGGACGCGTGTCAGAATTCGCTGTCGTAAAAAACAACGGCGGTATTAGATCAGATGATTTTGACGGGACATCCTTTGCGTTGATGAGGAATGTACTGTTCTGCGGAGTGAGCATTCATAGGGGAGCTAAGGAGGGAGGTGGTCAGGCGGGGGGCAAGAAGAAGGTGAGAAGGTCGGATTAGGAGTGGGGAAATACAAGATTGAGGCGGTTGTAGGTACGGTACGGGGGAGAAGCGAGGCAGTTTCCCAACTACTCTGATCTGTGGCCGATGTCTGTTATTTGATAGATGAATCGTAGATGTTGATGTGATGACGACGGTGATGATGAGGATGATGAGGATGAGGGTGGCAGAGGTGAGGGTAGTAACAGGGTATCGGTTTCGTAGTTGGCGAGCAGTGCCAGACGACGCTTCCCTTCGAAGGGGCGAGGAGGAGGTGAGAGGGTGAAGCCACGTTACTGGAGTCGCGGCAGGCGGGTTCGTCCTGCTTCAAGACGTGCCGGAAGGAAGCGTGGCTAGCGATGGAATGAACACGGAAACCACGGGGGATCAATAGCCCTTCGAGCAAAGGGGAAAGCGATGACCGAGTTGGCTGACGGTATCATCATGCGAAATAGTTGCAACACTGGGCACGTAGGTAGGTAGGTATCTTAGGTGAGTAGGCAAGGCACGTAGGCCATCCTTCTACGTAGTCTCAGTGAAGTGTCGGCAGAGGACAATTGTATCTCCTTTTTCCTGTCCTCAAGCCCAGTGTCTCTCGGTCGGGGTCTAGTACCTAGGTATCTACCTGTCGGCAATGCCCTCCGCGCACCCACCGACTCAGGGGAACCACCCGTGTCCGAAGTCGATCCGTTGTCTCCTACCGCCCATTCCCATCCCAAAGCTCAGATCCCGAGACAAGAAACAAGAGAGCTAGTACTTGAACCGGAACCCGTGCTGCGCGGCCTCGCCGGGCAGCGCGTTGATGGCGCCCTCGACGAAGATGCCCCGCTCGAGCTTTCGGTTGAGGCGCACGAGCATGAACCGCAGCACCGTCGCCGAGACGATCGAGAGGCACACGGTGCCGCAGTTGACCGACATTGCCACGATGTAGCGCGGCGCCATCCGGTCCTCGTACATGTACGACGCGTAGATGCTCGACGCGTTCGAGACTGCGTTGATGAAGGCGAGCGCCGCCGCGCGCTTGGCCGGCGGTCGCGGCAACGTGTTGCTGATCCACGCGAGCGCTACGACGAACGCACTGTAAACACCGGGAACCTAATGTTTTTTTTATGTTAGGCACCTAGAAGAAAAAAACGAGAGGTTGGGGAGGACCCTGTGCAGATGACATACCATGAGCATCATGGCTAGGTACCGGGGGGCGAGGCCCGTGGACGCAGCTGCGATTATGAACGCTGCCAGAGCGACGAATAACGACAGCGTGATGTGCCAATAACGCTCGCCAGTCCGGTCCGCGTGCCACGCATTGGCGAAGGTCGTGATGACACACAGAACATAGGGAGGGCAGGTGAGGAGTAGCGTGATTACGTTACTGTACCCCAGGGTCTTGACTACTGCCGGGAAGAAGTTGGTAACGGATCCGCTGGCGACGATGCCAAAGAGTAGGAATAGCTGCAGCAAGCGTACGTCAGCCACATGTATACGATATCCACGTATCCCACCGGCGTTCCGGCACACCTACCAGGACCCAAGTCTTGATGTCGGCGAAGGCTAGCCTGGCACCGTGCCAGAGCGACTGGTGCTCGCCATCGGCCCGGTCGTCCGAGCCAATATCTTCCTCCAGTCGCCAGATGGCCAACGCCCTCTCTTCTTCGCTAAGCCACGATGTCGTCCGGGGAAAGTTGGGAAGGACCCAGTAGGCCAAGAACGAGATCCCGACTGTGATGACCCCCTCGATGATGAAAAGCCACTGCCAAGCGCCCAGCCCTCTCGCGCCGCTCATGTTCTGCGTGATGCCGGCCGACAGCAGGCCCGAGAACGCGCCTGAGATGAGCGCACCCGAGTAGAGAATTGCCGTGCGCAGGCCGAGCTCCTTCCGTGTATCTGAGACGTGTTTTAGCATATCGACGGAGCGTAAGGGTCATGTCCTCAAGGATGCTCCAGAAGGAATTCCGAGAATAGAATGAGAAAGAGACGGAGGAGAGGGGGGATTACGCACTACACATACTGGTTAGCATCTCTCTATAGTCAACGGAGCCACGAGCAAAGATATGTTTCATGATACTTACCACCAACAACTCAAGTAGTAAAGGCAGCCAGGCTATCAACTAGTTAGACAGGAGTCCGACTCTGAGAATCGGCGGGAACCCTTCGTGGGACTGACGAAATAAGCGGCCTCGACGAAACCGAGGAAGAACCGAACGGCGATGAGGCCGCCGAAGTTGGTAACCGCCGCCGTCGCCGCCGAAATCACACCCCAGACCAACATCTGCCATCCTCGGTTAGCATCGTGGAGAGGATAAATATACTGGGATATTCGGTCACAGGCCCGTGCAGAAGGTGAGACGTACGCATGTCGGGAGATAGATGGCTGGCTTGCCAATCTTGTTCAAGAACAGGTTCGAGGGCACCTGCATGAGGAGATAACTACGAATTTCGATGGGCCAGTCAGTTGCTATCGCGATTACGCCTTGGGTTCTTGGATATGCTTACCCGACGAATAGGATACTGACGGCCGTCTAGGCGATAAGCGAGGTCAGTATAATCGCTTGATGATAGCCGACATGTCGGGCAGCAGCAGGGTAAGGTCACATACCTGGAATTCACTCGCGTTAGGGTCAAGATTCAGGTCTTCCGGCAGGCCAGCTAGTTTCGCGGCAGCGATGTTGTTTCTGCAGGCCATGTCAGTGGACGTCGTTCAAACAAAGAGTTATAACGTCATGAAGGCATCTGACCGGTCGATGTAATTCAAGATATCTAGAGCGCATAGCTGCGTTAGCTGTTGTCGGCAAATAATAGGCGTCACATCTAGCGACGTCGGACGTGCCGATAGGGTATGGGAGGAGAGGGATTGACGAACACATGAGAACGAGCATAGGGAGCAGGCGTAGATCGATCTTTTTCCTCAGCCGCCTCTCGAGCTCCTGGCGCTCCTCCGTCGTCAACCTGGCGATGATCTCGGGCGCTCTCAGCCCCCGCCTCTCAGCCGAATCCAGGTCCGCGGCACCACCAGAGGGACCGCTATGCGCGGCGGTGGCCTCGACATCTTTACCGATGGACCCTCCCTCCTCGTTGGAGGCCACCAGGTCTACTTCGCCTTTGTCGCTCGGCGGGCTCGTCATGTTAAGAAGCGTCGTGTTTTTCTTTTCCCTTCCCCTCTTTTTCTGTCTCCTTTCCCTCCCTGCGAGTTACTTGGAACGAGTCGAGAATACGATGTCCCGATATGTAGAGGAAAGAAAAACCCGAGCGCCTCGCGACAGCGAATAGTAGAGGGCGTCGAGGAACAAAGAGGACCCTGGGGACTATTTATCATTGGGAGATAGGGCTACCGGTCGATTCGATAGCAGCCGGGTAAGATGCGAGCTGCAGCATTACGGGATCGATACGACGCTGCGTATCTATCGCGGGTCGCGGACCTCTCACCAGCCTGGGAGGTTTCTAGAAAGGAAGAGCATTATACCGAGCTGTGTTGCGACGTGACCTGCAAACGTACACGAGGGCGCTGTAGAACCTAGCACGATGGGCATGGTACCCTAGCGATCTGGACCCAAATCTCTTCAACAAGTTGTCCCCCAACACCCCACGAGGAGGTCCTCGATGATCTGCTACAGTAACACCGAGACACGGCCATCGCAAAGGCCTAGGTTGACCGCACGGCGGCCTATTGGTTGTGGTTCACAGCTGTCCCTTGCTAGCTCGCTGTTACGAGGTGATCTTACCCGGTCGCTTTCGTTTTGCGGGGTTACCAGGTCATCTCCGTTCACTATCTCTCGTCCCATTTCCACCGTCCCCAGCAACCCCATTCCAGTCCGTCTGGATGTCCTTCGTCGTCGCGATCTAAAGTCGGGCTAGGAGCCGGTGGCTTCGTGTCCGATTGGTGACGCCGGTGCTATTCACCCGAGAGCGACACCTCTTAACCACCCCAGGTGGAGGGAGACGAGACAGGGTGGGATTTTCGGGACATGGTCTCGGTAGCATGTCAGTAGAATAGCGTTTTCTTCGCCACTGCGCCGCTGGGCCGCATCGGTGGAATCTGGGGACCCCAAATACTTCATAAAGCGACCGAGTCTTCGGAAATGGCAATCCGACAAGGCTCGAAGAGAGACGGTGAACACTTCCACTTGACCGAATCTTACTGAGAAAAAAAATGCCCTTTTAGGCATTACTCTAGGGTATCATATACTATAGTTACCGCCACCACCCCCACTCCCACCACCACCACTATTAGCAGGCGCTTTCACCAGGCCAGAAACGGCGAGCCGCGTCACGAAGTGTACAAATCCGACAGCAGCTCCATGCGCACGGCCTCGCTCTTCCCCCTCTCGAGCGCGTTTTCAAGCTCGGCCGTCATGATAGCGTTGATCTCCTCGACACGCTTCGTAATCTTGGAGCTGCCGAAGAGGTCTATGAGCTCGTCGAGGAGCCCGTAGCTCTTCTCGAGCTCCTTCTTCTCCTCCTCGAGGCTCGTGATGCGCGACCGGCTGTCGGCGTCGAAGCAGATGTGGTACATGCGGCAGTAGGCCTTCCACTCGACGGCGCAGTCCACCGCCTCGCCCTTGAAGAGCCACGGCCACATGTGTTCCCACACGCGGCCGGTGATGTAGTCGGTCCAGCCCGTCTGCACGAGCCAGTCCATGGTGATGCGGTACTGCGACCGCGGGTGCCGGCGCACGGCGTCGCGCGTGACGGCAAACTGGGAGCAGCACGGCCCCGCCAGGATCACGGGCACGTCGTTGGTGTGGAAGTTCTCGCTGAAGGCCTCGCGCATGTAGGGCTCCTCCTTCTTCTGGCCGTTGCCCTCGGCGGCCGACTTGGTGGTGTTGATCCAGTTCGGGCACGCGCCGTCCCACGACACGCGCAGGTTGAAGTACCTGCGCTGCAGGACCTGCTCGAGGTCGAGGTGCGAGAGCGCGAACGTCATGGACGAGTTCAGCGTGCCCTCGACGTGCCACGGGCTCTCGTCCGAGTGAATGAAGATGGTGATGTCGGGCAGCTTATCGTAGAAGTCGTACATGTAGGTGTGGTAGATTAGGGCCTCTCGGCCCTTCCTCGGCACGGGCGGGTGATACTCGGCTTCCATCGAGTCGCTGACGTAGCGGATGATGTTGAGGTTCGGTATCTGGATGTTCTGGGTCCAGGAGATGTCGTCCTGCTGTAGCGAGGCGACGACGAGGTTAACGGTGAGGTTGTTCCTGTTGTAGTGGGAGAGCGGGAGGCCATTCTCGGTCCGGTTGGTGGCGTCGGAGCCAGCTCTCTCGCGCGAGTTCTCTGCAGCCGACACGGGATGCTGAACCGCCCAGCGGCTCTGGAAGAGCAGGTAGAGTGCAGGTATCAAGAGGATAGCCAGAAGAATCAATATCCAGCGGTGGGGCGCGCAAAGGCGGCCCCTGTCCCTTAAGAATACCATAGGACGGAAAGCGATCACGCATCATTCCGTGTCAACGTGTGCGCGGCTACTTTCTGCTGCTGCGGCTCTCGTCGACTCTTCCTTTGTGGCTACCTCGACCTGGGGATTTACATTGGACAAAGGGAGGCTGGGTGAATGGCTATCGCGCGGTACGGTACGGTATAGTATGTTTACAGAAACACAGTGGAACGTATTGGTACGAGGGTGAATGATCTGAAGCTGTCGGGTTGGAAGGCGGGCCGATTGATTGATTGATTGACGGATGGGTTAACGGTTAGAAGGTAATAGGATGGCTGGATCGAGGAGGAGGGCGACGCGTATTTTTCTTTTCGTCGCAAGAGAAATTGAATTAAGAAGGGAAAAAAAAAGAAACTCGAAACCAGGTACGGCAAATATTCGCGCGAAGGAGACGCGGGAGGTTAACAATCAATGCCTTGGCAACGGTTGAGGAAAAAAAAAAAGGAGGATATGGAGAGCAAGACGATGGATTGCTGCTATGTTATGTCCCAAGCACAGGCTACTTCTGACCACCTCCCCCCCATCTCGACTCCATTGTTTTCTGATTTAATTTCGAGACGCGTGCACGACCGTGGAGAGGAGAGAGAGAGAGAGAGAGGAAAAGGATGGAGGAGGGAGAGAGAGGGCTTGCACAAAGCCCCCTTTATTTGCGCCAGTGACGTCCTCACTGTGGCTGTACGTCGTTACGCCTCTCTCTCGCGTCCCTTGTTGACGGGATTAAGCAACGAATCACCATGACTCGTCGGCATCAATCCCCAAGCTATGTTCCTGGTATGGCTGGTGCGAGACCAGAAGGATAACTGTGGAACAGCCCCCAAGGCGCCAGACTGTGCCTGAACTGGGTGCTAAGCTGGGTAAAGGGGGTCGTCAGCCTCCGTCCAAGAAAGGCAAAGAGGAAGAAGATGGGGAAAGATTACCCACCTCAATTTTAATCCGAGGCCCTCGACCACTTGCCAGCCTCCGTCGGTCAGCCGCAGGAGGAATCTCTTGTTTGCCGTCGCACCCATTAGCCTGGCTCAACCCCCTATAAGCTGGGATGAGGAGCCCAAGAGTTTCATACAGATCGCTTCCGGATGCGGTGGGCTGGCCCACCGCGTTTCTCCTGGGCATTTTTATTCGTGCCTCTCAGCCGTCGAGACAGAGCCCAGGATGAAGAATTGCATAGTTACCTAATGCCTACCAGGTAGCACATCCATAAGGGTGTGAGAGGGGAGCGGGCCAAGATGGACATGTGACCCGTACTGGGAGAAAACAGGGACGTTGTATGTGAAGGGGGAAAAAACAGTTCTCTCCACCTCGCTACTTTGTCCTCTTCTCCCAATGGAGATATATGTTTCTCCGGCACTCTTCGCCCGTGGCTATGTGGGAAGCTGCACTACGTAGTACTGTGTAGGAGCTATGAAGTATGTATGTAGGTAGGAATGGGGGCATGGAACAGCCTCACCGCCTCTACTGTCTGTTCCATCAGTGACGAAGCTGACACCACGTAACCACACAGACACAGCCCTACCACTAACCACCACACCACCACACCACCAACCAGCCTGAGCATGCACCCAGCACGGCTGCCTGGCGGGTTTAGTGCCGGAAAAGCGCTGCCGAAGACGTCGGTGGTTTCATTGTTTCGTCGTCTTTTCATGTTTCACTGCGCAGGCATACATAACAATGCGTATATCTTTATGTCGTGCACACAACAGGCAGTTATGCAGCCATGCGCGCATTTGTGCACACGTACATGCGATGCGTAGAAGTTATACGCATTCCTGCTTCGGGAATTCAACCCCAAAAGCTGGAATAAAATAAAATAGCGAGAAAAAAAGAAAGAGAAGAAAGGAAACCAGAGAGCGCAGCTCGAGGATGAGTCCTGAGGGCGTGCGTGCATATCTCCATCCATCTATGTATTATTTATAACCCTCTCGCGCGACCGCCACGCGTGCGACCGCCTACGGGCTGTAGCATCTGCTGCAACTGTGGTAATGGTGGCGCCGTCGGCATCAGCACCAGCGGTCTCCCCCCTTGCCCTCCTCGTCATACACTCCCTAGTATATACGCCGCGCCAAGTCCGTCTATAATACTCATAGCATGGCGAGGGCGCTCGTCGGTGCAGGCGATACGTTGGATGTTGCGCCGACTCCCGTTTCCCCCCTCGCCACCTTTTTTTTCTTTTCTGCCTTTTCTCGCTGGATCAATTGCATAATAGGAATTGAAGAGCAAAAACCCTGATAGAAAATTCCTCGGTCGGCTGTAAAGCGCAGGACTTACCAAGCCTTGCACTATGCGGTTTCATTGATCACAGCGTCGCAGCACGGACTCGGACCCCGAAGATAAGTTGCGACACCGAGGCGCTAGTCTTCGGCTGCGGGTCCGCCTCGTACTGCCACCTACCCATCCCCTACACCGACGCAGGGGCCAAGGATGGGGTGGGGGAACTACCTAAGATATCTCCGTAGAGCTAAAGAAAGGGGATGCAGATGCGTCGCGGTGCACGTGGCGTACGGCTCTCAGGCGCCGAGGAGCGTCGCAATGCCAGGGGAGGGCGGCCGGCGGGTAGCGTATCCGTCCGTCTTGCTGTCGGCACCGGCGAGGGCGGCCGCGATGCCGGCTGTTATCTATGCCGATGTGAAATAGAGGGTTGCCTGTGGCTGTTTCCGAGTGATAGCTTCCTACCCGTTCGCGTCGTGACGGCTTTCGAAGAGTACTACGTAGAGAGGGAGGTAAGTGGGTGACGCCGCCTACGCGCTTCGCCCCCGCGTCTTCATCTACCGTCGAATCGCGAAATATTCCTCTGGGCCTAGAAGGTGATAGGTCGTTTTGGAGCTATCAAAGTACACCTCCCAGTTTCATGGCAGCTAAGGCAGCATGCCCCAAACCGTAACAATTCCAAGGGGGATCATAGCGTTGCAATCTATGCACGCGGGAGAGGAGCCAGCAGAACGCTCATCAACAATGCGTCTAGGTTTCGATATGTAAAGAATTGCCCATCCCAAAATACCACCCGCTGACACCCAACCCGTAGGTTACCGCATCCCCTACTCACGTTATATACACCTACTCCCCGCCCCGGCAAAGGTAACCCTTAGGCACGTTTACACGTCTAGATAATATAATATCCATCTATATCTTAGCCTTGGCATCTCCACCCATCTTCGGCCGGACCGGCACGCGCGGGTGGTCGCCGGCCAGCTGGAGCCCGGTGATGGCCTCGAGCTCGTCGACGGCCTCGTAGGTCCTGCCGAGGGGGACCTTGACGGTGCGGAAGCCGGCGGCGCGGGCGGCCTTGAGGTTCTCGCCGATGTCGTCGAAGAAGACGACCTCGTCGGGGCGCACGCCGTCGGGCCAGCCGTGGGCGCGCGCGAACGCGTCGACGCGGGCGAGCGCGAGCGCGTAGATGCGCGGGTCGGGCTTGCGCAGGCCGACGTGCGCCGACGACACGAAGACGTCGAAGAGGCGGCGCACCGGGTCGTCAGCGAAGGAGTCGCCGCGGAACAGCGCGTGCCCGGGCGGGAACCGCACCGTGTTGCTCAGCGCCGCCAGCACGAACCCGCCGCGCGCCCGCAGCGCCCGCAGCGCCGGGTACATCCACGGGTCCGGCGCCATCGACGCGCGCATCATGTCCTCGAACAGCCAGCGCCCGTCGAGCCGCGGCACCGGCGGCACCGCCCCGCCACCGCCACCATCAGATGCGGCCGCCCCCCGCTGCTGCTGCTGCTGCTGCTGCTGCTCCCGGTAGAAGGCCGCCCACCGCCCCGCGTCGTGCAGGTCCCCGTTGAACCCGGCGTAGAACGCGTCGTCGAGCGGGATCTCGCCCCGCTCCAGCCGGTGCCAGAACCCGTCCGGCGCCGTCTTCGAGATCGAGTAGTTGACCCACCCCGGCGGGATGCCCAGGCTGAGCTCGTAGTCTAGGATCGACTGAAAGGGCGACACGACCTGTTTTTGGGGGAGGTGGGTGTTAATTTTGGGGTTCCTGGTTATACCGCTCTTGAGAACGAGATCCCGGCCAGCTAGGCGGGTAAGGCGGGTGGGTAACAACGAGGCATTCGCAGGCGTGGGAATTCGCGCACAAGCAGTCACAGAGAACTTCCAAATGATGTTCTACCAACGAAAGTCGGGACTTGGCTGGTGGGATATAGGACTTACACAGACGCCGCCGATGTCGAATAGGAGGACCTTGGGCTGCTTCGGGGTCGCCATCGGGAGCGGTGTGGGATTGCGAAGGGTGTGCTAGGGAATACCGGTGTATATTGCCTGTGGACGTTTGCTATGATGAAGCTTCATATGTTCGAATTCGTCCACTGGAATTATGTAGGTGTGCAATTCTACCATCCTGTCGGCAAGACGAACGTAATAGAGATGAATGCGCCTTCGCCGAGGTGCCCCTCGACAACTCGACGAGCCTCGGTTGATTTACTCGGATGCGTTTACCTAGGTCTAGTGGTTCCTTACTGGATCGATTCCTCCCACTGGTGGCGTTGACAGTGACTGACTGGTCAGCTCCACGAGATAGCCAGGTACCTAGGTACATCCAACAACCTACCCCCACATCTCTACCGAGTTCAACTTGTCATAGGCACATCAGGTTAGATAAGCACTCAACAACAATCCAAGGTACCTAAGTATCTACATAATAGAGGGTAAAAGTTGTGAATGTGGTACGCATAGAAACGGGGGGTAAGTTTGTACCCTCGACCTTCTAAGAACTTCTTATTTTTAAGGAGTCCTGCTACTACTGCGCTGCCACTGCTGCCACTACTATGCACTAGCACCACTAAGTTAGCTATACCACCACCACCACCACCACCACCACAGCTTATGACCATGCTCTAAGGCAATATGTAAGGCAATATTTTCTTACAAAAAAGAATACATTGAGTGCACTTTCGCACGGCAGTTAGAAATGCATTTGAAAGGAAATTTCCCTATCCCTTACTAGTACGACCTCCTTAAAAATAAAAAGTTCTTATAAGGTTGAGGGTACAAACTTACCCCCTGTTTCTTGGCATCCCACATTCACAACTTTTGCCGCCCACTATGTACTACACAGGTACCGGCTTGGAACTCGTGCCCCACCCAACTTACAGACGGGGAGGGCTTATCGAGTTGGAAGCGAATTTTCGCCCACAGAAACACAAATGAAGTCGACACATTAATTTTCTATCCAAAAAGCGCCCTCGACCTTTGCCGTCTCCCTTCTGCAAACCACACATCCCGATAACTGCGCCGACATCACCTCCCCCGCCCCTCGCCCCAATCAGTCAAGATGGTGAGTGTGACGTGAACATGCGGCCGTCCCAGTGCCAGAAATGGCCAGCATTGCGTACATGTAGCATTGACCCGTCCTGGGACGGTGTTGAGAGAGAGTCCATGCAAGATGCTTCGGAGGAGAGATGATACCTGAAGCGCAAATTGCTGACTCGGTCCTATCTCGACAGGCCTTCGACAAGGCGGTCAAGAGCAGCGCCTACTACAGGTGAGTATCCCCACCCCGGATGCTGCGATATCCGTGGTGCGAGAGCGGGAAAGGGGAGTGCAAAGCTGACGATGGTGAATCCTGCAGCCGCTTCCAGACCAAGTACAAGCGCCGTCGTCAGGGAAAGACAGACTACTACGCTCGTAAGCGCCTCATCACCCAGGCCAAGAACAAGTACAACGCCCCCAAGTACCGTCTGGTCGTCCGCTTCAGCAACCGCGACATCATCACCCAGATCGTCACCTCAGAGATTTCCGGCGACAAGATCTTCGCCGCCGCCTACTCTCACGAACTCCGGGCCTACGGCATCGAGCACGGCCTAACCAACTGGGCTGCCGCCTACGCCACCGGCCTGCTCCTCGCCCGCCGTGTCCTCAAGAAGCTCGGCCTTGATGAGACCTTCGCCGGCGTCGAGGAGCCCGATGGAGAGTTCACCCTGACCGAGGCTGCCGAGCACGACGGCGAGGATCGAAGGCCCTTCAAGGCTTTCCTTGATGTCGGCCTCGCGCGAACTTCGACCGGTGCCCGCGTCTTCGGCGTTATGAAGGGTGCTTCCGATGGCGGTATCCTAGTCCCCCACTCGGAGAACCGATTCCCCGGTTACGATGTGGAGTCGGAGGAGCTCGACGCCGAGACCCTGAAGAAGTACATCTATGGTGGCCACGTCGCCGAGTACATGGAGAATCTGGCGGACGACGACGAGGAGCGATACAAGAGCCAGTTCCAGAAGTACCTCGAGGACGACCTAGAGGCCGACGGTCTCGAGGAGCTCTACACCGAGGCCCACGCTGCCATCCGAGAGGACCCCTTCAAGAAGGCCGAGAGCGAGGGCCCCAAGAAGACCAAGGAGGAATGGAAGGCCGAATCCAAGAAGTACAAGACGCCCAAGTCCACCAAGGAGCAGAAGATCGAGAGAGTCAAGGCAAGGCTGGCCGAGCTCACCGCCGAATAAATGGCCACCGCTTAAGCATGTGTACCGGGATTCCTCCTCCCTCCTGACGCTCACGGTTTATTTTCAGGCACCTGGAGTTTTATAGGAATGGCTCATAGGGTGGTCATCAAATGAATGAATGAAGTTCAATAATCTACGACTCTTCTCCTGTCACGTAGGCACGCACTCCTAAGGATTGCCACGTAAGCTCTCACCTCTAGTCCACAAACTAACACCTGTTACGCCGGGTGTTCGGTTCCTAGCCTCCCTTATCGGGAGTTAGCCATCTGACCCCTCTTCCCCCTTATAAACCACGTATCCCTCTCGCTACTCGGGGGCTCTAAAATACCAACACCTGCCAAGCTAGGTGTTGCGATTCTAGACTGTCAGGGGATGTAGGGATTCTAGGCATACCTCGAGAGCGACTGGAACGTCCGTATATAGACCGCTCGTTTCTCTCCTTGATAGATAGCCTGGGCAGTCGATCCAATCTTTATCCCATATCCGCTTGTTATCATTGCGCCTAGAGGAGAGTCTGGAATCGCAACACCTAGCTTGGCAGGTGTTGGTATTTCAGGGCCCCCAAGTAGCGAGAGGGACACGTGGCTCACGAGGGGGGGTTAGATTACTAGAAACCGAACACCCGATATAGGGGAGGCTAGAAACCAAACACCCGGCGTAGAGGAGGCTAGAAACCGAACACCCGATGTAGGGTAGGGGAGGCTAGAAACCGAACACCCGGCGTAACAGGTGTTGTTGGTTTGTGGGCTAGAGGTGAGAGCTTACGTGGCAGTCCTTAGGAGTGCGTACCTACGTGACGACTAGCGAGAGAGAGAGAGAGAGAGAGATGTGCTACTTTGATATTGCTTTTCCTGCCTTTTGCAGGGCACTGCATTCGTAGCGAGTTTGCTGTCATTGGATATTCGGTAGTATCATACGGTTCCCTGTCGAACGCATGCCGTTTTCTGATACGATGTCTTTAACCATGTCATTCTTACCTCAACTAACTCTTGCGGCGGATAAGACGCTGCTACACACGTTGTTTATAGCTGCATCTGTATGGCTTCCTCTATAGTAAGCGGATGCACATTTCTATGTTATCCAACCCCAGCAGTCTCAGACGGTTGGCTCGTATCTCCTCTGCCGGGGCCTCCTCTTGGGCTTAACCTACAGAGTTCCGGTTCTAATACTATGAAGGTGCAACCAATCACATAGGTAAGGTATATTGTCATACTGAAAGCTATATAACCTACCTACACTACAAGGGAGAAGTGTGGCCGTTTACTTTTTTTTTTTTTAACTTGATAGCTATATATATTATGAGAAGTGTTAGTTACTAGCTAATAAGAATATCAATTCTGACCAAACCTCGTCTGAGATCGGGGTTGTATATACACATCCGCGCTCTAAAGCTCCGGCTGCACTATATCGATCCGGCAACCAGGAGATATCCGGCGCTATTGTCGCAGCAATATATGTGAGACTACCGGCAGGGACCCCCCCGGAGGGCACATATCTGCGGGGTCAAGCTCCGGCGAGTGGCCGCTAGGCCGTAGATCCCACTGCAACCCCGTAGGTGAGTACGTGAGACGAAGACGGAGAAAGCTAGGCTCAAGACGTAGACATGGCTTTCAGCCCATTGGACGAGAAGTATCGTATATGGATCCCGCGATACGCATGAGCTTATCCTAGAAGACTGTATTACTTGCATGGAACCAGGCATTTGTATTATGAGTCATACATGGCCGTACCAAACCCCTAATAATGTGAGGGTATACCATTTTTCTTCGCAGCTGCATGTAAAACTCTCGTATGAGGAGTTGCCAATCCTATTAGCCTGAGCAGAAATGGCACCGCCAGCTCAGCCAGAGCTCGATGCGCTCGTTACCCGCGTATTGGAGCAGCTCTCCGAAACCCCGTATTCTTGCTCTTCTCTCACGCGGCTCGTCAACGGCACTACTAACTTCGTTTTCCGCGGCATTCTTACCCGGCCTCTCCCCCTCGGAGATGACAAACCTGTCGAGACTGTGATTGTCAAGTACACCGCCGACTTTGCCGCACTCAATAAGGACTTGCCTATCGATGCTTCTCGTTGTGTAGCCAGCCCTTTTTAGTGACCGTGTCTCTGGCGTCTCGCTAACTTCGAGGTTCAGGTAGTTGAGGGGTCTATTCTGAATCTTCTGAACAACTTACCTGACGGCTCCCTAGTCAGAACGCCGCATCTTTACCTCTTTGATCAAAGCACAAGCACCCAGGTCCTGCAGGACATACCAGATGCCGTGGATTTGAAGACGATCCTTGTGTCGCCCACGGCCAACGTCCCCCTCTCCCAACCTCTCGCCACGTCAATTGGCTATGCTTTGGGCTCCTGGTTGCGTTCCTTCCATTCGTGGGCCTCGACACAGTCGCGAGACGGGGCTCATAGAGGTGCCGAAATCGGCCCCAACGAGCCTATGCGGAAATTGAAATATCTAGTCACCTACGGCAGCTTCATCGGCAACCTCGAGCAGTTTCCGGACGTACTCGGGGACCATAGGAAGACGCTGGAAGAGGTCAAACTAATGGCTGCTGACGAGTTCGAGAAGTCGGGGGCGGATGCGCACGGGGACGAGTGGGGAATTATCCACGGCGACTTTTGGTCGGGCAAGTAAGCCATTCTTATATTTGACCCCCCCCCCCCCCCCCTCCTCTTTCCTTATTTCATTGTATGCTTGTAGCTTGTCGAATCGGCGGTGAACTGACGACGGAATATTCACCACCAGCATCCTCATCTCGGAAACCCAGACGCGAGACGAAGCGCCGGGGCTCTTCGTCGTCGACTGGGAGTTCGTCCAGTTCGGCCACCGGGCCTACGACCTCGGCCAGATGGTGGGCGACCTCTGCGAGCGGAAGCACTTCCAGGACGCGCAGGCGGCCGCGTGGGCCGTCGACGCGTTCCTCGCGGGCTACGGCGCGGTGGCGGACGACGTGGCCTTCCGCGCCGCCATCCACGCCGGCGTGCACCTGATCACCTGGCTGGCCCGCGGCCCGCCGCTGGCCATGCGTCCGGCCTGGGCCAGGGAGCGTGCCGCGGGCGCGGTGAAGCTGGGCCTGGACATGGTGCTGAGGGGCTGGGCGAGGGACAGGGAGTGGTTTGCGGGCAGTGGGCTGGCGGGGTTGTTCAGCTCGAGGTGACTTTGGACGGATACCTGATATTCGGTTAGGTTCGTCTACTGATCACGCACGTCATTGCTCCGATCGCTGTCGCAATCGTAATGCATAGGTCGTTCTCCTTCCCTTGAAGAGGAGCAGCGTGGGCACGCTGTTGGTAGGGCGTATTCGGAAAGACCACACCCGTCAACAGCTGGCCCAAGTGCCTATCGACAGGAATACAGCTATAACGGCAGTGTGACAGCCGTATCTAGTAGTTGTGTGTGATATAGAGAAGAAGGTAAAAATATGCGAGACCTAATATACCTACCTATAACTAACTACCTATAACTACCTACCTGGCTAAATATACCTACATCACGAACCTTACAAGGACTATAAGTCCTACCGCATCACCAGAGAGGCAAGTAAGTACCTAAGGTAAGAGGTGCTTGACCTACCAACCTACCTCCCAGGCACCCAAGGTAGATAAGATATACCTACCTGCCCAGCCACCATTCCAGTTATTCGCGATTACGTCGTCTTACTTGAGGGGTACAATTAATTTTGAAACGCAAGACCTTTTTTTAGTTGCGGTATTTTCCTCGTTGTTCTTCCCGTTGCTGACTGGCTTTATTAGAAATAAGGCCGGCGCGATCGGGCTGTTCACGCGCGCACCTCCTTTTCCATAGCCTTCAGAGGGTAGGTAATACTTCTGTTTTTCACCACACAGCCAAAACATATAGGTACGGAGAAGCGCAGAGCGTAGCGAAGAGCTTCGGCGTATACCAACTACCTAGTGTTATGCAGTTGCCGGGACAAACTCGCTGAGATGCCGGATCGCCTATTCGGAGCTGTGGCCACGAGGACGACCGTGGCCAAGCTCCGATCGGGGACGTTAATGTCACCGAAGCGAGAGGGTAGGTACCTAACTAACAGGTTGCCACTTAGACGCCGGCCGAGCCTCCTGCTTGCTGAAGCCGAGGCCGAATACGAGGAAACGGCTCATCCAACTCTATGCCTAATATCCGGCTCCATCGTCGTCGTCATCTTCTTCTTCCGACAACTCACCAACCCGTAACCTGCTCGCGGGCTGGTGACCTCCCCGAGTCCCAGCCTCGGGAATGGCGACTGCAGTCAGATACAGGCATCCTGGATATTACTGCATGCCATCGCGTTCGATATGTAGGGGCCTTCGTTCATCAGCCAATAAAGCGCGGTTTTGGTGGAAGCTCCTGTCGGCTGAGATTTACCTACCCGATAATAAATGCAGCCCGGTTTCATCCATATAACGTAGAGGTACTCAGTAGGTGGTGCGTCTGCGGCGATCGGCGAGAGAGGAAAGAAAGACCGCAACTCCGAAGGGCACATAAATTTTTCTTGCAATGAGTGTTAATATTAATATACCTAATATCTCCTTTGCAATCCAAAATTTCCTGCCCAGCGGATATAGCCCTGAGCAGTACCAATATCGCTAACCCTGCCCGAGACATCACTCAGTTAAATCTATAGATGGACAAGTTCTTTAGGCCCCCCGGTCGTGAGGGCGTAATATCTGTCGATCACCAGGCCAGTTCGCACAGTCGAAAAGATACGAAGGTGAGGCTTCGGCTTCAATCTCCAACAGCGATGCAGCATGTTCTAATGTAAAGGGGATAGGAGAACTTATGCTCCCGTTGTGAGAGACTACCACTATATGCCGAGAATTTTATCATTGGCACTCCACCGGTCGTGGTCGACAGCGTCGCCGCACATGTAGGGCGCTACCAGTCTCGGGAGGCAAACAGCGGATTTATCCCCAGATCGGGTGGCTGCCAGGAAAATTTTGCAACATTGCAGGACCTTCGTCAAAACCAAGGCCGGTGTGCTTTCTGCCGCCTTGTATGCGGCGCAATTGAGCGTTACAGTGGCGGAAATACTGGTCCGGAAAAGGTAAATGCCAAAACGATCTGCTCACTTCGATGGGAGCTCCATGGCCAGATAGTTCATTCATCGGAGCCTGTGAATAGAACTCGGCGAATCTGCCTCACCTGGACCGAGCAGACGGGCCATGCTCAGGAGGTTTTCTTGCTGTTCGTTGCACGGAAAGATGCCATCACCCGACACAATCTTGATGTTCGCCCCCTAGGACGCGATCCAGCCGACCAGGAGGGAAAGCTGGCCCTCGTTAAGCGTTGGTTCGATATCTGCGTTAGGAACCATGAGGACTGTCGCATTACGCATGGAACCAAGAAGGGGTTCATGGAGCTGATAGAAGGGACTTATTTTGGCGTCATTGACGTTGTCGACATGCGGCTTAAATCGTTACCTCTGGACCGCTCTCTCAGGCCTGAGCGATTCGTTGCCCTGAGTTACGTCTGGGGGCCAAGAGAGTCAGATGACGATATGTCCTATGTGACGACCCAGTCCAACGTCATAGACCGCATGAGACACAATGGTCTTCGGAAAATAATCCATAACCTCCCAAAGACCCTTCGGGATGCTATGTCGTTGGTGTTCCATCTGGGGTATCGCTACCTCTGGATAGACTCGCTATGCATCGTTCAAGACTTCGAGAGCTCGTGGCGGCTTAATTCCCAGGCTATGCACCTCGTCTATGGCAACGCGGATTTTACGATATGTGCTGCTGATGGAAAAAACTCATCCGCAGGCTTGCGTGCCGCGAGTACGATCCTACCAGGTCGAAGCCGAGAATCTACAAGCAACCGTGTACTAAACACGGAGCCTTTGAGCGAAGACGTGAGCGATACTGTACGTCTCATTGCCACGCGATCGCTTGAGGCCACAATCAACGACTCCGAATGGAACCAACGTGCATGGACTTTCCAGGAGCGCGTCCTCTCCCGGCGTTGCCTCATCTTCGCTGACGGGAATGTTCACTTCCAATGCCGCAGGGTTACCTTCTCTCAGGATATCTACGCCGATGGGGGCGAGTCCAGCTCGTTAGAACGAGGTAGCTCGCCGTTGCGAACGCTGCGTGAACTGCGAGAGCGTCCGCTATCGTTTTATCTGACATATGTCCGGATGTACACCGGCCGCCGGCTCACCAAGCCACAGGATATCCTGGCCGCCTTCGCAGGAATTTCCTGGCTGCTGGGACGGTATATGGATGCTCCGTTGCTCTTCGGCCTACCTACCTCACATTTCGATTTAGCCATCCTTTGGAATCCGGTAACAAAAATTAGGCGTATGGCCCCACGACATCCAGCATACACCGGGTGGGCATTCCAGCAAGATAACGCGGGAAGTTTCCCTTCGTATGCGGAGCGGAGGTCTTTCGAGAGCCTGGGGCTTCCGACATGGTCCTGGTCAGGTTGGATGGACGGGAGGATCGAGTACGACCCGGCCATGCTGGAAGGGTGTCTACTGAACGTACACGAATGGCTTATAAACCACACATGGATCGAATGGTATATTCGTGACGAAAAAGGGCACTTGAGTGCCTTATGGGGCATGATTTTACAGGGGGTCGAGCGGGACACTGAAATCCCTATTGCAGCTAAACAGGATACACGGTGGATGGGCTACCCTGGCCGAGGTTCCGAAAGCCAGAAGTGTCCAGATACATCGCCTATTCGGATGCCAGAAGAGAGACAAGGGCATCAAAGCCACAAAATTTCCCCCTTGTCTGAAGGGCCATTACCCGATCAATATAAACGGATGAGTAACTCGGTATATATTAGTACTTATTCACCGCAGGGGGTGTGCGGAGGTGAAACCTGCACAATGAATAATACGGAACGATCGAGTCACAAGCTACCAGATCGCAAAATCGGACGTAATGGCAACGATTGCGACGACGAAGATGATTACGGCCGGCATAATTTGAAAGACAAGATCTATGGGGAAGATTCGAGGGTGCAGGAAGAATTCAGAGCCATCTTGCCCGGCAGCCCCTTTGGTGTCATCCGAAATACGGCACCCCAATCGGTAGCAGATGGGCAAGGACAACGATCAGGGACGAAAGCGACACAAGGCTGTATGCCAATCCTCCAATTCAAGACCTGGCGCACCGAACTTCATGTCACGATCCGAGATATCGCAAAGAGCAACGCAAGTACCGGGCTACACCAATGCGACATCCTTGACAAGGCAGGCGACTGGTGCGGCGCCATCAAGCTTGACGACGACTTGATTCGACCACGCCAGCTCCACATCTTCCAGTTCATTGCTATTTCGGACGCTAAAGGCTTCACGGAAGAGGAGTGTCCCGTTTGGACGTACTACATCCCGAAAGAGCGAAAGGAATCCGAGTGGGACGTGTACTTTGTGCTTCTACTGGAGAGGAACCTGGAGCGCGGCGTCTGGGAGCGCGCCGGGCTCGGTAAGGTTTTCAAGGCGGCCTTTCTCCTGGAGCAGAGCTGGGATGAGATCAAGCTGGGCTAGCTACCGCGGGGCCAGACGCCGCTGAGACCCCCGCCGGGAGCCGGGAGCAGTTTCAACTGCGGCTGGGTGAGGAAAGGGGTAACCGTTGCAACTCGAGAATGGCGACCTTAAACCCACCCCGTAACTGGAGAGATAGTCTGGGCCTTACAGTTTCTTTGAGATATCGTACCGGGCACCGGATGACCTAGGCGAGCGCACGCTCATAGTTTTGCTGCTGATTTGCATTGGAATATTGAATCCGTCCCTGAATGGGCAGGTTGCTCGCAGATGTTGTGATATAAGAGTAGACCAATCCGGGACGGTAGGTGGACGCACTCCCAGGGGAGACTTATGCACCAGCATAGAAAAGCAACTCCACTCCTCATGGCCCCCGAGGTGGTTGAGATCCTTACTACCCCTTTTACATACGCGGGCATTCCCAGATCGATCAACCCACCACCCGTTTCCGGCCGTTCCTAGGCTCTCGGTAGGTATTGCAGAGGGAGCGCGTGCCCTCAGCGAGAGACTAGGCGGCGGTATGCCGCCCACTTCGCGGCAACCCCGACGAAGTCACCTCCCCCCTCCCTCCCCCCTTTCCTTCTCTTCCCCTCCGTCTCGTGCCACCACGACCACCGCCGTCCCTCCCCTCCCCTGCCCGATTCACCGTCCTCGCGAACGCTACGAGCCGCCGCACCGCGGGCAGCAGGCGAAGCCAGAACCGGGCCTGGCGCGACGGGGCCCTGGCGTCGGCCGTCGCCGCATCTAGGTAGGTATAACCTCGCGGGTGCGCATGGCTCGATGGGCAGATGCGGAAAATCCCCAGGCAAGGCGCCATCGCACCCCCGCCCGCTCCCGGGGCAAGGCCCGGCTCGGGTATGCGCTCGCGATAGGTGGCGGGTAGCTGGGCCCCCCCTTCGGGTCGGTTGTGCATTAGCGCCGACGCCGCAGGTCGCTGCGAACTGCTCAGGGCCGCGTCTGCGCCGTGGCCATGGCGTGCTGGCGCTGGCGCTGCTGCGCGTCGACGGGGCCCAGGTCTCGCGTGGCTGTCTGGGAGGAGGAGGTTGTGGCTGGGAGCGAGTGTAGCGTCTGCTCCCCCTTCCGCGACGGCGCAACTACCCGCCCCAGGTCGTCGGCGGCGGCGGCGGCGGCATTGCCGAGTTTGGCTCGACCTGCCTGTTTGTTACCTACCTACCTAGGTGTCTCCCGTTTTTTCATCGGGTTGCTCTCTGGCTACCTGGGTGGACTGATGTCTCGAGATGGCCCGCCTGTAGACTCGCCACTGGGCGGTTGCGGTAAGGGCGGGAGCGAGGTCGTCGTGATCCCCGATAGACCTGCCCAATCTGGCAATGCCACCTCTTCTGCCGTCCCCCCCACGGCTGCAGGCTGGGGTTGCAACGGCGTCGTAGGTAGCGAAGTACACGCACACAACAGCAACACACAGAGGGAGCGTGTTCGCTCGGGGAATAAACTCCCCTCGCGCCCATCGTCCAACCATGCGCTTACATAGCGTTGTTGCCATTCTCCTGCCATGTCGGCTGCCTGAGGCCTAGCGTGCACCCTCAACCAGGGTCCCATAGCTCAGTTGGTTAGAGCGTCGTACTAATAATGCGAAGGTCGAGAGTTCGACCCTCTCTGGGACCACGCTTTCTTTTCCATCTTTTGCCTCGCCGACAAACTGGTACGTAGGTGCTCTTTGTTCCGTCGTGTCTTTTTTTTCCCCCCTTCTCTCTCGTTTTCTTTTTGAGGGGCGTGTGCATGATTGAGCGGAGGACCCGTAGGAGATAAGCTACCCCACGGTACGCTAAGGCAGTTGAGTGGTTCTTCTCCCTCTCCTGTCTTCTGCGTTGCGGGCTGCGAGTTGGATTTCCTCCACCAATGTCGGCGGTCGTAGTGTGCATTACGGGCTACGAGTGGGTCCTACGCATTATCGTGGGGACTTGTAGGTATATTAGGTAGGTACTCTTCTTTTGGTAGCACGCTCCCTCGAGAACGCCTATTTTAGGCGTGTCTGTCCATCCACACTTTCGACGCGTGTGGGGAATCCAAAGTAGATCGATTCAGATATTCTATCTACAGTACTCCTCCTCCGAGGGCCGGCGAAGCTTGCAAGTGTAACCGAGCGCCGTCGCCGTTCGATAACGCCAGTGCCGGACCGCTGAGATCTCGCTTCCTGCCACGGAGTAGGCCGGGGGAGTCATGACCGTGTGATTGGCGGTCGGGTCCGTCTAATCGAGATCTCGTCGCATCGTTTGCGTGTCTTGGTCGCACCGCTGGGAGGCACAGCGAGGCCTCGAGATCCACCACTTGCCCACACCATCACGCCGCCCAACCGTCGTCCCGTCCGCCTTATTGGTCGGGCATGTGCCGGGCGCTCTATTTTTGTTTTGGTTCGTTATTCTGGCGGGTTGGTGTGTTCAGTTGTGTATTACTTACATCATAGGTAGGTATATACCCCCTAATCTCTGCACTCGACGGCTACAAACGCCTATCGGCAACGGTAACTCGTGAGTAAGTCGATGGGGGCATGATGCTACCACACGCGCAAACACCCAGCCTAGCCCCATCTTCCCGCCCCCTTCGTCTCCCAGCTGAGAGAACATGTGGACGGGCTGGGGGCAGCGTACGGACGGAGGCGTCACACCGATGGCGTAGGGCGGCGCGTGCGAGGTTGTATCAAACTTGCCGCTGGCTGGCGAGATGAAGCGCCGCGAGGAATGCAAGCTTTACCTACCTCCCTAGTTCTGCCTTCTCTCTAGATATCTACGATCCTACCGTAGTAGGTAACAGTCTGCTTCGGGGGTTCTACGATGGTCTAACTACCTAAGCGGAGGGCAGAGTGCCGTAGTGCTCTCGTCGCGGTTCATTTTCGTAGCGCTGCCAGCGCAGAACGGGGGCCGGCGCTCTGCGTGAAGAGAGAAAGCGGAGGTGGAGGGACAGGGGGAGGTCTCGAAGGGTCTATGCGATCCGGCGAATCAGCGCGGGCCATATTACGTCGGCTGGGTACCGAAGAGGTAGCTACCAGCGTACCCCTCTCCCCGGCTCTCATGTACCTACCACCCGCCCAGAGGCGCCTAGGCGGAGACAGATGGTACATTAGCACCGATCCCCTCTCTACTTCCCCCAGTACCAGGCCTGTAGGTACATCAAAACCTCAGGAGGTACCTACCAGGTACGGTCCCCCTTTTTCTGTCCTTCGCCTTTCTTCACGGTCGCCTTGGGTAAGATGGTGCTTGGTATAATAGCGTGCGGGATGCATTCCCGATAATACCGGCGGGAACGTGGGCAGAGCTGAGAGAGCACCAGGCGGGAAGACCGAGGATGCTGTTTATAACGTACAGCGCAAGGGATCGGTGGTGCGCGCGATATAAATGCGCGTCAATCTTTAACACGTTATACACGCCTACCTACCTAGGTATATCACGTTCATATACCTACGACGTAGTGTAAGCACCCAGGAGTGTCCCATGAACCGGCCAAGCAAGATCAGCAGGGATTCTGTAGTCCGTCAAGGTATGCCGTGCGAAGTCATGTCTAACTGAGTATGTAGACTTTTGTATATGATGTATACAGACTACGTTATATACATGTATTGCACGGATTCGGTGATGGGGCTTCGGCGTGAGGATAGCATCGATCTACCGGACGGCCAATGGCGGCGGAGGCAATGGGGCAACGGGCTGGCATGCTGCTGCACGCATTCAGCCCGTCTTCCGTGTTTTTGATTCCTTGGATTTCCCATTCCTCACCTGTCTACCCCTCATATCCTTCACCACGGCCCCCCCCCCCCCTTTTTTTTCCCCTTCTCGCCCCATCGCCGAACATGGCGAGACGGGAGAGACAAGAGATGCGCAGCATGTGACGCACGGGCGGTCCATCCATATAGGAGCGCCCCCTTGCCCGTCTACCCACTGGGGTCTCGGCTTAGCGTGCACGGCGTCCGTCCTACGTCGTAGGGGGGTTGCGGCGGGATGCAGCAGAAAATACCTAATTGCGTCGTCTTCCACCGAGAGGGGGGGGAGGGGAACTGACTCTCCGCCTGTACTCCGGTCGTTTATGCACGTGTAGGTTCTTGGGTTCTGCGGCTAGGCGCAACACCGTGGTTATGTATTGTCTAGGAGTACCTAAGGTATAGTAGGTACCTACGTTATTGACATACGTCGAGGGCGTAACATAAGAGAACCGGTCTGTCGAGAATTCGAGATACACCGCCGACCGATGCATCCCTCGACACTTCGGGATGGCACGTGTGGGTCGAGGGCAGTTGGGTGCATGCAGTTGCATATGTATTTGTATATTCCGGTCTCGAAATAGCATAAGCCGACGATTCGATGGATTACAGCCTGCCCCGTCCTGCCGTGCGCGGGCACGGCGACGAGAGATGCTGCTGTGGCCGCATGCAACTTGTGCATGGCTTATTGTGTACGCATTATCCCTGCCCGTCCTGGCCGCCGTGTGGTAGACATGGCGACTACACGTACTAGTAGCCCGCGGGCAGCAAATAACAAAATACTCCAGACCACCCACCCAACTCCGCCGCGCTGCCCCGTCCTTCGCTGCCTCTCAGCTCAGCTCAGCAGCGCGCCCGGGCAGTGCTGTAACCCTCCTCCTGTCTCGGGCGTTATTATCATAGTGATACTTACGGTATCGTGCAACTCAATGCTACCTACATCTTACCTCCTCCCCGCCAGGTATTTGCGCGAGAACAAAGACGAGGTCAACCGGAGATTCCCATTCCACGGATGGAGCATGGTGTATGCACCTCATAAAGCCGGGACAATCTGCCGGAGTCACCCTTGGCTACCTCGAAGTTTAGAGCGTACGATCCGGCTGGGGTTTGATGCTGCCATTACAGCACAGGCTGGGTACCGCGAGACAAGGCCAACAGGTACCCGGGTGTGAATGTCGACCTAGTCAGGCCTAATTGTACACGCACCCTCACCTTCACCCGTCCCCGCGATGAAGTACCGCGGTTGGTTGCGCCCGTCCTTGCACATATCTTAGGAGGTAGGTACCTAAAGGTAGGTAACCCGCCTTTCCTGCGTCAGGTTACCTACAGCCACAGGTACCTTGTGTAAGAGGTACCTGTATCTAAGGTCTAGAGGGTACGTACGAGGTGGGTAGCCCCTCTCTGTGTGTACGTAGCGGTACATACGTCGCTCCCCGAGATACGTCCCAGCCCCATCGATCTCTCTCGCGTCAGCATGTACATCCTACGTAGCATGCGCGTCGATAGAGGTACACACGTACGACTTGGCCCAACGTGGTACATGCGTTGCCCACAAACCAAAAGTATCGATGCCATGCAGCAGGCTTAGGTTGGGGTACGCCTCCCTCACCTCCAATCGCGAGGTCCTCCCTCCCTCCTCCCTCCCTCTTGTATCTGCTCTCTGTTATTATATATCGCGGTACTTTTCGACTCGCATTCTCATCATCCTCTTTTCGTTGGTAGCTCTTCGCTTTCTCCCTTTTCCGGGTATCGCTCGACTAGAAAGAGAGAGAGAGAGAGAGAGAGAGAGAGAGAGAGAGAACAAGAAGCTTTGGGCTCGCCTCTCTTCTGCCATCATAATCTCGTCGTATATTTCCACGGTAGGCTTCGTCTCCGTCTTCTTCCCTTTCACCACCGCTTTCTCTCCTCTCCCCCCTTCTTCCCACATCGCTCGCCTGGCTGTCTCGCTGCGACCAACGCCACCACATTGGCATGGTAGCAATTCCTCCACGCATCCAGGCCTAGCTGAAGCAGGTAAGGTTCCTGTATCGACGCCTTGGTTTCTCTAGGTATTGCATCACTTTTTCCCACGGCGATGGATTCCCTCGACAACACATGTCAACCCCACACTCTCCTCGAGATCTAGGCCCGTTTTATCTCCCCCCCGTACCCTGCCCTGTCCTGCTCGCATCCTCTCTTCTTCTTCTTCTTCTTCTTCTTCCTCTCCTTTCCTCTCCTCTCCTGTTATGCCTCTCGAGGGCACAAGGCTCCGCCGTACCCTGAAAGCAGCGAGCTCGGTATCTCTAACTCGGCCCACCAACCAGCGTAGCATTCCATCATTCGTGATTATCGGGATGGCGAATCTGTCGGGGGCCGTCTCTACCTGAGTGCCAGCATCGTGCCGTTGTCAGCTGCTGGGTATTATTCATATACGGGATCGGCCTATCACCTGCTATCTCTTCTACCCTGCGCTATTGCCAACACGATTCTTCTCGAACCTGTTCATTAACCCATTCCAGCGCCCTCGTGAGCTCGGTATTTATCCCCAAAGACCCAACCGGCACAACCTCGCCCCCCTCCGGTCTGGGATACTACGATATTCTCGTTCAGAATCGCGCACCGAGCCGAGCGAGTCCTGGAGCTTCATCGCATTTCCGGATATCGCGCAGGTCCAAACAGCGACATACCTGCACTCGCGAGGGAGGCCAGGAATAGAGGCGGCCATTCACCATGGAACATGTTATGGATGTGAGCTGGATGACGCATGAGAAAGGTAACGTATACGCGTCCCATGCCCCCCTAGGTTTACGGTGTGGTAAAAGGAAACATCGCTGCAACTTTGGTCGTGATTTTGTTTTATTCCGTCCGTTTGTTTCGAGACGAGGAGGGAAATAAAAGAGGCCCCCCCAAAATGGCGACTCCCCGTCTTTCCCCCGCCGAGTCTGCTCTTCTCCAGCGTAACCACCAGACTAACCGATTCCCCCGGCCTGTAGATAACTGGAGCAGCAGCGCCAGCTGGAACTCGTCGTCAAGCCAAGCTCAGTGCATCGCCGCTTCGAACCACCCGCCGAGATCTATAAACATAAACAAGGCCAATGGGAAAGTCGTGTCAGCGTCCACCTCCTCGCCATCGCCTACTACCGCCAAGCCTATACCTCAACGCCCAGGTAGGTCGAGAAGTCAATCCGATGGTGGGTCGGCCGGCCTGAACGGCGCGCCGATGCAGAGGAGGGGATCCTGGTTTTCGAGCATCTCGTCGAGGTTTTCCACGTCGCCCGCAAATGGACACACTTCCCCTCCTCCCGTGTCGACGCCAAATACCGACGACGTAGCTCCTCTGCCCAAGATTCTGCCGAATAAGAATGCTGTTCTTCCGCATGCGTCACGCCATAACGGCGATGCCCCGTACATCCCCGCGCCCCCGAAGACGACACAGCAGAGTTTTCTAGGGGGTATGCTTCGCCGCCTGTCCTCCTCGAATGGGCCTATCTCGCCGGGTGCCAGAGCGAGCCACGGCCTTGTCGAGCGAAAGGTTCTCAACATCGACGCGAGGCGGGAACGATGCCGTGTAAAAGAGCTCAGTCCGGCGAAGCTCCGCCGGGTCGCCTTCTGCGTCGATGTTGAAATCGCGCCGATGCCCAAGTATGCCGACGAAGAAGCCCCGGCGTGCAAGAAGCCCGCCGACACGGCTGAGAAACAGAAGGTGGCGGGAAAAAGTGAAGGGGAGGCTCTGAAGAATCCGAAAGCTGCCGAGCAGGAAAAGGAATCCGCGGGGGTCGTGAAGGCAACCGGTGAGGCTCCACCTAAAGACGCGGAGAAGGAGGGCGTGGATGTGGCCAAGGGCAATTCGGGCGAGAAGGACAGCGTCGAGGAGAAAAAGGGAGAGGAGGTGTCCAAGACGGAAAAAGAGACGACGCGCAAGAAGGAGAAGAAAAAGAAGAACGAGGCGGAACGAAAGGCCAAGAAGGAGCAAAAGCGGAGGGAGGCTCTCGAGAAAGGAGCCATTCCCATGGAGCTCCATTACGACACCGACAGTTCTTCGGAAGAGTATTCGTCACGCCCGGGGTTTACCAGAACGCATTACGTGCCGACAACGAACCCCGTGAGGATATACCGACGGTGCTGCCAGTTGCGAGAGACCGATATCCTGACGAAAGTCACCCACCAGCTTCCGAAAAGTACAGAATCTTGTGCTAATGGCATCGTCGAGAAGCTGGATCTCAGTGGATACTTCATGTCGCTGCCGGACTTGATCACCCTTGGGGACTTCCTTGCCGTCGTTCCAATCAAAGAAGTCATACTGGAAGATTGTGGACTCACTGACGAAGGCTTTCGCGTCGTCCTGGCCGGGCTTCTCGCGGCTCGGAGGGCGAACGTCAGACAGCGGAGGAAAAGCGTCACCAGGCCGGACGACCTAATACAGCACGGCGGCGTCGTCGAGAGGCTTGTACTAAAGAACAACGGCAAGATCGGCGCCGCAGGCTGGAAGCACATATGTCTCTTCATTCATATGTGCCGTTCCATCAAATTCCTCGACCTCTCGAGCTTACCATTTCCCGTTCCCGTAGAGTCGCCGAAGACGCCGCTCTCTCTCCACCTTCACCACAGCAACGGGCAGAGTGCGGCGGCTCCCATCGACCTGTCCGTACTCCTCTCCAAATCGATCGCGGAACGCCTGGCTGGCTCGGAGCTGGAACTGCTCAACATCAGCTCGATCGGGTTGAATATGAATCAACTCGGGACCATCCTCGACGGCGTTCTTAAGTCGGGAGTGATAAGACTGGGGCTAGCACACAACAACCTCGACGCACAGGGCGTCCAGCACGTCGCAAAGTATCTGCGGGTTGCAAAGTGCGAAGGAATTGACCTGGGCGGCAATGACCTCAGAGATCAGCTCCAGGAGATCGCGGAAGCTCTCGACGAGAGCCATGGGCTGTGGGCTATCGGCCTGGCCAAATGCAATCTCAAGCCAGCTTCCCTGTGTAAGCTTCTCCCCACGCTGACGAAGCTTCGCGATTTCAAATTCCTCGACTTGTCACATAATCGCGAGCTCTTCGAATCCGAGCCTAGCGCTATCGGACAGCTTCGCAAGTAAGTCTTTCTTCACTCAAACGTGTCTGTATCGGATCCTCCCCCGCTCCCCGCGCTGACCTCTTGCTAGATATCTTCCCCAGATGGCGAACTTGAGGAGGCTACACCTGGCCGATGTCTCGTTATCATCAGAGCAGGTGATTGCTCTCGCCGAGATCCTCCCCGAAGTCAAGACTCTGGCACATATCAACCTTCTCGAGAACCCGAGTCTTACTCGCCTAGCCAATGCCAAGACCGAGGAGAGCAAGGAAGAGGCATGCGCACTCTATGCTTCGCTATTAGCTGCCGCCCGCGTGTCGAGCGCCTTGATCAAGGTCGACATAGACATTCCTAGTGCTGAATCGGGCGAGATCGTAAAAGCGCTAGCGGATCGCCTCGTCGTGTACTGCATGAGGAATTTGCAAGGCGTGGCGGACATTCGGGATTCCGCCGGCGACGACGGACAGAAATCGGATAAATTACCCAATGTACTCCGTCACCTCGTCGGCCACGAAGACGATCTTGAGGACGAGGACGAGGACGACAGCGACCCGGCCCCCAACGAGGACTACGTCATCGGCGGTACTGGTGTGGTGAAGGCCTTGGCCTGTGTTTTGAAGAACCGAGAAGATACTAAGCAGGAATCCGATGGTTCGACTCAAGACCTCGAGGACGTGGCCGCAACGTCCAAGCCTGACTTTGCACCTGAAAAAGCTAGGGGTATGTCCAAACACTTGCTCTCGAGCGCACGGAAGATACGCGCTCGGCTGCAACCGGCCCTGGCTCTCGCCAAAGCCTCCTCTAGCGAGGACATCCACAATTACCGTAAGTTGCCCGATATTGTTGACGATAGCTTACACGATTTAACACGCTAAATCTCTTTGCAGATCGCCTCACGTTCTTAGATCAGACCATAGAAGGTATCATCAAGCGGTTCGAGGATGAGTTCCCGGACACCCGTGAAACATCGATAGGAGCTGCGGTACAAGGCCGTGCAGCATCTACCCCACCAGAGCTCGGTACCTCTCTGTCATCGTCACTAGACGCAGATCCTTCGTTATTGTCGGATACGGAGGATATGGAGACCGAGGTTCGCCCAGGATCATCGCGGTCGAGGTCGAACTCGATCATTTCACACACCTCAAAGGCCCTTGCCGAGGAAGAAGGCCGCGCCCTACGCGTCGGTCATCGATTCCGTCGGGGCCTTATCAAGCAGGAACATTACGATCTCCTCATGAGTCCGGAGGAAATCGGGAACGACCCGAACCACTTGAAGGTGATCACATCCATGATGGACGAAATAATGGGAGGAGACGAGCAAATCAAGAAGGATATCCAAGAGAAGGGCCCCATACGCGCTTTCCAGGAACACAGGGAGGATATCATCAAGCGGCTCCGAGAGGAAGACTTGCAGTACTGGGAGAAGTTTGTTGAATCCCAGGAGAAGGCCAGGGCTAACGTCCAGGTCGGGGCCAATCCAGCCAAGGTCGAAGCCCAGGAGGAGGCAGACGAAGAGGCAATCTCGGATTGAAAGCCGACAGGCGAATAGGATAAGGCCGGGGTCCTTGTGTACCGATATGTATCATTATAGCGGTGCCTCTGGTCTTTTCTTGTCTCTCAAGCATACATTGGGGAGTAGGGAGGGCATTTTTCATCTTCCTCAAAGACGTTTATACCGCAGATCATAAGGATCATCCCTAGCCAAGAGGAGAAGGGTACAGAGGATGACGATAGTCATCAGCTATCATTAGTACGCCTTAGCGACTCACGTACTTCATTAGAAATGGGGTTTCTTCATTACAAAACACAATTTGGCGATCAGATGGTTCCACTGGTTGGCCGAGTCGCACACACACACACACACACACACACACACACACACACACATTGCAACGGCGCCCCTAGTATTTGTCGTCTTGGGATACCTGCCCCTTGTTATGGCACCGTCGGACTGGACTGGCGTGCGGGATCTAGATTTTCAACAGTACGCAACGAATCGATAAGAGAGAGCACCACAACTTGCCGCCCTGCGAAGAGGTATTTCCGTGGGGGGGTTAACAGCACTGAAAGAAGAATACAAATCCGTTAAGCATTACAACCGGAACACTAACTTGCGTGTGTCCTGCATAACTGGGGCGATTGTATGTATCCCGTCTAGAAGCGTGTGGTGTTCTGATTCTGAACCCCAAGATGGCGGAATGGTAAATTAAGCTACAGTTGAGACGGCAGGGGATTGTGCTTCTCTAAGCGGGCAGATTTTATGAAGGGAACCGAGTTTCAAGACCCCCTCCTTGCAGCCACCGTGCCCTCGCTCACGATTCCCTGCTTATTTACACATACATTGTCGCCTAAAACGCGAGCGCTTACATTCTACGACTTGCTGATACGGCTATAAGGGCGGGCCTTCCTACGTGACATACATCATATATATATGTATAATAGGGGTATGTGTGCTTGCACAAGACGGGGAAGAAAGAGAGAACAGGTAGATAGTAGCATGTCCCTCACTTAGATACATAAGAATATATATACTGTGAAAACTCGTCCTCGGGCATCTCGTCGAAAACAACGCCCTGACAACTACCGATTCTGGCCAGGCTGGTGCTGACCAGATACATAAAAATGGCTCAAGGGGCCCATGAGAAAATACCAATAATAGCATAGGGGGGTATATATATAACGATAATAACCTATGTCCGCGCTCGCCACCGCATAGCTCTATATGTGCACGTTACCTGGCCTCGATGCCCGTAACCTAGGCCGTATTAAACCACTCGGGCTCCCATTACCGTACCCAATTATCCCTCGACCAGCGCCGACCGGCCTTGGTTTTGCCCCGCGACCGTTCCGAGAGGAGATGGCGGCCGGGCTTTCTTCTTCAGATGTAGTTGCGCCCGACGTCGACGCACCCGACGCCGTTCGCCGAGAACCCGCAGCGGCCGGGCCGCATGCCGGAGCCCTCCTCGACGACGCCCCACGCGATGGGCCGCAGCCACAGCTGCCGGTTGTCCTGGTCGCCGGCTTCTGGCGCTGCCGCCCCCGCCGCTGCCGCCCCCGCCTCCGCTGTCTCGCCCGCCTCTTCCTCGCCGATGTCGGGCACGTCGCCGCGCCGCTGCTGGTACAGGAGGGTGCGGAAGTCGGCTCCGGTGGGGCGGCGCGGGAGCACGGGGCGCGAAGGGCGGCGGGCCGGCGGGCCGGCGGCCGTGGCGGCAGTGTTGTTGTTGCCGGGCACGGGGGCGGGCGCGGGCTGGTCGATCTCGTGGTGGTGGCAGCGGGCGCTGATGACGGCGCTGCAGGAGCCGCCGGGGAGGGCGAGGGGGTTGCCGCGGGCCTCGCCGCTGGCGAGGCTGGCGGCGGGGGTGCGGACGCAGCCGAGGGCGAGGACGGCGAGGAGGAGGGCGGCGAGGAGCGCGAGCAGCGCGAGCAGGCCCTGGGTGCTGGCGGCGACGGCGACGACGGTGCGGAGCGGGCGCGGGAAGAGCGGGTCGTCGGCGGCGGCGGGAGCGGCGGGGGGCAGGGTCGTGGGGAGCGCGGGCAGCGCCGACACCGCGTGCACGGCCGCCACGCCCGGGAACACCGCCTGGCTGAGCACGAAGCCCAGCGCGCCGAACCACGCGACCAGCGCCCACGACGCCGGCCGCGGCAGCGTCAGGTACAGGCTCGTGCACTGCGCGCCGGCGGGCGCGGCCGACACGCGCAGCGCCCGCGCCCCGAGCGCGAACTGCGCCGACTCGCGCGACAGGAAGTACGCCGTCAGGTGCGCGTTGGCGACGAGGTAGAGCGCCGCGAGCAGCAGCTGGGGCGCGGCGGCGAGGAGCGCGACCTGCGCAGTGTCGGCGGGCGAGAAAGAAGCGGCGGCGGGGGCGGCGGCGGTACCGCGCAGCGGGAACGTGGCGTAGGGCACGGCGGCGCCGAAGCGCGTGAGCACGTCGTAGAGCGACCAGGCGGCGGGGTCGGCGGCGGCGCGGGCGACGCGGTCGCGCAGGAGCAGGGCGAGGCCGACGGCGGCGGGGGCGGCGGCGGCGAGCCAGGCGAAGAGGAGGAGGGCCCAGCGCGCGGCGGACGGCGTCTGGAACCAGAAGTGGTCGGCGGGGGCGAAGTAGCGGGCGCCGCGCGAGGGGCCGAGGTGGCCGCGGCGCACGTCGGCCTTGGCGAGGAGGCAGTCGTTGGCGGTGACGGGGTCGGGGTGGCGCAGGAAGGAGCGCAGGGCGTCGCCGAGCGTGGCGAGCGGCTCGAAGGTCGAGCGCGCGAGCACGACGGCCATGCTGATGACGGCGGCCAGGTTCAGCAGCACGGCGACGCCGAGCATCGACCCGCTGAGGTTGACGCTGCACGTCGGCGGCGGCGCGGGGCGCGCCAGGCAGCGCAGCACGGGCGGCCCGTCGGGCGACGCGAGGCGCGGCGGCTCCGCCAGGTTGCGCTCGTTGTCGTTCGCGCTGTCCGGGGATAGGAACGCGGTGAGCGGCGTGCCGGGCTCGCCCGTGCGCAGGAGCGAAGAGGAGGAAGAAGAAGAGGAGGACTCGGCGACGAGCAGCACCGTGTCGAAGTCCGCGACGAAGAGCCCCCCGAACTCGCGCACGCACGCGGCTACGCTCATGGTGGTCAGCTGGGAGCTGTCTTGCAGCGCGGCAATGTCGGCGGCTGGGAGCCCCGCGGCGTTGGTCTCGGCGTCGCTGGCGAACGGCGCGCCGGAGAAGAAGGACGGCGTCACGAACAGCACGTTGTAGGCGACCGCGTTGCGGCTCGTGAAGATTACTGCATTATATCTATGGGTGGGAGCGGAGAGGCGGGAGGTGGTTAGCCCGACTGAGGTTTGGACGGACGGGGAGGGGGGGCGGTGGAAAGGGGAGAGGGCCCTGGCTCAGCCTGGGCGTGCTTGTCTCACATTACTTGGGTGGCGACCGCGCTCAGCAGCAGGACGACGGCGACGGCGGTCCGGAAGCCGGAGATGTGCATGAAGTTGCGGACGGAGGGGATGCCGATGTCGAGCCAGCGCTTGTTGCCGTGGGCGACGGTGACCTCGCTGCGCGTCGGGCTCGAGAGGACCTGGAAGACGTAGTTGGCGCCGGCGAGGATGGCGACGCCGCAGGCGTTGATGACGACGTGGATGCCGATGTTGACGCGCTCGGCCTCGAGGCAGCCGCCGACGAACACGGCCGACTCCCCGGCCAGCAGCCGGGTCTCGGTGATGGCCAGGATCAGGCAGATGATGCCGACGACCAGGACGAAGAAGGCGATCATCGAGTTGAATATCACGCCGCCGCGCCAGCCGCTGACGTGCCTCCGCAGGCCGCTGCGCCGGCTCCAGCTGCTGTACGTGTTCGCCCCGCGGGTGACGTCCGAGGCCGAGTTATAGAAGCCGCCGAATTCGAGCGGGTGAGAGGCGTGGGTTTCTCGGCGCGGCGTGACGACGACGTCGCGCTGGCCCCATTTCCGCTCCTCCTTCTTCCTCGCCAGCGTCTCCGGCGTCTCCCCGCGGATGAAATTCACGACGTAGTCCGGGACGATGCTCCTGTCGATGCTCGCGGTGTCATCGTGCGGCCGGAAGAAGGTTCGGGGCTGCCAAGCGACGTTTCGAAAGGTCAGGCGACTCGACCTCGGGGTCGAGGGCACCTCGGAAGCATTGCGGCCGTGGAAGGGCCACGCGAACGAGTGCCTCGAGCTAGTGGACGGCCCCGATCGCGAGGACATATACGGCTGCTCCTCCTGGATCCTGTTCTGCGTTAGATCCTCCAGGCGGATATGGTCACGACGAAGACTACCGGCCCAAAGGCTCGGTCTTCTCGTCGTCGTCGTCGGCGACTCCACCGTCGTGTGCGTTTCTGATCGTAGACGGCTCATGGTCTCTTGACGGCGTTACAACATCCATTCCGGGAACCTTATCCAATCCGCTTCCCTACCCGCCCCGAGGCAAAACACATACACAGAGACACACGCACACACACTCACTCACTAACTCTCTCTCTCTCTCTCTCTCACACACGTGGTTTGGCGCACGCGAAGCGAAGAGGCGAAGCCGAGGCGAGAAGGAAAGAAATGAATGTGGTATACTAATGTGGAAACAAGAAACGAACGGAAGGGGGGGGAAGAACCACCACACCAGCAGCAGCAGCCAGAAAAAGTCCGGGATGTGTGAGAAGAAGATCGGACCAGCTCGAAATTCGAGAATAAAGGCTGCAGGGTGTCTCAGCTCTTTTGTATGGGACGGACCCGACTGAGGCCAAAGCCCAAATTCGTAACCCCTCTTTGGTCTTCCATGATCGACCGACCCTTGCAACTATACCCACCAGGCATAACCCATGGGCAGCAGAGTGGGATGGACAAGCAAGTCAGCGACATGGCAGTCGAGCCGTTCCGGGGGGCGGTCGCTAGGCATGTAGGTATGTACCTAGTCTGGTCCTCTCCCCTACGTCCTCTCCCCCTCTGTGCTCCTCTCCTAGGGTGCGCCCAAGTCCTAAATCGACAAGCAGGGGTTGGCATAAGTCCCTCTCATTTATCGTGTGCTCCGCGTCCAATCGGAAAGGGACGTTTCGGGCAGTCGAATCTGGATCTGGACTTGTCGCATTCGATAGCGACAGCCTGTGCCGGATGAAACTCGTGCTCTATTAAAGCACTTGCATAGTCACGGTTTCTTTCTATCGTCACTCGAATTTCTCGACGAGGCCAACGAAAGACGCTTCCAGGATTTGACGGGGGCTGTTACTACTCACTACGGGGCCCAGCGTTCGGAGGCACGACGGCTAGGTAGGTATATTCGACCATTTCTCTCCCCCTCCCTCTTCCTCTCTCTCTCCCCACTATGCAATGGAGGCTGCCTGCTGCTCAATCCTCTCTCGGCCCCCGTATCCGACAGGCTACTACTTCATGTTGGAGAGGGGGTGCAGAGGAGGATTCCGTAGCCAAGGACGACCACGAGACCGGTAAAGGTAGGCGATTGAGAAGATTGACGACAGACCACAGCGCCGCTAGAGAGAAATATATGCCCACACTTACTCAACAAGTAAGCTGCAGCTTTACGGCGGAGATCTGATACGGAGCATACCCAATCGCCCGCATCTCCTCTTCTCGGAGAAGTGCGGGAACCCTTTCTGGCCCTCTCCCCGCTCTTCTCACCCAGAAGCGCCGCTCATCTTTCGAGGCACGACCCGTGACCCGGCGAGGGAAGACTTACGGGATTACAGGTCTCTAAAATTTCTCCGACGACAGGCTATATATTAGCAGATCGGCACTAATTTTATCAAGCAGCGCCGTGTCCGCGCGCGCGTGCTCTCGCAACAGGCAGGTTTGGCAATGCTTATCCTGCTCAGAGCGAGGGGGGTCGAAGTAATGGCGTGGAAATCATTCATGCTCGTGACGGGGTCTCCCTTACCATCTACGCAAAGCGGACGGGGGGTCGCGCATCATGGCAACGACTAGTACCGAGCCAGCAAGAGATCCCAACCAGCGGCGACGACAGCTTCCTGATCGACTGCCTCTACCCGGTTTCCCTGAGACGCACAATGCAATCCATTCCTTCCCACTGCATCGTCGCTCGCACGTCGCCCACGATCAAGTCTTATACTGACTGGACATGGGTAGCTTTCTTGCGCGTGTGCGTGGGGAGGAGAGCGCGCCAACATCGCTTCTCCTCCTGCTCCTCTCCAGGTGCGATCCCAGGCAGAGCAGGGCTATGTCGCGTTTCAGGCCTTCTCTCGCAGCGAGATAGGTAGGAAAAAGGCCCGAGAGAATCCACACCTCGAAGTAGCCCACTTCGACCATCGTCCGACAAGTGCGGCAGTTTGGGAGGGAGGGGGGACGAGCTATGCCAACGGGCGTCGTCCTCTTTACGAGAAACGAAAAAGGGGAAAGACGGGAGAGCAGCAAGTCCAGAGAATCCCTTCATCTCCTCCGCCCCTTGACGGTGGAGCCCACGTTATGAATTTTATCCTTGGACGAATCCGGTGTAGTCTCCGCGCACCACGATGTGCTATTTTCGATCCTCAGATACAGCGTGTGTACATACCAACAACCCCAGATCGTAGTAGTCACCTTTCCTCCCTTGGTGAGGCATTCACCGAAGGAATTGTATGCGTATGCGCTAGGTATTACACGCATAGCCGCGACAGGAAGAAGAATCGGCAAGTCAGCACGTAGATGCATTGGCGGTCATCTTAATACCACTTACGCCGACGTGTGTACATACAGAAATGCGAAGCTTCCGCGTCGCTCGCGTCTGGGTGTCATTTGTCAGATTTTAGAGGCTCAGAGTCCATCTTGGCAGCGTTTCACATCTGCGACCCAAATACGCACGAATGCACAAATCCCCATTCCGCATTGCGCCACGGAAGGCCGCCTAGCAAGCCTTGGCCGGCGAAGCTCGCCCGAGCTGGGTACAAGTGCAAGCCCCTCCGCTCGGCTAGAGTTTAGGCAGACGAACGGGGGGACGTGAGAAGGGAAGAATACGAGTAGAGGTAGGTAATAACCGCAGCTCTATATCCTCCGAGAGCTTGAACGATTTGCACAGCGCGGTAACGCGTCGAAATCCCGTCGGATCTGGTCCGGAACACGGGGCTCCTGGAAGCGGAGCCGTGCACATCTCGCGTCGCAACACCACCTATAATGAAATCACGTCCAATGCTATGCATCTCGTCGGTTTGCGAACCGGATAAGGTGATTTTAATAAATGGCACTATCGAGATCTGAGCGCGCGCGCGTGCGTGCGCGCCCCGTCCCGTGCGGAAGCATGGAAAATGAGACACGGCGATCATTGCCCAACAGCGGGCGCTCCACGCGTGGAGCCCATCCAATAGCTCGGGATCTAGGGGTTGCCGGTGAAGAATCTCATACTCGCGTCAGGTGCCGGTGTATGTATTCACCTGAGAGTTGCTCTAGATCCCTCAGAACTTGCGCCGTGGGGAGATTGCTTCCAGCTGCTTAATATTACTACTGCAGTCATCTGCCGGCCCGGGCCCTTGAGCGCATCTTCCTCCTGCAGCTCTGCACGTCTCGACCATGTTTATCGATCATAAGTCCCGCCCACAATATCTCGCTCAGACCATCAGACGGCCGTGACCGCCTGGTGGCTGGGTTGAGCCGGTGGCCAATGCGGATAGGACTTCGCAAGTGCGTGTGCGTGTCCCATTCTAGAACGAAAGAGAGGAGACCGGATCCGTATTCGGGGATGGGAACGTTGTGGTTCCCCCAGAGATGGCTGCAGGACGAACCCCGAAGGATCTCGGCATATGTCGCGGCTGTTAAGAAATGACGGGCTGTGAATATGCTGGGTACGCAGTAATAAGCATGGTTCGAACGCCTACGCAGCCCAATGAGTGCACAAATAGGTAGGCAGGTATGTGGATGGGACTCGGAAACGGCCCACCGTGGTTACGCGTTCGTCCAGGAGCCGTTCGCCCAGGAGCAAAGCTGCTCGATGCAAGCAAGTCCCTATCAGAGCCCGCTGCCCCAACACCGAGCCAGAGAAGCCTCTGGTTTCATGTCACAGGAGGACGTCGACGCGCGCACTTCGCCATTCGCCAATGCGGGCTCGTACGCAGTATAGCTTCCCACGCGACACGCCGACATGCAATGCAATGCAGGGGGGAGAGAGGGGAGGACTCTAGTCTGACGGGCATCAGAGCGAAGCTCGACCTTCGACCAGTCGATCTCCGGTCTGTACGTCTGATTCGCACACGCCGCACGCGGCCGTATGTATGTCAGCGACCGCACAGCGCGGGGACTTGGGAACTCCCAGGGAACTCCGTTTACGGTACGGAGAGCCGCAGAGGCTGATGTGGGGGCCCGGGCGAAGACTAGTATCAAGGCTCGGGGGACTCTGCGCTATTACGGTCTGAACGGAGTTGAGAATAGCTAACTCGAGTGAGCTCTCCGGCGGAGGACAATAATACCGGTTACCAATACGGGCGTCTTCAGAAGCTAGGCCCGGTAGGTCCGGTACCAATTTATATGGTTGGTCGATGCAGGGCTTAGGAAGCCCAAGGGTTTACATGTCATCACCAAGTTATAAAGATATACCGTTCAAGATCTAGGAGTCCATAGTGGTGTTAGCCACCAAGAAAACGGATATGAGAGTACGGTTACAGCAAGTAACTATTAATACATAAAGGCAGGCTGGATAATAATGTATATATCAGTTTCTAGAGAGTTGTCATAGTAAACACATTGTAACCAAGCGCAATAATGATCTAGTTCAAAGAGACTCCGAGAGACGAGATAGGGATAAGGTAGGGATGAAATAAATTTATCTATGCTTTAAGGTCACGTACTTGCACGTTATTAAGAAGGAGGGCAGGCATTGGCAACTGTCACACGGGAATGGAACCCTACGCCAATAATCAGGCCATAAGGGTTAGGAGGATAATATCGGGCATTAAGGCTATTACCTCGGCGACCTACTAAGGAAAGTCCTAGATAAGCTTCGGATAGCTTCGGTAGTAAGGTATACGGGTACTAAGGTACAAAGGTACCTTTGAAATATATTAAGACGAAAGGAAGACGACGGACTTAAAAAAGAATAAGGACCTAAGAGACCTCCTATAGAATTATTAGTAAAATTTAAACCTATTTTAAGCATATTACTTTGTTATAAATAATTCTATATTACTCTTACCCTTATAACTTTATTATAAATTAATAATAAGAAAAACCTAAGCCCCGGCCGGTATCGTACGCCGAAGCCGCTACCCCGGTACTACTACCGGGTTAACCTCGACCTTCTACTAAGGAACCAAAGCCGTAGGCGTTCCTATTCCCGTAAACGGCTGCCTCGGGGCTAGCGTCGATCTCTATAGCGGAGGTAGCCTAAATAATAGCTACGATTAACGAACTAAAGGCCGTAATAATAAAATTAAAGGCAAAAAACGCCGAATAAATTATCCCGGCGCCTTAGCCGGAATTAATTCCCGAACCGACCGATAAATTCCTCGTAATATATCAACCTTAAAAATACGAGGTAGTTATAACCGATACTCCGGAAATCGCGAACTTAAAAGTAGTTATACGAAACCCTTCGTAGTAAATCGTA